AATTACCTGGTCCAGGTCCAGGAAGATCACCTGATCTCCAAATCATACCGCCATACCCCCAGACTCCCAGAGAATGTCTCAAAGATCGTCCGCTTCCCGCTTCCCGCTTCCCGCTCCGGCCCCGGCTTAGAATCTAGATGGCTTTCGCTTCTTGGATGCCTTGCACGGGATGGAAACGCCTTGCACGGTCTACCTAGATAGTAGAAACAAAAACTGCCCCCACGCCTGACTACCACCACCACAAAATATCCGTAGCAGTGACCCCAACATAACACGATAACAGCCCAGGCCCAGTAGTAACACTACTGCTTCGCAGCGGCGGCAGGAAAGCGGACAGACAGACATGCCTACTCCACCTTGGCGGTGCTACCATTTCGATTCGATTCGATTCGAAGGCAGCAGCCTCAGCCTCAGCCTTCACAGGCCGGGGTACCCTTTTGGAGGTATCATGTATGTACCTTTGTAGGTAGTCCACCGGCGTCGTTTCAACTTTAGGAACGCCTAGTATGTACTTACATACATACAGTTGGTGGTTACAGACTAGTTATCGGCGAGAATTGATGCCGACCATGGAATCGTGGTACCGCCGTACCGCCGTACCGGTATGTAGCGGTAGCCCTTGTGCTGATTGATTACGAGCTTGGCAGAGAAATGAACCAGGTGGTTCAGGTGGATCGGGTGGAGCAGGTGGATTAGGTGGACCAGTTGGACCAGGTGAGCCAGAGGTAACAAGTTGAACCCCCCAGTTTCGTGCTGGGTAGTTACCTGATGTATGTAAGTAGGCAGTCCGTGGAGAGAACTTGATTAAGGTGCCGGTTCGGTTGGTTCGGTTGGTTCAGTGCGGTTTCGGCCTGCCTGGAGTTGATCCAGTTCCAACTTGCAACTTCCAACTTCCAACTTTCAACTATAGTCTATTGAAGGGTCTGGGATCCGGATGTGACGGGTTTCTGCGCTGGAATGTTGCACGTAGACATACCTACGTACCTAGAACCTAGGTATTTCTGGAGATCACCCCATCCGCCTCCTTCAACCTTGATTCTTGAGGACGACTCAACCGCTCTTTAAGAACACCTAGTACCGGTGCCTACGTGACATCGCAACTGACTGGCCTCAGTTACATACCACCACACCACAGAGCATCAGCAGATGTCTATGGTCTGAATGACAATGGCAATGGCAATGGCAATGGCTATCACTGGCTATGAGCGGCAAAGTTCGGCCTCGAATCCAACGAGTTTCAACCCGTTGCCCGTTACCATTTCGCTGCCATTTCGCCGCCATTTCGCTGCCATAGGCCCATATCCCAAGATCTACCATACCATAGTCTGTACCGCGGCAGAAAGCAGGAAGCAGATAACCAGAACCCAGATTTCTCGTCGCAGACTTGCAGTGTGATACTATAAACCATGAGATGAGCCTTAACTAACCAAGTACCTAGTAGCGAAGTGACGGCGTAAATGCGACCCGTCGGTGGCACCACACGCCGAGCTGATAGATATGAGTGCGTCGATGCCGATGCCGATACCGACCCGTAGGCATACACCATCCGACGGCACGCTCGCACGGAATTCGAGTCCGATACCTATCATTACCACGCACCCGAAGTTTGAATAGACCCTCGAGACAGCTCGCTTTCCACTGTGGCGGAGTGATGGAGGAGCTGTTGGCGGGAGAAAACGAATGTGGTTACCTAGCAGTGGGAAATGGGCATCAACTTTGGCGGCTATGGCGGGGGTTTCTTCTTCTTCTTCTTCTTTTCTTCTTCTTGATAATCCTCTACATAATAGACTTGAACCAACCTCTACCTCCTATTTCTTCCGTGTGTGTTCTCCTCTCGAGTATCGACCCGCCGCCGGCCTGGAGGGGTGTTGACAAAGAAGCCGTCTACAAGACCACTTTCGCCACTCTTGTCCCTCCGCGAGTCGGTCAACGTTACGGCTATCGACCAACCTGAAGACTAAGTGCTTGCGCAAGGAAGTGTGAAGTACGGCCTGCCCGGGGAATCCGAGAATCCGAGAATTGGAAATGCTGGCAGAATGTAGGCTCTGGCAGCGGTTTGGGGTGTCGGCTTTCACCAGCCTACATGCTACTAAATAGTATACTGCCGGCGCAAACTATGGATCGCTCGTGGAGACAGACCTATCACCCAGCCACCAAGACCCGTGAAATGACCCAAAAATCCGCTCCAATAGCCTACGCCTTCTACCTATGGAATCTTCTTGGTGGAAATACCGCGTTGCGACCCTTATTCCCCCCAAAGACCCAACCGTGGATATTATCTTCGGAACAAGCCTGAAAGCTGAACCTCTGTGCCGCTCGGGGACCATCTCCTCGGCCCGCCACCGGCGTCCGATATCCGGAATACGGAATATACGGGGCTACCCGTTTCGCGCGGACGCCGCTGCATACGACTACACGTGCAGATGATGCGCTGGGACGGGATCAATGTTGTCCGCGGAGCGAGGGATCCGCACACCCCACCGCCCCCCGCCCCGAGGGAGGAGCAGGCGGACCGTGAAAGATGACGTGCTGGCCGCTGGCGGAGCTGCGGAGACAGTCCAGAACCGTCCCCGAGTGCGGGGGTTGATTGGGAGCAGATCGGACGAGGACAGAAGGTGCGGTGGAACGTATAGTATGTGCATACAGACAGACACTCGGGCCATGTGTGCTGGGCACTGATGTGCAGGGGGAAAAGGTATCTTATCGATACGCCGCGGCCATGTCGACGGGATTGGCAGAGCAGCCTGTTGGGCGCTGTGGACCTGTGGCACCTACGTTGCCGTTGCCAGACACCAAGCCTCGACTGCCGGTGTCATATCTATTTCGCAGGCGACGATAGAGGATCGCAGGCGGCAGGTCGATCAGGACATAGAAGTCCTGATCAGGACCGGGTGGTGGGGGGGAGTTGTTTCCAAAGCCGTCGCGAGAAGACGGATGCACATATGCGGCCACACAGTGCCCACTTACCTACTTTCCTAGGTCCATCCATGGGTAATAGGGCCGTTCTTCCTGTGGAGCCGATGCACTGACAGATGTTGACGCCTGCCAGACACACATCCTTCAGGTAGATAAGTTCTTCCACCTGCCACCACCTCAACAAAATCAGCAGCGTTTCCCAACTGCCGTGGGTGTACACCATCACTGGACTCGATCAAGGTGCGGCCCCTCCTCCTCGCCTCAGCCGGAGTACGCATCGCGAAGCTGCACCCCAGAATACTATGTACGCACATACATACAAGCTGGAAAACTTTGGGGATCCCGATCAAACGACCTGGTCTCGATCGTTACCATCCCCTCGTTTAGCGCATCTCCCATCTGGATCAGCCCCCCCAGCCCAGCTCCGGGACTATTTCCTCGCGAGTCCGCAACTAGGAGGAGGAGGAGGAGCAAGAGGATGTCTGTCTATGTACCATTTTAGCCGGAGGGGCGGAACCAGGATCCTCTCCCATCAAGAACGAACGCGTGGGGCTGGCTGATCCGAAAGCGAATAATGTGTGGAAGAATCGTGAAATCATAGCCCCCCTTTGGCGGCTAATCGTAGTTACTTGGGTACATACCCGTGTTGAATATCCCACCGAGTGCGTGAGCATGATCATGATCCGTCTCGAAACGATACCTACTACACAGTGCCGCCGCTGACGAGCCGGCACGAAGAGCACCATCCGTCCAACCACCCCCTCCCCATATCCTCGGAGCTAACTATGTAGCAAACACCCCACACCGGATCCTTCCCTCTGACCGAGACATGTAACCCCTCCTTCCATCGCCGCCGTCTTCGCACGCAGCCAATGGTCTGCGCGCGGTTAGGTGTGTACGTCTTCCTCTGCGGCTTCTGTTATAGGTACATAGGCTATGTACCAACCGATTCATCCCCAAGCCCGACCGAAAGAAGATGTCACCTTTGGCCACAGCCCGTCGTCGACGAGCAGTGAACACAACGCCGGGTGATCATGGGTATCACTCGACATGATCAACCTATGTACAGCCGGTCAGTATAGTATTGTCGTTCGAGTCAATGGGGGTGTAGCGGATTGATGGAGAAGCTGTTGGCGAGAGGGGGAGGGCCTGGCTGGGGGTTCGACGGCATGAGAAAGTTGGTGTCAAAGTTTGGACGCCCGGAGATGTTGGCAGGAATACGGTTTTGCGGCGGGCGGGCGGTCGAGACCGAGTGCCGTCGGAGGGGGGGACCTTCGGCGCCGCCTCAGTCTGTACTCTTTATAAAGAGAGACCTCGGCGCCGATGATGTTTTTGCTGTATCGAATGTTTTATCTCTTCCCGTCTACATACCCAAATATTCCAACAGTTGGGAGTATGTAGACTCAGTGAGCTGGGCACAACAATTCCCACTCGGAGGCCAGTGGTAGAAGAGCTTATAAGGCCGATATAAGAATTTCCGTGTCATGCAGTCTGATTTTCGTATATACACTACGAAGTCTTAAGGATGATAGAACGCGTAGGTTTGAATAGGGCTCATATTTGAAGCCTTGTATAATGCTTGTGAAGAAATCAAGCGTGTGGCGCTCTAAGGATTTTCTGTCTCGAACTGATATATCCCATAATGCTTCATAAAACCTGCCAGTTTCATAGTCATTATTGTGCGCCAGGGCGGTGTATTTCAACAACGACTATATAGGCTTGACATAAGGCTTAAGGCTTACGAAGTGAGAAGGCCGATTTATATAATGGTTTTCGCTGCATAGGCATTATGTAGGAGTTACGAGAATTTTGGGGAAGTGAGAACAAAAGCCTTATTTTGACATAACCCTTACAGAAGCCTTATAAGTTCGATGTGCTTATGGCTGGCTTATACAGGAATTATAAATTTCTTTGGCTTTTTTAAGGCCTACTTAAGGTTTTTGACTTTAGTACATTACTCAATACTTGTGCTCGTAGGGCTGAGGCGGCTTAAAAAATTATTCCCTTATGCATGCACGCATGAATGATAACTCCACCCCGCCATTCACCCCCACCACCGATACTTGGGCACCAATCCACTAGCAATGGCAACACAACCTCCATTACTCGAGGCCCACGAGGGAACCTCATTCCTCCTACATTTCGCGCAGATCCACGAGACCTTCCGGCGGGCTGAAATCGAGTCCCTCGCGACACTGCACGGCATCCCGCTGGAATGGGTGTACTATGACGACTCCGTACGTTTCCCGCAGCTTGCGTAGCAAGCAAGCCAGAAAGAAAGAAGTCGCTGACCTCACCCCACCTTACTAGTCCCCCTTCGCGATCCTCACGCTCCCCTCCGCCTCCGCGGCCCGCACCCTCATCAGCCGCTCAATCCTCTCAAAGGGGATCTACACACTCTATGCCCGCGCGGGGACCTATGCCGCACTGCACGCGCAGCTACAGGACCCAGCAGCGGCGACACTCGTGGCAGCATGCATGTCGCGCACCTTCAAGTTCACGATCGAGTCCTACCAGCGCCGGCGCAGCGCGCGCGACGCGCGCGCACTGATCGACGAGTTCTCGTATCTGGCGCTCGACGGGGGCGTAAACATGCGTGCGGCGGCGCTGGAGTTCGTAGTCTTTGAGGAATTCCTTCTTGACGGCGGATATTCGGGGATGTTAAGTTGCGCGCTGGGGCTGAAAGTGGGGGACGGCGCGCGGGACACGGCAAACACGTACGACCTCAAGCGGCGGCCCTACATTGGCACGACGAGCATGGACGCTGCGTTATCGCTTGTGACTGCGAACCTAGCGCTGGCTGCGCCCGCACGGCTGTGTCTAGACCCGTTTGTGGGCACCGGCAGCTTCCTCCTCGCGGCGGCGCATTTTGGTGGCACGGTGGTCGGCAGCGATATCGATGGGAGGCAGATCCGTGGCCGCGCCGGGAGGAGTATCAACGGCAACTTCGCGCACTATGGGCTAAAGCCTAGGTTGCTAGATACCTTCACGAGCGACCTGACGAATACGCCGCTCCGTGCGGGCCGCTGGATCGATTGTATTCTCACGGATCCACCGTACGGCGTCCGTGAGGGGCTGAAGGTCCTCGGCTCGAGGACAGCCGAGAAGGCGAAGACGCCCGTCATGGTCGGCGATGTTATGGGACATCTGCTGCCGGACTATGTTCCCCCCAAGAGGCCGTATGGGTTCGAGGCGATGCTTGAGGATGTTCTCACTTTTGCGTTTGAGCATTTGGTGGACGGCGGGAGGATCGCGTTCTGGATGCCCGTGGCTAATGAGGAGGGAGAGTGCGCGGTGCCAAAGGCGAGAGGGCTGCGGCTGAGGCATCTTTGTGTGCAGGAGTTTAATAAGTGTAAGTGAGAGAAACGAGTGAGCGGTGGGGATGGGTGCTGACGGCAAACAATAGGGAGCAGGAGGTTGCTGGTTTACGAGAGAATCCCCGATAGCGATATCGAGGCTGCGGAGGAGGAGAAAGAGACACCGAAGGAGACGGTACAGGAGAGTGGGAGGACGGCGGATGAACTCAATGGCTTCCGGAAAAAGGTACACCATATCCCCTCCCTCACTACTCCAGCAGCTAATATCTCCATCTTCAGTACTTTGAGGGTTTCAAGCCTTCACTGACACCATCAGGGCCATCAACACCAAAACCCACACCGAGTTGATACCATTCCATAGCTATTTGAAATAGAGATCTCCCAAGCAAATATCGTACAAATTCTAATGCTCAAATCCTCCCTCCAACCTCCTTCAGCGCCGTCGCCAACAGCCCAAGCAGCTCCCGATCGTTTGGGGCAACGGCCACGCACCCCGTAAACAGCGGGAAGAGCGCAAAGAGATGTCGTTTCGATCCTACCGCTATTAGCCTTGTCCTTTGCAAGAAGGGAAAAGTACTTACCCCCACTGCCAATGACACTATCCAGCTCTATCGCGCGCTCCAGCACATACAGCATCTCCTTCCGCTCCCTTGCAGGTTGCGGCATCCTCCCCCTCAGCGGTTGGTCAGAAATGTACCGTCCCAGCACCAATCCTACACGGCGAATCAACCACGGTACCGCCATCTCCGCCAGGCGCTTCAGCTCCGGGCTATCATCCCCACCCACGCTCGCAAGGGAGAATAACTCGTCTAAGCAAACGTACGCCATCCTATTCCGTCGTTCGATGGTGGGCTCCGTTGTGCTCCCCTGGTGACGCGGGATAAGCCACTCCTCGTCTGGGTAGGAGGCACTGGGGAGGCGATATAGCATTGAACCCCAGAAGACGGAAGCGATGTAGTGTTGGATGGTTTCCTCTGGTACTACCTCTCTTCCCAAACTCGGAATAATCAACTTGCGTAACTCGCTGAACGACTCGATATCAAGATCCTCATCGGTTCGAAGTGTCGATTCCTCGACGTGGGCGTTGTTGTTCGCCTGCAGGACCGAGCCTACGACTATCACGATAGTCTTCCAGATCTCCTGTCTGACGTCGTTGGCGATATCGAGGGTGTCCATCGCCGGCAGCGCTTTCTTCATTATCGCGAGGACGGCGCGCGTGGGGTGGGTCCAGAGGTTGGGTCGCTTTCCGCGCGGGATGTTGGCCGGGGCGAAGTCATACTTCAGTCCTATCGGTATCTCGAGCGCTCCAAGGGCAGTAGCAAGTGCGGACGAGGTGTAGATCTCCAAATCGGATATGTGTTTCACAGCCACAGTCTCAAGCAGGGTGATACTCTGTGTTGAGAGCGCGATGCATGTTGGTACTCGACTACCCTTCCCGCTGATCGCCACGCGGATGTCTGTGAAAGCCACGGTGCTGAATTCGGAGAGCTGTTTGAGAACCAGCGAGGAGACGCCCGGGATGTCGGTACGTATGAGTTTTATCACCTCAAGAATGCTGGCCTGCAATGGCGTGACCATGTCCACGTCCTGGAAGTATGGTGGCGAATCAGGGAAGAGGATGCAGTCCCGGAGTATCTCAAGCGTCTTGTGGACTTTCTCTGCGGTGAGCGTGGGCTCGAGGAGCCGGTAGAGTGTCTGGTATGAGTGGATGTATGCTCCCAGTGTCTCCTGGATACCGTTACCTGAGTTTTCGATTCCCTCTACTAGCTTGACTCCTTGGGATGACCACAGCGTCCACACCTCCTCCCTGGACTCCACTACAAGATTCCCCGGATGTCCGACTCTGGCCAGCACCCGCGAAAGAACTTGAAACACGGTCGTGCTGACGCCAAACGACTGCCGTGTGAGGAGGTTCCCCAGGTAGCGAATAAACACGGACCAAGTATGACTGAAGTTCTCCTGCTGGGTGAACACTTCAAAGTAGTTTGAGTAGAGCGTGCCTATACCGCCAAGGATCAACTTGATGGTTTCATCCCAGTTCTTCCGGTCCGAGCCCGAGTCAGACTCCATAGCCAGGTCCTTGGGATTGATATTCATCATCTTGAACACTACAATCTTGAGACATGATGTCCATCCCGAAGGCCCGAGTTGATGGCCATAGGTATCGAAGATGCGGAATAGCGTTTGTATCGATCCTTCACATCAAAGTACTTAGTCACTATTCAACCCGGATCATTATTTTCACTCACCGTTTCTTACTTCTGCGCGATAATCTCGACTGACGCCTGTCAACCGCAAGAGCAGCAACATCCACAGCGCCGAATGCGAGTCCACATCCGTTCTCTCGACGATATCTAGTAGATCCTTTTCTCTCTCCGCCTTGGCGGTCAGTTTCTCGCCCTCGCTCGCCTCGTCTCCCCGGCTCTGCAAAAAGTCCGATACGTTCCAGAAGAAGGTGATCGTCGTGAGCGAGATGTTGAGATCGTCCTTCTGACTGCAGAACGCGAATAGAGCGTCTATGAGGACTAGTATACAGCTGGTGGGCAGGCTTGCAAGGAAGTCGGAGCATATGAGCTCGAGAGAGCTAAACGAGCTCTTGATCAGGCGCAGACTCTTGGTAGATTTCGAGCCAGCTTCAGGCTCCACGATCGACGGCATTGCAGAATCCCGCCGCCATATTATGCTCTGATCAAATACGCTCGTGATGATATCAAAGACGATTTCCCAACCGGAAACGAGACTTTGTCCCGCATACTCCAAGATGGCATTCAACGCCTCCAGTCCGGCGCGGTGTATCTCGAGTTCGGTAGACTTCGTTGCGGAGTCGGCATGACCAGATTGGTGACCGCGCTCAACGCCTTCTTTGAGCGCAGCGAGTATGCGTCTCTGCACTTCCCCAACGTTCTCCGTCGTCTCGGGCGTGATGGACTTGGCAGCTGCAACGACGATGTCGTTCAGCACATCTGCCGCTTTGAATCGTACGCTGTTCCCCATTTCCCGTGATCCCGACACGCGGACAAGATGATTGACCAGTAGACTCCAGCCAGAACTGTCTGGGTTCGGCCCTATGAGCCGGAGCATATTGATCTGTGCGAGTTCGCCCATTTTTGCCAGCGTGAAGGCATTGTCTCCGATAACTTGAGAAGCGGTGGATACACCAGAGAGACTGGGGATTCGCCGGTGAGAAGAGGAGCCGGATGGTCCACGCGTAGGAGACCGTGATGAATCAGTTGATCGTCGCCCATTGGGCTTGTCATCATCGATGGCTAGTAATTTGCACAGCGCCGAGAGCATCGACACAAATGCTTCATCTGGAAACTCTCGCGTGCCCTCAAACATCTTGACTGACGCAACTTCTACTGCGGCCAGCTCGGTCCCAATATTCGACATCAACGTGCTGTCTCCGGACTTTGCCCCCTCGGTCCTCACGGCTGAGCCACTCAGGGACAGTTGTCGCCCACTCCGTCGTGACGAAGCGAAGAGCACATAATCAGCCTGCTGCAACGTCTCGAGGACTATAGTCCACGAGGTATCCAAGGTGGGCCCCAGTGCAATTCCTAGGTTTAACAACGCCCTGAGACATAGTAAATTCCTGTTATTGAGCGACGGAGCCGAGTGATGGTCTGCCATATTGGAACCCGTGCCACCCGATGTTGACCCTTCGAGCAGCCCCTTCGCGTTAGAGAAGAGAGTATCCGCAGCAGAAGCTGAAGGTGTCACAGGAGTTGAAACATTTGCCGATAAGACATTCGGCGGAACGGCAGCCTTCCCCAGGGTGGTCAAGAACGCATCTCTCGGGGTCACAAGGCGCAGAACTCCAGCGACGTGAGTGAACTTCTGGAACGATCGGACCAGCCCGTGGTACAGTTCATTGTCCAGCGTGGCGTACAGAAACGTTGAGTACGCAGCTAGGAGCGCGGGCCAGCAAGCCTCGACCAGCGCACTTGAGACTACTATGTCGTCGTAGGATGGATGCGATTCCAGGGTGAGAGGATTGCTGGGAACACGGGGCGGTCGCATTGTGACCTTCCGCCTAAGAGACTGTCGTGCGGGAGACGGTGTTCGACCATTCGGTGTGGCAGGTCTCCCCGGGGCCGATATACCGGATTCGACATCGCTCCCAGTACGGTGGACAGACACCGACAGCGGCCTCGCCCGTCGTTTCGAGCCCTCATTCGTGGCCAGCGGCAAAACGAATCGCGCCAGTCCGTCGGAAAAGCTATTGAAACACATGAGAGCCAAGCAATATATATAAGATTCCGGCATCGCCGGGGGCTCGCTCTTGTCCAATTGATCAATACAGGGAACTCTGACCATGCTCCACTGCGCGCTGAGTCCTGCGACCGTCACGTCCAATCCCACAGCACCCCCGATGATACCGGCCACACCCCCAGCTTCTAATGCTGCCTGCTCAGATGATGCGTCTTTGGCCTGTTGCTGACCGGCAGGTGCAGATGATTGAGTACCCAGCCCAATGACAGCGGGCTTTTCGTGAGCTAGTCGCGTCATTCCGGTGATCAACTCCCTCACGATGGGCTTTCCTCCCTCTTTTGCGTCGTACTGAGAAAATATCTTTCGCATTAGGGCTGGTTCGGAGCATATGCCACGGAAAACCTCCAGACACAAGGCTCGCTTCCATGGTTGTGAGGAGTCTGGCTCAAGCATGTGCGTGAGCAGGCTTAGTGAAACCTCGCATTCTTCCGAGAGAATCGATAGGTGCCGCCGCAGCAATATGTACAGTACTCGTGTTATCCGCACTGTTGTAGGGAAGTTCAGTCGTTCCGACAGTGAGCGCATAACCAGTGGCGCAACCCGCGTCCGAAGTATATGTGCTTGTTCCGGATGGGACAAAAAGATATCAGGGTGGTTCGTCAATACTGATTCGATAATCTCGAGGCCAAAGGGCTGTGGGAGGTTGTGGAATCGCAAAACTATAGGTCTATGCCCTTCCGTAAGCAGACACAAATCGTTGAATACTTGATAAGCATCCAAAGCTGCTGGTCTGACCGGCACATTGCCAGATTCCGATGGTGCCTCCCCTATGGGAGGTACCTCGGAAGCCTTTTCTGAGAAGCATTAGTTCCAAAAATCAACGAATCTCCCCTCGTCTGGATCGCGGCCGTACCATCTTCTGTAGCCACTTTGTCGAATATGGATATCACGATTTGGCTCAGTGCTAGAAACTATTAGCATCCCCGAGCCCAGCCAGAGCTCCGGAACCTTGAAAACTAACGTACTTGCCGCAGCGGTATTATTCACCACTCCCATCTTACTCCCCTGCAGGATGGCGCATATGAGCAGTGTCTCGCCGAGCAGTGCGCCCTGGAGCTCCTCTGGGTAATTCTGTAGCAACGGCGGTAGAGCCTGTAGGATTTTGAGTTGTATATCGACGCCTGTACGCATTTCACGTCAGAAATGGCATCGCATCGAGTAATCGACTTTTCTATAGGTGGCAGTAGCATACCAAGATTCGCTGCTTCTCGGAACGCTTCGAGCACTTCTCGCAACCTCGACTATCACTAGCAGCTTAGCTATAGTTCTCGGACCGCGGTTTACGGGGTAGTGCTTCTGTCTCACTTTCGCCAGCGCCTTCGAGAGTATCAACCGCTGTAGACAGACAACGCCAATGGTACTGAACTTCGGATTACGGGTGCCGCAGGCAATCAGGAATGGCGAGAGGAAACTAGGCCGGTTCGACAACTCTGTCTCAGAGAAATAATTCAGCGCGTGATCCGAGTGCGCGAGGGTGCGGGTTGCAGAAGTGTACCTGTTGCGACGTCCGCCGACTGTGCTATGGATTTGAGATCTTGGAGCGATTTCTCGGTGGCCTACAAGTAATCACAGTGGCAAGATATCAGCACGGGAAAGGGTGCACCGACGACCGGAAGCTATCTACTGACATGGCGGAGGTCCGAGTTTTTCCTTTTGGCCTCTTGGACCAAGTTCGAGAGCTCATTCTGGAGGAACTGGGCGGTCATGTCTTGGGGAGCTCTCCAATCGAGGTAGAATGGCGTTTTCGCGAGGGTTGGATTGGGGCGGTGGGTATAGCGCGCTCTTGATTCTCCACGGTCGAAGGATCGAACAACGAGTGATGACGAAGAAGTGTTTCTGGAGAATCGTTTTCAATGAAGGTGTCGTTGTGAGTGGACGGGCGTGGATATCTGTACACTAGACAATTGAGCCGCGTGTTTCTTTCGCTGTTGTCGCCTGAGCTCCCTGCGATTAAACCCAGTAACTAGCTCGGCGCTAGGGCGTGACAATGGTGATGCTTCCTGTCTCACTAGCGGATAGCCCCTCCCCCGCTACCCTATTCAGCCCAACAAACCCACCCATCCCATATCATACAACCACGAGAATTCCCCGAGCCCTCACTACGACCACATATCCGTTGCATCCAAACAAGCCCGGCTATGTCTGCGAAGGTTCCCCGGAACTTCCGTTTGCTCGAAGAGTTGGAGAAGGGCGAGAAGGGTCTCGGAGCTGGTAGGTTTCGCTCTCGCTACCGGCAACCGCGGAACAGCAAGCTTACGATTTCGGGCTTCGTGCGACTACAGATGGCTGCTCTTACGGTCTTACCGACGGCGAGGATGTGATGATGTCGAACTGGAGCGCTGCGATCTTGGGTCCTCCTCACGTGCGTGAAACCCACCACACCTGCGCACTCGTCCTTGGTTGAGTGGTCGCTGACCGTTCATCCGCGTGCCCTTCCAGAGTGTCCATGAGAACCGCATCTACAACCTCCAGATCCACTGCAGCGCTAGCTATCCCGACGAGCCGCCGATCGTTAAGTTCACCTCCAAGATCAACCTTCCCAGCGTCAACCAGCAGAATGGACGAGTCGACCTCTCCAAGCTTGCCCGCGTCGCTCAGTGGAACAGAGACTACACCATGGAGAAGATCTTGGTCGCTCTTAGGGAGTATTGTCTCACCTATTTCCCTCTTTTTGGCGTGTAGTGGAATGCTGACACAGAAACACAGGCACATGGCGCATCCCACCTGCAGGAAGCTCCCCCAACCCCCGGAGGGAACTGAGTTTTAGAATGTCATGGTCGGAGCCGTGGATGGGTAAACGGTTACAATCACACTTGAACGAATCACACATGAGATGCTCTTGGATTAATCCATGACTTTTCGTGTTCTCAAAACTCACTTCTTCTTTTGTCAGCGATGTGATTTATTTGTTGCACTTCGGGATACAATAAAGCGGGTCATGGCGACGGATTTACAATGTGCTTCATATTCGCGGTCACGTATCATCACTCGATGACATGCGCAAATATCACATTGATTCTCAGGTAATTATGTATTGAACGATTCTGGGATAATATCAGCGGACTTCGAGTATACTACTTCTCGGCTGCCGTGACAATCTTCAGCCCACTGGGATCCCCGGAGTACGCCAGAGTGTACTTGGTAGGGTGCCACTTGACGTTGGTGACTGGATGCATCGTATTTATCGTGTGCACTTGTTCACCCGTATCCACATGGACCTAGGTATGCTATCAGCCAAAGATCCTTAACCATATCAGACGCCGACCGAAACTTACAATCTCGATGTCATGACTACCCGCCTCTTCACTCTGTTCTGTTCCAGCGCAGATGTAGGCGCCATCGAAGCTGAAACTAACACTCCTGACAGGCGCATCCATCCCTCGTAATGTCCGTACGCATATCCACTCGCTGGTATCCCATATACTCATCACTGCATCACTACCGCCAACAGCAAGGTGCGCTCCGCGCGGGTCCAGTTCAAGACATAGCGCAGCGGACGCATGCGCGTCTACAGAGTGGGCGGGCAACAGGGTTGGGTATTCGTACAGTAGTACTTGTCCCGTCGCCGTGGACATCAACAGTGTATCTCCCGAGTGCGAAAAGATCAGCGAGTGCACCTGCGTCGGCAACACATTGGTGGCGGAAAGCTGGTGCGTAGCTACGGTTATGAAGTGTAGCTTCATCTCCTACATAGCCAGCATCAGTATCCCCATTCCAAAGTGTTTCGCACAGGACACCCACCTTGGTAGCCACAGCCACCGTTTTCCCATCCGGATGCCACGCAAGCGCAATCCCCTCACCGCCAGTATTCACAACCGCCAACATCTGCTTGATCCTGTAATCCCAAAAGCGCACTGTTCCATCGACGCTACAGCTAGCCAACTTATCGCTGTGCGTAGGGTCCCAAGCAAGCGCCGATACCGCCGCTGTATGGCCCTTTAGCTCGGTCGACATCCGGATCTCGGGCTTGTCGGGATTCCATACGCGCACTAACTTGTCGGCGAGCGCGCAGGCGATGCGGTTTCCGGGTGGGTTCCAACCGATGTCGCGGATTGTGAGCGAGGAGGAAGTGCGGTTGTGGTCGGGGTAGGATCGCGACTTAAAGGAAGAGAAATAGTAGGACGCTATAGCGACAGAGGGATTCAAGTTAGTGAGCGTTGCATCGGCGGGTGTGGAGTGGTTGTGGAACTACGTACCGCGCTCTTTCTGAATGGGGCGGCGGAGGGGCGGCGCCATTGTCGCTCGCGAGTCGTAGGTAGATAACGTTTGAGGTAGAATGTGAAGGTGGGGCGTGATTGAGTGCGTTGTAGCTACGAATGATAGAGCGTGGTGAGTGCTTGATAGTCGAATAGAGTAACGAGAGGTCGAGCTCTGGCTTCGACCAAAGAATCCAAGACGCCTCAGTTCATAACGCGGGAAGGGTTAGGTATCAACGCGCTCTCTTTGCATGAGCATTTCTGTGTAACTTCAGTTTCTACGTCTTCACGTCACCCGTCTGCAACGATGCCGTCTCCGAAATGCTTTGTTTCGCTGTCCAAGCCACCAGCGAAGAAGCGGCCATTTGTCAATATCTTTAATCACCAGGTTCCTCCTACTTGTCCAGGTGCCCTGTTGGTCAATGGCTAATTGATTTCTCTAGGTCGACCTCATCCTCCCCACCGACATTTACGACATCATCTCCAAATCGCTGCACTCATGTCCGTCCCTTACGGCTCCGCCGACGTACCACCGGCTCGTAATGCCTCTCGGCGCGATCCTGGAACCTGATTTCTTCAACACTTATATCAAGTCTGGCAACATCCTCCTCCTCTCTCACGGGCGTCTCGACGTCGACAACATCTTCACCCTCTCCGATGGCGTGCTACGCATGTCACTCGACACCGAGGCCTACGAGCGCGCCGGCCTGCAAGGACAGCCCTCAAAGTTCGGGAATGGGCCTGGCGTTATGAAGCGGCGGCGTTTTGGTACGCACGCCCACCACGCACCTCCGCGTATCCACCAGTACTGACGAAACGATCCACTACAGTGGTGGAGCTGAACCTCCGCTCGCCCAGCTACCTTACCAACTCCAAACAATTCAACCGTCTCAAGCGAGCCTGCGACGCCGTCTTCTCTTCGCCGCAGCCCTTCCTCTTCGCCGACCTCTTCTCCCCCGCTCCGGCCTCAATCCCGAGTGTGGTGCAGCAATTTCCCGCTCGCACCGCAACGCCCGAAGTCTCCGCCCTCGCAGACATCAGCATCCCCACCTTCGTCGCGCCGCCTGGCAGCACCCCCCACGGCGGCGGGAAGTCGGCAGAGGCAAACTACCACCGCGAGGTATGGCGCGACTGGGCGATGGAGGTGTACGAGTACCTCTCGCTTGTTCTCCTGGGCGCGGACCGGCTGCGTGCGGACGACAGCGTGGATCCGTATCTATCCACGTATGCGGTTGAGAATGCGGCTGTGGGGAGTGTGACGAGGGTTAGGCTCAGAGGATTGGTCTCGGCGAAGTGGGTGGAGGAGCTTTGGGCGACTGTTGAAGGGCTGTTCGAGGGGAGGGAGGAGTGGGTGGGCATGGTGGTGCATGGGTTCGATGATGTCCCGTTTGGGCCCATTGGGAAGCAGAGGGGCGGGCTGGAGGCGTGTGGAAGTGCGTATACCGTTCTCAAGCTGCCTGGTGATGGCGGAGTGATGGTGTGGGATATTGCCGGGGGACAGAGTGAGTGATGAAGAGAGTTACATAGAGAATACTTTGGGTTCATTGCTGCAAGCAACATCACTGACGGTTAGTGATTAGATTTCACGAACCATTATGGGACATGCGTTTCCTTAAATTATAGAATACACCCTCAGTTCTTCAATCTCAGATTCCAGATCCCAGATCCTAAAATCTAAATACTACTCTAGTAAGCAACTAGGTATCCAAATATCAATCGCTGAACATCAATAATCGCCGTGCATCGCCTCGCAAAGACAGAGCCATCCTCGTTTAAAACTAGACGTACTACACATCCACCCATCCATACAGCCGCGTGTGTAAGATGTATGCAAGTACTTGGGTGAGGTATCTATACTAATCATAGTTCCGGGAGCGCCATTTCAAGAGAATTCCTTTGCGAAGACGTCGAAATTGCGGGTATCTTCGCCATTCGGCAGGATGGCAAAAACGATGTGCTCAAAGTAACCTTTGAATTCCTCATCGTGCAGCAACTGCCTGAATATCGGGGCAACTTCTTCAGGAGGGTTCCGGAATACGCCGCAGCCCAGCGCTCCGAGAACCAGTCTCGTCTTCTTGCGTCGGACGGCAACACGCAAGAGCAGCTTGATCTTCTCCGTCATGATTTCGCGACACTCGTTGTTGGGATATACCACCGACTTCCTGTCGAAAGTCTTGTACTTGCTCAGATTCAGCGCGGCGACCGAGAGGACGGAGATGATTTCCGTTCCGCGCACGCTCGTGTTGTAGACGTTGTATTCGGATGCCTGGTCATCGCGGTAGATCGCCACCGCCGGAGAGTATACCACGGAGTACTCGTTCTCCAGCGGAGTGCCGTCGTCCAGCTTCGGGCGGCCGGGATAATTACGCGGCCAGGCATCGGGCAGTGGGTAGTATTGGATCTTGAGCGTGTTGATCAAAGTTGTGCGGTAGCAAAGCTGCTCTTCCTGCGCCGTGGTGCCCTCGAGGAATCCTCCGCCCTGGCGCGTAGCATTCGCCATGTTGAGAACGCCAACGGTGTCGGAATTTGGCACGTTGGTCAGTTCAATCGCTACGGCGAGGGTGTCTGCCCTCCGCACTTCGATTTTCGTCTTATAATTCTTGCATTTGGTCTTGGATCGATCGACAGCGTATGTGGGGTATTGATCGCGCTCGATGTACAGCGTGGAGTCGATTGATGCAGCGGTTGTCCCGATGACCTTCAAGTTCATGTGACTGTGAGAGAGCCTGAGTTAGCATAACTGGACAAGAACGGAGGAGAAGGGGGGGACAAACATGTTTTTATAGGCTATTTCTTGTAGGGTGACATAGTGGATTGGATTCTTGCTAGCCATGTTTACGCGGTGGATGGAGCGATATCCAGCGGGAACGGGAAAGAAGAACTGGCGTGGCGGCGGCGGCGGCGGGGAATCCAGTGGTCGTGAAGACACCTGGGAGCTCTCTTCGAAGCTGAAACTGCCGGACTCGAAGCTGTCGTCGGTGCTCTCGAAGCTGGGCAAACTCTCGAAGCTGGTGGGGATCTCCTGGGAGCTCTCTCCGTCTTGTGTGTCCGTCTCTTCGCTCCTTCCTTTGCCTCTACCTTTTCCCCCGCTTTCACTTCCTCTTCCTCTTCCTCTTGCTCTACCCGACGACGTCGCCCTCCCTCGCGGTGGTGGTCTCGAGCTTGATGGCGCAAAATACGGTGAAGAAGTACTGCTTCCGCGTCCCAAACTCCACAGTGAAGACAAAGTAGATTGCCGTAGTTTCTTGCCCGAACCTCCGTTTGGACTTGTCGTCTCGGGAGAAACTCTCTTATTGTTTGTTGCTGCCATGCTTTGGGTCAACGGAGAACAAAGGGAAGTGGTTGGCTCTTTGTTCTGTCGGAAGCTGCTAGCTGTCTACGACACGACGTTGCCCCCTGCGCGGTCGCGGTTTAGGCGGTAAGGCGTGACCCATGCACACGCGCGATGTGTCACACATAACTACGAGTGATGGATTAATAGGTTTGCTAGATCCGTAACCATGGCCAATTTTATGACAACTTTTCTGCATATCTCCACATACTTCTACACTATTAAATTACTCTCGCTCTCCCCCTTTCAAACGCCTTGCTGTGCCTTAACCAAATTCAAAAGTTCTCACAACGATCAACCGTGCGCATCCGGTGCATCCAAGGCCATTTCTCCAATAATAGCCTTGATCAGTCTCTCCAGCACCTCGATCTGTGCGACTATATCTGTCAAAGCGGCGGAATATGCGTAGTCTATGCTTCCGTATGAGTTGTTGTACGTAGCATGAGCAGAAGTGGGGGGGAGGGGGGTAAGGGAAGGATCTCACGATAAACATCGGCCCACCGTCTAGTCTTATCCGACCTTGGCCTGACCAGCCTTTCCTCTTCATACTCCGCCTCGATCTCTGACATGCGATCCAGCAGCGTCTTCCTCGCCGCAGCAGCAGACGGTAAATATCTCGGCACCGGCCGCTTCGACCGCAGCGCGCCGGCTAGGACATAGAGATTCATCAGGATGCTGGCGACGGCGTCGCGGCGTGGAGAGAGCATTTTCCGTGTGGCGTCCTCGCTGTCTTGGAAGAGGAAGGGGTGGAAGTAGAGACTTGCTTGGCGCACTTCGATGATGTGCTCCAGGAAGCGTTCACACGCATCGATGGCTGCGTTATAAGGCGCTGGATGGAACGGGCCTCGAGGACGCTGGAAAATGGGTGTTAACACGGGGTCGCCTAGGGAGTGCTGGTAAAGCTTACGATTTCGTGGCGGGTCATGTCCGATAACTCCCTCATCCGGAAGCAGTACTCGCGTAGCTTGGCTTCTTGGATCTCCGACATCTCGATATCTTCACGGGTTGGGTGGTAATCGGCGTCGTGGTAGATATATCTGCACAATCACATCAATGAGCGCAAGCCACCGTTAGGTAGAACGTGAAGGAGACGAGCCTGGCGACAACACCGCGGTACGCGATCCCAAGATTCAAGAGCATATCGCTCAATGACTTCCTGAGCTCATGTCTGGCGACGAACGGCCACACCACCCAGTTGACCGCCACAGCCGCCACCACTCCGATGACCAGTCCGATTCCCAGCAGCGACGCCACCTCTGCTGCCGACTGGCCTGCTTCAGGCTGGTTATGCGCCGTCAATGAAACAATCGTGAAGCTCAAACAAGTCATCAAGCCGGAACGCGGATGGGATGAAAGCATAAACCGGAAGACTGTTCTGCCTGTGAACAAAGTGTATAGTAGTGACGGCTGTTAGTGGGTGAAACATACCTGCCGGAATCATGAAAACGAATGCAAAAGCCGCGAGGACGTACGGACGGCCTCCAGGCCCTGCCGCCGATCCAGCACCATACGCGAAGCCCCCCCATGCAGCGCCCACGACGGTGGCAATAGTCCTTGTTAGCAAATCCTGAGCATTCCCTCCCACTCGTGGGTGCATCATGAGCCACGCCGCAATCACAGCCCACCAGGAGTCATGTGCCCTCCACCAGTCCGAGCTCTGTCTCAGCCACGCCGGAGCACTAAGCGTTGCCGTAACCAACACCACCTTGACCGCAAATTTCGTTTCAAACTGTTGCAGTCTGTGTAGAATCTTCCACGTGCGATACCGCAGGGTGTCACCATCGGCCGTGCCATCGATGCCGGCTTGCTTTCTCCACATGCCCTCGTCTGCTGGTCCCCCATCGGGATCCGGGTGGTACGCCCGCGCATGGATCTTCCCCATGATGCTGTTTATCTCGCCTTTAATTCGGAAATAGTATCCTGCGCTCACACCGCCTCGGTCGTGGCGGACCTGTGGGTTCGTACGGTATATGGCTTTCCAGAATGGATACGACGGGAGGAATATCCGCTTTCGCCTCGCTTTTGGGTCCCGGCTCATCTGCAACACCCTGTCGGCCAGTGAATCAATCGCTCCGGCTGCTTGGCGAAGTGGGTTTATGAATAAGAACAGCTCGACCAGGTCTGCATGTGTGGAGTATGATGAAGGCAGACTGGGATGTTCGATGAGTATGGCATCGGCACGATCGAATGCGTCGATTGCAGACTTGAGCTCCTCGCGTGATAGCTCGACGTCAAACAATTCCTCGTGGTCGAACAGATCCGCAAGACCGGCAATCCTCATTAGCGCATTATCGCAGCAGCGAAGCATCGCCGCCATGGTCGTGACCAAGTTCCTTGCTGGTTCGGCCATCGTCTGGCGAACAACCTCCAGCGGAGTCTCGTAGGTGGACTCGCCGTCGATACTGGCTACATCCACCGAATCGCCCGAGTGAATGTTGATGATGACGTCGTGCGGGTTATCAACACCCGATGGCGTTGAGGGCGGCTGGCAGGACTCATGGTCGAAGAGACTCGTCTCTGGCTTTATTGCCATTATCTGTCTGATGACACTCTGCAGGAGATTTCGAAGCTGTTCGACGTCGGCAGGCTCAAGTGCCGTGATGGTAGCCTCGTTCCTCATGTCTCGCACGGCATCGGAAAGGTTCACGAGCTGTTTACTCATGTTGCTGTGGATCTCCAGCGAGTAGGTACGCGGCAATACTAGCGCCCTCAGTGCCGATTCCATGGAGTCGTGCAGAGCAGTCCTATATTCACGGTCCGAATTAGTGATATGCTCACCCACACCGATACCCGCACCAATGGACCCTCCTCCTTCCTAGCACGTGTCTCAAAGTGATGCTCAAGGGGAAGAGAAAAAAAAGATATAGATTAGGTGAATCGTACGCTATGACTCTACTGCCAGCTTCTGGATACAAACAAAGATTCACAACCAAACTAATTCCCAGGCCGACCAACCAAGGTACGGCAAACTCTCGAACGATAGGACGTGTCAAGCTGCCTTCACGGGGGATGTCGTCGGTTTCGACGAGACAAAGGAACATCAAGGCGATACCAGCGGCGATGATGCCTTGGTAGAATCTCAGGAGGGAGCAGCGGACCCAGCTCAACAAAGCTATGATCGGGATCAGAAAAGCTGCCAGAACGCCACCGTAAGCACTGCGTGATGCGGCCGTGGCGCTCGCCGCCTCGAGTGCTAGACAGCCGAAGCCGAGTCCAAAGGCCCCGCCGAGCATGCAGCCGACCGTCCCGTCGATCTGGGCTCCCACCGTCCTGCCTGCATGGTTGAAGAGCGCCGCAATAGGCACCCAGTACGAGTGTTTCCCGAGCACGCTCTGGATCTGAGGTATGAGACAGAAGACATACGCAATGAAGTACCCCAAGCAGGCCTTCATGAGCCGAATCCCGGACCGCGATCGAAACGCCGTGGTGAAAAAGTATCCGCAGTCCTCAATCTGGGTATGGACAGTGCTCCGAAAGTGTTTTCCAGGATCCACACCAAAGAACCCGCCATCCTCATCGTCCGACGAGCCGCCATCCTCCCCACCCTGCTGTGCGGTCGACCGATAGAACGTCGCGTCAAAGAACCCATCGCGCAATTCCTCGACGCCAAACGTATCGTACTGATCCATCTCCAGGCTCTCCAGCAGATGCTGCAGATGGAACGTCGAGATGCTCGCGCGCGGCGAGTGAGGATCGATCGGGGTCCTCGCGCCGGAGGAGGTGTACTGTGCGCGCGAATACGCCGAGTACGCCGATCTCGCCGAGTACGCGGACGGGGAGCGCACCATGGGCGAGGGCCTAGGCCGGCCCGGCCCACCAGTGCTCCATTGCCGCTCTCGCAGCGCCGCGCCGGATGCCTCCACCAGCTGCACGTGCCGCGACTTGGTCTTCTGCAATGGCGAGGTCAGGGACGAGGGGGTCGCCGAGCCGGGGATGTACGAGCCACTGGCGCCGCCGCCGGATCCGCTGCCCGATGCTTCGCCGATTGAAGACATCGCATGTGTACTGAGTACTTGCCTAGGTATCTATGCGCAGCCTTGAGGAAATCCAGTAGGGTGGAATGGATGGGGAATGTGTGAGGTCACTGGTGCTGCAGGAAGCTGGTTATCCCAGTCCGGTTTGGCTTGGTTACTGGCCAGTGGCGGCGTTGGTCACGCTAGAGTAAGTCGGCAGGCAGTGGAATCTGGATGGAAGTCGTGAATTTTCATGTGCAATTCCAAGTTCCAAATTCACACTCGGAAAAGCTGCAATATACGCGAAAGCAACACGGCCATTTCGCAGCTGCCAACGCGAGGGGAATGGAACACGAGTGAAGCGCCTTCTCCTCCCTGCTAGCGTTCCTGGAGTACTCTGGACTCTGGAGGACTCGTACGATGCAAGGTACAGACTTTACTTTACTCGTGTCTTCGACTCTCCGCTGCTATTCGACAAACACCGAAAATGCCTCAGGGACGTCAAGCGCCTCCAAACCAGCACCGTCCCCGGCCGCAGTTCCACAGGGCGCCGAGGTCAGGATACCCCGTCTCGAGAACATCCACATCCTCGACGGAGAGTGTCTGAGCACCCAACAGTCGACGAGCATCAAACGGGGCGGAATGCAACACTGCCGCGCGGGGCTGAGGAGGCATGGAATGCGGCCCATAACAGCATGATAGATCAGCCAGGCAGCGGTGCCTCGTCGCTTGCAACCGCTGGAATGTAAGATTGCCAATTCCAAGAAGATATCGAGCGAATGGTGCTTCCGCTGCCACCTGTGACCTTTGTAGGTACTCTACATACTATACACGCTTACCCGCGGAAGAGCACATCCTCGCGCGCCTGGGAAGCCGGAAGGTTGCATGGACAAGGGTTAGGGGTTTGCTAACATCAGACCTACATAGCCCGTCGACAAACACAGCGTACAGCACAAGATGCTCGATACCGGATATCCCGAGCAAGGGACCTGCGGATTGCGGCTACATGCTCAACGGAAGCGTGAGCACTGAGGGCTGGTATGCGCTTGGGCGTTTCAGATAGACATAGGGAGAGTCAACTCTGGGAGGCTGTGAGTTGAAGGAATGTAACATGCAGTGTAACTGGGCTTATCGTCACAGCCTGATCACTTTCCCTACTTCCTCCCAGAAGTCGATTATCAGGCAGTATAAAGCCTGCTTCCTTTCCCACAATCGGAGAGCTTCCAGACAAACTAGCTCGCGCCCTTCCCCACAATCGGAGAGCTTCCGGACAAAGGAACTCACCCTTTCCAACTACGTACATTAGGTACTTCAACAACCACCATCGCAGGAAATTCACAAAACCCACGCGATTCCGCGTCGGATTCGCCATGGCCAGTCTGGGGAACCTTTCACCGGAGCTCCACCGCCAAATCCTCCTTTACGGCACGCAACCGTTTCGCTGGGCGCTATCCATGACCGACCGATATTTCCACGCGCTGATCGGGCCGGTGATTCTCAGCAAAGCCGAGACCTGGGACCTTCGGATGCAGCAAGAAAAATCCGACCCTGGCCGGTACCGCCGTGCATGTTCCAAATGCTTCCGGTTCCTTCAGTTCTACCACTTCTCGCGCAACCAGGCGAGCGCGCGGACGAAGCCCGAAAAACGCCTGTGCCTCGACTGCTTCGCGAAAATTGACAATCCGAAATCAGGAATCAAATGGTTCTGTGGCGATATAGAGCAGTGCCCCGTTTGTCGCCGCTTGATCTGCGATGCCGATGTGCCATTGTCCGGGGTTTCGGAGGGGTATCGTTGTCGCCCCTGCCTGAGGTTTCGCGCTAGATTGCCCCCCACCAACACCACCACCGACGATGGAACGGTGCAATACGTCAAATTCTTCCGTGACTGGCTGGATCGTCTGGATGTTAAGTTGCCGCCGAGACATCTGTTGTTCCTCCGGCCGGATTCTCTGAGACTGGACGAACAGGTCTCGACAATGCTCGCGAGGTTGGAGGATTTGGGCCCTTCCCATTTCGAACGACTCTCTTCCCGTTGATTCAAGGAGGTGGAGCGGGGTTGTTTGGAGCTGGAAAGTAGTGGTATGGGGGGGGGGGAGTTTATTGGATGGATTGTATGGTACTGGGCCGCCGGTGACCGGACTCAAGAGTCAGGATTCTGAAGGTTTGAAGACGAGCTTGTATCTGTCTTGTCCGCTTTTTGTCGTACACTTCCAGGTTTTGTGACGGGAACTATGGGTGTCTGTTTTGTCGGACTCGATGGGGGGTTTGTCGGATCGTGTGCTTGTTTGTTGTCGGCTTTTCTGGCAGTCGAGAAGGTTTTGTCAGGAAAATAGTGATATAAATACAAGGCCGATGATTCTGTGGCTATTTCTCTCGATTCACTGTATGTACCTACCAGGTAGGGATTGATGAAAAGTTCGGAGCTCAAGATGGCACAAGTAGAAGGCGAAACAAGAGGTTGGTATGATATGTGAACACCCAAATCCATCTTCGCACGGAAAGCCTCAAGCTTTGGACAAGCTTTAAATGCCCGCGGCTCCTGGCTAAGCCCTACGCCGGCCCCAACTTGGAGAAGCAGGGAGTATCGTATGTATCAGGTATGAGACTGTGCACAGCTGCACCTTCAAAGTTCAGCGAAGCCGTATGAAGGATCTCATACCATAGCCCCGCTACATACAAAACTATCATACCAATAGAGTGGAGTGGAGCTGGAAGTCGTTCTCGCATCACTGCATCGATCGATCACTCGGCAAAGCCCCCTGCCCAGCTGATGCGGATCGATTGTTGGCCTGGGATATTCCGGTGCCGATCCGATGGCCAGGTGAAGCCTGAAGGAGCAGCGGCGGCCGTCGTGGTGGAGTTACCTATTTGCTGATCAAATAATCCAGCGGACGTATTTGTGGCTGGTGGACATGGCAGTGCCCGCCGCAGGATCATTACTCAAGAGTAGATGAGCCAGTACGACCTGTACTAGGTATCATAGTAGCATATAAATTCCACAGCATATCGCCAAGCACCATGACGACGTCGGAGTGCAGACGGACGCGACGTCGTCCAAATATTGTTTGTTTGTTTTGATCGATCTGCATCCGTCAATTAAGGCCACTTAAAGGCGATGGGGATGGGGATGGGGTGGGGAGCAGCCTGGGAGGCTCGGATTCACTCCGGTAGAGTTCGGCATGCAGATAAGGGCTTGGATATTCGAACGACGACGAGATGTGCGGGCCCTGCGAGGGGGAGAGGGAGAGACAGATTGGATCGGCTGCGGTTGGACCAATCGCATGCGGAGGAACCGTGTTCCTCCGCCGCTGTTCCATGCAGCAGCAGCATCTACACTCTCTCCCATCTGGTTTTTTGCCGTTTTGGGGGGCTTGTTTATACGCAGTTAATACTCCACATAAAGCTGCCGTCTTCACCGGATGGCAGCCTGATGGAAACAACGGAGCTGCTCGAACACGGGACGTGCACACAGGAACGTGGACGTCCTTTGTTTGTAGGTACTATGGAATAGAGAGCAAGTCATATGACAAACACGAAAACACGAAAACACGAAAACACGAAAACACCAATCACACGCGCTCCAATACGGCGTGCAGACAGGAAGCAAGCACGTAACTCATACTTGCTCCAATATATGAATATAGGGTACGGGCAGGAAGCAAGCACTTGCCTGCTCTACATACGCAGAAACATACTCCTTAAGTACCCAGGTACACTGCTTGCCCATCGCGAGTAAAGACTCGTCACTCCGTTCCTACTGCCGTAGCAGTGCCATCGTCCGTGCGGTCCTTTCTGTTTGCCTGGTAGGTAGGCGGCCATAACGACGGCACTAGGCAGTCCAGAAAAGTGTAGTCAGCCGCTTTGCTTTGCCCCGCCGCCGCCGCGCCGCTTCCCAGGCAAGACCCACGCTACTTTTGCCGCTTGTCCACCATCAAAACCCCGTCGACATCGCGAAGACTTCTTTCCGTTCTGCTCTCTTGCCCTGCTCTGCCCTGCTCTGCCCTGCTCTGCACCGCTCGACCCAATCGCTGTGTTGCTGCCGTGCCATCGCTTGCTTCGTGCAGTTCTTCCCTTCTCTTCCCACGATCCAGCAGCACCGCCGTCACCCCCCACATCCGTTCGTTCTTCGTTCGTTCTCCGTCGTTTCGTCCGTTCTTCTTGAACGTACCCCAACTCCCGCCAGCAATTGTCGTCCACGACGCGTTGCTGCTACTGCTGCTGCTCCGGCCGGGTTGACGGGTGGAAGGAACAAGTTGAAAGCACCGCCATCCTTATCCTACTGTAGGTCCATTACTTTGCTTGTGCTTCCCCTCCGCTCCGTCTGCTTGCCCGTTTCGTTTTGACTTGGCTCCGGCCTAACTCAAACTGGAGGAGTCTATCAAGAGGCTCCCTCCTCCTCCCTTTGCGCTCAAAAGCACTCCCCCTCTCTCCCAAACCTCACTCCTTCCCTTCACGGTACCTAGTAAGACGTGAGTCCTGGTACCACCCCAGAACTACCACACACACCAAACTCATCACTCACCCATCAAAACACACTCGCAACAACTAATAACAACAACCACCTCCAAGGTTGCTGGCTACTAGTGGTTGCTGCTAAACCCACCACCCGCGCTCCTCTCCATCCCACTCCCCACCTTCAACCACAACTCCTCCTCCTCCTAACCCTACCTTTTCTCCTTTCTCCACCTTCGCCCTACTCCTCTACCCCTTCCACCACACGGAAACAACTTCGTGTCGTTTCTCCTGTCAACACCACTCCTTTTTGTCGCGTCTCGTCGCACTTGTTGACAATCTCCCTTCCTCGCAGCCAACAACAACAAAATCAATAACAGCTACAATCGCGCCGACTCGCCGAGAACACGTCTGACTCGAACAGTGTCGAGAATCTTTGGAGCGCTCTCGATCGATCGCCTTGTTGAGTCCGACCGCGGGTAATCCTTGGGATTCCACTTTTCAGGTACGTGATGTCAACAAACGAACAAACACGGCAATTTATGTATGGACTTCGCATTGCTGACTTCCACTAGTCTCGAAGATCGGATCTTGGAACTCTTGACGGAGTGTGATTATATTTTTTTTTGTCGAGTTGGGGTTTTGTTCGCGCCCGGTACGCTTCCGTCGTAACACGTCGAGTCCTCCCAGTCTCGTCAACACCACCCTCAACCCAAACCAACCACACTCCACTCACACCAACTACAACCACCAAAAATGCAAGCTGTAGGTCTTCACTCAATCCCACTCCTTACAACATAAACGCGATCAACAATTATGAGATCAAATCCTCTTCGGCTTGATAATCTTGCTGCACACATGACTGACGTGTCTTATAGCGCCGTGTTCCACGCACGCGAAGTGCAAACAACGAGAACGGCGATGAGAATACCGTAGCAACAAACACACGCCTCACGCGAGCGAAGGCTGCGTCGCTCTCGACTAACGGTCAGAAAGCCTCCGTCGTCATCACCAAGAAAACCACCGCCGCTCTCGCCACGAAGACTGCTCTTGCTACGAAGACTACCAACGCGACTGCCGCTGTTGCTCCAGCAAACCGTAAACGTGCCGCACTTGGCGACGTCAGCAACGTCCACAAGATCGAATCCAACGGTGTTGGAGAGAAGAAGGCTGTCAAGAAGGTCACGAAGGCCACCAGCACTACGACCACCAAGTCCGCAACCAATGGTGTCACCAAGACGACGCGTACTACTCGTGCCGCTCCCATCAAGGCTGCGGTAGTTGAAGATGCCAAGAAGAAGGATCCAGCCGTTCGGTCGAAGAAGAGACCCGCTCCCTCGAAGGTTAAGGAAGAAGAGGAAGCTGGGGAGGACACCGAGAACCGTGATTCGGGATTGGCAGTTAAGGCCAAGGCCGGTGCCAGCGTTAAGGTTGCCGAGGAGGTGACTCGTCAGCCGGCTGCTAAGCGACCACGCATCGCTAAGACTGCCGCTGAAGTTGAAGGATGGGAGGACCTCGACGCCGAGGATGCCGAGGATCCTTTGATGGTTTCCGAGTACGTCAATGAGATCTTCGAGTATCTCAAGAAGCTCGAACCCGAAACTCAGCCCAATCCAACCTACATGGACGACCAGATCGACCTGAAGTGGCAGATGCGCGGTATCCTTGTCGATTGGCTCGTCGAGGTTCACACTCGCTTCCGTCTCCTCCCCGAGACCCTCTTCCTGTCCGTCAACATTGTCGACCGGTTTTTGACCAATAAGATCGTCATGTTGGACAAGCTCGAGTTGGTCGGTGTGACTGCGATGTTCATTGCTGCCAAGTACGAGGAGGTCTTCTCGCCTCACGTTCAGTACTTCCGCCACGTCGCCGACGATGGCTTCACCGAGGAAGAGATTCTTCGTGCCGAGCGGTTCATCCTTTCGACTCTAGACTACAATCTGTCGTACCCCAACCCGATGAACTTCTTGAGGAGAATTTCCAAGGCGGACCAGTACGACTTCCAGACGAGAACCTTCGCCAAGTACTTGATGGAGATCAGTCTTCTGGACCACAGATTTCTCGAGTACTTGCCAAGTCACGTCGGTGCTGCTGCTATGTACATGGCCAGGATGATGTTGGACCGCGGCCCCTGGGTATGTTGATATACTCCTTCACTTGTGTTTATTCTTCTTGATCCGGGCTAATCATGATGGTTTCTTAGGACGAGAACCTCATTCACTTTTCCGATTACACCGAGGAACAGGTTCTCCCGGTCTTCCGCCTGATGATCGACTACTTGATCAGGCCCGTCAAGCACCAGGCATTCTTCAAGAAGTACGCCAGCAAGAAGTTTATGAAAGGTTACTACTCCCCTCGCCCATCGCTGGTCCCGTTCAAACATACTGACGTTATATCCAGCATCCCTCCACGCTCGGGACTGGGCCAAGAAGAACGCCAAAGCTCACGGAGTCGACACCGAGCTCGCCACCAGGGATCTCTATCAGGACGACGACGCTGCGTACTAGACGCACATTTTGCACCCTGACGTTTTCCGGATATACCTTTCAAGCATCTACCTTTCTTTGAAGAGATCTACTTCTCGGTTGGTTTTGATCGACATTCATTTGTGTATATTCTGGGAAATTAGACTTGGAGCATTCTGAGTTGTGTTTCGCGTGTGTTCTCTTTGGCTTGGGTGGGTAATAATGACGATACGAGAAAAGGGGTGTTTTTTGCGAGATGTTTGGGCGCAACGACAAGACAACATGCCACCATCATCATCGAGGAAAACACTGCGTTACTGGCTGGGGAAAACTTCTGGGCGCGAGTTTGTCATTGAAGGGGCAAGAAAGGTTTCGCGATCACTTGCGTCTTCTTAGTTCTTTTTTAGTACGGTGTTTCTTTCTTTTAGTGTTTTCCTTCTACAATTCCCTTTGGTTCAATGGTTTCTTTCTTTTGCACGTGTATATCTGTTTCAGGGTTTCTCAAGGGCTTGATTTTTTTTTGGTTGACTACTGTATCCCGTCTTCTTCTCTGTTCGTTCTTTTATCTTTAGGATTCCCCTGTTTTTATCACCCCTTTTCCAAGGTGGGATCGGAGCGAGGAGTAACCGATGTCTGCTGGAGGTCTTTCAACGGGATTGGCGCTGTTCTGTTTGTGTTTCTTCTACCGGTTTGGGGGATAGGAGGGGAGGAGAGAAGAGGAAGCTTCTTATATGACGGAGCTGGAAAGGAATGTTGACGATATGGGGGGTGGAGAGCTGTGGTTGGCTTCCTTCATCCGTACATGGTCTTTTTGTCTTCCTTCCCAAACGTATATTATACTTCCTCACTTATACCTTCCTTACTCTTATCTGTTCTCTCTTCATCTTTTGTTGCCGCATCATGTCTTACGTGACTGTGCCTGTGTGCCTCACTGACTTTATCTACAACTTGTATTATTCCCGCGCGCTGGACGATGAGTGAGCGTTGTAGTTTCCACCTGTTTACCATTCCCCCTCCTCCCCCTCCCCCTCCTTCCCCACACACATACCTCCCCATGTTTCTACCTGTTGATTCATTATTCCTGTTTTCATCATCATCATCATATCACCTTTTATAGACGGCGTTGCTTGTCAAGTTGATTGACCGACTAACGGACCGGACGGATGTTTATTGTCTACAAATGTATTTCCTTTGTCTATTTCCTACCTATTTCTTCAAGCTCATAGGGGTGTGGGGTGGGGTGGGGTGGGGGACTGGATGGGGATTTGGGGGAGGGGTTGCATGACGATGGGGATGGGCGAGTGGTTTCTCATGTATTTCGGATTTCCTATGTGAATTACACAAGTAGCATCATACGTCTCTCTCGGACTTCTATGTAATCCATTACGCAATAATTATACCGGTATCCACCCGAGTCACAGACAGCATTACACTCCCCCCACCAGTAGCTACAGCAGCGCAAGCACCCTCGAGTCCTTATCGCGCATCTGTCCGACCTCCTTAATGATCTCCTCGCGCATGAGCTTGGCGAGTGCCTCGCCCTCGTCATCGTCCAGATCTGTCCTCCACCCAGAGCCAAACGGGCTCTTCCACCACTGCTTCTTCGCCCCCGGCGTGTCGCGCTCCAGCTTCTCGCGCTGCCGCTCGTCGGGCCGCGGGATGATGTGGTAGTGCACGTGCGGGACTACTTGCGCGGCGTTGACACCTGCACGCTCATTCAATTCAATCAGCACCGCTCGCTGTCTCCCTCCCTCCATCCCTCGCCCCATCCATCCCGCCGGTATACATAGTTAGAACATACCATTATTCTGCACGAGATTAAAATCCGCGTATCCAGAGACGTTACAAGCCGCTCTCGCCACGACAGGCAACCACGCACCTACGACCGCGTTCTCGGCGGGCGAGAGGTCCGAGAGCTTTTCGCGGTGGGCGCGCGGGCACACCAGCACGTGCGCGCGCGTCAGCGGCAAGATGTCCAGGAACGCGATTACGTCTGGCGTCGAGAGGACGATGTGTGACTGCTGCTGTTGCGCCGGTGGTGTGGGTGGAGGGGCGGGTGCTGGAGTGCTCGGCGGGAACGAGGGGTATGATGTAGAGATTTCGCAGAACGCGCAGACGCCGCTGCGGGCTTGCGAGGAGAGCGTGGCGAGCACGGTGGAGGGGAGGAGCGACATGAGGTGCTATGGCGTGAGGGGGCTATGGATGGTGAAGGAGGGGGATGGAGGAGAGCCGGGCTGGAAGAGAGCGTGGGTTGAGTGAGGCATTGTGGAGGTGGTTGCTCGGCCGGCCGCGAGCGAGGTTCGGTCGGTTCGGCCGTTCGTTGGGTCGTGTGTGCGTTGTCAGGGTCTACCGAGGTTTGTGTGGGGTGCGTGCCGTAACCAGGTGGCTCCGGCTAGTTACGTTACATACATAGAGTGGGATGGATTGGAAAAAGTATGACATCAATCTCTTTCCTGCGGCTCAACACCCCGCTAAACTCAGACACGCTGGCACTCCCCCCACCCCACTACTCATCCACCCTCCCCCCTCACTCGCTCCACAACCTCAACAACCACCGCATGATGTCGCCCAGCGAAAAAACCCTAATATCCCAAGGCGCGGAAGCGCTCGTGTACAAAACGACGTACCTGACACCGACGCTTCCCGCGCTGCTCAAATACCGCCCAGCCAAGCCGTACCGGCACCCGACGCTCGACGCGCGCCTCACGAAATCGCGATGCCTCGCCGAGTCGCGACTCCTGATCCGCGCGCGCGCGCTGGGCATCCCCGTGCCGGCCGTGTACTTCGTCGACGAAGCGCGCGGCGAGATCATCATGGAGTGGATTTCTGGCGCGAGCGTGCGCAGCGTGCTCGACGCCATGCTGGCGGCGCCTGGCGGAACACAGAAGGTCGATCGTGTCATGGTCGAGATGGGGAGGGTCGTGGGGAAGCTCCATGCTGCCGATATCGTCCATGGAGATCTCACCACGAGTAATGTCATGGTGCGCCTGCGGAGGAGGACGGGGTTGCTCGCTGATACCTGTGAGGAGGAGGAGGTGGTCGCTGATGGTGGCGAGGTCGTCCTCATCGATCTGGGGCTCGGGAGTATGTCCACCGCGGAGGAGGATAAGGCGGTTGATCTATATGTGCTGGAGAGGGCGTTTTTGAGTACTCATCCCAAGGCGGAGGGGCTGTTTAAGGACGTGCTGGCGGCGTATGAGACGAGCTATAAGGGAGCCAAGCCGGTGCTGAAGAGGCTACAGGACGTGAGGATGCGCGGGAGGAAGAGGAGTATGTTGGGGTGAATAGATGGAGTTTACCCATGGAAATCATGGAACGTCGTTCGCTGGTTGGTGTAGTTTTCGGTACTATGCTCTCTACACTCTCTGCACGATTCCAGCCCAGGTACAGCTCCCAGTTGCACTCGAGTGATGATGCGGCGAAGGACACTAGCTAGACCACCGCGGGGACATACACGACGCAGCATTCTCCGGTCGGCTATGGTTCGCCCGCATCAGCTGCGGCTCGTGAAGCTGCATCGAAACACATGTCACAAGAGTTCAATATCGGCATGCAATTGCACATGTAGACATTCACAGCCGAACTACCTACTATACCCTAGGTACTCGAATCTGATACGTGAGCGGCCCGTAATATAAATTTCTCCGGAGAACAGTGGGACCTTTTACTTCGGATCCCCAACCGGGAGACGGACTGGACTGCCCACTCTTCCGGTCAAGATGGAGGTCCGAACATGCTTCCGAGTGGAAAACCAAGCTCCCGTCGGATGACGGGGGAATGGAATTTTGGAATGGAATTGAGCCTTGTCAACCTCCAAGGGGTGGGGGCAGTGCGGTTGCCGCGTATGTCACTCGCTCCGGCGCTGGGGATGCTCATCTCTGCGCGTTTGTACCGTGGTTTCTCGTCCCAGTGACGTTCGTTCGAACGGGCAGATTGGATGCTTGCGCCTCGGGGGTCCCGGCTGAGTGGTGAGTGATTAGCCCGACCGACATGCGGTGTGTCGTGTTGTGGGACGACGGCGCTTGCAGCTTGCACGTTGCAATCCTTACTCGTATCCGTAAATACCTCCATACGGGTATCTACGCAACTACGGTACTCTACTCAATCACTGTATGTGGAGTCTCGATATGTTACGGAGCGTCGTAACAGGAGAACACAGCCCGAGGAAGATGACCGCTGTCTCAGAGAAACCATCCCGCCAATGCTGTGCTGAGTGAGAAGGACGATCTTATGTGCCTTGCTTGGATGTTCGATTCGACGCAGTAGAGTAAATACGCCTGCAGGAGGAAGGCTACAGCCCACCGTATGCACTAGCAGTTGGGCCATCACTACTCTATTTATCTCACCCCGAGAACATCGTCATGGGGATGGATGGGATGGGCACAGATGGCCGTGCCGGTTAACGTTTGCCGACTCGACGCACACTATTTATGCGGCTAGGCGGGGGTGGCGGCGACTCGGTGGCTGCTGAAATTTTGGAAGTCCGGGTCTGGCCTGATGGTTCATTGGCGGTGGCCCCGGATCATTCGGATCCGAGGAGGTACCCAGAGGTGAGCGGAGTTACGGTGGGGAACGAATAATCGATGGGAGGCGCACCACCCATCCGTCCATGCGACGATGCATGGAAGGATGGAGTGCAATACAAGTAGAGTCGAGACCCGCCCCGCCAAGGATGCTCCTGCTTGCTTGCTTGCTTGCCTGGCCTTAGTACCCAAGATCCCCTCCCTCCTCCCCACCCCCGTTGATGCAACTGCTGCACTGCTGCCGCCTGCTGTCTAAAGCTCTTCAGATTCACTCTTTTTGTGTCTGTCCTTTCGTTCAAGTTACTCTCTCTCCGAGTTATTACTATCTTTGCTCCCCCGGTAGCAAGTGAAAGCAAGAAACAGAAACAAGCTATAATCATGCCTGTGATTCGGAACCCATTTCGCAGGAACCCTCCGCCACCGGCGCCCCGCACCGCTTCGACTTCGTCGCCGCTGGTTGAGCAGCTGGGAGAGGATCGGGCGGACGATGCTTCCAACAAATCCATCAAGTCCGCTAGCGCCATCAGCATCGTGAAGAATGACGACGAGAAGAATACCTACAAGATGAGTGGTGCGTACATAGCTGCCCCGTCTCCTTGACGCTGTTCGGCGAACAAGCTCGACTAACGGATCCCATGTGTGTGTAGTGGTCAATGGCGGGGTTTACCTCCCAGTGAGTTCGATCCGGTTCCAAGCGCAGTCGGTTGCGTCGAGTTTCTGACGTCCAGTGTTATTTTGCAGCCGTCACCAACCGAGAAAAAGAGCTTCTCGTTCCTGAAGCGAGACAACTCCTCGACGTCGATCAAGAACAGACCACCTCTGACCCCCTTGGAGGAGCCATTCACCATCTCGCGAGAGTCGTTCGATTCATACCGGAGGTCATTTGTCAGTGCAGCAGCGCCTCAGATCGTGGACTTGTACATACTGACGATTTTGCTGTAGGATATCTCTGCGCGGTCACCAATCAGCGATGTTGCGCCGGGAAGGAACAGCTTCGACATCCGACCGACAACGGGAGTGACGGGCCGTGCGAGTATGGATGTGCGCCCGTCGCGGATGAGCCTGGACGTCCCCGCCAGAATGAGCCTGGACTCTCGACCGCCGCCTTCGCGAATGAGTCTTGACCAACGGTCGCCTCGTATGCCTCCCACAGTAAAGGACGTCGAGGAGCCGAAAGACGAGTTTGAGGATGTGAAGCTTGACGACGGACCACGACCTAAGAAGCTTGGACTCTTTTCGAGATTTGGCGGCGAGCACAGCTCGAAGGATGCCGCCTCCAAAGAGCGGCCGTTAAGTGGCCTCTTCAGTCGCAGAGAGCACACTGCGGAGACGGAGCAGGAGAGTGAGCTGAAGCATATGGACATGAAGTAATTGGCCGGCTGGTGTTCTGGGTGCTGGGAATGATCGGTTGCCCGCAGCTGCAACCACACGACTCTTTTGCGTGTTACGGTGCGGTTTCGAGGCCCCACGCGGCGTCGAGGATGCCATCAGGCACTCGTCTTTTTGGTTTATAGACACGTATTTTTTTCCTTTTATATCATGCGGGTCATGGCGTAATACTTGAGACGGGGTCGGGACGCTTTGGGTGCGTGTAATGGAGGACTGGTCGGGTGTATGAATGTATTTACGAATGGCATGTATCTGGTCAGTAGATAACGCTCTTTTTACTATGAATGGAGTAATTATGTCTTTGAATATACATTGAGGGTGGTTGTGAATTCATATACTGGAACTCCTATGATCAATGGTGACGCTGCTGCTAGGGTGGTTCCATGCTCACACTCCCGTGATTCTTTGAACCCCAAACATCTTCACGTCTCCCAACTCAGGTACCTGCTTTCCTTACACACCAACACACAATCCAACCCACCCACAACACCATTACCAGCCACCACCGCTCACACCACTCCCACAGATCGCGTAATCCAGCAGCACCCCTCACCAAATCGCTGCCTACGATACGCTTTTCCAATCTCCACAGGCAGAGCCATGACCGATCGACCAGCCTGCCACCTCTTCAAGCAGACGCGCATCAACCTTGACTGGGCCGAGAAGAGATCCACCACCGTAATCGATGTCCCCCTTCCGCACCATGCCGGGCGGTCAAGCAGGAGCTTGAACGTGAGGAAGAAGAGCAAGCGCCAGGAGCACCCCGACACGGAAGAGAAGTTTAAGATTGCGCACCATGCCAGCACGGCGTCGATCTACTACCGGCCTGCCGACCGCTTTCCGCGCAGCATCCTGTGGCGGGTAGTGGAGGACTCATATGTGCTGTCCGTGGCGGCGGTGGACTTTACCAGACCGGAGTCGCAGGGGGAGTTGGAGACTACGTTCAGGTTTTACTTCCCCGAACAGATACAGCCGGGCACCGTGGGTTTCGCGGACGCGCCCAATCGCGACGAGCTAGTGATATATGCGTTGACGCGCGACGGTGTGCTATACACGCTCGACCTGACTCCGGAGTTCTTGCTGCGGAATTCGTTCCTGAAACGCGGCTCGCAGTCGACTGACTACTGCACCACATACTGCCCGTCGACGTTCACCCTGCACTCGCCGCACTTTCTACTGTCGATCAGCAACCTGTCTCTGATCGTTCCATTACAGGATGGCAATATCCTCAAGCTGGACAGGGAGCACAAATCTATCGCGGAGAGTGAGTTTGCTGATGTCCGGCGGTCCGGGGCGCTGCTTACTGGTCATTCAGGTTCCGACCCCACGGTTGCTAGTTACACGGAGAAGACGTTCAGCGACAGTGGTTATTTCGGTTTCCTGAAGAATAGGATGCCCTGGGTTGGGGCGGGTACCATTCAATACGGTCACAACAGCGTTACGCACTCTACCGTCGTTTCCGCAGTTGCGTACCATCCCACGACCAACCGACAGGATGCCAAACCATTACTGTTCACCGTGTCCGTAGATCACTCATTGAAGGTTTGGTCGTTGGAACAAGGGACCCTTATCCGCGCGACCGACCTTCTCAACGAACCGCAATCTGCACAGGTCAAGATGAAGACATGGCTGGACCCTGCGCCATCCCATCTGTTGGCAATCATCGACAAGTCGTTCCAGCCTGACCACAGCTTCTACCTTGTGTCGTTCTCTTCTGCTGCGACTGGCAAGTTCAAGTTCTGGGCTGTGTCGAAGTACACGGGTGAGGGCGACCACCTGGAAGGACAGTTCAAGAACCTGGTCGACTTGTACCCAGAGGATACCTTCAATGCCAGGCCGCCGAGTGTCACTGCTCCCTGGATAATATCGGAGTTCAGAATAACTCCGGCCTCGACAGAGGGTCCCACCATCTTCGACCTCTGGGTTCTCTGGAAGAGCGACACAAACTTCCAGGTCCAGAATGTCCGGTTCGACATCTCAGATGTCAGAAATACCTGGGGCCAGTGGACAACGGCAACATCTGATTCCCTACACAACCCTCCGAGACCGGCAACTTACTCGGAAACCTCTGAGGATGTCTCGGAGCACTGGATGAAGTGGATATTCTATCCTGGACGCTTTCCGGATACGGTCCTCGAATCAGCGCTTCGAATTTACGAAAATAACTTTCTCGTACCCAGCACAGCGAGCACGACGACTGAAACAGTTCAGGCCAGGATTGCCAAGATAGTTGGTGCAGCGGTACGGATCGAGAAGGGCGGGGAGGATGAGCAGTTGAAATACCGAAACGAGCTGGATCTGCAATGGGACCGCTTTTCTCGGCTGTGCATAGAACTGGACAAGCAGCGGAGAGAGGCGCTGTCACTTGTTTCCGACCCGCTGTCCGGATTCGTGTGGACTGTGAACGTCGATGGAATCACCGCACTTCGGGAATGCACCGAAACCGAGGTGATCTGGCACAACCTCGCCACGTACAAGAACAGCCTCGACACACTCTCCAACCGGACCGCAAAGAGATTAGGAGCGGGATTGAAGGGTACTGAACTGTCGGACGTGATGACACTCGTCTCTGCGGCCAACGAATTGAGTGAATCCCTGACGGAGTCTGCGATCGATGCGTGCATGATGAGACTACAGCAGGAGACGATCAAGGACCCAATGTACGCCGTGTCGGACTTGATGTGGACCTTTTACGAGAGATGTCTCGAGCAGGAAGTTCCGCAGGAGACTTATGACAAGATCGAAGAGCTCTTTGACGCAATGCAGGATCCAGAGGCGGCTTTCCAGTCGCTGATGGCCAGTCTTTACAACCAGCCAGACTCACATGCTGGTCAGTCAAGACTGACTTCATTCGGCGCAAAGGTGCTGGTGGGAGGATCGCAGGAGGTCATCCAGGTCAACTACGAGATGCTCTCGCAGCTGGTATTCTTGTTGGTCTATGTAGCCTTTGCGGACGAGACGCGGAGGTTCGCGAGAATATCCAGCCCGGAAGCCCTCTACGGCCGCCTCCTTGGGTACGTTAGGGAGTACGAGGTTCTGGGTTGGATGGCACGGACTTCTGCACAGTTGGCCCTGCCGTCCACCGCCTCCCCGACCGATGACATCTCCCGGGCGCTGACAGATCTTCACGTCTCCGGAGAGAGCACCGTTGTGCGCCACGGCAAGCGCGGATCCGTTCTCCAATTGGTGTTGCCAGACAATTTTGGCCCGTCGCTCTACGGATCTGGTCGTCAGGCTTCGGTATCCCTTTCTCTCTGCATACGGAGGTTCCTGGCCAACCTCGACCTGTTCGACCGTGGCAATGGAGTCACGAACGTTGCTGCAGCTCTGATCAAGATCAACGCTGGACCTGCGGCAGAGTTTGCGAAGTTCCTGCCGCAGACCCCATGGGGAACATACATGAAGGCTAGGACCCAGTTGAAGGCCCGTAGCTTTGCGATGGCCTTGGCTACTTTCAATAGAGCGGCTTATGGGATGTGTATGTTTCGATCGTGTCCTCGCCTGAAAATTTTGGTTTGGCTAACACTACTGCGTAGCGATTGCGCCTAGATCGGCTTACTCGGCGGTTGATGTTTTCTCTGCAGAGTCAGGTGCTGTTGGGTGTGGATTGGCACATTACCATCTGCACGTTGGTACTCTATTCGAGGAGGAAGACGCCTCCGAATATGTTGTGGATGCTTGCAATGCTGCCCTTCTGGAAGTCGGCGAATCGGTAGGCTCCGACTGGCTGTGCCGTCAAGGATATACACTAATGTCACGATAGGAGGAGACGCCGCTCACTTCGGAGATCTTGCTAAAGTACTTCCGCGCGGCACTTAAGGTCAGCCTATTCGACGAAGCCTATTTGGCTCTTGCCCAATACTCTGACGAAGCTCTGTATGTTTTCCTCATCGGTTGATATATGCTTTGCAATTGCTAATCGCTTCGATAGGCGGCATGCGGGAGTTCGCGACTTGGTCACGGCTATGGTCACGCAGAATAAGGGAGAGCGACTTTGCTCGTACCCGTGGATCGGATTGCAGGACGAGGTGGATGATGCGCTGAAGTACAAGTGCCAACAAATCCTTGACGTTTCTGCCGGTCCGCCGTTCCACAAGGTGCTTTACGCTTGGCGCATCCAGAGGGGAGATTATCGCGGAGGTGAGTTGTCAAGATGTCTGCGGTTGTGGTTATGGTTTAGTATGCTAACTCGGGCTACAGCGGCATACATCCTCTACGAAAGACTGCAGCGATTACGCACCGCGAACGTTGGCTCCAACGATCCCAACTCTAGAGTCGTTGCGGATGGATATTTGGCCTTGATCAACGTCCTCTCGTGCGTGAGTGAAGATCAGGCCTGGATACTATCGGAAACGCGGGTCGATGCGGACGGTGTTGCAAGTGGTGGAAAGAGGGCGAAGCTAGATGGCTCGCGGACAACACACAAGCGCGAAGTCCTGACGCTGGCTGATATTAAGGCAGAGTACCAGACGGAAGTGGAGAGGGTCGGATTACTGCTGAATGGAGGGTTCTTTGTATAATCAATCGATTTCTTCTTCTGTTGTGTAAAATCTGGGCAGGGGTTTCCATAGCATTTATTCACTCACACGGGGTTTTTTTGGAGGATGGATGGTTACAAGTCCGACTGCTGATAACGAGGTTTCTCTATTTTTTATGTTTGTTTGATGGGTTTACTGGGAGTTTTAACGTCATGGTTTGTCTGTCTGTCGTTTGCTTGACGAATCGCGAACTAGGTACTCTAGCCCGAGTGATATACCGTATGATGTCTTAATCAATGAATGACATGACGTTCCTGCATGCGGGCAAAGCTAGCTAATTCCAATCCGAACCTCAACCCCACCACCGCCCTCACGCACGCACATCCGCAATGCCACCACGAATCCCCCCCATCCGCACCCTCCTGCGCTCCTGCAGCAATTACCAATCGCCGCTCCGATCGCTCCTCCAGCAGCAGCAAAAACAACAGCTCTACATCAAAAATGCCGTGCGCCTGTCGTCGACCTCACCAGCTGCTCCCCCGAAGCCGTCCACACCCACCCCTCCAGCACCTCCCCCACCAACAGCGCCCAAATCCCGCCCACCACCCGTCGACCACGTCCCACTCACGGAGAAAGAATTCCGAGCGGCGCGTCCCCCGCAGCTGATCCGACCAATCGGATTAATGTCGCCTCCACAGCCCGGCGAGAACAGCGGGGTCGACACGCGGTCATGGCAGCAGCGGCGCGACGACTTCGTCGACTATGAGAAGCACCTCTTGAAGCGGCAGCGGCTGGCGAACGAAATGGCCACGCCGTACTTCCGCGATTTCTCCCGCATGTCAAAACAGTTTAAGGGCAAGAGCTGGTTTGCTCCAAACTTACTGTTTAGGGCGGATAAGGCGCTGTTTTTTCCGAATCTTATGGGAAGAACGCTTAATACGGGGGAGAGACTGAATACGACGCTCGCGCTGTATGGCAGGGTGAGTGTCGTCACGGTGTTCTCGTCGATGTGGGCGGAGAATCAGGTTAAGAGCTTTGTGGAGGGGCTGGAGAGCGAGGTGCCTGCCATGACGATCGACGGCGGCGAGAAGGCGCAGAGAATCGATATCAATGTCGAGGAGAATTGGCTCAAGGCCCTGATGGTCAAGATGTTTATCCCACGGCTCCAGGCTAGGTTGCCGCTCGAGCAGCATGATCGCTACTTCATCGTCACTAAGGGCGTCTCGAAGGATGTCAGGCATGATATGGGCCTGTGGAATAGCCGCGTGGGCTATGTCTACCTCGTCGATTGGAACTGTAGGATTCGCTGGGCTGGGTCCGGAGTGGCCGAGCCCGAGGAGAGGGCCGCGCTTGTAAAGGGCCTGCGGAAGTTGGTGGAGGATCATCAGAAGTTGAAGCTTGCGGGTGAGGAGTAGGGAGTGGAGAGGTGGTTGTATGATATTCTGTGTATATTAGGCGAGCTTAGATGGATAGATCTAGAGCAGCATCGTGGAGTGAAGGCAAAGCGAGACGAACTATTGATATCGTACACCATACAGCAAAGCACCAAGCAAGCAAGCAAACGCCGAAACAGTAATACAACACTATTCGATCAATCAATACTACAAGGAGGAACTCAAAATGCCCGGCTGACAACAAGATAATACCAAGCCAAATCAAATGTACCCACACTCCATACACACCTTACATCTCTACCGAAAGTATAACACCATCAAGAAGCAGAATGCCACCAACGAAGCCATGATAACGCTATCCCTCCTCTTCCTCGTATTAATCTTGGAGATGATAGTGTTCACGCCGGGAATCTGACTAGCGGCATACATGGCCCTCCTGTTCAACTGCACGAGTCTCGTCCGCTGCTCGGCAAAGTCCGCATTAATCGCATACGCCTGTCCCAGCACGGAGTCTGCGATATTGTTCGAATGGTCTATCCTGGTCCTCTCCTCGAGCATATACTCCGCTTCGGAGCGGCCATCTTCCATGCGCGACGCGGAGCGGTACGCATTTATGTCGTCGCGGACAGAGTGTAGGAGGTTAGCACGGTTCCGCGACTCGGTGATGGCGGACTTCAGTCGCAGGAACTCTCGTCGGTGGTCTGCGAGCGTGGACCGGTGGAGTGTGAGGTTTTGGAGTTTGGCGGCGGAGGAGTTGACGGCGGATTCGGAGTCGAGGAGGCGCGACAGCGACGAGACCACCGCTTCGCGCCGCGAGAGGATGTCGGATAGCGACGCTTCGGTCACGGACTCGTCCTTCGACGGCTTTGGCGAGGGAGACGTCGTGAAGGTCGAGTAGGTTTGGAAGAGGTTCTCGGTCTGCGGTGGTTAGTTGGTGGGAGAGCTGAGGTCGGACACTAGCAACTACCTGTGATTCTAGCGAACGAGCTTGCTGTCGCAACTGCGCCCAGCTACCGGAGGAGGCCATGTGGTGCTATTGCGGGTGTCTATGTTTGAGCGTGGTTATGCAGCGGTGCGAGTTGATTTGTAGGTAAAGTGCGGTACTGTGGAGTGTGCATACAGACGTATGGCGGGCGGGAGCTGCAAGCAAGTGGCAGGCAGCAGGGTCCAAGCTTCATCATCTATGCTAGCCGACGCCACAGCAAGACTGCACAGCCTCGGGCATTCAAAGATGAGATGTTGAGATAAGATCCTCGACACCAACCTGATAAGATTACCAAGTTTATCTTATCGTCTGAACTCTTAGGGCATAACCCTCACCCCCACACAACCACCCCAACTGACTGCCACAAATGTTTTGTGTGTGCACTGCAAACTCCGACTAGCATTTTCGACATAGCAACGACGCCCGCCCAAATCGTGAAATTAACGAACTCACGACAAATCCCGCCCAACACCGAACCCCTCGCCAACACTCCCTTCGACAACAGACGCCATGGTACGCACGATTCCCCCCCATTGTGCGACAGCGAACGAACGAAAAAGAGCGCGATTGTTGGATTGGGAGATTGGGGAGGATTTGAGAGGGAGGACGAAGTGCTGACTGTTCACTTCGTGACAGCCCGGGGTTAAAGCAGCACAACTGTGGCCTAAGTCCAAGGAGGATCTCGGCAAGCAGCTCGATGAGCTGAAGAACGAGCTCGTCACTCTTCGCGTCCAGAAGATTGCCGGTGGTGCTTCCTCCAAGCTCACCAAGATGTAACCACTCCCGCTCCCGCTCGTACACCGACCGACACATACACCAGCCATCCGACCGCGACGTGTATAATTCGAAGTCAGCAATAGAACTAACGTTATCCTGCTATGTAGCCACGATGTCCGCAAGTCGATCGCCCGTACCTTGACCATCCTCAACGCCAAGCAGAGGCAGCAGCTCCGTCTGTTCTACAAGACCAAGAAGTACATGCCGCTTGACCTCCGTCCCAAGCAGACCCGTGCTATCCGTCGGCGTCTCACCAAGCACGAGTCTTCCCTGAAGACTCAGAAGGCTACCAAGAAGGCTACCTACTTCCCTCAGAGGAAGTACGCCATCAAGGTAAGATTCCCTTCTTGAACACGGACAAGCAACGGGAGGCGGAGGCTAACGTGGTGTGTTCCGAACGTATAGGCGTAAAGGGCTGGGCATTCTCTTGGGGTATCGGGCTTTTTTTTTCGATGGCGTTTCGCAATGATAATTAAAAAATACTCCGCGAAATGAGATAGTCATCGAAATCTTGGTGGCCACCTTGGTGCGCAACGTGATAGGGTGTGTAGGGCAGACTACGTTCTGTGCCAGCCATGGTCGAGCGGGACTACATGTAACTGCCAGAATACCAAATATCGCCCCTTGAGGCCACAGAAATATCACGACACAGTTGTACCTACGTCTCAAAGCGTGCTGTGGATTGAGTGCCGTAAAGCATCCGGAACCGCTACCGCAAGCGTTTCAGCCCTACAAATCATCACCGTCCTATGTATAGTATCAGAAAGCCGAGCAACTCATCAGGAACGAGTAGCGACGTAGGCGCGCATCACGGGCCGATCACTTGCAGACAATTAAAGCTTTTTTTGAACTTGCGGTGATCACATGTAGAAATTCTAGGACGGGCATGTGCTTGTGAGAGCAGAGAGCACGCAGGTCATGGGTAAATGATTGCATAGGTAGCAACTAGTTCTCAGACTACACACAGGCTGTGGTGTTTGTTCGTTCTGATGGATAAGTGAAACAATCTTGTTAACATGCGTAAGCCATCTTGTTGCTCATTCGCGTCGATTCGCGGCTGCTGGCGCACCATAGGGCGGGGGCCTGGATATAATTTAGTAACAGAAAAGCGGCAGAAAGGTGAAGTAGAAGCACGCTTATGGACCAACTTTTGGACCAGAAAGTATGAAATCTTTGAGATCATAACTAGCAATGGTCTTGTATGTGAAGTAGGTACTTGCTTCTGTATGTAGTGGAACCTGATCATCGTGAATGGTTGTTACCCTCCACCATCAACGACTCCTGAATAGTCTCTGGTAGATGTATCATGTATCATAGAACCGCTGATGAGACCTCCACCGCTACATAAGGATCCCCACTTCTCGTCCACCTCCCATCATCTCCCTAGCACTCCATCTAGCCCGCGTCCAATGGGAACAACGGAGTGTACGGACACCTTCTGTAACTTCAATGTTTGCTCACTCACTTTGACGCTCACTATTTTGATGCCCACATCCATCAGTCGAATGGTTGATAAACCGCATCAGCTCAGCGGAAAGCTCCTCCTTCGAACGACTTTTGAGTGAATTCACCAAAGCATTGCGACTGGAGTTATTTCCCAACCATCGCCAGGATATCGTCCACCAGGAACCCACGCTCGGGCTGAGGAACATCGTGTTCTGGGCCACGGTCACTAATCAGTGCGAGTGATTCATTTGCAACGTTTGGGAACACGAAATCTTTCAGGAATCTGAGATGTATGCACGGGCTAGAGGACTGGAGTTTGCCAGCACGGGAAAGGACGGGACTGGCAGCATATGAAGCGTTCGTTTTCAGTGAGGTTTGGGGGGGTTATTTTGGAATGGTCCACAGAGCTGCTGACCATTTGAAGCCGGAAAAAGGTTGTGCGTTCCAACCAAAAGCCTTCGAAGAATTGATTCGGTATGAGGTATGCATACGGCCTATCTAGATCATGGTAATATCTGCCCATACGCACTCCGTTTACACGCCACTGTCCAACCCTACTTTCGTCGAGCGGCCCGATGTGGCTTCCCCTGCCCTCCGCCCCGGCCTGTCCCAGCAATGAGGTAGAGCGCACCAGATAATTGACACTACGAAACAATCGTTTTCCGCTCCCTCTACCACTCCACCTCACCCCCTGCCTCTTCAATAGGAGATGTCATGAAAGAAGGTGTTGGGAGGAACCGTGGGAGTGACCCGGCTCCTCAAGCTCAGCGCTCTCCTCCTCTTCTCGCCTCAGCTCCACCGCCCCCTCTGCCCCCTCCCTGAGCTCCCACTCGGACTCCTCGCTGGCTGCATCTTCCTCAGCGACCTCCGGGATCCGTCTGCCCACATCAGTGGATGAAAGGAAATCTAGGATGGCCTAGCTACACCGCTCGTCTGCGAAGCGGTCTTGGATCTTGAAGCAATCCGTACACCTCCCCGTCTCCTTCCAGACCTGTGCCCACAGTGTCTTCCGCTGGCTCTTGCTTCGAGGCAGCATTTGAAAAGGTGCTTCCGGGTCTGGGTCTTGTAGCAGCACCATCCGCAGTGGGCGTCATGGCGACTCTTCGTCCACTGGAGGTAATAGCTTGTGAGGTAGTGTCCTGTCTTCAGCTGGTAGCACCTTGAGGCCAGAATGTATCGCGAAGCTCGCCAAAGATTCCATCTCACAACCAATCTCGAGTGAGTTTGTGTGACGCATAGCAACTGAAGAGCCCTTCTGGAATGGAGGGAATGTGATCCGATATGAGCGGGTTGTCGACCAGCTTCGGTACTACGGCGAAGATATTCGTATCCTAAAGTTAGAAGTATACTCGTGCGGATCCTGCGTTAAATAAATTGCGATCCAGATCTGCTGGAATGATTAAAGCGGAGCCCGCCCGCACTCATGCCAATCGATTCTGTCCCCACGACCGCATGAGAAAGATGATGGAGGTTGGTGATTGGATCTGACTCAGTTGCTGCACTAAATCGGCTCCCATTGGTTAATCGCTGGGTCTATCTTCACAACCACCGTGTGTAATTGGATCGAACTGATGTGGTGCATCATCCGTACATGCCATATTTACATACCAAAATCTTCTTGAAGGACGGCCAGATATCGGTAGCGTACTAGTCTCAACGCAGCCCAAGATCTGGAATCTTTGAGACGTATGTCAGCATAGAGTAGCAAGCCAGCAAACAAGTTTCCATAGTCACGGACACACGGCCAACTTACCTACGGTCCGAAGTCACGGCGAATCAACACAGCGAAACCATGGTGCGGCCATCTCAGTGGTTCAGACTGGCGACCTTTTTGACCCCACATACCGACTCGGACGGCATGTATTACATACTATAAGATCTCTGGAAACTGGCATACCTAGCTGACATCGTTTCCCACGGCAGAATCCCAAATCCCAAATATCTCTCTCTTACCCCGCCTCCCTCCTGCGATGGCACTCCACCACGTATATATGGAGCAGGTGCGCGTACCCACTTCAGGCCTGAGGTCCGACAACCTCGCGCGTTATGGCCGAATATTCCTGACATGCGAATCTCGATATGTTGCCGATGAACTCTTCCGAGCACTGCATGACGTGGCGCAGAGTGCACCGCACTCTACGGCTGGGCCTATACGACCAATGTTTGTGCTTTTGGACCGCCGCACGCCACAGTTTTGGATCTACGACACGGAAGAACCTACAACTCTAACTCTGCTTGACAACGTTCTGCGTCGCCCGACCGACCTCTGGCGGAACTTTCGTCGTTCGGTCATCGTGCAGTCCTGCTTCCAAGGCTGCTTTGACAGTTTCCCCCTATTCCCCATCATTCCGGCCGTCGAGGACCCCGATTGGGTGCACGGTCGTATGTACTGCATCCGTAACAGACGCCAACGACACCAGTATTGGTTCTTCGATGGCGATGGCGATTACGATGATGGCACCATCTACGTCTCCAACACGCACCGGTCACGGTTCCGGATAGAACGTGTTGATCTTCAGCCGGGAAATGCAAACATAGTCTATCGTTCGACACCGGTGATCATTCGATCAGACCACATCCAGCTCTTCGCCCCGCAGAACGGTGAAGTCGTAAACATGCGGTACGATTCTTTGGGCGAGCTGACCACCGCCCGTGCGGAAGAGGACGTCGTCGTCGCGATGAATCTCACGTTCCGGGAGTTACTCGGTGGCTTCGGCGTGTGCGCCGAAACTTCCACCGACCTTGGAAAAGTAGCAGTGTTGGGCACCGTGAACAAGACGAGGCCTGGGGAAGGGGAAGATTGGGAACTGTGTTGAGTCTTGAATCTTGATTGTTTCATTATCCGTGTATCGCCGCAGTCGTTTCTACTAGAGTCGTGCTGGAATGTGTTGTCTCGGTGATAGGGTCGGACTCAAGAGTCAAGTGTTGAAATCCGAGCTGTTATGGGCGGATTATCCGAGTAGACTTTGAAGGGGGGATGGTGGAGCAGACCCTCCAATTGTTGGCCGGTTCAAGTGGGGGGGGGGGAGGGGGGGAGGTCATCAATTTTATTTCGCATCTATGAGCCTTTGAAGACTACCTACGGCGAACACCAACTACAAAACCAACCCTACGCCGTCCGCGAGTCTAGCTATGCGGCTCTCCCTATTGCCCTACTGGCCCGATCGATGGTGATTACTCGCCCTCACCATCCTCCTCGACTCCTCCCAACTTCTCCTCCTTTTTGTAGATTCGTCTTCCTCCTCGGAAGCAGATTCATCTCCTCCTCCTCCTTCCCATTCCTTCTCCCTCGCCGGCCCTTCTTCCCACGTCGGTGACCTCTAGAAATTATAGAATTGCCATGGTGCACCTCTCGTCTGCAAACAAATCCGCGGATCGAAAACGATCTCGTCCACGCTTTGTTTGTAGTAGTCGGACTGCTTTCCACAGTAGTTTCTGCTGCTCCTGCCATGCGGTACATACACACATACCTTGAACAGATTTTCTCGCGTTTGAGAGGCACTCCAGGTTTGAAGCACCACCACCAACACTAGTCATGAATCTGGTTTGCTTCCAATTCGTTTCAGATATGGCCCAGTATGTACATAAGAGCATGCCCAGTCTTCAGCTGGTAATACCTACCTGGATGCAGTAATCTTCTTTGACTTTGATGCGACTGGCCATGGGTCAGGCCGGTTTTTACGCCACTTGCGCGCGGCACTTGAAATTGTACCTAGCCGGTTCAAGTGGGAACACTGGTTGAAACACTTCAGTTCTGGATGGTTTCGTTGCTACTTCGGTTGGGAACATGGTCTATCAGTTCGCAGTTGGTTTAGGTGGGTACGGCAGTTCTGGGGAAAACTCGCTGAACTGCATGCCAGTCCGACGGATGAACTGCCAGTGCAGCCACAGCTGCCTAAGAGGGCGAGATGGCACATCCTTTGGTCACGGAAAGAGCGATGGCAGATGGGTACAGTACTAGTTTTCAATTACTCTTGAGCATGCGCTCCTAATGCTAGCTCTGGGGGGTACGGCGGTTGAATTTCTTGGTGCTCTCCAGAGCTTCAACACTGTCTATGCATAGGGCATGGCGGTTTTGTGGACGGCTCTTTTGCCACACCATTCCAGGCCGGGGGCGAGATCGAGAGGAGAGTACACACAGAATATTGAGGAGATATGGAGGTTGATCTTCTATTCGGTACATGGTGAGGGAGATAGAAGGCGAATACGACCCCGCTGGACCCACTGCTAGCCACATTCGTTTCCTCCATCCGACAGGTCCTCCTCTCGCTCCCTCCTCTCGCCGACAGCTCCTTCATCGCTCCGCTAGAGCGGTAATAGGAAGCCCGATACCAATTGGATCAGGCTCCTCGGGTGTTGCTGCATCTTCTGAAGCCTCCATACCATGAGGAGGTGTTGGTGGTTGCCTCACGGAGTCACCAGATGGTAGGTTGGTGGTGGCGATCGGCTTAGCTTTAAGCCTTCGACAACTGATGGGCCACCTAGTTTTCCTAATTCAAAGCTTGGAAGTTGGTTCAGTTCACTATCCTCCAACAGCTGGTTGGTATGGGAGCACCCCCAGTTTGTTCCCGGTCCGAACTGCTGGAGGGTCTGGGGCGGAGTGGGGTATCCTGCTGTATGTTGTTTCGTATTTGAACAAGCTTGCCCGTGTCCATCCTTGAGTACTGTCCTTGACGCATCCCATGTAGGTATGTATGCCTTGCAACAGAAGGCCATCCTACTCCAACCAACCAACCACCAGTATCGGCTTTGAGCGAGATTGTACCCCCCTCCCCCGCAGCAAGTGATTCCTCGTAAACTAGTGGTCCAGCCAGTGAGTCAAGAGTCTGAGTCTGGGTCGATCAACCAGCAAGTCTTACCGAAAGGCAGAACGGCTGGCTGTTCGGCCGGCCAACAGTCCCCACTTGGTGAGCTGTCCGAGAGTTCAGCGTACCCAGGTACTATCATAGGTGCACAGTTTGGAAAAGGAAGAACCGTTTCAAGGATACATACTAGTACTTCGGGAGTGAGTCTAAAGACAAGCCGTGTCGAGTCGACTTGGTGGGAAAACTCTGATGAGTGGTTTCTTACGGTGAATATCTATTGGTATTCAAAGTTCCACTGTCGATGCACCGCCAGTGTGCTGCCAGTGTCCAGTGCTATATAGGTACATCATGTATGTTCCCCTGACCTGATAGTAAGTACTGTATAGTTCAGGGGGGGTAATAAAAACGTTGTTTGCCGCTGGACACATATTGATAACGTATCAGGGCATAAAAAACACGTATTTTGACCGTACTGATACCGCACCTAGGACTACAATTTTTTTCTACCCCCACCTCACTATACAGTACTTAAGCTTCGCCGAATATTGTTTTTTCTTGGGAGGGGTGAGGGGGAATTTTACCTCCTGTCGGGGAGTATGGACGGCTACCGTACTCCTACATATGCGGCGCGGAACGTAACCATTCACAAGCCATCACTCACGAGGTCAAGCCTGCGGCGGCAGTTTGCCAAGCTTCTAGTGTGGTAAGTTAACCAAGTAAGTCTAAGTACTCTGCTTAGCCGAAGGCCGAATGCAACGATGATTAAACAGAAAAAACTATAAAAAAAAACTAGCCGCTAACCACAGAACCGCCTGAACGCGTCACGTGCGTCAGATTAAGTGCCTACTTGCTTGGCGGACTGGCCACTTTCAGAAAGGCTTCTTCACTCTTCGTTCGTTCGCGTCGTCCGCTTAACCAGCCGGCGTCGGCGGCGGCGAGCACAACCTTGCGGGCAAACCACGCACCCACAAATAAGCAAACAAACAAACGCCCTATGTATGTAGAAATCGTGGGCTGTCGGAGGTGGTTGCCATTGGCGCCAAATTGCGGGGTTGAGTGGTGGCGGTGCGGTGATGGTGGTCGGAGGTTGCTGCACATCCTACTTTACGACCGGAGGAATTCTTGACCCGATCCCGACTCCAAGGGGTTTTCCCACGGGCATGACCACTTTGCCAGGTTGAGTATTCTGTGCCGGTTTTTTTTCAAGCCTTCTAGAACAACCTCCCACCCACCCACCCTTAACCGCTCGCCCACACACACAAATACCTACAGGCGTTCTGATCTGCAGTCGAGGCAGATTCCTCTTCTTTGTCTTCTAAAGCGCCAAATCTTGATGGCTCGACCAATCACCCCGAGTAACTTGGCTGCCGCTTCAGCCCTTCCCCTCTGCGATGAGGCGGCTGAATCGGCAGTTGAATGAAAGGCGGGTGTGAAGAGCAGGTATGTATCCAAGTATGATGTATTTATGTATGTTTGTATATATGTCGCTGGGCTTATCGGTATGATAGGTACGGTATATAAGGGAAAGCATGATGATGCATGTGTGGGAGCACCATCAACTTTCAAGCCTTCTACTATCTGCTCCTTAGCTAGCTCTGCCTAACAACATTATTAGAAAGCACCACTGAATTCCGAAGAAGATTCTGACATGACAGGGTAGGAAATAGGCCTTGGAGGCATATCGTGCTGACTTGAACCTCGCCATGCTTGCTCGGTGGGTGGGCTGTGCTCCCCCTTCCCCCTCGCTTCAGGCTTATGGATGGTCTGTACGGGCAGTACAGTACAGTTCAGTACATACGAGATCCCCTCCCCCTACCGCTGGTAGATGAGGCCTGGGAGGCTTCATGAGCTTGAAGTGTACGTACTCGGATACGATACTGGGCCACAGATGAAGTGGTTATGGTGATTTCAGCGATGGCCACAATGTACGTACCGAGAGGTCGTCGCCAATAATGGTCATCACCAATAATGAATGGTCTGCGCCTTTGCGCTTCATCATCGGCAGCATCATCAGCACCATCATCAGCATCACCATCGTCGGGTTCCATTCAATCCCTCCGACATTCTGAGTCAACTGGCTGCAAACCCCCTTGTTGCACTCCACCAGAAGGGAACCAACCAGGTTGGGACTGCATGCAGGTGCAGGCTTCCTGATTACCTATTATTATTGCAGACAGAGTCGCTGTGTAGCAGTAGTTGAAGGAAGCCCTCTCAAGTACGCAGTCCAGACCAGACTTGGAATCGTCACCTCCAAACCTGTGTGTTCTTTGCGCGCTCAAAATCATCATCCGGCACCCACTGCTACTTACCCCATTCTCGGACGGAAAGACGAATCGCGCCGCCGACCGACTGTCGCCGGGAATTCGACAAGGAGAGACATTACTCGGCAAGCGACAAGTAGTTAGCTACCGATCCCATCATCACGCCGAGAGAGCTCGGTTGCTTGCGGTGTTCGGAGGAGGAATCATTCCCGATAGCTGGCTGACTTGACAATGGCCGCGGAAAATGCTCGCCCATCAGCGCCCCAGTATCCATCAGGCTCCCCGCCGAACTCGATCCATTCGAATGAGGGCGCCGGCGCCGGCGGAAGGACTTCATCGTCGCCGTCACAAGCGAACAACAGCTCCAACACCGGTGATGTCCCCAGGCCCAAGAGAATAGCCTGCGTTGTTTGCAGAAAGCGAAAACTTCGATGTGATGGAACCAAACCGAGCTGTGGGACGTGTTCGAGACTCGGACATGACTGGTGCGTATTCGCAGGTGGCTTCCGTCTCGTCGGCCGTCTTTGGTGGTCGCTGTCGTCGTCGTTGGTCGTCGTTGTTGTAGCCCCGCTGATCCCCGAGCTTGCATATAGCGCCTACGATGAGATTCGACGGAAGAGCGGCCCAAAGAGAGGATATGTCAAAGCATTGGAAGCACGTCTGGGTACTTATTTTCTGCCGTTTATCGATCCACAGACAATCAGAATATGATGGGCTCATGAATCCTCTATCGCATCTACAGCACAGGTCGAGACGCTGCTCAAAGATCAAGCCACGGATCCCCACCACGGCAATAACCACAGTCCCGAACGAGCACGACAACCGCCATATGTATCGCATCTCTTGATCGACCCGCCGCTCTTTGGCGACGGCGACGTCGGGATGGAGGGGATGGAGGCAATTCTCGGCGGTGTGCGGGGACCCAGCACATCCGTTTCGCCGAACCTACAGCATCACAATTCCTTCGAGAGCTCGCCCATGATAGATATGCCGCAGCAATGGACCGATCCCACGCCCACCATGGACTCTGCCGCGATAACATGGGATCTGATATCGATGGGTTTCGAGGAGGCCTTGCCTTCCCAAGACGTCATCGATGCTCTGTACGCGCACACTTGATCTTTGCGGTTGCATCATGAGGATGGATCGAGAAGTATATTTACTGAGTACATTGCTGATATCGCGTCCCGTTCAAGGCATAATATTTACTTCGACAAAATACATCCGTGCATGCCAATAATTCACAAGGCCAGGTATTTTGCGAGTCTGAGTATGGCCCCAAACATACGACCGCCAGTTGCGTTGCGATATGCCATCTGGACTCTGGCTGCGTCCGTATCCGACGATCACGGAGGCTTGCAGACACATCTTTATCGACGGGCTAGGAAATGCCTCGAAGAGTCGGAGATGAAGGGACACGGCGAAGGGATCATATCGGTGGCCTCATCTCAGGCATGGTTGCTCATCACAACCTACGAGTTCAAACTCATGTATTTTCCACGGGCGTGGATGTCGACTGGACGCGCAGTGCGGTTGGCTCAGATGATGGGTCTTCACAGGCTGGATGGCTCTGCGTGGGAAGTGAAGCAGTGTCTGCCGGCGCCAAAGGATTGGATCGAGCGGGAGGAGAGAAGGAGAACTTTCTGGATGGCGTTTTGCTTGGACAGATACGCTTCCATCGGAACCGGTTGGCCCATGTGTATCGAGGAGAAGGATGTAACATCACCTTTGGTGTCCAGGTGCTAGCAGTGTGCTGACAGCGTTAGATTCTCACCAACTTGCCAGTCTCGGAGGATTCGTTTGAGCGAGGACAACCCGCGAAGACCATATCACTGAAGGAGGCGATGACTGCGGATGGCGCGGCCATGTTGTCTCCCTTCGGCGGTGTTTGCCTCATGGCCTCCCTTTTCGGCCGTAACCTCATACACTTGCACCGATCGGATGGAGACGAACGAGACGACGATCTGAACGGCGAGTTTTGGCGGAGACACCGGAACATGGACAACATATTGCTCAATATCCAAATGTCCTTGCCCAACCATTTCCGGTTACCAGCTGGAGTGGATAATTCAAACGTTGTTTTTACGAATATGAATATCCACACGTCGACAATCTGTTTACATCAAGCGGCTATATTCAAAGCCGAAAAGAATCGCATGCCACAGTCGGTGTCGGCGGAATCCAAGATCCGATGCATCACAGCTGCAGCTCAGATCGCATCCATCATGCGCATGGTCTGCCATTTGGATTTATCCGGGGTGAGTGGTGACACCTCAGTCCATGGGCGGGGAGAGAGTAAAGACTCACGGGGTTGTTCGTTTAGATGAATCCATTCATCTCCTTCTGCCTCTACGTGGCGGCCCGAGTGTTCATTACATACCTGAAATCGCGTCCCGGGGATGAACAAGTTCGCGCTTCTCTGCAGTTCCTCCTCACAGCAATGGGACACATGAAGAAGAAGAATCCATTGACCGAGTCATTTCTTGTGCAATTGGATGTCGACCTTACTGGATCTTCGGAAACAAGCAACGCTAAATTCCCATATGGGTTCAAGAGAGGAGAGGTGAGTTTCTTCTTCCTAGTACGTGGGCTTGATGGCCGGTCAATCTAATCTGATGACGAAAACAGCCCGAGATACCACCAACGAAGACGTTCGCTGAGTACCCAACTCCACACCCAGTACAAGAGATACCTGTCGAAGAGTTGTCAAACTTCATTGGGCTGGCCGGCGCCTGTCCGATGAGCCTCAAACCCGGCCATACGCGAACAGACGGACCCAACACTGGTAGATCGGCCTCGGAAAGCTTTCCTGCGCTATCGCCGCAGGTCTCGCACGGCAGCGGCCAGTCACCAGCATCACTCGCCATGTCGGAAAATTCCCAGAACTCCAACTCTTCGGCCACACTCTCCTCACAGAGCAACCCACCGAGCAACAGTGGTTATTCACCGCCCAGCTTTTACAGTGAATACAGTGGTCTGCCAATCAGCATAGATGGAATGGAGGGCATGAACTACTCGCCGCTGCCAAAGGATATGGACTGGACTATACTGACGAACTTTGATGGAGCGGACGTGGACGGTGGAGATACGGTGGGTGGAACCGGAGGTGGGGGAATGATTTCTAGCATGGGAGGGATCGCGAATCAGGATCTTCGCGATTTCTTTGCCGAGACCACAGCATGAGTTGGGATATTTTTTTTTGTAGATTTGGGGGGAAGGCCTTCTTTCTTGAAATCTCGTACGATCAGCAGTAGTAGGATTATATGGACCGTATGTACCTTTGGGAGTTAGCTAGAAGCTTCTTGTTTTTTTTGTTTGTTTGATATCATGCATGCGAGCGGGCGGGCGGGCCTGTCGCTGGGGTTCTCATACTGCTTCAATTTTTAAGAAGAGTTTTGCTTGATCATGGAAATGATATGGATATTGCTTGTTTTTTTTCGGGTTGGTTCCGGTTGAACTGTTCTCCGCTCTGGTCTACTTTCATGTCTCCGTAGTAAACTGACCTCGACTGAGTCATGAGACCGTCGTCTACCTTAATATCGGCCCAGAGGATGGGGGAGTGTGTTGGTACTGCCAATCACCAGCGATCTCCATGTGACGGGCTTCCACATCAACACCTATTGACTCTAGGTATACCGGACTCACTTTACTACATATACAGAGTGAATTTCCAATAGCAAGAATAATAACGCCGTGTATCATCGCCAAAGAAAGAAAAGAGAAAAAAACACTTTTCGCCCGCTCCTCACCCCTAGAACAGGGTGTCTTCCTCTCTCAGATACTCCCCAGCATCGGCTTGTCGGAACACCGTGATCGCCGTGGGATCTAATCTCCTGATCTCAGCCGTCGATCTCGCCGTGACACCGAAACCCTGTGATCGACCTTCGTCAGCACTGCACTACACACGCTCTCACTCGGAACATCACTCAGACGCAGCACATACCAGCGGCGTATCATTCATAGCATAAACCAGCACTCCCTGATGCTCAGGAGTATCCTCGCTCATGCGGCCGACATGGGCCTTGACGACGTGATTTCCGTAGAGGTACGGCATCTCTCCGTTATTCTTGACCCAGACCTTGAACTTTGCGTGGGGCGCGACGTGGTCCAGCGCCGTGATGTGCAGCTTGAACTTCCCCGTCTTCTTGGTGAACTTGCCGAGACACGTGCCGATGGACAGTAGCTTGTCGCGCGCGACAGAGGTCGCGAGTTTGGCAATAGTCTCCCGAACGTAGTAGACGCGCTCCCGCTGAAGCCGGAATACGTGCGGGTCGTCCGGTCGGTCGATCAGGTGCGTGATGTTGCGGCCCATGTAGGACGCTAGCTTCTCGAAGAGCCGTTCGGTCTCTTGGTCGGTGAGGGGGCGCATTGCGGGTGTATTTTCGTGGTTGCGGTTTTCGTGGTAGGTGGTGGGGTGGTGGGGTGGTGGGGTGGTGGGGTGGTGGTGGGGGAGGTGTTTTCGTGGTGAGGTGAAGGTGAATGAACGGTTGTAGGAAAATCTTCAAGAAAGAGCCGCAACTTTTCTTCACACGAGCGAACTCTGCGTGACGGGTGAGAAGACGTGACCCTGCCACCGCTTGGCGCTGCAAAGCTACTTAGTTAGTCTAGTTTTAATCCAACATCCCTGTCGGTATCCAGAAAAATTTTGGGCAACTTTATTTGACTGACGGCTCGATTTTAACGGGTGCGAGTTTTGCTTTGCTTTGCGCGTGTTCCAGACATACAAGACCAGACCCCGCCTACCTACCTACTTCCTACCTACAACCTTCGTCGCCCGCGCGGAAACAAGAAGAAGGACACAATTGCATAATGGCCGCCATCAAGAGAAAACAGGACAAGCCCGTAGCAGCGGACAGGAAGAAGGTCAAAGTCGAGGCCTCCGCGAAATCGGCAGTAACCAAGAAGACCGCTGCGAAATCTGCGCCGCCGCCCGCCGCCACGGCACCCCCGAAGTCGAAGAAGCCTGTCAAGCCCGTTGTCCAGGAGCCAGAGTCGGAGTCGGAAGAGCCCAGCGAGGACGAGGATGAGGAGTATGGTGGTGTTGCCGCCGCCGACGAGGAGGACGACGAGGATGAGGACGGCGATGAGGACGAGGACATGGACGAGGACACCGACGAGGCGGATGAGGACGGCGATCGGCCAATGAAAGATGCGGGTGAAAAGACCGAGGAAGAGAGTGTGTATTCCCCCGCCTCAATGCGCCTGCCATGCTGACAATGCCATCAGTTGCGAAAGCGAAAGCTTCAAGAATTGAGCAGAAACGGCTGATCGCCGAACGCAAGCAAGCAAAGCCTCTGGGCGACGTCATCCAGAAGTCGAAGAAGATCTGGGAGCAGATCCGGCGGAAAGACCTGTCGAAGGAGGAGCGCACGAAGAAAATTGAGGAGCACCAGGAGATGATCCGCGGACAGATCAAGGATCTCGCCTTCAAGCACGACACATCGCGCGTGGTCCAGACGGCGCTGAAGTACGGCAGCAAAGCCATCCGTGAGGAGGTCGCGAAGGAGTTGAAGGGCACCTATGTCAACCTGGCGCAGAGCAGTTACGGAAAGTACTTGGTGGTCAAGGTTATGCACTACGGCTCGCCCGAGACTAGGACTTCGGTGGCTGGAGAGTTCGTTGGTCACGTTAAGAGGTTGATAAGGCACCGCGAGGCTTCCTTCGTCATCGAGGATATCTACAGGGAGTACGGTACTCCGGAGCAGAAGGCTCAGATGGTGCGGGAGTTCTACGGTGTGGAGTTTGCGGTGTTTGGCAAGGAGGCAGATGCGGATCCGTCGCTCAAGAAGATTCTGGAGAAGAGCCCGGAGAAGCGCGCGGTCATCCTGAAGCACATGTTCGATCTTCTGACGGCCATCGTCGAGAAGGGAGCCTTTTTTTTCACAATAGTTCACCGCGCTATGCTGGAATTTGTTTCTAATGTTGCACCTGGCACAACCGATGCGACCGAGTTCGTAGAGCTGGTGAAGGAGCACGGTGCTGAGGTTGCTTTCTCGAAGGATGGTACGCAAGTCATGATGAGGACATTGGCTCTTGGAAACGCAAAGGTATGGCCCGGCTCCCCACCACCTGCACCGAAAGGGTATATACTGACCGACCGACCGTAGGACCGCAAAGCCATAATCAAAGTGCTGAAGCCTGTAGCGCACCAGATGGCGGCGCACGAAACCGGCCACGCGCTCCTGCTGACCCTGATGGACGTTGTCGACGACACAGTACTGGTCAACAAGTCGATATTTGGCGAATTCCAAGAACACCTTTTCCCGCTGGCCACCAACAAGTTCGGCCGGATACCACTACTTTACCCCTTCGTCGGTCGCAAAAACCGATTGATCCCACCTCCAGTGATTGCCCAGATCGAGGAGATAGACCAGATTCGCGCCGCCACAAGGTATATATCCAACCACTCACTCAACCCACCATTCCCACCCTTCCTCCCTCCCCGCAGGCCTGCATGCTGCAGCGGCTACGCCGGGCCGATCACTAACATGTGGTGGAAAAAACAGCAAAAAGGACCCAGAAGTGCGCCAGTCGGAGCTGCGTACACACCTATCACCGGCAGCACTGCAAGGCGTCGCCGAACATGCGGTGGATCTGGTGCAGGATTCATTTGGATGCCAGTTCATTGCGGAAGTCCTTTTAGGCGCCGATGGTACGATTTTACCCACCCAACCCAAACCCACCCAAACCCACGTGTTTATCCCCCATGCCTGCATGCACTCTAAAAATCTGTTTTACCTTTTTTCTTTGCTTTGCTTTGCTTTTGCGAACTTCCTTGCATGCACCTGCCTCCCGCTACTGTGATCTTCCTTCCGGTCTCCGGAGACCGGCGGCGGTGGAGGTGGGAGAAAACATACCTCCGCACATCACATCACATCACATCCCAACGTCCAGCTACGCACATATCGGCCGTACTAACACCTCCGTGCAGGTGACAAATCCGCGGCGATGGCCGCCGTGGCCAGCCTCGCCTCCGGCTCGCCAACAGAAGAGTTTCACATTGCGACGACCGCTGCAGGCGGACGCATGCTCAAGACGCTGGTGGCCGGTGGACACTACAACAACAAGCTGAAGAAGGTCGACACGATCACGCCGCCGCTCGGCTTCCACGAGGTGCTGTACGACGCGATCGCGCCGAACGTGCAGGCGTGGGCGACCGGTGCCGGCTCGTTCGTCGTGCTGGCGCTGCTAGAGACCGAGGGGTTCTCACGTGCCGGGGAGCTTAAGGCACAGTTGGTGAAGTGCAGGAAGGAGATTGCAAACGCGGCGAAGGGGGGGAATAAGGGCTCTGCGGTCGTCGAGAAAAAGTTGTGATTTGGTACGATTTGGTGTGATTTGTACATATATCGAAAGACTAGGTAGTTATGGTAGTTGCAAAAGACACCGGTTGGGCAGGCAGGCAGGCAGTCAGTCAGTCAGTCAGTCAGTCAATCAGTCAATCAGTCAATCAGTCAATCAGTCAATCAGTCAGTCAGTCAGTCAGTCAGTCAGTCAATCAGTCAATAAGTCAATCAGTCAGTCAGTCAATCAGTCAATCAGTCAATCAGTCAATCAGTCAATCAGTCAATCAATCATTCAGTCAGTCAGTCAATTAGTCAATCAGTCAATCAGTCAATCAGTCAATCAATCATTCAGTCAGTCAATCAGTCAATCAGTCAATCAGTTAATCAGTCAATCAGTCAATCAATCATTCAGTCAGTCAGTCAATCAATCAGTCAGTCAGTCAATCGGTTGTCAGTCAATCAGTCAATCAGTCAATCAATCAGTCAGTAATTCATTCATTGATTCATCCAGTCAGGTGGAGAGCAAAATGTCCCTTCATTCAGTCATTATATGTCTCCGCCCTGTTGCCTGCCGCTATTCGCTGCCTTGCTATTCGCTGCCTTGATCTTCCAATCCCACCTGCTGTGCTCTTCCAAGTTCCAAGATCCAAGCTCCAAGTTCCAAGTTCCAATCCCACCTGCCTGCCTACCAAAGACACCCAGTACACAACACAACACAACACAACACAACACAACACAACACAACACAACACAACACAACACAACACATCTACCACCAGTCACTACTGCCACCACAGCACATCTACCACATCTACCACTGCCACTACTACTAACACTACTACTAACACTACTACTATAATGATACAAAGCGACAACCGGGCATCTCCAACAAACAGTACGCACCCTCCAAGTACGCTGCGTACCCTCTCACTTCTCCTCCCGCATTCAGCATAAGCCCCCACCCCCTTCCCCCCACAACGCACCCCCACCCTGGTCCCGCGCTTGCATGTACAAAGTACAAATTGCTGAAGACCCAGCTGGGGCCCGAAAAATCCTACCGCTGGTCGTCCATGTGGGTATCGCACGTCTGTATGTACTCTAAAAGAAAGAGAAGAAAAAAAGCCAACGGTTTTTAAAAGTCCGAAGAACGCCATTCCCGTGCAAGAAGGAGAGAGAAAAAAAGTACAAGAGGAGAGGTAAGAAAAGAAAAGGAAAAAACCAAAAAAACCACCATCAAGTTAATGCGAGCAATCAATGCGGACGAGGGGGAAAAAAGAAAAGAAAAAATAGACAGCTGCTTTCACATGCCCACATGTATAGTAGGCCACGTCATTTCTGGGCTTCCAGATCGACGTCCAGTGAGCTCCGGGCGGAGCCGGATCCTCGTTTTTTGAACAGCCTGTTGGGACCCTTCTTCTTCGTCTCTGCTGCTTCTGGTTCGACGGGGGCGGTGGGAGCGGCAGGAGCGGCGGCAGGTGTTGGTACCACCGTGTAATCGGTCCGCTGCTGTAGTTGGTCGGATACCCACGGGAGATCCTCGCTGAAGCGTGATCTCTCACCGGAGCTTGATCTGGAGCCCGCTGAGAATCTACCTCGGAGGGCAGGGTGCACCAGGGCAGCGGATACGGGCATCGTCGGAGGAAGTGCTACATCGAGAGCATATACCCCGTCTGAGGCCGCGGGCGAGATGATGAAGGAGTTTGTTGGTGACTGTTGTGTCGGTGACTGCGAGATCGAATTGGTGGGCGAATGGTTGAAGCTTCCCTCCAACAGGAGCCTGGATGTTCTGCTGTTGCGAGGGAGTAATTGCCCCACTTCCGCGGCATGGGACAGGCGATGGGTGTAAAGCAGTGACAAGTCGCCGCGCGCCGTCTCGGGTACGTAGTCCGTGGTCATTGGCGCGGACGGAACGTTTGGTGTGGAGTATGCGCTCACGAACTGTGGTCGTACGTGGGGGCCGTCGCTGTCTCCGGGCAGATCGGAGTCACGATGTCCATCTGGCGGAGTAGGGGTTCTACTCTCAGTCCTGCTAGAAGGATACGATGGACTGTTTGCCGCAAGACTTCTCGCCCTGTGGTGGCCGTTCTGCGAAGGCGACGACAGCCCTTCCAGTCTAGCCGTGACGGCAGACGCTGGTAATCTTGACGCCGGTGATTCCGAGCGGGAGCTGCGAGTAACGTGTTGCAACATGGGCTCCGAATACGCCCTCACCCCCCGAACATCATCGTTCGACCCACTTGGCATCGAGGCCACCGAAGTGGAGCTTGACGGCATGCTCGAAATACCATACGATGGAGCCGGCAGAGCGATGTACGGGCTGGGTTGATACATCAATGGCCGACCTGACTGCCGCTGTGCCATCTGCGAAGGCTGCCCTAGCACCTTGAGGCTGTCGTTATCGGAGCCCACCAGGGTCTGTTGGCTACGATTGCTGTTCGGTGTAGCGGGAGTAGCAGGTCGCGAAATAACGATGCCTTCGATCTCGATTCCAGACTCCAAAGCCTTCACACCGAAGGGGACGTCTTCTCCCTTGAGCTCGATGATATGTCGGCTGCTCCGAACGTTTTCTAGGTGTGCTTTCCGTGCCTCCGCAAGCTCCGCATACTTGGCTACCTTCCGCTTGCCGATTATCAACTTGGCTGCGCCAAACACCAGTACACACGCCTATCGCAAACATGTCAATCTCCGTGGGGGCCGAGTGAAGTTTGAAGGTCGAATACCATTGCAGCTGCCAGAACCTAAGCCACCAAAACAAAAAGCGGTTAGCACTCCATGCGTTTGCTGTGGAAGAGGTGGACCAACAAATAACATCTTCTGCCACAGTTCCATGCCATCCCAAAAGTTCCCCATCGTGTCAAGCTTTCCGCAATGTAGCAGTCGAGCTTTGGAAGGTAGAAATCGGAGTAGTAAATCGAGATTGCCGGAGCGGGAGTAATCGCTGGAGTGGGTAGCGAGGTTAGTCGTGTTGATAGGGTATGCAAGAGAACCCGCATACCAGTATGTCCCTAACTTCCAGCAGTAGCTTTGTCCTTACGGTGAAAGTCCACCAGGTGCCCTGAGTCTCTTATGAAAGGAATTCGATAGGGCTGTATATCCGGGCAGCTTCGGCAATCTGATCAAGGTGTGGGGCGAAAAGAAAGAGAGAAAAAAGATGGCAGCCTAAGATATAAAGCTGCACGATTGATGCCAGGAAGTTGGGTGGGCCGGGGCGGGGAGGAGGAGGAGGCCTTCTATGTAGGTCGGAAAGCAAGAATAGAGGTGGGCACGCCAGGTGGGAAGCGGGGAGGGACAGACAGCGGATTGGAAGAACGATGGATCTCCGGACGGGCGGTGGGAGAGCAATATAGGTATAGGACAGCAATCAATGGGCCAAAGTGGTAGCAGCAAAGGCCGTATGACGAAACGAGACGACCCAGCTATCTCGGGGACAGGGACGCCGGGAGCCTGGGTCTTGGTAGGTACAGGTTCTGGGATGGATGGACGGGCGGAAGGACGAAGGGGGAAGAAAGAAGAGAGGTAGGCGTACAGAGAGTTGATTGATTGATTGCTGTCTGTCTCGGGAAGGAGCGGAGTGGCCGAGGGGGGTGGGGAGTGGAGGGGGAGGGGGGGATCTGGCGAGAAGACGAGGGAAGGAGATCGCCAGGTGCACAGGTTTGTTCCCTTATGCTGTATCTGTAGCACGAGGGTACAGGGAAGAAGAATGCAATAATTGTATGGGGGATCGGGGGATGGACGGAGCTAGAACTCGACAAAGGGATGGAGAAGGGAGACGAGGAGAGCGGGCATTCCATTCGGGGGGGGGGGGGGGGGGGGGGGGGGGACGGTCTTCTGATTTCATCATCATACAAGAGCTGGAGAGTTCACCGTCAATTTGAGCGAGCATTGGCTGCGATATCACCCTCTCGTCCAACTGAAGCATTGAGCTCCTATATCACCATCTCGTCCAACCCGAGCGTCGTTATTGCCCATTGCATGTCTGTCGTGTGTTTGTTCTCCTGCTTGCACCTAACCAAGTAGGAAAGTAGGTAAATATGGCATATATCCAGCGGCGAAGCAACTGCAGTGTTTTGATTCCACGACATCCGATTTCACTGGCGTACGGGACGTCAACAGCGATGTGATGTGATGCGATCCGACGAGAAGGCCCATGAGCTTGAAAAGCCAAGCAACGTGAACAGCGGTGTGATCCGTGTGATCCGATGCGACGGACGAGAAAGAAGGCCCTTGGAAAGCCTAGCAAGAAGTTTCTGTCTGTATGATAGTTACGTCCCACACTTGAAAGCTTGACGCCGTCGCAAATAGAAGCTCGGCGTCCGCCCCCTCCCCCGTAGCCCATGGCCACAACCCGTGAGGCTGGGGGGATGGGATGTCTGGGCTCTGGAGTGTTCTTTGTGCGAGGGTTGTTTCTGCTGGGCTGGGGTGTGTTTTTTTCCCCTTCTCTTTTCTTCTTGCGTCCATCCATCACGTTGTGCCTGAAGTTGGTACCTACTTAGGTAGGGCAAGGCAATACACGCACGCACTCTGCGGCAGCAGCAGCAGCTGCTGGCTATGGATCTGAATACCGACAAAGCTGGCGGGGGTGGGATGGTGGTGGGTGGGCTGGCCATTCACTCAATTCTGCCGGAAGTGGAGTGGGAAGTGGATCGAGCTCGCTCGCTCGTCGCGACAGGACAGGATGGAGTGGGCGTTTCAGGCGATTTCTTCTTGGTGGGCCGAGGAGTTAGGATGTTGGAGGTAGATACTCTACTTCTAGATTATCAGACACGGAGCCGCGAGTTTGACTGAGCAAGCGGCGGGAGATGTCGATAGCTTGCAGCGAGCAGCCCGATATAGCCCACAGCTGCTCCATCGGGGCTAGTTCAGGGCCGGGCTTCGCTTGCGGCGGGGAACAGGCTCCGGAACTACACACGAGCGTTGACGGTTGAAAAAGAGAGAACGTCCCGGGGTTGATCAGGGGTAACGATATAGTGCCAGTGGCCAGAAGCTTATGTGTGATGGGAAAGTGCGTGGTTGGTTGCGAGAGTCTTGGGCACTCGCTGGGCAGGTTGTCGGGCACTCGCTGGGCAGGTTGTCGGGCAAATGCCGGCGGCGTGACGACGACGACGAGTCACGACGGTCGATGCGGAAGAATGAAGCTGCATGGATGTCGTCAGGGATATTGTGTAGGTACCTATTAGTAAATTATTGGAAGCAGAAGAAGAAGAAATACACCCGTATGTAGGACTCCGCGCGGTACTGGAGGGCCCATGGTGGCTACGTGCTGCCAAGTATCTACTGGAGGTCCTACATGTGGCCGAGTATATACCAACCATACGGCACTCCATAGTACTCCATGTACCGTTGTGTAGAGTATACGGCGTGTATACTCTCCGTGTACCGTTGTGTAGAGTATACGGCGTGTATACTCTCCATAACCACTGCCGAGACACGTCCGGAAACAGGTCTTGAAAGAAGCAGAGCCCAGCAGTGAGCGGAGCATCTACATACTCCATCGGAAGTAGAGTAGATTCGTCACCTGAAATAGAGCAAACACCTGGGGAGCCTACTTGCACCTAGCCCGCGCTCCCTGCACACAATGTACATGAGTGTGTACCCACCTAGTGTACCAGGAGAAGCCCGCCCTACACTCGCTGTAAAGTACTCTACATCATGTATGTAGAGAGCCTCTGCCAGCAAGGACCCAGTCAAACCCTTTGCCGGAGTCCGCAGACGATTCTCGAGGCATCATCCCTCCTGGATTCCTCCTGGATCTCACTCGTGCTTCACCTAAGCACCTGCTAGTATGATATGATATGTAGATCCACTGTTTGAACTCCTGCGATTCAATCGAGCTATCACACACATCATACTAGGCAGTATCATACCTACTCTAGAGTACCGGTACTTGGTTGTCTACCTAGGTGGCCAAACACGATCGGATCCGACTCCGAGACATGGATCTCGATTTCCCATGATGCCTACATACACAACTAACAGTCAACTAGGTAAGTTCTAACCCTTCCAGAAATAAACATTCCGAGACAATGGCGTATGATGCATGTAGGTAAGTAGGTATGTATGCTAGTTACCGGTATCCTAGGTAACTGAGTTTTGGGGTGGGACATGCGGGGCTCTGTCGAGTGTTGAGTTGATGGTTGGTGAACCCGGCTGTCCAGGAGTCCAGGACTTCCGTCTTCGCATCCGCGCTCATCCGCGCTCACTCGCTCACTCGTCCCGGTGTGTGGGGCGAGGGCGTGGGGGGTGGGGTGCGGGCGGCCCGGAGCACAAAACACAACACAACACAACACGATAGGTCCAACACAACACGACACAGTACACACACCGCAGCTCAGGTATACGGTATAGAACCTTTTCCCGATTCCACATCTCTATTGCGTCATCGTCGCCGTCGTCGCCGTCGCTGTCGCCGCATGTAGCGTTACTAGAGATGTATGTATGATATACCTCACTCCGCCCCCACTGGCATTGGGCAGACCCTCCCCCAAAAACACAAAGTATATATAACGCCACCGGGACCCGACAGGTTACCTACATCTTCTTACCTACATACTTCCTACCTAGGTACATACCGACCTACCGTACCTAAGTAGTTACTCGAACCGCGCTCACGATCGCAGCATCGCAACAGTGTTTGCGTCAGGCAAGTACAGACCAGCGACAGCAATCGGCGGCGACGTTGGTTGTGAGAGCACATGTACCTATCTAGAATCCTAGATGCGGTGCTGTGCTGTGCTGTGGGTTGGAAAATCATGGAATGCGAATACGAATGCGAATATTTACAGTACTATACATACACACATCCATCGGTCCATACAGACATACACACAACCATACAGACATACATACAACCATACAGGCATACATACAACCATACAGACATACATACAACCATACAGACATACATACAACCATACAGACATACATACAACCATACAGACATACATACAACCATACAGACATACATACAACCATACACACATCCATCGGTCCATACAGACATACATACAACCATACATACGCACCAAGTCGATCAATCAGTCAGAGAAGCGTCGGATATGTACCTTGAAAGAGCACGGGCATAAGACGATTACCGTAGTTACCAGGTATCATACACATAGGTAGGCGCAGACGCGGTGCGCGCATAACGTACCTAAGCACATACCGTACCTACAGTTCACCGGACCGGACCAAAGGGCGGAAAAACCTACCCACCTAAGTACCCACGCACCCCCTCAGCCCTAGGAGGGGTCCACGTTCTCGCGCGTAAGAATCAGCGCAGCATTTACTCATACATAGAATACCTGGTGACGGTGATGGGTGGGCCGGATCCGACCGGCTAGGTACTATGTACTCCGGTGTAGGTAGAGTATACGGCGTCTGTTGGCGCCACTTTCGACGGCCGAGTAGATGTAGCCTGTCAATTGTTGCGCTCTGGACTAGGTTGGCTGGGTTGGGGGAACCCATGTTGAACCATCATCGGAGCAATATACGCCTGGATTCTCTCCGCGGGAGCTTATGGTAGTGAGCGATGGGCAGTGGGCTCGAGTACCTAGTGTTTGTCCTGTATATATTTGTGTACTTGAATAGTCGCCTTCAATCCGACGGATAAGAATTGATGCAAGAACACTCCATACCTGCCTACCTACCTGGTGGGCGATAGAAGACTGGCGTCATAAAGGATCACTCAGCCTTCGATGTTCGATGTTCGACGTTCGGTGGGGGTTAGAAATACCTACCCAGGTACTATGGAAGAAGTTTAACAAGTATATTGTGTGGTATTCTCGAGTGAAAGGCTGCAGCTACTGATATTGCATACCAGGCAGTAGTCGCTCACCATTCGGCCCGACCGATAATCCACAGGCCGGCCTAACTGCCGGTGCGCACGGATTCGGCATGGTTACGCGGCTACGTCGCTAGTTAGATGCGCGGTTGTGAATTAGTCGTGCGGGTTGGGTACTGGCATGTATATAGAGTAGCTGAGCAGGACCGAGCACTGTGACCGCACGGCGGCACAGCACAGGAATAAGGTACCGATCGCCGAAAGTTCCGGGATGAGAATATAGTACCTACCTTGTAGAGCGCACAATTCGAGGGAGTTCACCGAATGACCACGCGGGAGTCGAATCCGTTCCAAGAACGTCATATGTAGACTCAGCACTGGGCCGATGATTGTCCCCCTAGCTCCTGAGCGAGATCGGCGCGGTCTTGATCGTTTCACCAGAAGCCGCGCGAAGACGATCAAGAAGCGACTTGTTGCTACATATTTGCTCTTCTTGATAGCCTCACCTCCGTCTTTCTCTCCGGCGTGCTTCCTCTTCTTATGTACATAGGATGTTCCGATTGGACCGGTAAGGGTAAGGGAAGCATGCTGCATGAGTGATAGAGCTGATACTGATGAAAGAGCCCAACACGTTCCGGGGATGAATGTGAATGCAATATTAGTTCCATTGGTAGTTGGATGATCGGAGTACACAGAAGCTCTGGTGGGCGGGACTTGGATTGCTTGCTCGGGTGAGCTGTATTGTATCAAGAAGAATATCGGCAAATGTTAGGTATTGAATGCCACAGCTATCACTCGGCACTTCTCGGCCGTCTGCCCAGTAAATTGTCTGACCGATAGTTGCTAGAAAAATTCTTGGGCTGTGCGTCAAAGCATCTTATGCAGCACTGTCTGCTGTAGGTATTGCGCCCTTCGACGATAGCTTTGTGCACGTACGATCACTCGGTTTATCCGATCTCGACGCCGTTGCTCAGTTTTGGCCGCAGAATCTGCGCCATGCATGAATCGATACCACGGCGAGCACTTGATCCTCTGATCATGCCATCTCACACTAAAGAAACGAGCCTCAACGGTTGATATAGCAAGCAGCAAACCGCCCAGACGATCTATAATCCCCATCCACTGCCCAGCTTCAAATGGTTTTATAAGAGTAAAGTAGAGTACATCCAGAACAGAACTCGCTCCCCCACTCTTTTAATACGGCACATTCTCGAAGCTGCTTCGTCTACGACTTCGCCCGTCTCTTTCCTTGGTTGCGTACCCGCGGCACCACTACCCACTTGTTTGGCTTGCCGACCGATCCTGTCACAGGGTTAGAGCTGTTACGGAATGGAGTGGGGGAAAATGTGGATGATGATGATGATGAGGATGGTGGTGGCTGGAAATGTCGAGGGAGGACTCACTTGTCTTGTAACCGGACTTGGTCTGTAATCTGATGGTTAGACACATTCTTTACGTGCGTGCCATGTGGCGGCTGCGAGATCGCCGCCGCCGGCAAATCGAACGGGATGGTGTTACGTACCGGAATACCCCACGGACTGACAGGGTGGCGGTTACCCTTACTCTTACCACGACCTCCTCCGTGAGGATGGTCGGAAGCGTTCATGGCCAGACCACGGACAGTGGGCCGGATGTTCAACCAACGGCTTCTACCGGCCTTACCCAACTGCCTGTGCTGCCATGTGGGATTGCTGACGACCCCGACGGTCGCGGCCGCATCCTTCTTCACCCGTCGTACCTCACCACTCTGTAGCCGGATAACCACACAGTCCGTCTTCTCGTCGCGGGCGATGACGGTAGCATAGGTACCCGCGGAGCGACAGAACACGGCATGGCCCTTGGACCCCGAGCCCACCGCGTGGATGAGCGTTCCGATCGGGATCATGTGCAGGGGCAGGCAGTTTCCTCTCCAGGCGGTCTTCGCGGCGAGCATACCGGGATCGACGACACCGCCCATGCTCGCGAGGAGATCGTTCGGAATGCCGGATCTGTAGGACTGGACGACATCACCAGCGCGCAGTCCATCAGCCGCGAGGATATAGCTCTTCTTCTGGGTGGCCTCGTTAGTGACGAGCGCGATGTGGCCGCTGCGCCCCGGGTCCCGCTCAATGCGGTCGACTCGGTGCGGGCCCGGCTCGACTCGGAAGAAGTCGACGGTGCGGATCCGCCGCTTGTGGCCTCCTCCGTGGTGTCGCACGGTGATGCGGCCAGTGTGATTACGCCCTCCCTTGCCGTGCCCCTTCTTGGCGATCGTGAGCGCCTTGAATGGCCCGCCCTTCCATAGGTGCTCGTTGATCGTGCGCACCAAATGTCGGACTCCGGGAGTGCGCGGCTTGTAGCGTTTCCTGGCAGGATGCGTCAGCCATCCATTGAACAAGTCCCATGCCTCACGCCCCCCATCGGTCCTCTCTCTCCCCCAATCCGCCCATCTGGCGTGCTCACATGGCAAAACCCCGCTCCTCACGGGCTGGCGGAGGAGTGAACGACGACGCCACCATGGCCGGCAACTCCATCGGAGCGGCGGAGCTGGAGACAGTTTCGGTAGCTAGGAATCTCGATGGTTGTGCGCGAAGGATCGACGGGGTGGCGCCGATGGGTGGCCGCGCGAAGAGCCTCGATAGAGGCCGTGCTAACATCATGGCGACTGCTGCTGCTACGGGCGTCGAAGACGGGGAAGCTGGAATCAGAGCTGTACAATACGTTCGGAGGGAAAACCCGCAGGCACGAGCCGCCCACCACGATTTTAATTGGAGGCGTGATTACCCGGTTGTCACTACGGCGGCGGCGGCGGGACAACCAACTGCGGGTCGGAATTTAGTTAGTGGGGCAATAACGAAGTGCCTAGCACAACGCCAAAATCACAGAAGGAACCCAACCCAACGACTTCAGAGCGTCGAGCGAGATGCTATGTGGTTCAAGAAGTACAGTCAGGAAGCACACAAACATGCATGTAACTCACCCCACGCCCTCTCCCTCCCTCTCCCTCCCTCCTCCATCCCCGCTGACATCATTCCCCAGGCCGTGCACTCTACAAAGCGCTGCTCACGCACAGCGTGCACCTACCCATAGAGCCACAACTAAGACGCAGCGCGACATCGCAAATCCGGCGGCAATTCCGCAAATCGCGGGCGTTACAAGGGCGTCCACAACGCAAAGCACTCGAGGCGGGGTACGAATACGAGTCACTTCTGCGGCGGGCATGCCAATCTGACGGCTCAGCGCTGACCTCGGTGACCACCGCGCTGGCCGCCCTCCTCGCCTCGCGCAAGGCGCGGGTCTTGGCTACGACCCGCCCTCCCTGGCCTGTACACACACCGCCGCAGCCGCCGAACCAGCTCACGCCGACGCGCAAGAAGAAGATGCTAGCGCTGACGCTGACGCCGCGCGAGAAGGCGGTGCGGTCGGCGGTGGTGCGGGCGCGCCCGCCGCGCATGGGATGTACCAATGGCCTGCCCGTGCTGAAGCGCCCCGGGAGGAAGATCCCCATGTGGGTGTCTAGCATCATCAACCAGAAGGTCAAGAGGAAGGTCCGGCATTGGGATGTCATGGCGCATGTCCGCGACAATGTCATGTACTACGCCGAGATGGAGGATATGTGGGATGAGCAGTTGGCGCGCGCGGGTCTGGTGCGCTGGATACCCGGCGATGATGCCACTTGGATGGATGGCGCGGAGCTGTATCGGGTCACCCATCAGGATTGGATGCATGCTTCCGAGAGGAGGTCGTATGCCATCACCGAGCGGTTCCAGTCGGTTATCGATACCGAGACGATACAGTACCACGAGAAACTGCGGACTGGACGGGTAAAGAGGAGGAACGAGAAGAAGAACCAGATCGCCAGGCAGATGGAGCAGCGACTCAAGGGGCTCGAGCAGGAGTGGAAGAGCATGAAGGACATGCATGGTATTGATACTTGAAAGAATTGAGATGGCCATCACAACGTATCACTGTAATCGAATCCCGACGTAAACAGCGGTGTACTATTGCTGTGGTCCGTGACGGTTTGCTACGCTCAAAATATTCCAAAAATGTCGATGCTGAGATGATAATACTCAGAACGATACAAAAAAGATCCAACACCTGAAACTCCAGACCGGCCTCCCCACCCGTCCGCCCCCAAATGAAGATGGAAACCGAACAAACTGCAAAAAAACACCCAACCCGAAACGAAAAAAGACCGTCAACAATATCTACTAGTATCCATGCTCAAAATTCCAAAACAGAAGAGGAGAGAAAAAAAACCGTAAAACAAATTCTACAGGTATCACCTCGATCCCCTCATCGCAACCGATGCCCCTTTGGTCTTCGCGCGATATCATGATATGGGTCTCCGCCATCTTCGTCCTCGTACCGCTCCATGCCAAGCAGCAGCAGCTTGATGTTGTTTCCGAATCCCACGGCCACACTCCGCTGCCCCAATTTTGTTACTGGCCCGGCCCGGCTGACGAGCAACCCGTCACCACGGCTGTCCGGATCCGTACTGTCGTGCAATGGATACGAAGTGACGACACCGCAAGAGTCCATAGTCCAGGCCTCCCACTCATCCTCCTCGTCGTCACACCGCAGATTCTTCTTCTCCAGCTGCTTCCGCCGCCTCAAACTGGATCCGCAGTGCGTCGGCGACTCGTAATCATCCGAGCTTTGGTCGTCCAGGGGCACCTCGCGACGACGAACACCGGCAACCATGTTCAACGAGGTGGGTTCCCAGCCTTCGACATTGTCGAGCCAATGGGTAGTCTCTATTACGCTTTCGAAACCGGTGCATTTGCGTTCTCGTCGATCGCGTTCGGCTCGGAGGCAGATGTCTCGCATTTTCCCCCGAGAAGACGTAAACGTGTGCATCATGAACATGCCTGATTCCCGTTCGCTGTATGCAATGGAGAAAGAGAGGACAGAGGGACATCCGCAGTAGAGGCACGTGCGCTGTTTTGCGTGAAACGCCCTGAGGGAGCCAGGCTTGAACTGACCGGTTTGAAAGGAGCGAATGATGCCGCCTATTGAATGTCAACATTAGAGACTAGACTTAAAGAAACGGGAGAGGAGAAAAACAAGTCAACTTACCAGAAAGGATATCCACCAGCTCAACATTGCAGGACCGGGAGCTGATCACCATTCCCAGCGACGAGAGAGGCAATATGGTGCATGGCTCACCGGGCTCCATAGAGGGCGATGTAAACGGCGGAGACATGAGGTCCAACTGCTCGGTATACCAGTCCCCTTGCGACTTTGCCGTGACAAATATGCGTCCCCTCTGACATGCAGTAACAATCCTGAGCGGCAATCTCGGAGTAAAGACTCCATGAGATGATGAAACCACAACTCCTTCACAGATTTGATGCCGGACAATCTCCTTGGTCTTGACGTAGACCTCGAACAAGCAGCCATCGCTCCGCAAAACGACAAGCCGCGGTCCGTGGTTTTGCTCATCGTTGAGATTCCGGGGCGCGAAGAAGAAGGCGCTAGGCTGATGGCCTTGCAGATCCACGTCCAGCGATCGATAGAGAGTCGACTTCTCAACTTGGTAGAACGAGACTTTCCCGCATTTGGGCGCAATCGCTAGCCACTCTCCCTTCTCATCGAGCGCAACACCGATGATCGGCCACAAGACGTGTTCCGCGCAAGTCGGCCGGATGACATCCTTCAAGCACGGTTGTTGATTCCCCTTGAGCTTCCACACAACGATCCGCCTATCCAGACCAACAGACACCAGTATGCCGCGAGGCGAGGCCGCAAGTACAGCCACATCGAGCGAATGGCCCTCGATCAGAGTTCGGCATTTCAGCAGCGATCCCTCGTTCTCCTTGGGCACTACGGCTTCCTCTGGCAGCTCCCTTGACAGGAAATGGTTCATCAGCAGAGTGACACCGGTCACCACGACGAGCAAAGTCAATCCAAAGAGGACCAGGTGTTCCTTGAGGACATCGATGTCTATGGTGCTGATGATGTTAGGCATCTTATCTGGCGTCTGAGCACGATCGGAACCTGCCAATTCGAAGAATATTGGGCTGTATGCCTTTGCTATGATTCTGAAGGCGTCGGGCATAGCCGCTCGCATGTGTTTGGCGGCTCGTATAAGCTCCATCCCTGTGTATTCATCCTGTTTGCTGAGCCATGCGGTCGGGGTCCTTGCGACGTTGAGCGGCATGTCATGGGTGACGTTACACTGAGAGAACCTGTTGGGATGTCGTAGCATGTCGATAAACATCATTAGCGATACCAATGGGTGTTGGTTGTCGAGGAAATGAATGTTCAAGGCCACCGCGAAACAAATCATCTACCGAATTGTGAGAAAAACAAAAGTCTGGACGGGGGTCTGGGATACCAAAAGCTTTACTTACAATGGCTGACCCAGCAATCCGGGTGCTCAATGGCGACCCGCCCCTAAACAAGAAATCCGCGACAGGGCTTGGATTCCGATCGGTCTTGTCGAGCCCTTGGAAGTCATTGTTGTCTTCGTTGGAGTTCAGGCTCATCAATCTATCCAGCGAGTCCTGCAGCTCCATACGCTGCACGTCGACACTCAGGACCGCAAGGAAAAAGGTATTGTGCCAAACGAAGTCCATTATCAAAGCAATACCGGCGAATGCACAAAACTCTCGGACGGCAGGTACCGAAATCACAGCGATAAGGGACAGGAAGCCAACATCAGTAGCCACAGCGACGAACGAAAGGAAGCCGACCTCTCCTAGAGCGCTGGATATCCTCTTGGTCGAAGGTTGCTCCGCCGGAGTCGCGAGTACCGCATTGATTAGACGGAACATATTCTCCAGCCCAATCACGATTACTATGAACGGAAATACCTCCCTGTGTATTCCGTCAGCGCCACGTAGCTTCCCCGGGCACCAAATCCGAGCTTACCTGGGAACATGTGAAACCGGGACTTTGAGCATCGCCAGAATTGTGAAGCTCGACATGATCGATGTGCAAATCTGAAGCGCTCCCGTCAGAGACTGGAATATTGGGGGGGATCCGCAGGACCAGCCATACCTGAGTGAGAGCTGTGATGACCAGACCGATTCGAGACTTCACAGCCCTCAACCGGCGCAAAGACACGGCCAAGTATACGGCTGCAGCCAAGTAACACCCGGATAGAGAGAGCATTTCGATTATCGAGATGGGTTGGAATCGGAACTATCATATATCAACGTCAAAGAAAGTTCACGGACACCCCCACCCCACCCTCCCCCCTCCTCCCTCTCGGGCTCAGCCTCCTACCTCATACAACGTGCTCTGGAAATCCTGTCCGTAAACCCGGTATCTTCCATGATCTTTTACTTCGCGGATAAGTTTTGCGGCTCGCCGGTCCCACTCTTCTCCGGCGGTCGAGTTGAGGTGATAGAACATGCTGATCACCAAAGCATCGGCGGCAATAAGCTTCTGGTGCGAAAAGTGTTTCCCGGCGAAGACGGAGGCCCATCGGAGCGTGATCTGAGCCGACGATCGCAGCGCAATTCCATCGTTCACGGTTTTGAGGATCCGGCGATCGTTCTCGACCGCCTCGAGCGAGCAGTTCCAGTAGAGCAGAGGCGAATGAAAGAACATGCTGGTGGGTATCCGCTCTTCGTCGTCCACGATGGGGATCCCCGTGACGAAGTCGTCGTAGTTGTAGTCGCTCTCGTATTCCCGGCGCGGCAACGCTGCACAGTCCGCATCCGGCAGCAGCGCCTGCTGGATCCTGAGTCCCTCCTTCAACACATCGTGCGTCAAGGCCTCCATGTAGGAGCCTTGGATCCATGCCTGCTTGATGCCTATATCCGGCGGCACGGAAGGGTAGAGGAACGGCGTTGCCGACGTCCAGACATGATGGGTGACGGAAGAGGGACCGGGAGCACTATTGAAGTACAGAAACAGCGACGGATAGCAGAAAATGACCGACAGAGTGACCGACAGAACGATGTAGAGAGTGGGATGCCGCGAGATATTGGCGCCATGCTTTTCGAAGAGAATCCGCAGCGGCGATGTGGCAGCAAGTCGCGGTGGCTGGGACGTGTGCCTCAGAGGAGAAATCAGAGTCCAAAACTACGGAGAAGCGCAAGCGAGTCAGCTTTCAAAGGGTTCGAGGGTGGCGATAGGGAACGAATGCTACGGAGCCCAAGGGCGACGGTTCGACGACGTTTTTCGCGTACCATATGGAACTTTTACGGTGAGTTTCGAGGCATTAGGTTTAAGTAGAGAGAGAAGGGAAAAGAAAAATGACGGGTTTGAGAGGCGTTGCAGGGGAGGTAGGTCTGTAACTACTTCGCACTGTAGAGCACGGGAAGAGGTGTAGGTAGGTAGAGTAGAGAGTTATGTATCTACGGGGGTGGATATGGACTTTTTTTTCGATTCGGGGGGTGGGAGGGGGGGTCACAAGGAAAGACAGCGACACACAGAACGATCGGCGTCGGAGGGCAGCGGCGACGGGATGGGGCCCAGAGAGGGCTGACCAGATTATGCACTCTAGAGAGCCACTTGGGGGGTTAACAAAGCTATAGGTTGGTAGGAGTATGGTATGTAGTTCGGCACTTTGGACTCGCGGACTCGAGGCCGAGCCAGTCAACCCAAGCGGAGACTTGGCCTTATGTTGGTTTTTTGGCGTTGAGGTGGCCCGGTATGTGGAAGGAGAATTTGAAGTTTCAGTGCAGTGCAGTGGCAGTTGCAATTGGAGGGGCCAAGTGTCACGGCGGAAGGACGGAGAGGGAGGGATGTAGAGTATGTTGAATTTGATCGATTAACGGAGGGAATAGTTATCACAAGGAGGACCGACCCACAGAGGGGGCGGGATGGGAGGGAGAGGAGGCGAATTGACACAGTTCTAGTTATACGGGATTCAACCTCATAGGTGGCGGCCGCCTCCTCTTCCTCCTCCTACTCTTCGAGTACGAGCAAAGGCGATACCGAGAATAGAGTACCTCCTACCAAGCGGTGGCAAGAATTCCGGCCATGCCAGCAGGCAAGCAGCAAGCAGGCAGACAAGACCAGACAGGTCAACTTGGGGCGAAGAGCGGCAAGCGATCGGTACTCTAAAATAAATTACCCGGTGCCAGCCATCCATGGCCTGGCCATCAGAAAGAAAGAAAGAGAAAAAAAGAATTCACAATTCGCGACACGAATTGTATTCTTATGTAGATACAGACGGCAGATGCCGAAGAAAAGGGAAGGGGGGAAGGGAGAAGGGGAAGGGGAAGGGGGACTTGATGACTTGTGAGACCCTGTCAGCGCATCATCACCATCATCACCCTTCCCGCATCGCAGGCATCCCAACATTATCTGTTCCCAACAACAACGACAACCATCCTTTCACGAATGTCCGTGAAGTAACCAAGTAACTCTCTTTCTCTACTGTAAGAGTGCGCACATCTGTGCATACATATCTGCAACATAAGTACATACCGGTACTCCATCGATTCTCCATCGCCGCTTCTCCGATCAGCATTTCGATAGGGATGCCGATGCTGGCCGATAGTTGGATAGTTAGCGGTCTGCAACTGCCGATACATAGCGGCGGGGCTGTCTCACAGTCCCACTGCTACGGAAATCCATACGTTGCTGATCTTCCCGACGTTACTTGGCGAACACTTTCCGCCGGAAGGAGAGAACACAAGCGGCCTGGAGACTCGAGAGATCCTCTCCGGCCTCAACGGTGAGGACGAGAAATCACATTGCACACAAACAGTGGCCCCTATCTATCCTCTCATCTGGCCAGGTAGGTTCTCGGTTCTCAATTTTCGGTTCTCAGTTTTCAGTTTTCGGTGATGGACCATGGTGTAGGTGGGTATAAAGAGGTCCGTGGCACTTTCTTTATGCACGAGCAGTGTCACGCCTGCAGCAGCAGAAGCAAGCAGCAGTAACTGACGGCCCGACACAGCTAGTTAGCTAGATATCTACATGCTGACTAGCTGGAACCCGAGACGAGACGAGGACATGGTTTCCCTTGAGCCCCCCAGGGCCCAGGGGGAGGAGGGGCAGCATCGCTTATTCGGAGCTGCGGAAGATGCAATCATGCGCTAGTACTCGGCGAGGAGCCGGTATCGGGCTGCGCGGCTTGATGGGTTGGATAGAAACGGAGGGAATGTGGGCATCGTACGCCGTCATGGTCTGGATAAGTAGTTGGGCTGGATTCAAGTATGATCGAACTGAAAGGAAGAGAGAAAAAAGCGGGTTCATGGTACGGTAGATAGGGCTGACGAAACGGAAAATATGCAGGTAGATAGTCGGTCACTCAGATTCACGAAGAACACTCAAGATTCGAGAAGATCCGGAACATCTGCGAGACAGGCATCGGAAGCGATGAGATGCCGTCTGCTCAAGCCTCAGAGTACACTACATACTGAGCCACTCCGCAGCCGGGATCAATCACACCGGGGGGAAACGCATCGTAAAGGCGCTCACAAAAGCTCCGTTTATATCTATGTAAGCAGTACGGTCCTGTGCTTAGGGCTGCCTATCTTGCTCTGCCCAAGTAGGTACGATGCGTACAAACATACAAATCATAAAAATCATACATACGAGTGCCGCTTGCGTCTCCCCTCCTCCTACGATATGTCCCATTAGCCGCCCGCTGGGCCGAGATCTAGGTATGTTTGTATCTATGTAGGGGTTTCTTCACGGGAGTGATAGTTAACAAGTAGTGCTGATGTCGACGTACTGGAGGTAGGGTTCTCCGAAGGGGTTAGCCGACAGACGGACGAAACGAGGCGGTAGTTGAGCGTGCGCCGTGCCGTGCAGTGCAGTTCAATGTATGTGAGTAAGTTGAGTACTACACTAGAGTGAGTAAGGCCCTATTCGCGCACCCATTATCTCATCCTGCTACCACATAAATTTGAAAACCATTTTTCCACTCATAATTTGAGTGTTCGCTACAACCCAATATCTCACCCATTATGTCAAGTTGGGCTGCGCCACAATAAAAAAAGGGGGGGAGTCTCCAACCTCAACCTCAACCACTACCATCACCACGATAATTCAACAATTGGAACAGCAAAAAAAAATATTGAAGAGATCGGAAAAGTGTTTACTGCTGACTCGGCAGGAAACTTGATTCCTCGGCAGGATTTGGAACTTCTGGAAGCTGAAGACTATGGAAGCGATGGGTTTTATTACAAGTGTCATCCGGGAAGCATTGCAAGAGTCAATCAACTCACACAGTTACAGTCATTGAAAGAATGACTCTAGTAAGTGGAGAAATGACTCTAGTCAACGAGCAGGAATGACTCCAGTCACCAAGTAGGAATGACTGAGTAAATCCGCGAGACTCCCAGCCATTTTTCCATTGCATTTGAGGCTGAGGACACGTATTACATGATGGTTCACTTCCGCTCGCTACTCTTACTGGCTAGCTTCTATGTAGCACCTGCAGTAGATGTGGCGTCGCAATGTCTAGTTCAGAAGTCTGTGCGCCGAATCGACATAATGCTAAAAGCATTATGTCGCGCTAAAGGCTTGGCACATCCACATAATGAGATAATGGTGTGCGCGAACAGGGCCTAAGTAAGAAATACTTACCTGGGTGGGTACTTGCGCGGGTACTCGATCTTACTTAACCGGTGCGGGCGGAGATTCGAATTCGCCGCACGGCCTTGAACCTCCGCGCGCGATGCCATGTACTCACTGTACATACGGTACCGGTACTCTGGGGTGTAATCGCATAGCCATGTATCCGCCCCGCCCCTCCCCCGGGCCCTTCCACCCATGTCCTCAAGGCCATCTACAGTAGGTAAGGCAATCATATATGGGCAATACACACATACATACTGCACCGTCTGTACAGGCCCGCAGGGACTGCCATTATAGGTATTAAACCTCTTGAGAGTATAAAGGTAGGGTTGGAACAACGGTGCCTGTTCGGTAACAATCCCAGATGCTGGTGCGCTGCTATATAACACACCTTCATACCTACCAAATCATACCTACCAAAGCACCCACTTCACCAACTTACTCTATTTGCCTACGCATCCCGGGCCCATCCTACAGCTCTCAAAGCCTTCTGCGATGGATCGTTAGATCATCATCGTCCGTTGCGTACATACTTCCTACATATCATACCTCCGGATATGTTTGTCGGCAGTACGTTTCGGTGTTTTCTGGACTGGCTGTTTGCCGTTTGCAGTGGAGCAGTGGAGCGGTTTGCAGTGAAGAGAGAAATATCTCAACCAGCCAATCAGACTTTCGCCATAACCAACTACTCGGCGAGTAATCCGTCCAGATCCCGAAACCGACCTACACTGCCTGTATATAAGTGTGGAACAATTTGCAATGTGGAGAGTAGCGTACCACCAGCTTGGGTGCCGTAAACCTAGGGATAATACCTAGGCGGTCCCGTTCTAGGACAACCTCCGAAGTCTGGATCCAGCTGGCTGGCGTGTAAAGTAACTACCGCAACCCCCCTCCCCCCACCACGTGCGCGGCAGTCCTCGTCTCCGTCCTCGTCCCCGTCCCCGGAGGCTCGAGGTTTCCAGTTGATTACACACGATACATGCTCGCCCCCGCCGCGCATAGTTGTGGTGTATTGTACATAATCATTTCCCACCTACCCATAAGGCTCTGCAACTCCCCCTCGAATCCGTGCAGATGATGTATACTCTACCATACTCTATTGAAGTGGCCATAGAGCCTGGAGGAGAGAGTCTCTAGAGAGGCACTCACTCACGCCGATTTCCTGTTTAGTTACCTACACATCCCTAGAGTGGTTATGTAGTGGGCACGGGACGCGCAGATCTCCCGCGCCCAGCTAACGAAGCGAGGAGAACGCTGAACGCCGAACCTCAGACGTTCGTCGCCAGAGGGCAGGATGAGCTGCGGCTGGGGCTTTGTTGGTCGGTGGTCTGCGCTTCCAACAGTGGGCTTGGGTTGGGCAGGTGAAGCTCTGTATCTACGGGTGTGAATACCGCCTACCTATGTGCGATTGACGGGAGGGACTGAATTGGGGGTTTCGTTCCTCTCGGGGACTCTCGCTTCGCTTACTCTAGTTATCGTGGTCAACTATCGAGTGGGAGGATGTGAACATCCTCCAGATACGGTACCTACGGTAGGCATGAGGGAAATCATCTTTGAAGCCTGAGATGATCACTACTACCATACTGCTATTCTAACACCCGGCTCCGCAATAGCAAGACCCGAGTGATAGCGACATAACGCTGGTACTTGTCGCCGCACCTTCGACCTCTCACTCAGAGCTTGGTTGAGGAGCTTCAACATAACTGCACCATCTTGCGTGATATCTAAGGCCAGTTGATCCCAGATTCCTGAGTGATCCCTTGGGTTAACCACTGGTTGCTGGTTGGAGTTTCGGTGAACAAATTGGGCATTGTACTTAACTGAGTGATGAACTTCGAAAATTCAGTCAGTCGGCAGACCTAGAATAGGCATTGTGAGGCTGCATCGTTGGCATGTCATCGGTGGACGGCGCAACAGTCAATCGCCAACTGCAACTGCAATTGCTACTGCAACAGTGAATCACTCGTGACTAGCGGCGGAAGCCAAGTTCCAAGCTCCAAGCGCACTAACTAAACCCTATGCAGCGTGCGCACGGCGCACGCGGTAACTACTAGTATTTACCCTGAAGATGGCGGGGCAACTTCTAGTTCAGTGTAAGCCTAAAAAAATATCCGCCCCACCAAGGCTCAAGCACGCCTCCGCCTCGCGCCTCCCATCCCACCTCCCGCAGCACCCTACCACAGTACCACCCAATGCCCTCGGCAAACATCTGGATCGCCGCCTCCGACGGCGACATAGTGAGCGTAGGTCAATTCATCGCGGCGGACCCCACGATCGTTAACCGCAAAGACGAGAACGGCTGTGAGTTGTCACTCACCACCTCACCACCTCCCCACTTCCCTCCCCACATCCCCACCTCCCCACCACCCCCCACATCCCCCACCGCAAACTAACGGAGTGTAGACACGCCCCTCCACGCCGCCGCGTCCTACAACCACGTATCCCTCCTGCGGTCACTGGTGCGCAGCCACGGCGGGAACGTGAACCTTTCTGACGACGACGGGGACACGCCGCTGTTCGTCGCCGAGACTGTCGAGACCGCGCGGTGCCTCGTCGAAGAGCTCGGCGCTGATGTCGCGCATAGGAATCATGCGGGTTTGACTGTGGGTCTTCTTTCTCGAGGGGAGAGGGGGAGGGAGGGCGGCTGATAAGAGTGCGAAACAGGCGGCGGAATCGATAGAAGACGATGGCCAGCTGCCGCTGGTGGCAGCGTACCTGCGGGAGAAGATGCCTGCCACCGCCGCGGATGGAGAGAATGGCGTCCTGTCGTCAACGCCGACGCCACCGCCGCCGGAGAATGTACAGGTCAGCTATACTACGATGGATCTGGCCGAGGATTTAAGTCTTCCGGTGGACGACGAGCTGCGGCGGAGGATCGACGAGTTGGCGCAGCGCGGCGACTTTGAGAGCGAGGAGACACAGCGCGAGCTGAGGGAGCTAATAACAGGAGTCATGAGGGATCATGTAACGGAGCTCGATGCGCAGCGGAATGTCAGGCCACGGCAGGATGAGCAATAATGGTCGTTTCTTCGAATCGGAGGGGTTACATAATACCAGAAATATGCTTAAATTCATGTCTATATTCCGAGAAGAAATCTAGCTCCACCACGCACACAGGTATCTAAGTGTCTATTCTCCGTACAGCCCAGCCGAAAGAAAACATCTACACGTCAAGACTTAGGCGTCACCCATCGCCTTCCAGTAATCGACGACCGTGTTGAAAACAACCAACAGGATTCCTCCTCCGGGTCCGAGACGGAGCACCTTGGGGATGAAACCCTTGTAGAGAGCAGCGAATCCCTCCTCTTTCGCCACCAACAACACCGACGGCACGGTCCAGTTATACTTGGGAATCACACCCTTGACACGGGTAGTGTTCTGGATCCGCGACTTGACGACGTCGAAACTGCTCTACATTAGGATGCCGTATACGTGAGGGTCAGGGTTGACATACGGAGTGTTGACAAGCGTTCCAACTGTACCACCGATGGCACCAGCAATGAAGTCGTTCGTCATCTGTCCCCGCTTGGTCTCCTGCTTGGGCAGCAGTGACCTGATCTGGTGAATGCACCCAAAGTAACCAGCGTTCCATGTGACGTGCCTCCACATCGTGCTCTCGAGACCGTTGTACAGAGCCAACACACCCTCGTTCTTGATGATCTTCTTGAGAACATCGAACATGCCGTTGTACTTGCTAGCCGAGGCCTTATCTTGTAGGCGGATCTTGATCAGCTCGAAGGGGACGACGACGAAGGACTCGGTGGCACCGGCGGTAGCACCGGTGAGGACAGAGAGGGCCTGGGTCTGCTGGGTGGTGCCGAAAGCGTTGCGGTAGATCTCGCCCCACTTATCATTCGCGGCGAACTTGGTAGCCCTGCACACTCGCACGCGCGATTAAACTACGGCCGGTGTGGGGGAAGACCAAGGTTCTCGTACCTCTTGGGAGCCTCCATCATGATGGGTGCCGAAATGCCACGGTACAGGCGCGCGAACCTAAAACCTGCATTAGACCCTCTGCGCACGCGGGCCCGCTAATATGGTGGGGTAAACAACTAACCCTTCCTGCTTAATGATCTTCTTGAAGCAGTCGACCATGCCATTGTACCTATCGTTGCCGACCGCGGTGTGATCTTGGAGCTGTCTGTAGGCGCACATACCATGGGTCAGAGTGTGTGTCGTGTGCGCTTCCGGATCGGATCCTCGAGGGTGACACTTACACGCGGGTCTTCACGACGTCCAATGGGTACCTAGATTGCAGGATCGCATGTCAGTGTCGGAATCATGGGTAGTTGTGGGTTCCACAATTGGCAGGAATCTGCAGGGAACCGTAAGGAACTGACATCGTGAGAATCTATTCCCGAGTCAGTCACAGGAGAACGACCACTGCTTGCTACAATTCACAGGAACACGAGCTCACCTCCGAGATACCCGCAATCGCGCCTGTGCACCGCGAAGAGCAAAGATCAGCATCTACGCACAGACACCAGTGCACGCCTGGGATCTCAAAGGGAAGAAGTTACCGGCCGTCAAGGTGACGGAAAAGGGAATTGAACCGCCCTTCTTGTCGGACATGATGGATGAGTTGTCGGGGGTAGGATGTCTGTGTTTAGAACGATAGTGTTGAGGGGACGGAGAATGGGGATCTGAGGAGAAGAAGAAGAAGGAGAGGTTCTGTGGTTATGTTCTTTCGGATCTTCTGTGTTGCCCTCTGCTTGTCAGTTATCTAGCGGAAAAAATGTGTCCGTAATCCGAACTAGTAACACCAGAAGCGGGAAGTGGGGTGCACAGAAACTAGCGAGTGCGACACCTTGACTCTGTCTCTGCGTCGGCGATACCTAACCCTCTATGAACTCTCCTGAATGGAGCTCCTCCTCGAACCTAACCCTCGACCACTGATTCATATTAGTCCGATTCATGTGATGTTCATCGAATCGCTGCTGCACTCGAAGATATCGCTGAAGACAGTCCCGTACCCCCACTCCACATGTGGCGTATTTATGCACGCTGGGACAGGGTAGTGGCGCTCGGCAGGGGCGTTGGAGGTGATGTATGCATGGGTAATCTAGAGTACCTACGGTATGTATAGAGCCATGATACCTGGTCGGAAGAAGAGATTCTCGTTGAAGCTGGATGGCAGATGTGAGATATATACTCCCGTGAAGCCACCAGGCAGCGATGCATCATTACTTTCTACGGGTGGTCGGTTGGTAGCAATCTGGTGTTTACCGCAGGACTCGACTCGACAATGACTACTGATCACTGACTAGCATATCGGGTCATTCGAGGCGGGCTGTCATGCACCAATAAGCGTGTACTATACTTGATCCCCCGCGTGATCAGCTGCCTATCGAGGAACCCGTAGAAGAGAAAGGCACGAGATGTTTGTACCTCTGTTCCCGCAGAATAGAGCCATACATTCTCACCTACCTATATCCGATTGCAAGCACTATCGTCGTACATATACGATGTCCTTTAGAGCATCGAGTCCCTCTCATGCCTGGGCCCTGCTCTCCCCGCAAAATAGTACGTAGGGATCTCGCTAGTGCTAAGAAATCACATCGAGGCTCATTCCTATCCGGGACGATGTAAAGCCTGCGCGTTAAAAACAACTTGTGCAAGTGTCCATCCATCGCGACGCGTTGTCCGTCCCGCCCCATTTTCTGCCCCCAACACCGCCGTTCGCAACAATTGCCACGGCCAAAAAGCTTCGTTCATTTACTACTTACTACACCCACTGCACGACCAAACCTTCAGCTGCTCCCGGCTATTTTACTGCCATACGTACTCGCTGTTCGGATTCCCACTTCGACAGGACTAGAAAGTCGATATGAATCGCAAACCAACGAAGAGCTTCTTCGAGCAGGACAATTCCACAAAGGCGAGCTCACTCCCTTCACAACCATGATCTGTTTTACATTCTGCTACAGAATATAGCAGCTAATGTCCCCGAAGGCCAAGTCAGGATATCGGAAGAAGGCGGTCGGCGGCAACACATCCTCACGACCCAGTAATAGTAATTCATCATCATCATCACTCCCCGCGTCGAAAGATGCAAAGTCGAAATTGAGCGGATTCGCTTTCGCCAAACCTGCCACGCCGAGCACATCATCACAAGCAGACGATCCCGACCTCGATACGACCCCTCGTCACTCATCGGCTCCCGTGATCGAATTGGATGTGCCTGCGGATGTGCCTACTCCCATCAAGACAGTCGCTGGCGATGTCGAACCAGTGCAACTACCCACGCCACGCCGCCTTAGATCTCTTAGTGACCTACCAGCAACTCCAAAGCCACGACTGAGTATCGAGCACCTCCTCACCGACGAAGAGAAGGCATTCCCCGACAGCCAGCCTGATGATCGGAACGAGGTCCGCGTGACCTGGGAGAGGTCAACACCGGGCGTCCGAATGCGTCACAAGCGGGCTGCCAGTAGCTCACCACCACCCATTCGCACGCCACTCGGCAAGCGACAAGCCATGTTGTCGAAACCAACAGACGATCCTGCAATGGAGCTTTGGAAGAAGTATGGTCTTGGGATGGATGCTGGACTGAGGAAGGACCGGCCCGCCAATCCTGCCGTTAGATTGTTTGCCCCTGACCGGGAAGATCGATCTCCGTCCAACCTTCGGCGAGGAACCTCAAGCGAAACGCCTGCCACGCTCAACCGGCTGAAGAGGAGGAAGACTCAGTCGTTCGAGCTGTTCCGTGAATCGGAGTCACTGGAATCTGGTCTTGATATTCCGGCAGGGACGATAAAGAAGGCCTCGCGGCAGGAGCGTGTTGTGAGCTTAATGGACCAGGTCAAACAGAGCATGAAGCAGAAGGCTAGAGGGAAACTACCAATCCTACCATCCTCACCCCCACCGCATGCCGATTCTGAAGATCCCCCACAGTCGTCTCCGTTACATCGCAGTCTTGCGGCGCCACCACAACCATCAGCAGTTTCGACAAACATTAGCACAACCAATGACTCGGATTCGGAAGACTTTGGAGATTTTGACGACGCGGATATTGACATGGAGTTCATTGAGAAGGTTGAAGAGATTGAACGCATTGCGTCCACTGCCCGTCAGTCCCAGGCTCTCGCGCAGTCTCAAGCTCTCGAACAGCATACCTCTCCTCCACCGCAACCGGTTCCTCCACCACCACCACCGCAATCGCTCGCTCAGCCCGAGGCCGCGACGGTCCTCGACGAGTTTAATGAATCCGGCGACGACGACTTGTTCGGCAGCATTGAATTCCAAGAGCTTGTGGCACAGTACGATGCGCCAGTGAAGGTTGGTGGCAACGGGTCCCCACACAAACGGTAGATGGGGGAGAAATGGGAATTGTCGATTAACTTCTTTGTTTTTGTGCCTGCGAAGGGAAATGCTTCAAGCAGTAGAATAAAGCGGTTTCAAGTAGTTGAAGTGTCCGAAGGACCATATGAACTGGATACTCGTAAAGCATCTCGAGTTCAAAAAGTTTGTAATGAAACTTCCATAGCGAATTGATTTGGTGATGGTCGGGGACAACGTTGTGCTGATATTTTCCGCTTTTTCTTCCACCCAGATTGTGCGCGTCAGGGACGTGGCGTCAAATGGTCTCTACAGGGTGATGCTGAGGGACTCGTGGGCGACTGCTACCACTGTATCCACTGGTGTATTCGTCCACATCGTTGGAAGTTTCGACGAGCATGGCGTCTGCGTGGTTGACAGCAGCCACAACTACATCATCGTGAACCCCGATTTCCTCGTCTCTGCAACGACCGTCGCCGACACAGTGTCATGCATGAGGAAGGCCGCGCTCCAGGAGCGAGTCAAGGCCACGGGTGACATCAGCAAAGCGATGGTCTATGGAAACGTCCTGCACGCATTATTCCAAGCAGCGCTGGAGGAGAACGATTTCTCGAATGAACGCCTGAATGCACACATCATCCGGGTCTTGACTGATAACATCGAGAGCCTCTTCCTCTTGCGCGAAGAGATGCCCGTGGCGATCGCCCACGTCCAGTCGAAAATTCCGCTGATACAGGAGTGGGCGAAGCTGTTTGTGTCGGCGAAACCAAATGTGCGTTTTGCATCTCCTCCCTCTGCGGCGGATGAAACCACGCTGACTGGCTTGGCGTAGGCCAAAGCGACGGTTGCCGACCACCGCGGTACGACTACGCCCATCGTCGCGATAAACAAGCTGCTCGATATCGAGGAGCACATCTGGTCGCCGAAATACGGGCTGAAGGGCAATATCGACGCCACAGTACAGGCAATCATTGTCGAACCCGGCACTGGAAAGACCGGTAAGGGCAGAAGCGTCTCGAAGACTTTGACGGTACCTTTGGAGCTCAAGACCGGCCGCATGCAGTCGATGGCGCATCGGGCACAGACGATGCTGTACACCCTGCTGATGTCGGATCGCTACGATATCAGTGTTGGCGGTGGACTGTTGTACTATATGGAGACCAACGAGATGATACGCGTTCCAGCCATCAGGAACGAGCTCAGGGAGCTGGTCATAAAGAGAAATCAGGTGGCGCATCACATCTGTAATCGCGAGACGCTGCCAGAAATGCTCGAGGATCAACATACGTGCTCTAGGTGCTACGCAAAGACCTCATGCTTTGTCTATCATAAGGTGATTTTGCATCTGGTGTGGAAATTGTTAGAGTCTCTCACTAATGGAGTTTGGACAGTTGCTCGAAGACGGAACGCCCGAGAGCAGTGGTGTGATGAAACCGTTCATAGAAAACACGGAGCATCTGAACGACAAGCACAAGGCGTTTTTCAAGCACTGGGACACGCTCCTCACCAAGGAGGAGAAAGGCTCCGTGCGCTTCCGCCGGGAAATGTGGACGATGACCAGCGCCGAGCGCGAAGCCGCCGGCCGCTGCTTCGGCGAGCTCGTCATCGTGCCTGAATCCATCGCTGTAGACGAGAGCAAGCAGCGGATCAACAAATACACCTACAGCTTTGAAAAACCTAGTTCGACTAGAGAGTTCAGCTTTATCGAGTCGCAGCTCACCGAGGGCGATCCCATCGTCGTTTCGGACGAAAAGGGCCATATCGCGCTGGCTATCGGTTACGTCTTCCAGGTCCGCAGGGATAGAATCACGGTCCAGGTGGACCGTCGCCTGCATAATGCGCGTACCCGCCAGAATAATTTCAATGCGGACAGTTACCAGGTCTTTAACGGCATTGTGGAGGTGAATGGTACCCCTAGGACACCAGCTGCTCTGTCACAACGACCAAGTGAAAGGGAAGAGATCTTCTACCGCATCGATAAAGACGAGTTCAGCAATGGCATGGCTGGTGTCCGGAATAATCTCATCCAGATTATGGCCAAGGAGGCTAATAGCAAGTACCGTCGACTCATTACCGAACTCCTGCCGCCGGAATTCAAGGAATCGCCGACTGCGTACCAGCTGGACGAAGTGCCTGGCGCTGGCTCGTTGAATGAGGACCAGAAGAACGCCGTTATCAAGGTCATGAGTGGTTAGTTCATCGATAACTGCTCTGGGAGCTTTGCTGATTCGTGATTATAGCTCGCGACTATGCGCTTGTCCTTGGTATGCCTGGTACGGGAAAGACAACAACCATAGCACATATCATCCGGGCACTAGTATCGCAGGGCAAGAGCGTATTGTTGACATCGTACACCCACACTGCTGTCGACAACATTTTGCTGAAGATCAAGAACGAGAAATTTGGTATCCTGAGACTGGGGTCCCGTGCAAAGGTATGTTCATACGCAAGGTGCAGACCAGATTGGGCTATGCTGACCGTCTTGATCGCCCAGATTCATCACGAGGTGCAGAATTTCGCGCAGCTGGCGGATACTCGCTATACCACCTTTGAGGAGTTGCGGATAGCTTTCAACCGACCAAAGGTGGTTGCAACAACCTGCTTGGGTATCAACCAGTGAGCTTCTTCTTCTCCCCCCGATCATCGCTTGCTTGCTATGCTAACAGAGGTTTTCCGTAGTCCTATCTTCAGCGAGAGACAGTTCGATTACTGCATTGTAGACGAAGCGTCCCAGATCACGCTGCCAGTGTGCCTTGGACCAATCCGGCTCGCCGAGGCATTTGTCCTTGTCGGTGACCACTACCAGCTACCGCCACTAGTCAAGAACCCCGAGGCCAAAGAAGGCGGGCTGGATATTAGTCTCTTCAAGCTGCTCTCGGAAGCACAGCCGCAGGCTGTCGTCAGCTTGGAACATCAGTACCGCATGTGCGAGGAGATCATGACGTTGTCGAATGAGCTTATTTACTCGGGAAGGCTCAAGTGTGGTACTCCGGAGGTGGCGAAGCGGGCTCTGAAAATACCCGACGAAAAGGGATTGAGGAAGCTTCACAGGGACAACGATAGCACTAGTTACCAGAAGAAGTGTTGGCTGAAGGACCTGTTTGCTGAGGGCGTTAAGGCTTGCTTCGTGGATACCGATCGGGTTCCGGCAAGAGAGGTGAAGAAGGGTGATAGGACGATCAACCCCGTTGAAGCGGAGCTCACATATCAGGTAATTCCTTTAGGAGAGAAAGAGTGAGAGAGAGGAATCACGCTAACAAAAACTCAGCTTGTTGAAGGCTTCCTAAGTTGCGGTGTCGACCCAAGTTCAATCGGAGTTATCACCGTGTACCGCTCGCAGTTAAAAACGATTCAGCACCTCCTCCGGCACCGCGAGAAGGTCGAAATGCACACGGCCGACAAATTCCAAGGCCGGGACAAAGAGATCATTGTGATATCGCTTGTCCGCTCCAACGACCAAGGCACAGTGGGCGAGCTCCTGCGGGACTGGCGTCGGATCAACGTTGCATTCACCCGGGCCCGGTCGAAGCTCATCATTTTGGGATCGCGATCAACACTGAGCTCGAACGACCTGCTGAAGGATTTTGTGGGGCTGATGGAGAGGAATTCCTGGGTGTACACGCTTCCCGCAAATGCTCATCTTCACCATGTTGCTGCGGAATCGATGGGTGCCGCTTCTCCGAAGCGCACGAGGCAGACGACTGGAAAGGAGAATCAAAGATCGCCAAAGAGAATCGGTGGAAAGGTGCCGCAGGGCTTCTTGAATAGCAGGCCGATTTTGAAGGATATCATGAACGGCGGATAGTCCTGCGGATTTCTGATTTTGGTTGATTACTTCTTGCTTAGTAGAGTGGATTGAATTGGAGTACTGGCGGTATCGAGATTTTGGAGTTTGAGATTTTATTTTTGACGTTTTGTTTATTCTTTTTATGCCGCTTGGATACTTTTTGGTGTGCTGTAAATATTGTGGGGTTTCTGTATTCGTACTTCAGGATCTACACTATAACCAATACCGCTTGACTGTCCCTGCGAAATGTCCCTGGGCAATGTCCCTGGAGAATCCATAAGCATGTTCTAGGCCCGCACATCTTTTCCACATTAATTCGCCCTCAAATGGTAGATATTACTCATTCCAATCCGTCATGTGATCACGCGCAGTGCAACTTTACACGCTTTGCCACCGCACCCTCAGACGACGCATCCGCATCCGCCCACACCCATACCCATTTCTCTTCCATCACTACCACCACCATCATCCATCATCACCACCCATTTCGAACATACTGGCAACAGAAAACCGTAGCAAATACGACGACGACGACAATGAGTGCTGAAGATCCGCAAGAAGGCTCTCAGCTCGATGACACTGCTTCGCAGTTCGGAGGTCCCGGGGCTCCTACGCCGCTAGCCCAGCTCGAGGTACGGATCACCTCCGGCAGCGCATGATTTCCCGAGATTTGCTGACGTCTCCGCGCAGGGGAATGGCATCAGTGCGCGCGACATCAAGACAATCATCGAGGCGGGCTACAACACCGTCGAGTCGATCGCCTACACGTACATGAATCCGCGGATCCCTGGCGGGGCAATCGCTGCAGCAGCATGCTGACATTATTGCGCAGACCGAAGCGGGCGCTCCTGACGATCAAGGGGATATCGGAAGCGAAGGCCGACAAGCTGATCCTGGAGGCGTCGAAGCTCGTTCCGATGGGGTTCACGACGGCGACGGAAATGCACCATCGCCGGAGCGAGCTGATTTCCGTCACCACGGGGTCGAAGCAGCTCGATACCCTCCTGGCCGGTGGCGTCGAGACCGGAAGTATAACCGAGATCTTTGGTGAGTTTCGAACGGGAAAATCGCAGATTTGTCATACGCTGGCGGTCACCTGCCAGTTGCCGTTCGATATGGGCGGCGGTGAGGGGAAGTGCCTCTTCATCGATACCGAGGGCACGTTTCGTCCGGTGCGGTTGTTGGCGGTCGCGAACAGGTTCGGCCTGAACGGCGAGGAGGTCCTGGATAATGTTGCGTATGCGAGGGCGTACAACTCGGACCATCAGCTGCAGCTGCTCAACCAAGCGGCGGCGATGATGACCGAAACCCGGTTCTCGTTGCTGGTGGTAGATTCCGCGACGTCGCTCTATCGTACCGATTTTGCAGGCAGAGGAGAGCTCTCGGCCCGCCAGGCGCATCTGGCGAAGTTCATGCGGACACTGCAGAGACTTGCGGACGAGTTTGGAATTGCCGTTGTCATCACCAACCAAGTCGTCGCGCAGGTCGACGGCGGTGGAATGTTCAACCCCGACCCGAAGAAGCCGATCGGTGGTAACATCATTGCCCACGCATCCACCACCAGATTGTATCTGCGCAAAGGAAGAGGAGAGACCCGAGTATGCAAGATTTACGATTCACCGTGCTTACCTGAGTCGGAGTGCATGTTTGCCATTCACGGTAAGCCATTCCTCTATCCATGATTCCTGCGGATCATCGCTGACATTATTGCAGAGGACGGCATTGGCGATCCTTCGCCGAAGGACATGGAGAGCTGATTAGATCTCTTGGCGGACTGGGACTGGCGATTGTTTTCTTGCTATGTGCTTGTCTTGATGAACTCACGAATAATTTTGCTGCTGTAGGAAGCGTAAAAGGGAAATGGAGTTTCTTTGGCTGCTTTGTACTGTACTTTACTTTGACCAATCGAATCGATAGATGATCCGATCCAGAAAGACGAGTGATGCGACATTGTATCCACATTTTAGCATTAGTCATGCGGCTGACAGTCTTGGCGGATGTTGTGAGGCGCCTGCTACCCACTACTATCACTACTACGCAACTAGCTTCTTAACCTCCATCATCACCTCCAAGCTGCTTTCAGTTTAATCATCCATCATCAATCATCAGATTTCGATCACCCTCGTCACGAACCTCGAGCTTACCAGTACCTGTCGACGACCATACTCTGAAATATGGTACCCACCTCACCTATCCTCCGCTGGCGGCAATCGGGCGGACACATGGCGTTCTTGGGATAGTTGGCTGACCATGTGTCTGATATGTAGGGTCAAGGACAATCCGGAATGGGCGGGGCCCCTGGTGGGGACGCCGGCAAAGATCAGAAGGACCAGAAGGTACGGGAGTCATTCCCTTGAAGCTCTCGCCACCCGCGGAGGGGAGGGGCAGTAGCTAACTGTTACCAACAGAAAGACAAGCCCAAGTACGAGCCGCCTCCACCAACCACCCGCGTCGGCCGCAAGAAGAAGCGTCTTGGTGGCGGTCCGGATGCTGCCAACAAGCTCCCCACGGTTTTCCCCAACGCGCGCTGCAAGCTGAAGCTGCTCCGGATGGATCGCATCAAGGACCACCTCATGCTCGAGGAGGCGTTCGTGACGAACGAGGAACGGTACAGGGCTTCGAAGGGCGAGAAGGGAGGTCTGGAGCAGAGGCAGGAGGAGGAGAGGGGTAGGGTTGATGATATGCGTGGAAGTCCCATGGGTGTCGGTACGCTAGAGGAGATGATTGATGACGACCATGCTATCGTTTCGAGTACTACGGGACCTGAGTATGTGCGAGGAGTATCTGTTGGGTTTGGGGGCGTGCTGACTCGATTTTTTCAGGTACTACGTCTCTATCATGTCCTTCGTCGACAAGGACCTGCTCGAGCCCGGATGCTCTGTCCTGCTCCACCACAAGACCGTGTCGATCGTCGGTGTGCTTACGGATGACTCGGATCCCCTCATCACTGTGATGAAGCTCGACAAGGCGCCGACCGAGTCTTACGCCGATATTGGAGGTCTGGAGCAGCAGATCCAGGAAGTTCGGGAATCCGTCGAGTTGCCACTGCTCCACCCCGAGCTGTACGAGGAGATGGGTATCAAGCCCCCGAAGGGAGTCATTCTCTATGGATCGCCTGGTACCGGAAAGACGTTGCTCGCCAAGGCCGTTGCCAACCAGACCTCGGCGACATTCCTGCGTATCGTCGGTTCCGAGCTCATCCAGAAGTACTTGGGTGACGGCCCCAGGCTATGTCGTCAGATCTTCCAGGTCGCGGCAGAGCATGCTCCCAGTATTGTCTTCATCGATGAGATTGACGCCATTGGTACGAAACGTTACGACTCTACCAGTGGTGGTGAGAGGGAGGTGCAGAGAACCATGCTGGAGCTTCTAAATCAGTTGGACGGTTTCGATGATCGTGGTGACGTCAAGGTCATCATGGCCACAAACAAGATTGAAACCTTGGACCCGGCCCTGATCAGACCTGGACGTATTGACCGCAAGATTCTGTTCGAGAATCCAGACCGTAAGACTGTTTAGTTCTCGTGAACGAGCCGATTGCTGACTGGTATTTACAGAGGTCACCAAGAAGAAGATCTTTGCCCTTCACACCTCCAAGATGTCCTTGAGTAGTGACGTCGAACTGGATGAGTTCATCAACCAGAAGGACGATCTCTCCGGTGCCGATATCAAAGCCATCTGCACAGAGGCTGGTCTGCTCGCGCTCCGTGAGAGGCGAATGAGGGTCCAGATGCAGGACTTCAGAAGCGCTAGAGAGAGGGTTCTCAAGACCAAGACTGAGGGCGAGCCGGAGGGGTTGTACTTGTAATTGTGGGCATTATGGATGCAGTTTAGACGCCGGGGCTTTTACATTGGGATGAATGCAATGGGATGGGTCCAATCGTTTTTGCTTTGTGTGTCAGAAGGCGACAACTTTTTGTTTCAAGGTTCGCTGTTTCGTTGTTGAGTGATGGGAAAACTTTACTTCACTTTCAAACCAATGCAAATCTCTCATGGCTACTAATGGTACTTTACAAAATTCAGGCACAATCTTGGGATCTGCATCTTTCCCCTTCCTTCGCATCTCTCCCATCCCTCGACAATAGTGACTGCAAAGACAAGTGATAGACAAAACCCCGCCGATAGCAGATCGACAACGAAGGACATCAGCCGTCAAAGAAACACATCCGCCGTGCTAGAACTAAAAGGTGCAAGATATGAATTCTGGATGGGGGATCGAGATCGAGAGGGGTCTAGATCTTCTCATAGGCAGCCCTTTCGGTGTCGTACTTCTGGAGGTTGGAGAGTGCCAGATCGGCATATGGCTGAGGAGCAAAGGGTCAGTTTCTAGACGATCACGCAACTCGAACTGCACGTACCTTCTTCTCAACATCGGTCATGCTTGCCCACTGCTTTCCAGCTGCCTTGGCCTTCTCGCCAATCTTGTCTCCCTCCAGCGAGTTGAACTTGGTCCGGTAGAAGGTCAAGAAAGCACCAGCGGGCCTCTTGGGGGTCCTGTGGTCCACAATCAGGTCGTTGTATCCACGGACGTTGTTCCTCTTGAGCCAGCGGCGAGCGGCATTGGCCTTCTGGATCTCCTCGGCCGAGTGGGACTCGACGAAAGCGGCGTAGGTGGCCTTCTGGGCTTCGGTCTTGGCCCTGGCGAGCTCAGCGTATCTCTATGAGTTGCTAATGTTAGATCCACCAACCGTGGGGAAGAAGAATCGGGGGAGGGTGAGGAACTTACAGCCTTCTCTGCCTCGGGGAGCTTGGCGTAGGTGTCGGCAGTGTCCTTGCTGATCAGAGACCTTCCTGGAGTCGCCATATGCTGCGAGATGTAGATGTTGAACGGCGACATGCGGCTGACAGGCTTGCCCGGGGGCTTGAGAGCAATCTCCTTCATTTCCCTCCTCTTATCAACGGCACGGAGCTCAGCGGCCCGCAGCCTCTTCGCCTCCTTCTGCTCCGGAGTCAACACCTTCTTCTCCTTCTTGACCGCAGCCTTCTTGACCACTTTCTTGTCGGTGAGTTTCTTAGTAGCAGCAGCTGGCGTCTTCTTTGCGGCGGCGGCTGCGGCGGGCTTCTTTGCGGCGGGCTTCTTTGCGGCGGCGGTGGTGGTCGCCGCAGAGGCCTTCTTCCCCTTGGGGGCGGCGGCGGCGGTGGTGGCCTTCGCCGGGGCCTTTGTGGGGACCGTGGCCGCAGCGGTGGCTTTGCCTCGGATACCCATGGGAATCACGGCGACATGGGGGCGGAGGCTGACGGCGCGTGTGGCGACGACCTGCAGGCGGGCCACCGGGCGGAGGAGGCGACTCAAGGCAGTCGACATGATGTTACTACACAGGCTGCGTGCGAGATTCGGTCGGTTAGGACTAAATGTGGATGATGTAGGGGAGGAGGGTGTGGAATGCAAGTGTGTATGTACCTGGATGGGAGTAGTGGTGATGATGGTTGCGTGGAGTGGAGAGGTGTTTCAATGCGAGGTGGGGGTGGAGGGGGGTGGGGTTTGTTTGGAGGGATGCAAACGATTAGATTGTAGTGGGTGGTTGATTGATGGGGGGGTGGGAGGGTGGGGTGGGTTTGTGATTTGCAAGTTTCATAGTCTACCCTAACTCGCTCCAACCACATACGACCCGTCTCTGCGGGTCTTCCATCGTCGTCATCATTTGAGCCCCACTCAATTGCAGTCACTCGGTGGTTCGTAACTTCCGGTCTCCAAATCAGGAGGATTACTTGCAAATCTCCTCTCGAAAAACTTGTGCGGAATCATGGTGGTTGTTGACGAGTCATGTGATCATGCGCCCGCACCCCTACAGCCCATCTTAGAGCAGAGCTAACGTCTGACGTCCAAGGAGACCGGATCGAGATCAGGTCTGATGGATAAGATTATACGTATGTGGATATCGCATCCTCCATCTTCACGACGGCAACCACCCAACTTTCCAACAATTGATCTTTCGATGCCTGTTCTGACGGCATGATACTGATCCTAAACCTTTACCAGCACCTTACAGAAACCACCTTCTATTCTCACGGTCCGCAGGTCGCTCCATAGAGGCCGAGACCCTCCCACTCGGACCTAGATCTCGATTCCAGACAGCTTTACTTGTCGAACACGCAAGATAATGAGTGGGTTGTGATTAGGGTGGGATGCCTAGGACGATTCAAGTTGATTTGGGAATCAGCTCTGCGTGTAGCCAGCTTGATTCCAAGTGAGGTGGGCTCACGTGCATCCCTATTTCTAGAGGGCCGCATTAGGCAATGTTTGCGGGGGAGTTCGTTGGCATCGCTGGTAAATCGGTCTGTCCAGTGCCGGCCAGGGCTTGAAGGGAAGGCGCTGTCGTAGCGCCTTGGGGACGACTCGTCCGTTTACTTAGGAGTGGGCACGAGTGAAAATTCTTCAACCTTTACCGAGTATTTCACGCACTCGAAGGCTTTCGGGTATGAAGCCCATTCGGTAGCGCTGTATTATACAGCGGACATAGAGGTCCAAAGTGTGGAAATTGAAAAGAGAGAGGGTTGTGATGGAGGTGGTAGTTATACCTATGGAAACCGAACACTACGGTACGGTAGAGAACCGTATCTTGCATTCGATCATCTAAAATCACTCAGGCGTACCTAACACGTGATGCCAAGCCACTTTCGTGGCTAACGCCTCTCACTGTCATATCATAAAGCAACACAACATACCACGCCTGCTCGCCTCCAACCAGACCGCACGCACGCCTCGACACCTCAACCCCCCAGTTAACTCCAACGACAGCTCGTAACAAACGTCACTCAGCTTTCGCGAACGAACGGACTCACCACGATGCCACGATACGGCTCACGTTCCCGTTCACCGTCCTCGCGCGCCGGAGGCGGAGGCGGCGGCGGCGGTGGTGGCGGCGGCGGTAGCGGTAGCGGAGGCTACTCGAAGCGTAGCCGCGACGACCGCTACGATCCTCGGGGATCTCGGCCGCGAAGCCGCAGCAGAGATGTACGTGCAAACCCAGCCGACAATGATCGCGCGCCAGCGCCACTAAAACCGGAGCCACAACAGAGAAGGGACTATAGGGACCGTGATCATCGGGACCGTGGCGGACGTCGTGATAGGTCCTCCGATAGACGGAGAAGGGACGATTACTATGATTCTAGGGACGATAGGAGGAGAGATGAGAGGCCGAGGGATAAGGAGAGGGAGAGGGAAAGGGATAAACGTGATGGTGGGAGGAGATCGCGGTCGAGGGATAGTGTCCGTGGCGGTGATCGTTCCAAGAGGGATAGAGATCGCGATGCGGATCGGGAGAGGGGTGGTGATGGCAGAAGGGATGACCACCGACGCGGTGATCGGGATCGCGGAAAAGATGTGAGAACTTTCCATGATGGTGGCGCAACCTCAATTATTGACAGAAGTGTCAAGTCTCCCGCTCCTACGGCCCAAACCGAAGACGAGAAGATCCGGCAACGCAGGGAACGTCTGGAGGCTTGGAAGAAGAAGAAGGCCGAAGAGGAAGCACAGAAGAAGGCTGCGTCGCCTGCGGCCATGTTGTCGGAACTCGAGAGACAACGATCGGTCTCTGTAGCGTCGAATACTTCAAAACCGAGGCAAGGAACCCCGAAGGTTCCTGCTCAACAAGCTACAACGTCCGCCTCCTTGTCCAATTCTAGCACACCTCGTCCAAAGGCTGACCAAGGTTCCTCAGTACCTCCAAGTGCTCCGTTGGGTATGCGTCCCTCTCCCGTCGATGACTGTGGCCTGTTATGTGCTGACTCGAGAAGCTCCTACGAATGGATCAGCGCTACCTACCAATCGCCCCGTCTCAACCTTTGGGTTCGGTGCAGCTAGGAGGAATGCCGACAAAGGCAAACGTACACTCGATTTCGGCGATGAGGAATCTTCCAGGAAGAAGCTTGAAAGGTTGCCCTCACCGACCCCCGGTGAAGCTGATATGAACGGTACGGTAAAAGAAGAAGATATAGACGATGACACAGAGATGCAGGACGCCACAGAAGAGGAGTCTGCAGCTGCTGCTAGAGCGGCGGCGGAGCAGCGCAGGGAACGTGCCGAAGCTGCCGCAGCTGCCGCGGCCCTCGACGCTGCTACGGCAATGGAAGTGGAGCCCGAAGCACCCGCCGCTCCTCCGGTCGAAGAGGAAGAGGAGGCCGATCCTCTGGATGCCTTTATGGCCAACATCGGCACCTCGGTTGCAGCCGAGGCTCAGCCCAGGATCAGACCAGCAGATGATGCGGAGCTCCTCGGTGATGACGAGATTGACTTGGTTGTGAATGAACAGGATCCGGACGACATTCTCGCTATGGCCGCGAAGCTCAAGAAGAAAGAACTGCCAGCCATCAATCACTCCAAGATCAATTATGAGCCTTTCCGCAAGAGCTTCTATGTTGAGCCCATTGAGCTTGCTGAGATGAACGAGAAAGAAGTTGATGATCTGCGTCTCGAGCTCGATGGTATCAAAGTCAGAGGTCAAGATGTGCCGAAGCCGGTTGTCAAGTGGAGTCAGTGTGGTCTTCCGTCACAGAGTCTGAATGTCATCCAGAGCCTGGGGTACGATAGACCGACCTCGATTCAGGCACAGGCTATTCCGGCCATCATGTCGGGCAGAAATGTCATCGGTGTGGCCAAAACAGGATCTGGAAAGACCATCGCTTTCTTACTTCCAATGTTTAGGCACATCAAAGATCAAAGGCCATTGGACTCCCAGGACGGGCCCATTGCCTTAGTTATGACGCCTACCCGAGAGCTTGCTGTCCAGATCTTCAAAGAGTGCAAGCCATTCCTCAAGGCACTGAATCTTAGGGTGAGTCCAATCGTTGCTTCCTACAGACACTTCCCGCTGACAATTAATAGGCTGTCTGCGCGTACGGAGGATCTCCCATCAAAGATCAAATCGCTGAGGTTAAACGTGGCGCTGAAATCATTGTCTGCACACCCGGTCGGATGGTGTTCCTCCTTGCTGCCAACGGGGGCCGCGTCACGAATCTGAAGCGTGTGACCTACATTGTTCTTGACGAGGCAGATCGTATGTTTGACATGGGACTTGAACCTCAGGTTATGAAGATCGTTGGAAACACCAGACCTGACAGACAGACGGTTTTGTTCTCTGCAACGTTCCCCCGACAGGTACGTCTCCCTATAGCCTGCAAATGCATGATCTAACAAGACCTCCAGATGGAAGCCCTGGCCCGTAAGATTCTCGTGCGGCCTGTTGAGATCGTCGTTGGTGCTCGCAGTGTAGTTGCACCCGAAATCACTCAGATCGTGGAAGTTAGGTCGGACGCCAACAAATTCGTTCGACTACTTGAGCTTCTCGGCGAATTGCACGATAAAGACGAAGATGCCCGATCATTGATTTTCGTCAATCAGCAAGAGTCAGCCGATGGACTTCTCCGAGATCTCATGCGAAGAGGGTACCCTTGCATGTCGATTCACGGTGGTAAGGACCAGGTTGATCGTGATTCTACGATTATTGATTTCAAGAACGGTGTCGTCCCGGTGCTCATTGCCACTTCGGTTGCTGCACGCGGTCTCGATGTTAAGCAGTTGAAGTTGGTGGTGAACTACGACTGCCCAAACCACATGGAGGATTACGTGCACAGAGTGGGCAGAACGGGACGTGCTGGAAATACGGGAACTGCTGTCACGTTCATCACTGAAGAGCAGGACCGATACTCGGTTGATATCGCGAAGGCCTTGAGAATGAGCAAACAGCCAATTCCTCCGGATGTGCAGAAGCTTGTAGACGGTGAGTTATCATCAATTCCGTTTTGTGGCAAACCAACTGACGGTCGTAGGATTCAACGAGAAGGTCAAGTCCGGAAAGGAAAAGGCCAGTTTCTCTGGCTTCGGCGGCAAGGGACTCGAACGTCTAGATGCAGAGCGCGACATGGCCCGCCGAAGGGAGAGGAAGCAATTCGGCGAAGAAGGCGGCGACGACGCTGTGGAAGAGGTCGAGGCCGCGGAGGATACTGTGGTTGTCACCCCTCTTGGCGGCGCCGTGGTTGCCAAGGTGTCCACTGCCACCGGACCTTCGCTCGACGGCGAGATCGTGGTGCACAGACGGGGCACCGAAAATGCACTCGATCGCGTCAAGCAGGCTGCTTCGGCTGTGGACAGTCGTCTGAAGAAGAATGGCGAGCTGAGGTCTGGTGTTCCGATCGACAACAAGGGTCCCGATGCTGGAGCGTATCACGCGACCCTCGAGATCAATGACTTTCCCCGTACGTTTCCTCCCTTATTTGATATTGTAGACAATATACTGATAACTCCGCAGAGAAAGCTAGATGGGCCGTTACGAATCGCACGAACATCGCCAAGGTGCTCGAGCAGACAGGAACGTCCATCACCACGAAGGGAAGCTACTACGCTCCCGGCAAAGCTCCACAGCCCGGGCAAGATCCCAAGCTGTACATTTTGGTGGAGGGAGATACGGAGCTTGTTGTTACGAACGCAATGAGAGAGCTCAAGAGACTGCTAGCCGAGGGTACAGCTGCGGCAGTGGATAGCGAGAACAGGACGCCCGCTAGTGGACGCTATAGCGTCGTTTAATATCACTTTTGTCGCGCGTTGTGTTGAAGTTGGAGTTGCGAATTCATGTAATAATGTACAGATAAAATAAATGTCATTGTCGCGCCGTAATTATTTATGTACACTTCGTAGAGCAATCGCGTTCGCGTCCATGGTATGTTCGTGAGATCCTCGCGCGCAATATATAGCTTAGCTCAGCTCAGCTCGGCCCTGAGCGCCCGCACCGCGCCCCGTCTTCCTCGGAAGATCAATCCCACACCAACTGCTCCTGCTGCGCCTTCGTTTTTGCAATCTCGGCCAGATGCTGGTTCTGCGTCTTGCGCTTCTGCTCATCCAGGCGATTTCCCAGCTTGCCTGTCGCCTGCTTCGAATTCCGCGCCTACCCAGACATATCAATCAACACGTCGTCCCCCTCCTTCAGCCTTCCTTCAGCGCCGCAGCCCGTTAACTACGTACCTCTGCCGCCGCCGCCGCAGCGCTCCTTGCATCTCCCGCCCCGCTGCCGCCGGCCGACGACGACGCGGGCGATGCGGGAGCTAATGTGTGGCCCTGCCCGCGGATCCTGGGCTTCTGTGCTGCCGCTGGCGGAACGGGCGCGGTTGCTGCTGCCGCGGGGGGTGCGGACCCAAGCACTCGCCCCGGAGAGCTGAAGTTCGCGGAGGGCTTGCCGCAGAGACTGCCCATCTTTTGGTTTTGGTTGATTGGGGGGTTGGTTGGTAAAACGGGGTGGGAGGTTGGTGGTTGGTTGGTTGGTGCGGGGAGGGAGGAGGGCTGGGGGTTGGGGAGTTGCGGGAGGTGTGTTGTGTGGGAATGGGTGCGAGGCTGGGGATGGTGGATAGGTAGGGTGGATAAGGTGGCTTGGGTCCGGATGCGGTGGCTTGGGAGTCTTTTCCGCGTGGCAGGTGGTTGTGGGGGGAGGGAACTTTACACTCTACATATCGCGGGCTGTGGCCTGCAAGTGACACACAGCAAGAGAGCCATAAGCCAGCCATAAGCCATACAAAAGCCATAAAGAACGCAGAAGAAGAATGGCCTCGCGTCGCACATAGTGCCGCGAACGTGGGTATGTACCAGTACCAGGTTCTAGAAGCATCTTGCCTGCTTGCTCCCCTCGCGCCGCCGCCGCCCACGGACGGACGGGACCGTACAGTACATTTTGCGTTGCGCAGGCGGGAGTGAGTACCTGGGTGGTGCTCTGGGGAAGGTTATATTAAGCAGGCGAACTCAGATCGTGATAGTTAGTAGAAAGTAGATGGAAGCGACCTTTCTTTTGCATGTGTGCGCATCCAACTCGAATGCGATGACGGTGATGGAGGGGAAGAAAAAAGGTACACGGTGCGAGACTGGTGGAGACCAGAGCACGATGCGGGAACCTTGGTGGTTACTCTACCTGAGAGCCGAGAAGGCGGCTGGAACAGTATGAGACAGAAGCGACTCTCTCTCTTACCCCCCACACACATACCACCCCTCAACCAATAATCAATCAATCAACCGTAGTGCGCCTCGCCGCCCCCCATCGACCGACTATCGACCAGAGCGCATCAGAGACGATCCTCCGCCCACATCTTCCCCCTCCCCCATAGCCCCCACCGCTCGCTATGATGTCGGCCTCCTCATTCCACGCTTCGGCGACGCCCAACATCCGCAAACGCCCGTTTCCCTCCCACGAGCAACTTCAGCAGCAGCAATGTAAACCGCCAGGCTACCTGCTCCCGAACCACCACTATAGCAACTACAGCCCCGTTCCCGAGCCACAACAGCATCTGAACCTCGACTTTAACGACCTAGTATACCGGCAAATCTTCGCGGACATGTCCGCGATCGTGGACGACAACTGCAGCTCGTGTTGCGACAACGACAACTGCGTTGACAAGTGTGAGAACGACGAGTGTTGCGGCGACTGCCCGGACGAATGCAGCATCGAAGCCGTTGCCCACTGCAGTCTGGACGACTGCAAGGTCGTCTCGGCGTCGCCGTCGTCGGTGTCGGCGTCGTCGTGTCCTGGATCGCCGTGTGCGCAGATGGCCGGTGCCGCCTGCCAGACCGTGCTCTGCGAGGACGAGGTCTGCCCGGTCGACCCCTGCGGTGTGGCGTGTGTCGAGACCGTCTACTGCCACGATACGGCGTGCAGGGAGGAGGAGTGTCTGACCCTGCCGTGCGAGGTGCCGTGCTTTGTGTCCGGCTGCAGTCAAGCTATTTGCAGGGAGTATAGCTGTCGCGCGGGGAAGTCGCCGCCCGCGACTGCTGTCCGTGAGTCGTCGCCGGCGGCTTCGTATCACGGCGGTGTGGACGCTCACAACTATGTTTCCTTTCACGTTAATAATGCGAATTCCAACCGCTGGCAGAAGCCGGCGCCGAGATGTACCGAGACGGGGCATTATGCTAGCATCGCACCGAATAGTTTGACGCTAGATACTATGCATCTCCCACCGTTCAATGCCCTCTCCGGTGATCAGCTCTATTCCGGTGGTGGTGGTGGTGTTGTTCCTAGTGTTCCTAGGTGGTTCGAGGAAACGGAAACACCGCTGCTGCAGCAACCCTCGAAACGACGTAAGATCTCGGAATTGACGCCGGTGGCCACGCCGGCATTCGACCATAGCTACTCGACTACGCCCTCCTCCACCGCTCCTACACCAATGTCCTCGAACCTCGGGGACATAGACTGTCTTTGGGACCACGGCTGTGACGAGACCTTCTTCGACAACCTAGCTCTGCAAGACCACATCCAGCACGCCCACATCCAGTACGGCACGCAGCAGCTCGACACGCTGACCTGTCTCTGGGACGGCTGCGGACAGGAGACCCCAGACCCCAACAGCCTCTTGGACCACGTAAAATTCTACCACGCGCCCCCACCCAGCAAGCTGATCTGTATGTGGGAGGGATGCCGTGCCATAGCCAACAGCGAAGCCGAGCTGCAATCGCACATCAACGCCGCCCATCTCCCGTTCGGCCCGCAGTGTAAATGGGACACGTGTGGTCTGCTCGCACCCGACCTCGAGAAACATGTGCAGACGCAGCACCTGGTTCCGCACGTTGGGAAGTCTCCAGACACCGTGGCGAGAACGTGTCAGTGGCAGGATACAGATCGGGACGGAAACGTACACACATGCGGTATGCTCTTCACCTCGTCGACGGACCTGCAGCAGCACGCAAAAGAAATACACATCAACGCGCTGCGAAAGAAGACGGGCTACTTCTGCCACTGGGCCGGATGTAATCGCATGGACAAGCCGTTCAGCCAGAAGGGCAAAGTCGAGCGGCACCTCCAGACCCACACTGGATGTAAGTACCCGACTCCTGCTTCCCGCCCTCCGTATCGTACCGTATCACACAGGTGTTAAATGAACCCCCGAGGATCGCAGTCAAGAGTTGCACGTGCGAGGAGTGCGGCAAAGAGTTCTCGGCGCCACAGGCTCTCCAGCAACACATTCGCACGCACACCGGAGAAAAGCCGTACAAATGCAACGTGAGCGCAAACCCCACCCCTTCCCCCACACCGACGCACGCACGAACACACATACCGATAAATCTATAGTTCTGCGGAAAGGAATTCGCCCAGGGCTCCGCTATGACTATGCACAAGCGCGTACATACTGGCGAGAGACCACTCATGTGCACCTACCCCGGCTGCGGAAAGAGGTTCTCTGAAAGCAGTAATCTGTCGAAACATAGGAAGAGTATGTTCTCGCTGTCCTCGAGATATGGAGTGATGTGAACGATTCTGACAGTGATGCACAGCACACAATCCGGTCGGTCGGCATGTTTGTAGTTTTCCGGGATGCGATCGGTCGTTTCATCGGCTTGGTGAGTGATCCCGTGATGGGATAGAGGCGTAGATGCTGACGAAGACACAGATCAAATGAAGAGGCATCAGAAGACGCACGGCGTGGTAATTTCGACTAATATGGAGTAACTTGAGGAGGTGCCTGAGCATACGGTGTATATTTTTTTGTTCTCCGCAGTGCATAGAGTACAATACGTGCAAGCCGGAGAAGCGATTTTGGTGATTGTACTGAGTACATGTGTCATGGGAATGGGGATGGGAATGGTGTCTGCTGCAGCAGCAGCAGGTAGGTGGGTACATAAGTGGGTGGTAAGAGCGCGGTTGACGCTATCACCGCGGCACATACTTTGTAGGAAGTGGAGTCGAATAGGTACATAGACACGTTCGTCGTCGGTGCGGCACGTTGCACTCACTCGCGAGTCACGGATGATGAGCGGTGATTGATGATAGTTGTGTATGATAGGTAGCCGCAAAGAAAAGACCAGAGACCAAAGACTAAAGACCAAAGCACTGTAACTACACCATCGCTGCGAATGCATACTCCTCCAGACTCGAAGGTCATTAGTATTCCCCCTTGCGCTGTGGGCACTGGGCACTGGGTGGGTCGGCCGTGTATGTAGCACACAAGATGTTTCCCCGGAAAGATCTCATCGTCGTCGGCGAGGACACGCTCGTTGTATCCTGATCCAGTGTCGTCCCTCCAAGAAACCTAGGTACATAGATCATGCCAGCGGGCTGATGCAGCACTTAGCACTCAGCACTCAGCACTCGGTGGCACACTGCGCAGACGACCGGCCCCCTCGCCGGTGCGAGCGGTCTTCTCGGGGGACATGGACGGACTTCATTGGGGCGGGGACTGTCTACCCAGTACTTAGTACCGTAGTGGAAGGGCCTTCAGGCTTCAGGCTTCATACCTTCAATGTTCATACCTTCATACCCACTCACGCCGCACGGAAGCCTTATCGCCGGCACCGGCTCGGACACAGTACCTATCATATAGGGCATGTAATAAAGTTCGAAGCCTTATGTATGCTGTATGTAAGCCTAGATATTCTTATAAACCTTCTATAAGTCAGTCATAAGCCCGTGATGATGGTGGCCCGTGGGATCTAGTGGCTGGTATGTTGGATTATCTGGCCGGCCTGGCCTGGCCGTCTACAGACATGAAGAGAAGAGTGATATCGTCTCATTCACGAGGGCCTGTGGGGGGGGGGAGAGGATCTCGTCGATAGTGCCAGCGACAGTGAGTGATATGATGTGATGTGTGATTTGGTTCATCCCGGGATGGCTACATAGATACAGTACGGTACGGGTCCAGAAGTCCAGAAGTCCATCCAGCAGATGGCGGACGGGCTATACCGTAATCTGCAGGCCGTGGTAGATTCTTGGCCAGCTCAGCTCGAGCAGCCCGGCGAGGCTGCCCCCACGTACCTATGTATAAACATCCGGACGTTGGAGAGATAAGTACCTACGTCATAGGTAGATCGCCCATCTCAGCCTTCACCCCCGGTTTGATCGCGCTGGATAAGTAAACCCAGACGTTCGGGGGCTACATAGACGGCTAAATAGGCGGTAACCGAAAGTGTCGCCGAGTCACGAGGTACTCTACCTAGGCGGAAGTTAAAGTCGCTCCCGAAAAAACATATCTATGCCCAGTTTGGATCTATCATAGTACAGCTCTCTTCCCACATGCCCACATGCTCACATGCCTACATGCTTACGGTATCTTTCCCACGCAATCAAACCACGACCTGGCAAAACCTTAATGGACGCGACCTCCACTCAGCTGCCAAATCCGCCCCGAAAAAACAAACCAAAAATGAAATATCCGGAAACGGACACCGAGTGATTGCCCGTGTTCGCTATCTAGATCTTTCAGCTCCTCGAGTCACTTCCTTGCTGCCCTAATCAGCTATGTAGGTAGGCAGCTAGCTGGGTGGGTATGTATGTAGGCAGGTAGGCAAGTAGGCAAGCAAGCAGGCAGGCAGGACTTCCGTCATCCTGCTTCCCCCCGTTTCCCCCATCTCCCCCCAGAATTCCTTTTTCCCCGTGCCGAGGCAGGTTTTCCCTCGGAGATGCACACACAGCGAGTTTCGATGGATGGATGGATTGGATGGATGTGATGGATTGATGGGAAAGATAGCTGGAGAGATGGATGATGGATTGGATGGCTGTATGGTAGGATTGCTTTTTCCGTTCTCGCCCCCTCCCGGCCTCGGCCCGTTTTTGCTTTTTCCCCCTTCTTCTTCTTCTTCTTCTTCTTCTGGATTTTATGTGGATATGTATGTATCCTGACGAAAAAGTAGGATGCAGAAGTATGTACCCCACGTTCTCGCCCTCCGCTCATTCACCCACCCACTCACTCATAGCCTACATACAGGTGCGTGCGGGCCGGCCGGAGATGGGCGAGTACCTAGAGAAGCGAGTATGTAGCGAGTAAATGCCTGGTGTCATTGGAAAGCCGGCTGTTTTCGCGGGGATACCTACTTACTTACCTACGTCGAATACCATATGCTCTGGATATGATATATCTACCTTGTACTTACAAACACAATTGGAATCTGGGTCCACACGCAGCTGAACTGGAGCCGCACGTGGCCGCCCTGTCCGGCGTTTTTTTCCGGTCCTGAGGTTTACAGATGGAGGGGCGGAGCTCGTGCTCCCATGCCCCGGCGACCGGCGATGCTCTTGGGACGTCATGTGTGGGGGATGGTAGAGCGCTGGATGGCTGGAGAGTCGGAGTGGGACCGGCGAGAAATGACATTGGACGGCAGCGACGGGAAGCACGAGGGCTTGCTTGGAGTCTACCGTATGCTACGGGATGACTCTGCTCTGCTTCGTGGTGGTTGGGCTTTCTGCTTCGGGGTCGGATATCCGAGTCAGTGTTCATGTTCTGGGTAGGAATTTGTAGGTATATACCGTGTCCTTTTTGGACGGCAGTGGTGGCAGGTGCGGATCGGCGGGATGCAGTGCGTGGGGAGTAGTGTAGGCTCCAAACGTCGCTGTCACTGTCGATGGCATCGATTCCTACGTACCTGGGTGCTCTGGATGCGGTGGTGAAGGCTAACCTAACCACCGGGGACAAACCTATGAGTAGCGATGCCGTAGGCATGTGCATAACTACCAGGTGGTAGTCATATCCTTCCGGGACGGCAGTAGAGCAGAGTCTCTCGAAATTCTTTTTAGTCCGGTGTTTCCATCCGGAGGGCTAAATAAGTACCGTAAATACCGTACATACTTTCGTGATTCCTTTTTTCCCTTTTTTCTTTCTTTTCGGTTCCGTAAGCCCTTCCATGGTGATTCCTTTTTCTCTTCTGCTTCTTCTGCAGAGCACACGGTATGTAGAAGGTGTCTTATCCAGAGATATGTATGCAAGTAGAGTACCGTAGGTAGCTGGCCATCACGGAACGAGAAAAGCGGGCGGGAAGTGCTTCTCTTCTATTCCCTCCGTTTGGTCTTCTAAATCCCCCACATGTGCGTGCGTGCGAGTTGTACATACCCAAGTATGTATCATCAACGGCAGTTGGTAGTTATTCGCCTACCTCTGTACATCCGAGTACTACGGTACGTACGGTACGGTAGTATGTAAGTACATACATACGTACAGTACCGTACATCCAGCCATTGGAATCCTGCACATCGTGAAAGATCCCATCCTTCCCATTCGCATTCCCATTCGCATTCCCGTCCCCATTCGAGCTGGAGCCTGGAGGAACCGACGACCGCAAGACCCTGCGTCTGCCAGCGGCCAGCCCAGTCATCCCAGACCCGACCATCACAGCACAGGGACAGACGCATCTAGCTGAGCGCGCGGTAGGCGGTCCCCCCACCCCCCCGCTTCCCTCCCCCCAAGAGATCAACAGCCATCCAACAGCCATCCAACAGCCATCCATCCAGCCATCCATCCAGCCATCCATCCAGCCATCCATCCAGCCATCCAACGGCCCGTCATTCTTCCTTCCCTTCCTTCCCATCTCCCCCACCGGTCCATGGGGGCCAAAACCGGTATGCCCAACCCATCCCATCACATCCCCCCGGACGACCAGTTCCTTGGCAGAATTGCTTTTCTAGAGACGATCTACAGCAGACGACATGATGTTCGCGGAACATAGAGTAACGGTTTTGCTTTTTCCCTTTTTTAGTTTTTTAGTTTTTTTTTCGGGGCCTGCTTTAGTTTAGCTATATTTTTTTTGCTTTTTATGAAGGGAGTGGGGGGAGCCTGGGGGAGAAAGGGTGGGGAGAAAGAAAGAGTGGGGAAATGGACGGTGACGGTGACTTAGAGAAGAGTAGACTCCGATTGACGGCATGTCGATCCAGCCAGACACGCAGCTAGACACACAGACACACATCCAGACTGACAGACGGATTGACGGATGGACAGATGGTGCTTTTCTAGAGCGGCCGTGCATGTTCCACAGAAGAAGCGATCATGAGCATGTGCGTGCCTGTGTGGGTGTCTGCCTGTCTGTGTGTGTGCGTGTAGGATGGGGAACATGACGACGATATTGGGGATCATACACACTCTATGCGCAACCTCCGTCCGTTCCGTCCGAGACATTGCGGAGGAGCGCACAGGAAAACGCTCCTGCTCCGGCCAATCGTACCTGACTGGCTGGTCCGAAACCCCACCCACCCACGCACCCATTCTCCCGCCGAGTCTCACGCACGCAGGCGGTCACGTTGACGTCTGCGGAAGATACGGTATTCAGAGTAGGTATGGCTGAAACCTGTTACCTGCTGGACGTCTGTGACTTGACTTGATGCAGGATACGATACGGCGAGATAGAGTACGTACGGTAGGCCTAGGCACGCCCCCAATTGACTGATAACGCCGCCCTCCGTGCACGTCGGTGACGCTGGGCAGTCCGCAGAAGCGGAGCACTTGCCTGCATAGACTGCGTCTAGATTCTAGACCGCCCCCTCCGACGTTGATAGCGAGCACGGCGGCCCCGGCGGCGACGGCGGCGGTGACGGTGATGGCGGTGGTGCTCCACAGTACTATGATGTGGTACTGGTAGGTGCATTACGCAGGGATCGCCCCCTCACTCACTCACTCCCTCCCTCACCCCCGTGCGAACCATCCGAACCAAACCAAGGCCGTTCCACTTCGACTCCGCAAGCCTTAGTCGCCGGGTGGGTGTCTGCGTAGTGTCTGCGGAGTGGAAGCAGGAATCCTCGTCGTACATACCGTGCACACCGGAGATATTGGAGATATGTATTGAAGATATTAGAGGCGTACGTGGCCAACCACCAGGTACATACATGTCTAGCCGGAAGCTGGCGGACGGAAACTCTTCATGTGGAGCACTGGAGCTGTGCTGTGGAGCTGTGGAGCTGTTGTTGAGCATGCACGCCGTACGCACGCAGGCGTGTGGATGTGTGGATGTGTGGATACCGGTATGGTATGTATGGGGTCTCCGAGACGATAAGGCTCCCCCTTCCCTTGAATCCCTTCCAACTTCCAGGTTTCCTTCCCCCCTTCAGGTTTCCTTCCAACTTCCATCCATCCTTCCTTCCCCCGTTTCCGTCGGTGGATCACTGACTGGCTGAGGGTAATCTGCGCTGGTTGTACCGTATGTAGAGTATGTACCGTATGTGCTCACTCGCCTGAGGCCTCCACCCACACCGGCGCGGCCCGCTGGCAGCTTACTTCGGTTGAGTTGGCGGGATTCGAATCCTCGCTCCCATCTCTCGTCTCTCATTCGTTCTCTCATTCGTTCTTGCGGTGGGCCGGTGGCCGCCTGGGTAAACCATCATCCATCAGACATGTAATACTACTAGCAAGTCACTAACTACCCGCCAGCCTATCCAGTCGTGACCATAATACCACTACACACATCCCATTGCGGTACATCCTCCCCCCACACAGGCCACAAAGCAAAGCAAAGCAAAAGAACAGCAAAGAAGAAGAAGAAGAAGAAGAAAACATACTGATCACCCCATCCCATCACCCCATCTCATCTCATCTCATATCTCATGTCTCTCGTACCCGTCCCCGTCCTTCTCGCCTAGACGCCGAACGTCCTACATGTGTGTGTGTGTGTGTGTGTGTGTTGTGTGTACTGTACATCACTAAGAAGAAGTACCGTAGCTATGGTCTCAGCCGTGGGTGGGTGAGGAATCACCGGGCGGGCAGCGGCACAACCGCATCCGCTTGGCAGTTTGGTTCAGTCCAGTTCCTTTCGGGACAATGGGCACGGACTCCGTGGGGAAGAATGTAGGACGACGACGAGGAAAAGCGCGGGAGATCATGGATCCCGATTCCAGACTCAAGAGACGAGAAGGAAGGAAGGAAAGGAAAAAAAAGGTACTCTACCTACGCGAGCGAGCGAGGAAGAAAGAAAGCAAAAAGAAAAGAAAAGAAAGGAAAAGGAAAAGGAAAAGGAAAAGGAAAAGGAAAAGGAAAAGGAAAAGGAAAAGGAAAAGGAAAAGGAAAAGGAAAAGTAAAAGGAAAAGAACAAAAAGGAAGAATCCACGACGCACGTGGAGATTCGGATGTCGAGAGAGAGAGAGATACACAGATAACGACGCAGGCGCACGGCACAGAGCGTGTGCAGAGCAGATGTGTATGTAGGATATGCTATCCACCAAAAGAACTTGTTGGAACTTGGTACCACTGAAAGATATACCTGTGTACATGTGTCTCTTACTTACATACAGCGGAGACGGAGGAGACGGAGGAGACGAAGGAGGTATGGAATAAGAGGATGCATTCGAAGGGCATCTCCGTCTGTACATGTTATGTTATGTATCATATCCATCTCCATGATGTTGTGGGGGATGAGGAGGAGGAGGAGACGTACCAACAACAACAGAACGACAGGAGTAAAGAAAGAAAAAGAAAAAGAAAAAGAAAGAAAAGAAAAGAAAAGAAAAGAAAGAAAAGAAAGAAAAGGAAAAGAAAAACATAAAAGAAAAAGAAGAAAAAGCCTCCCCACGCACGGCAAGGCAAACAAGCGAGCGAGAGCGAGCGAAGGAAGAAGTAACGAAGGAAGCTATGATACCCACCTCATACCTACCAAGCTCTCGCTCACAGCTCAGGTTGGCACTCCACTTCCCACAGTCCCACTCCACTTCCTACTCCACTTCCTACTCTGCCTATACTCCTACTCCCCTCCTCAGCGCTGTTTTAACCGAAGAATCGGCGGCGGGCGGGATCAGAATGATGAATCTGGAATCCTCAGGCCTCAGGCATCTCACATCTCACACTTCCATCTCACACGCACATCTCACGCATGGAGAAAAACGAAAAACGAAAAAGCGTGCCCATGTTCATCCACATCCACATCCAACACATCCCATCGATCTCGATGCAGTCGCCGACGACGAGTCACCCAACCGACAAAACCGATGGGGGACGAAACTGATGGGGGTGTAGGATGGGGGCGTAGGACGGGGGCGTAAACGGGGGCGTAAACGGGGGCGTAAACGGGGGCGTAAACGGGGGCGTAAACGGGGGCGGTAGAGTGAGCGGATGTGATGCGCCCCACCCGTCACCCCTCCTACCTATCATATGGGGAAGCGGAGACCCTTCCGGCCGGGATGCGGATGGGGGGTTGTGACATGCGGCTTGGATCAGGTACACTGCATCACTGACTGCATCACTGCAGACAGTTCGTCCGGTCATTCGTTCGTGACCGAGGACCCTTCCTGATGAGTGTCGGTGGTGATGTTACTCCATCCTGCCCCGATCAAGGATCCTTCCCATCCCTTCCTGATGGGTGTCGGTCATGATGATGTTACCTACTTTACCTACTCCACGTTGCTGCGACCAAACTTGGCTCGACAGCCTACATATCATCATACATAAAACTCACTCAGCAACGGAACGTGTACTCCTGTTCGCTGCGGCCAGACCCTAAGTGGTTAGATAGGTAGATGATCCCCCGCCGTTACGAGTACATACAAAAGGTATGCTCGAGTTGACCGTCAACGCCTCTTGAAGCCAAGCTATATGAAAAACAAGCCTCAGAGACAAGAGAGACAGAGCGAGAGTCTGACGGGCTGCAGTGCCTTGCTACGTGTTTCAAGGGTGGAGCTTTTGAGGGATTTGCTCCGGTATATCCGGGAAGGGATCCGCAACGGACGGAACCAGCACAAACTCAATGGAATGCCTCCTCTGTGGCTTTTTTGTGCTCCATTTGCTTGCTTGCTCGGGTACCCCCTTCTTCACCCCTCGCTGGACGGTTTCACACGGACGGACTCACAGTCACGGTACGGTTCGGAGAGTAAAAGTTTTTGAACATCTGGTAGGTATTATTAAGTCGGCCGGTACAAACGGCGCTGTCTGTCCATGGCATCCACAACTAGACTCTCGAAGCGCTTAAGGCTGCTGCCGGTAAAGAACAATCTCGGACTGCTTGAAGTATCGTCTAGCGTCTGGAGTTTTTTAGTCGCCATATTAGTATCGAGCCGCCCTAGTCCAAGGATGCGGAGATCCACAGGCCTCGCCCCCCCCCGCTGAGCAAGTGTGGGGGGCAGATAGGCAGTAGGGTGGAAGAAAATAGTGTGAACGAACCTTCATCGATCAGGACCAGACTCAGGTAGTAGCGTGTCGAGTACTTCTTGTTGACTTCGCGGAACGTTGGAGTGAGGTCGAAGCCGCCTAGGAACAGCCTGATTGGAATCGTTTCGCCTGGAACAATTAGCTTGGAAATCAACGCAGTCCGCCATCAACTCCGTCGCGGATGTGTGTGTAGGTACCTCTTGATGGCGAGCCATCCATGATCTGTCGGCAGCACACCATCAGTCAGAACAAAAAACTTCCGCCACCCCCCGGACATCGTAGGGCCCAAATACCTCAAACCTCACTAGGGTCTCGCTTTCGTTGTATTGATTGGGAGGGGTCCCGGTCGTCTCTCGCCGTATGATGGACAGCTCCATGTGTTTGATCTTGAGTCGCACCAGCAAAAAGTATATCCGACCAACGATAACATCTTTGAGGTGATATTTGGATTTGGAGTACTCGAACTCGATGTGCAAGCAATCCTCAATCCCGACGTCCATCTTGATGGAGCTATTGCTCTCCGGAGGAATGCGGTAGGAGTAGACCCAGATATCCTTCTCCCGTATCACGTCCGCCATCCGCCTCGAGACGGTTACGCGGAGAAAGTAGCGGAGCTTCACATTGATCCCGTTGTACGACTCGTACTGCTTCTCGACGTTCTTGAACTCGAACTCGAACGTCTGGGGGTGCTGGAGGTCGCCAGGTGCGGCCAATTCCTGTCCGAGGGAGAGGAACTCGTAGTGGTTTCCACGATCGAAAAACATCTCTAGAATGCACACGTTTCTCTGCTCAGCAATTGTTCTCTATTTTTGTTTTTTGTTTTTTGTTTTTACTTCATCGTGTGAAACCACACGACGGATGTCCGGAGTTAGGCCCCGGAGGCGTGGGTTGTCCACAGCCGATGGAACCTACGGGGGACCGATGGGGGAGGGGAGGGGACCGACCTATTGTTCCAATGAATTGCACCTTGATGCCCGTGTGCTCCAAGCGCTTGCCATCCTTGGGCCTGATGGTAACAGCTCCCTTCACCGTCTCTCCGTCAGAATACAGCGGGCATTTCTCTTTTCTGTTCTTGTCGAGCTTGATGTCGACCATCTGCCGCTTGTCATCGGCATCATCGAGACGGATATCGATATCGAGGGGGGTGGAGAAGAAGTACGACATGGCGGGACGGGGCGGCGGGAATGGGCGGCGCGATAGGGCGGGACGGGGTGGAGGGGGGCGTGACGACGGAGGCGGGTTGGTTGTGTGGGTATGGAGGTGAAGCTCGGGCCGGGGAAGCTCTAGGGTGGAGGGCGGATGGTGGTGCGGAAGTTGGGCCAGGGCGATGAGGCTCAAGTGGGGAGTTTCGTTGTGGTGGGACCTCTCCGTGGACGAACCGGGGTGTGTTCGCTGCGTTGTGCGCTGCGTTCGTGTCGCGGGGCGAGCATCAGCTCTCTTTGGCTGCTAAATGGCGCCAAACGGGAAAGCATCGGCTGACGAGCTCGAGGGGGGTAACCAGAGTAAATTCAGAGTAAATTGCATCTCATTGGGACAATTTGCGGTTATTGATTTTATCTGCTTGCTTCTTTCTCCTCAGTCTTTTGGCTTCTTTCGTCGCCGATGCACGTCAACCTACCAACCACAAACTAACCACAGACTAACCAACCAACACATCCGCTACTCGAGCAGGCTACGCACGCAACTCGAAGTAAGGAGGGACACACTCTATCCTGAGTTGCTTCTTTGCCAGTCCATCCGAAAGGAATCGAGGGGATTGGCCTTCGTCGCATCCGATCCATCCCTGCCCAACCGCAGCCGCCGTATATATATATAAAGTTTATATATACACTTACTTGTCCATACACCGTCTCGTGATGGATTGAAACATGCTCCGCTGCCTCCTCCGCATACATAGCACTCAATCCACCGAGAGGTGGAGCAGTGGCGGCGGCGTGAAGTCGAATCCGATTGATTGAGTCCTGGATCGACCACTCATCACATAAGGCAGGCCGTTGATCGATACGATACAGATGATGCGCGGTATGCACTCACATGCAAAGCCCCCGAATTCGTGCCTTCGCATTGCCTTGCATGGCTGTTTCGAATCCGTGAGCTGCGAGCTGTGGGCTGAACCGTGAGTTGTCGTGCTGGATGGATGGATTGCTGGATGACTGGATGGATGACTGGATTGCTGGATGGATATCGATATAGCCATCATATGAAGCACCGTGGCGTGTAGAGGAAGAGGAAGAAGACGAGGCGGAAGCGGAAACAGAAGCGGAAGCAAACACAAACGCAAACTCACAAACACACGCACTCTCCTCCATCCACTGGTACCGGTATTGGGCTGCGTACTATCCTCTACACCACTCCACCATTCGTGCACCCAAGTACGGCGTACGCACAGGTGATGCGGCTGCTATGCACTCTTTAGATACACGTATCATCCACAGCGAACCGACGCAGCACTCGCATACCTACGCTGTACGATACAAAGGGCCCCCCTTCCTACTCAGATCCAATACATCTCCACATATTTCGATGTGCACGCTGGCGCCTACGCCCGTTCGGTCTAGCTCGCTGGCCGTCGTCCCCGCGTGGGTTGTTTCGTGGCCAGCGTCGCACAGAGGCCATCACAGCGCTCATGCACCCCAGTTTTTTGCTTGCGGTGGCTGTCCCGGGCGAATCAGCTCGTGCCGTCCCAGATGTTCCCATCTCTGGGCCACACGGGATTCACCTGATCCAGCTAGGGCGACTTGGATTTCGCCGTCGGCAAGACCATTGGTCGGCACGAGCTTGCGCCAGAGGAAGAAGGAACGAAGGATGAGGGAGGCGCGGACACGGTCGGCACGGAAGGGTAGGGTGCTGGTGTGGGGGCGGGAGCACGCCGCGGCGGGGGGGCGGGCGGACATGGTGACCGTACATACCTGTGTATGTGGGGCTTTCGGTCGGGAACGATTCGAGCTGAGGTCACCCACCAAAGTACGGTACTGGTTACTACTCTGCGGTGCTATAGTACCATATAGTACCGTACACGACTACCACATGAGGCCCTTGGAGTGAAGTAGGGCAACCCACCAAAGTATTTGGTACTCTATCCAGCCCAATTGGCCGTATGAACTACTTACAAGTTACCTAAGTACCTCCCTACTGTACTGTTGCGCTTGTCCCGCCTCCTCCTCTTCCGCGAAGGCCGGCGTCCATACTGACTGCCTACATAGTAATGCCCCACCAGTGGCACGCCGTTCATGTGTGCTGTGTCATGGTGTGCATGTGCTTTGGTGTGGTCTCGTCTCGTCTTTTCTCGTCTCGTCTCGCCTCGGCCACCAGTCAAATCGGTCGAGCACGCTGTCTGCGATATAGGGCACTAGAGTACGGTAGCTGCTAGAGGAGCAGCAGTCTACCGTATTATACCTATGCACGCAGTTAGGTGTCTGCAGCATGATGGTCACCGCAGAGTCTATACGGTAGTAAAGTCTTCAACGCCCCCCTCAACGCCCCAACCAGAACCAACAGCTGCATAACCACCGCAATGCACCATCGCCCAAGAGATTTCGGCTATCGCCGCATGCTTGCTCCCCAAAAGCAAAAAACAACCACCATCACGCACCAGACCTGAGCTCGCTATCGCTCGAATGGACGTTCGGAGATCACTGCCGCCGCCGCCGCTCTCGTTCTGGTGGTTCCCATCCGTCCGTCCAACGGGCTTCGTCCTTTGCCCCCTCCTCCTCGTCGTGGTCCTTCGCCCCCCCTCCTCCTCCCCCTCATTCTCCCCACCCCCACCCACATCGCCGCCGCCGCCGCTGCTCATGGCAAGGTGCTTAGTACTAGTACTCTGGAGGCATAATAGTTTGCTTTCGGCCAGAAAGCCTACATCCTCGGTGTGGCCATCTTGTTTCGTCATTCATCCAGCAGGGCAAGGCCGGTTGATCCGAGCTGACCGGAAGCCCGTTCGGATCTTGACCCACAGACTCGCAGCCCAATTTCAGGGAGCACCATGCACACATAGATGTGGATCATGATGTGGGATTGTGTATATATGTACATGTGTACATATATACTCATACATATGCTGCTCCATATAGACGGAAGTTGCTCGTCCCCACCATCGGTGTGACCTACAGGGGAGAATCGAAAGAGCCCGGAAGCAAAGGAACGCGGAGACACAGAGAGTGGAGAAAAGCGTGGCGGATCTTCCGGACTGCCTGCTGCCGCCTGCTGCCTGCTGCCCTTGCGCCTCCACGATCAACAACACTCCGTCGGCGGGCCACACGCTCCGACGCAACCCAGGGAACACCCAGGGACCGCCGTCCGAAATCTTTCCGGGGGGGTTAGTTTTTCTGGTTTTCTCCAGCCAGCCGTTACCCAGTTTACTCTAGGCAGGGTACCGTAGGTAACTCTGGGTACTTACTGAGGTACTAGTAGCGCAGCGCAGTGAACTGTGAGGACTTAGTGGACCTCTTATACACACTCTACATACGCAGCCGCATGTATGTATGATATGTATGTGTTTTTTTTCTTCTTCTTTTCTTTACTTTTTGAAGAGTTGCACTCTCGGTGTACATATGCGCTCTAGAGTGGTCTGCCCTCTTGGTGGTTACTCAAGGGATCGTCATACATCATGCCTCCCCTCCCACCCCAAACCTCCACCCCGCCCCCCCCTCCCCGTTCCCCCACGCTTCTCCAAGCGCCATGTAACTACTCTACCACTCTACTGCTGCATCATGTCATCCCACGTCCGCGAAATTATTCCCGCTTTGGTCCCTCTTCTGTGGCCCGCCTCGCCGGGCCCAACCTACTCGCACGCGCGCCCTTCAATATACGATGGAGTGATTGGGACTCGCGACAGAACGTGAGCGTGATTAGGTCTCCGGGAGTGACAGTGAGAGTGAGAGTGAGAGGGAACACTCGAGACAAAGCCCGACAGCCAGCCAGCCATCACGGAAGAGTGAGACAGAGAGCGAGCTATTTTTTTTTCGTTTTGCTGCCCTGTCTCCGCATAAACCCCGGTTCGCGCGAATCTGGATGGATGGATATACCCAGACATGCCATAGATTTGTCCATTTTTCGTACTGGTCGCCTGTCTGATTCCAACGTACCCTGCAATGCGGGGTGTGTCTCTGATTCTGGATGGACCTGGTCATGGAGCTGAAGCTCTTCCGCGGACCCAATCCCAACGCTCCTCCTCCTCCTCCACCACCACCACCACCACCTTCACCACCACCACCACCACCACTACCACCACCACCTCCACCACCACCACCTCCACCACCACTACCTCCACTGCACCGCAACTGCGCCTAAAGTATGGAAAAAATAAACCCCGTGCGGCACGGCAGACTTTCTTGGAGGGGGATGGGGGAGCGAGCGAGCGGCTGGGCAGCGAAGCCTCGATGATGCTGATGCTGATGATGATGATGATGATGATGTCGGTTCCCAGAAACCCCGTGTACCCTCGTGACTCTGCCTGGCCCATGGCTTTTCTGCCGAGGAAAGGTCCCCCCCCCGAGTCCCTCGAAAGGCCGGTCTTACCAAGAACACCAACTACCACACACCACACACACACTCAGACACACACATCCTGAGCGGCGGGCGCACCATGTTACTTCCATCTGCTAAGCAAGAGCACGGTGCTCCTCCACCGATGGACCCCATATTCTCCTACCTACTTAAAAAGCTTCAGATGCCTCCCCACTCTTCCCGTCACGCCAATTGCTTCTTCTCCCCCTTCCCTCACCCCACTACTCATCCGGACCATACCGTGCTCGACCATCCATATATACAAACGAAAGACTGCACCCTTCCGCCCCCTGGAACTACATACCTACTACTGCTACCTGCTACCGCTACTCCTGCTACTACCGCTACTACCGCTACTTCTCCTGTTGCTGCTGCCAGTCCGACTGCTAAAGAGTCAACATCGTCACCTCCTGGTTGGCAATTGCTTTTACTGCCTGCTCTTACATACACCTTGGTCGTCCTAGAGCATTCAATTACCCAACTGCTCACAAACGGACACCTCACCCACCTCATAGAAAGTCTTCAACCTTTGAACGAATCGAAAGCTCCGCCAGACGTCCACGATGCTCACTAAATACGAGCCCGTAGGGAGCCTTGTTGCTCCCTCAACATCCTCAACACCATCTCTGCGCTCGATGGGCAAAGTACACTCTCGACCTACTCCGCGGCCGTCGTACCGGCACATCTTCATCATCACCGGCCCAGCTGGTTGCGGAAAATCGTCGGTGGCCCTCCACCTGGCGAAGCAATTGGACTTGCCCTACATTGAAGGCGACGACGTATGTCTACCCGCTTTGCCACATTTTTCCTCCTCCTCTTCTTCCACCACCGTTCCCTCGCTGACAGGATCTGATGTGTGTAGTACCACCCTCAAAGCAACGTCGACAAGATGGCCAGCGGCGTTCCCTTGACCGACGACGACCGCTGGGACTGGCTCGAAACGATCCGCAAGCAAGCCGTCGGCGAACTCGAGAACGGTGCTTCCGGCTGCGTCGTAACCTGTTCCTGCCTGAAGCGCAAATACCGCGACGTGATCCGACTCGCGGGTCGCGAAGCCGACGATGTGGTCATGCGGTTCGTCTACCTCCGCGCCGACAAGGAGTTGTTGCTCTCGCGCGTCCGCGCACGGAAGGGCCACTACATGAAGGACGACATGGTAGCGAGCCAGTTCGAGGCGCTCGAGGAGCCCGATGAGACGGAGACGGACGTTATCCCTATCGATGTCGGTGGGACGCTGGATTCGGTGAAGGATGCTTCCATGGATCAGGTTACCAGAGTCATGGACGAGCATGTATGATAGCGAAAAAGGGGGGGTTGTGGTTTTGAGGTTTTCCTTTTTTTTGCCTTTTTTTCTATTGATTAAAGTTTTTTGACTTTCCCTCGACCAAAGCCTTTTTCTTTTTTTGTTACTTCCTGGACATTCCGTTTGGTTTTGCGTTTAGCCTGTCTGTGGGGACTTTTTTTTGCCCCACGTTGAGTTGAGTGAATGAATTTCCTTTTTCCTTTTCTTTTTCTTTTCTTTTCGAGCGCAACTTCTGTACTGGGACTTCTTTTTGGGCTGTCTGGCGTGGGCGTGGGCGTGATGTTTGTTTTCTGCGATTTGTTTTTTTGCAGTGTTCTTATTTATTTATTTATAAATTATCAACGTTCGAACTTCGGTCCTCGGCGCTCTCTCTCTTTCTTTTTCGGCCGTTCAAACTTTCTTTCTTTCCTTCTGAAGGGAAGGGAGGGTGGGTTTCGGGGTTTTTGCTATTTGTCCGCCTCGACTCTCGAGGCGTCTCTTCCCCCCCACTATTTCATGCTTCATGCCCCACAGTTTCCAATGGAGCGAATGGAATCTATATGTAGAAAATAAAGTACGCCTTGAAAGTTGAGTGCTTTATGACCTCCAAATACACATCATATGATCCACGGTGTATGCTTGGGTGCAGGCTTGGGTGTATGCTTGGGTGTATTGCTTGACTGTGTGCTTGACTGTGTGCTTGACTGTGTGCTTGACTGTGTGCTTGACTGTGTGCTTGACTGTGTGCTTGACTGTGTGCTTGATGGTGTATGCTTGACGGGAATATGTAACGTAAACTCTTGCTCCATTATAGCGAATCTATGGTATCCTCAACCCCCATCCAATCCAATCCAGCCCAATCCGTCCGTACACAATCAATACGTACAATCAATCAATACGTACACAATCAATACGTACAATCAATCAATACGTACACAATCAATCAATACGTACACAATCAATCAATACGTACACAATCAATCAATACGTACACAATCAATCAATACGTACACAATCAATCAATACGTACACAATCAATCAATACGTACAACCCCCCCCCCCAATTCCCTGATCACTTCAACGCAGCGCCACCAGCAGCTTCTCCGGCTCCTGCACAAGCTCTCTAACCCTTGCCGCCATCCGCGCCATAGTCGCGCCATCAACGACCCTATGATCCGCGCTCCACGAGAAGTTGACGACAGAGCGCTTAACCAGCTCGCCCGCGTCGTCGAACGCGGGGACAGTCCGTGCGCGGCCCATACCCAGAATTGCCACCTCGCTCGGCACGATCACTGGTGCCACAACCGTCCCGCCAATGTTCCCGATATTGCTGACCGTGATTGTTCCGCCGGCCAGGTCCGCGGGCGCCAGCTTGCCCGCTGCGCCCAAAGCTTGTAGGCGCAGAAGCTCCGCTGCAATGCTCACGATGCTGTGCCGTGCCACGTCCTTGATGTTTGGCACCAGCAGGCCCAGCGGCGTGTCCATCGCCACGCCGATGTTGTGGATGGGCCGGCGGATGAGCTGCGGCTTTGCGCCTGCCGTGATGGAGACGCGGCTGTTGAGCAGCGGGTACTCGGACAGTGCTACCGAAACCGCTTTGATGATGAACGGCATGTATGTTAGCCGCTGTGTGCTGGCGAGCGTGCCGCGGATCCGCGCGAGTGCGTCGAGGGCGACTTCGTCGCTGTAGAGGAAGTGTGGGATGCTCAGTGAGGCGGTCATCACTTTGAACATTTGGTGCTGGATCGGCGTCAGCGGGATGAGCTCGTCCTGCTGTTCCGCCGCTGCCGCCAGTGTCGTAGTGGTGGTGGTGGGAGTAGTGGTGGCAGCCGTCTCTGCACCCGCCGCCGCCGCCGCCGAATCCTCCGAAAACCTCGTAATATCCTCCTTCAGCACCCGCCCATCCTTCCCCGTGCCCGTGACGTCAGCGATATCAACGCCCAGCTCCCTCGAGATCCTTCGGACCGCTGGTGTGGCCAAGGTTTCGTTCCTTGCTATCTCCGCCGGCGTACGTATTGCAGCTGCTGCCATTGCTGCCACTCCAGCTGCTGCGGTCTCCGACACACCCGCACCCCCCGCCGCCACCGCCAACCCGCCATTTTCAGATGGCGTGGGCGTGGACGTGGACGGCTCCCCCGACGGGCCCAATTGCGGATCGTCCGCGACTTCCGCCGCTAGGTCGATATCCACCAGTGGCTATATAGTGCCAGCGAAACGCGGGGTGTTAGCCCGCCGCCATATCATCATAGGTGCAGCCCACCAATCACCTCTATACACACCCACACACGCACGCACACACACACACACACACAAACATACCTTCCCCACAATCGCCATCTCGCCCGCCTGATAGTGCAATTTCTTGATCACCCCATCGAACCTACTCGTAATCTAACCGTCCGTCCCCCGCAATTCGTTAGCCAATCTCCCTCTCCCTTTCCCTCTCTCCCATCCCGTAGGTTATGTAGGTTAAGTAGGTAGGTACACACCTCGACAGACGCTTTATCGCTCTGCACCTCGCACAGCTTGTCGAACTGCTCGACGCGCGCCTCGGGCTCGACAAACCACTGGATCACCTCGCACTCGCGAATGCCCTCGCCGATGTCGGCCAGCAGGAACGGCTTTATTGCTAGGCGCGGCGGGAGCGTGCTGAAGCTGCGCTGGAGCGGGCGACGGAGGAGCGGGCGAAGAAGGAGGGGTCGCATTTTTCGGAAGGAGTGATTGTGAGAGGAGAGGATGAGGAGGGGGATTGAGATGGTGGTGGGAGGGCTGGTGTTGCTGGTGGTAGGTGGACGGACGGCCTGCGTCGCGTTGGAGCTTGCGCTGCCCTGCCCTGCCGTGGATAGCCGCTCTGAGCTCAAGCTTACTTGCCTGCCTGCTGCTTGCTTTCACGAGCTCCTGACCCCAGGGTACAGTAGGTACGATGCAAGGGCCGGAGGCCCGGAGCGACGGAGCGTGCTGTGGGGGAAGACACCTACCTTATATAGCCTGAAGAGATAGCTATTAGGTGCTTATGACAGGCGATCTCCCAATTCACTGAATTGATCTCAGCGTGAGTGGGCTCGGATAAAACAGAACAGAACATTGCGGATCACTCCGCCTCGTCTCGGCATGGCACGGCTCGGGTTCTCCGCATTTCGCTAACAGCCGGCCCTTTATTATCTACGCGTCGATCACTCACTCACGGGGGCAGTCACGACGGAGTCACTCGTGTGAAGCACAAAGTATGGAGGATTTTCGGACGGACATCCGGCAATTCCATTAAGCTCGAGCACGAGACAGTTATGTACAATCTATCGGGGCCCAGGACCAGACAGAGATGGCCTACCTTATGTAGGTAGATAGCTGTGCGTACTGGTGTTACTCCGGTTCGAGTATTTGTCCCATGTATCGAGCTCCACCTAAGTAGAGTATCCCCACGACAACGACGACAACGGTGTACCCACTCGTTGTCCCATTCCGCTATGAAACGGCTATGTACTCGGTAGCCTACCTATGGCAAATCATGTCCCTTCCGTGAAGTTCCATCCTTACGGCGCCTCCCAGATCGCGCGACCAGACCTCGGCGATATGTCATCGTCATCTTCAGGGCTCACTCATCCACCGGTGCGGTGCGGCTTGTCGGGAACTGTCTATGTAGGTACGTAGGTATACGGTGCCCCACCACCAACTACTACGTGTGATGTACACGGTAAAGTAACTCGCACAATCGCCACTGCGACACCACAGCGATATCTGTGGGACACCCTGCCACCTGTATCATTCCGCCGGATGCGGCAGCAGGGGCGGCCGAACTTCAACGAAGTGATTAGCAAGCCGTGGCCCATAGCCCGTGGGGGGGTTCGAGAACGTACATGATCGACCCCCGTCTGGAAACCGGGGCTGAGATGGCGATCTACCTTCCTACATACTTATCTCTCCAGCGTCCGGATGTTTATGCCTACATGCGTGGGGGCGGCCTCGCCGGGCGAATTGAGCTGGCCGAGAACCTGGCACGAAAGCCTACCCGCCATCTCCTAGATGGATGGACTTCTAGGCCCATGCTGTGTTGTGAACCAAATTACACAGCACATCACATCACTCACTGGCGCTGGCACTCTCGACGAGATCCTCACATGTTCCCATTCACTCATCACCCCACAGGCCATCGTGAACGAGACGATATCACTCTTCTCTTCATGTCTATAGACAGGCCAGACAGAAAGATACTCCAACACGCCAACCACACTAGACCCTACGGCCACCATCACCATCATCAACTTGTAGTCCCAGTCCTATACGAACCCATCTCTCCGTAGGCCTCAAAGCTTCCCTTCATCCACGACATTGACTTATTATACAAACCAAGCAGATAAGCAGAAAACAGAAACAGACCCCCAAAACCCCATTTGGCTGACGGTAGAACCAACTACATTTACACACAATCGGGAATGAAAAGCAAAGCAAAACCCACGCCCCGCCTAGAAAAGAAAAAAAGGAGAAACCAAGCGGTTACTTCAAGAGTAGAAGGACAACTATGCGGAAATAGAACAGAGAACGCCTTGATCGATTAAATGGAACCCCCACCCAATCGCCGGACAGGTAATTGAAAAAGAATTTGAAGTCGCATCGCATTCGAAAGGTAAAACAGAACGCTACAAATATAAAGCAGACCCAAGCAACCCACCTATTATAATGATACATCACCATCATCAAAGGAAATTCAAGATCAACGAGCAGGAGCAGACGCGGAATGGTGTAGCCAAAGATCAGCATCACATTCCAGCCGGAAGAACTGGCAGGTTCAAGCCCATGCGCAGTACCGGTCTCCTGTCGTATCATTTCTTCTCCGCCTTCGAGCTGGCAATCTTCGAGTAGAAGGTCTCCAGTGCCGTCCATGGGTTCTTCTGGGAAGTCCAGTGAAACCTCCAAAAAACGTACCTACGGGGGCGAGTCAGCATGAGACATTGCGCGATGGGCTTGCCGAACTTACCAGAGATCTTCGTACTCGGGAGAGCCCTTCTTCGAATGCTGGGCTATGTAGTTTCCTACCGTGGAGACGCATTCCATCAAGCCCTGGCTCCGGCGGGTCTTGTCCTTGTCCTTCATCGCCCCGGACAGGACGTCAAGACTGTGCTTGACCTCGGGAGAGCTGCGCAGTTTGGTCTGCAAAAAAAAACCGTTAGCACTTTTCCAAACTGTCGGATTGAAGGGATGCATACAACTGCCAACTTCTCGTTCCTCGTCAGATCGCGAGACGTCTCATCTAGGTTCTGGGTAGAACCGTCTTTCCGGAGGTGGGATGGCCTGGAAGTAGGCGTGCCATTCGCTGGCGACGCTGCAGGCTTCCCCCGAACTTCCAAGCGCGGACTATCCTGTTCCATCGATGGGCGACGCTTCTTCCGGACCACCTTGCTTCCGTCGTCCTCTTCGTGCCGACGTTTCTTCTTCGGCTCACGGATCTTATCTCGTGGCCGGCGGGAGTCGGTGGGGGCATCTCTTCCCTTGGACTTCGTCTTCTTAATTCGCGGTGCCGGTGAGGCGGAGGACGTGCCCCCGTTGCGCTTCAGGTGGCGGTAGGCATCTGACGGTGACTTTCTCGCACGGCTCAAGCCCATCTCCACACGCTCCTTCAAGACACCAAGCAGGTAGTCTGCTCGGCGAACCAAGTGGACGGCGCCAGGTGACTTGGCCTGGGATTCTGCGTTTCCTCGCTCCACTTTCTTGTCAACACGGTGCTCCTCGAGGAAGAACTTGTTGTGCATTGCAAGCTCCGGATCGTCACGGATTGCCGTCCACGCACCATACCCGTGCTTGACAATGCCAACACAGAGCATTGAATCCTCCCGGGTTCCCCACTCACAAGACCAGTTGTGTACTGGCTTGACATCATTGATGCGGAACTTCGTGCGATCGTCCCAAGCGTCGACAGCCCGCTTCAGGATCTTCAGCTCCTCTGGTCTGATCAGGATCGTCTCGGCATTGAGCTTCTTCGCGCCCTTGTAGTCGAAGAGAACAGCCTTCTTCTCCTTCTTGCCGGCATCTCCCAGGGTGGATCGATGCATTTGGATGGCCTCTTCACTCAAGCGAATCCAGTCATGGATGGTAGCTCTGATCATCTCCGGATCTCGTCCCTCCAGCCCCGCGTCCTTGAGAATCTCGCTCCAACAGTCGTCAAGCAGCCCGTAACGGGTGTACGACCTGTATAGATTTCGAATCTCGCGAACATTCAAGGGCTGGCCGGGATCGAATTCCGGTTCGTCGTCGCTGTCGGTCATCCGTGCAGAAAGCTCTTTCGCTCGTCTCTTTGCCGTTCGGCCCCCCTGCTCCCCGTCTGCGACCGGTTTGCGCTTGCGGCCCGAGCTCATCTCGATCTGCTCGTTGAGAAAGTCTTCTTCCTCTTTGCTCTTCTCCTGCGCCCGTAGTGCCTCCAGTTCTTCCTTGGGAATGATGTCATCCCAGGAGACATCGGCTTTGAAATCCGTGACCGCGAACTGCTTCAAGAATTCGTCACCACCTTCGCCCCCGAGCCCGGTGTCCGCTTGAGTGATGTGGTCCTCGGCAGTGCTCAGGATATCGTCGATCTTCAGTTCCTCCAGCTTCTTCTGGTTGTCTGTGGCCTCGAACATCTTCGATGCTCGGGCTTTGAGGATTGCCGAAAGCTCCGACGAAGGGATCTTATCGGACTTCCCGTCCTTGACTCGGTCCACTATACCCTTGTCGGTCACTCCCAACGAGATGACAAGGTGCTCAAGGATCATCTTGTTGCGCGCGCGCTCCAATATCTCCTCTTCGATGGTGTCTTTGGACACCAATCGATAAACCATGACGTGGTTCTTCTGGCCGATACGATGAGCGCGAGCCATTGCCTGGAGATCGGCCTGAGGGTTCCAGTCACTGTCGAAGAGGATAACCGTGTCGGCGGTCATCAAATTGATGCCAAGTCCTCCAGCCCGGGTACTGAGGAGGAAGCAGAAGTCCGGGCTCCCAGGCGAATTGAAATGGTCAATCGAAATACGCCTGGCCGCAGCGGGGATCGTACCGTCCAATCGCTGATGTGTGTACCCCTTCAGGTTCAGATAGTCGGCAAGAATATCCAACATCTGAACCATCTGACTGAAGATCAGTACACGATGGTTATCGGCCTTGAGCTTGGTAAGTAGCTGGTCCAGAAGGACCATCTTTCCACTGCTCATGACGAGAGCCCTAAGGGTCTCCTCTCTCGTAGCATTCGCCGAGAGGACCCTCTCCTCTGCCGACGCGAACATGAACGGGTGGTTGCTGGCCTTCTTCAGCTCCATCACGATGTTCAACAGTGACTGTTGATGCCCGTTCCCGCCAGCATTCAGCGCCGCATAGTTGCGGGTGATGATGTTCTTGTAGTATTCGGTCTGGAGGTCAGACAACTCCACCCGAATAATCTTCTCCGACTTGGAAGGCAAGGACTTCTCGACCGACTTCTTGACCCGCCGCAACATGTATGGCTTGAGGGTCTGCTGCAGTGCCTCGATCTGCTTCGCAGCATCGACGGACTGCAGGTCGACATCATAATCGATGTCGATCCTCCCGGGCATCAAGAAGTCAACCAGAGCGCCCAGCTCTTTCAGGTTGTTCTGAAGAGGCGTACCGGTAATCAACAACCGACTGGTTGCTTTGAAGAGATTCAATTTGTCGTACAGCGATGACTCCTTGTTCTTCAGCCGGTGAGCTTCGTCAACCGCCATAAACTGCCACCGGATTGGCATCAAGTTGGCCCAGTCGTTGATAACATACTCGTAGGTCGTAACCACGCAGTTGAACTTGGGCTTCTTTGGGTTCCCATCGACGTAGAACTCGTGTTCTCGGATGATATTCCGTGCACCCTGAGACCCCGTATAGATGAGGTAATTCATGTCCGGTGCCCAGTTATCAAACGTCTCGGCCCACGAAGGGACAGTCGAGAGGGGAACCACAACCAAGAAGGGGCCGTGCTGATGCCGGTCGTGGCGAAGCTAGAGAGCAGCCGAATCAGCACTTTGCCAGAAGTATTTGATCAGCGATAACATACCCAGCTCATGAAAGCAACCGTCTGAACTGTCTTGCCCAACCCCATCTCGTCGGCAAGGATGCCATTGTGACCTTTGGTCCAATTGTAGGCAAGCCAGTTCAAGCCCTTCATCTGGAAATCCCGCAATTCGCCGTTCTTGATATACGAGGGCTGTGCCTCTAGCTTCTTATAGCTTCGTCTGGTAGCCACGTTCGATTCCGACTGCTTGGAGACTTGCACAGTCTTGGATCGATTCCAGTATTTGTCCACCTGTTCAGGTGCCAACGCAATTATGAGATCACCTTCCTCCCAGGTGCAGGCCTCGTAGGTCAATCGTTTCCCTTCAGAAGCATCAGCAAAAATGTACAGTTGAGAATAGCGGGGGATGCACACATTTAACCATATACTGCCTTCCGGTATCTAAGTCACGATGGGCGATGACCCTCTCCACGATGTGAAATGCAGCATTCTCTTCCCTCCGTCGCTCCTGCTTGAGGTTCAATTGTTCGATCTCTTCGGGTGTCGTAGATGGGTTCGTCCGAATCCAATAATCCGCGAGAACAACCTTTCGCATATAGTTCTCAAGTTTTCGGTATCCCTTCTGACCTACAAGGTTGTCCATAGGTTCCCATGTGGCATGATAGTGGGATTCGCCTTGCCATTTGATCTGTCCAGTCGTTAGCCAAGTGACGGTGCACCGGGGAGCATTACACGTACCTGGAACTCCAGTCTATCTTTGTCGGCAGTCGGTATCGTGTCATCTACCAGAAGGTCAGTTCAAGCTGCAGTAGGGAAATCCGTGTTACATACCGAAGCCCTCTCTGATGCGGTGTCCAATGACAAGGTCAATGCCATTAGGAACTTCTTCCACCTGGTATTGGTCTTCCCCGTTGTCCTCCTCCGCATACTCTTCTTCGAATTCATCATCATCATCCTCGTTGTAGTTGGCAACCGCCGCGGCCGCACGTCTTGTGGAGAATCGGATTTCTGTGGCCTGCGAAACACTTTCCACTGCGATCTTTCGTCGTTTCCTCATAGCCTTCGGTCTCTTCTTCGTGCCATATTCGTCACTGTCTTCATCTTCAGATGAGACGTAATGAACAGGAGACGGCAGTTTGGATGCTTTGAGAAGAGGGGGTTAGCTACAGCTGAGCCCCGCTAGCACTGTGACAGACAGAAGCTTACATTTTGCGGATCTTGTAGGGGCCTTCTTTCGTTTTGTCTTCTGTCGACTGCTCTTCGGCTCCGAGTCGTCTTCGTCCTCATCATCGTCGTCGTCATTGTTTTCCGAGTCCCCGCTGCTGTCAACCTGGTGATAGTTAGTTGATCGTTCCGTAGGCTGGGTCGAAAATACATCACATACCAGTGTTCGAGTATTTCGTGCGCGTTCCTGTAGCGTGATGATTAGAACAGTGATCGAAGATAGTAGGGTAGATAGGAGAGGGCTTACACTCCGTCGTAGGCCGTATAAGTCTGGGTTCTCATAATACTCGTTCGCAGCCTTCTCCTTCGAGGGTCTCTGAAGAGATGCCTTTTCAGATTCAGCATCGCTAGACTGCTCTTCGACCTCCTCTTCTTGTACATCTTCGTCTTCTTCGAAGTCGCCATCATCGGATCCGACATCGTCCTCCTCCGATGAGCTTTCTACATCAGGTTCATCGTCATCCTCCTCCTCTTCGTGTTTCGATTCGACGGTCGACGCGGACTCGTCGACGTCGTCTGGTGGTTCTACATCCGATACGTCCACGTCGTCCTCCTCTTCTGATGAGCTAGAAGGGTCTGCAAGATCGGTAGCCATGGAGTATGTATGTGTGTCCGCGATCGACACGGGTGTGCCGACAACTTGCAGCGGCAGTACCATGCTACCTGCTATACCACCACTATCAGCAACAATATCTCGAGCGCAAAACAGATTGAGGGCAGCGGAATGAGTGCGAAGGTTCTCCAGAGCAAGGCGACTCCGATGCACGCATCGGCGACAGGATAAGTCCTGTCAATGGCCAGTGCGGTCATTTCGGGGATGCGAGGAGCATAGCTCGACGATGTCCTTGAAGAGACACGACCACCGGCTCGGATGGCTGCCACGGCCCCGCAACACGCAGAGGGAAGAAGGAAAGCGGATGAAATGAATGAGCAGACGAATCGACACGTGAATATAGGGTTCACGAGACGAGCCACGAGCGTGGTATATCGTGGTTCGTCGCGGGGAGGTTGAGGCTCGACGGGATCAGGCCGGCAGAGAAGGAGCGAAATTCGAGCACACACGTAAAATGAAAACGAGGACTACTTACAAGCCATGGTAATGCACTTTGATCGTATCAGCGAAGGAAATTCGAGAGAAATGATTGCGAGTTTGTTTGGTTGTGGTGGTGGGTGGAGCGTTCGGGGTGGATGTGGTGGCGGGCTATCGATGTGTGGGAGGTTCGTGATAATCGGGGTGTTGGGGTTTGAGGGAGTCTGGGTTGGATGCGGACCGAACTGAGATTAGGAGAACCGGGTGGTGTGGCGCCAAGCTAGTGTGTGTGGCTTGAAAGGCGGCTTTGTGACAGCCAAGCCAAAGTGGGAAAATAGAGGCAAAGCTAAACGAATTTCTAGGTAGCGCTAAGCGGGGAGCAGTCGTTAAGCAGGTGCCAGAGCTTATATGCTCTCACCGTGTCTAACCCAGCGTTGAAGATAAACAGATCAGAGAATCTATTGAGATGAATTCTTCACTCAGTCAGGACCATCCACAACAGAGGGAGGAGAGCAGGTGTATATCCAAGGTATTCTCAAAGACTATTGGAGCATACAGGACGAGGAGAAGGCACACGGTCGGTTTCTTCAACACTCGACTGAAGCCGAAATTCAGCATCCATCCAAAATCCAAGTGGATGTCATGTGCCGTAAACGACCTGAGGTCTTCAAGAACTAGATATCCAGCGTTCGCGTAAACGCCTCTGCGTATTGGCGGAAAACTGTAAAAACACGTATTCCTCCACAGGGCCAGGGTATAGTGCCCATTTACTGTCCGCCGGCCAGCTGCAGACATTACCTGAGGGCTGTGCTGCACGGTTAACCTCGCGATGCTGCCTAGGGTCTACATAGAGTGCCGGTACCGGTATATGGAGCTCTCATGGCCATGACACGCCGCCGCCGCCGTGGCGGAATCGTCATGGAAATCCCTAAGTCGCGACATCTCTTCATTTGCTTCCATGGAGTTGAGGACCCTCAAACCTCGGCGATCCACTTCAAACCTCCTTTGCTGCCCCTTGCAAGCCAATCATTCTCCACATATATTGCTGTCCTCTTCTTTCACAAGTGCACCCCTGTAACCCTTGCGCCAACTAACTCGAAGGTGTCCCCTTCACTTCACGATCACAACATCCACAACAGCTTCAACAGCCCACACGCACCATCCGCCCCACGTCACCGACTGTCGTTTCCCTTTCGCTTTCTTCGTGTCCAGCTATGCTCCTAGGTTTCCGCACCCGAGCAAGACGGCTTACCAATTCGTACGTCTTCGGCCGAATAGTATGTCCACCTCGAGGATCCGAATCTCTTCTTCCCGCGTATTCTAATCGTCCTCGGGGTCCAACAGCCATTCATAAACCTCCTACTCCTCGGCCTTCAGCTTTTCGGAATAAGCCATGTCTCGTGGAACTTCTCGGCGCACTTCGACGCAAAGCCCATGTTGACCACGATGATCACCAACTCGGTCCGGCATCCGCACCCCTCTTCCCACCCCTCTTCCCACCCCGCGGGCCGAATACTGACCGCCACAGATCCTCAACGGAATAGCCGACACGGTAGCACAGACGGTATCGGCCTACCGCAGACGCCACGCCGGCGTCGCCCCCGCGAACCCCAAAAAGGTCGACCGCGTGTCCATCGAGATCCACGAGCTCGGCGAGAAGTCGCTTCCTACGCACCGGGCGGAGCTCTTCGCCGCCCCGCATTTCGACGCCGACCGCCTGGTGCGATACATGGCCTGGGGTACTCATCCTCCCCCTCTACCACCACTCGCCGCTACCTCCCCCATTTCCCCCCGCTGACATGCGCGCGCGCAGGATTCCTGATGGCCCCCATCCAACTCGCCTGGTTCGCTTGGCTATCCGACGTGTTTCCGACTACCGAAGGGCACCAGACGGCAGCGGTGATGTGGCGCGTGCTGCTGGACCAGGTGGTGTTCTCGCCGATCAGTTTGGCGGCGTTCTTCGTGTTCATGGGGGTGTGCGAGGGTGGCGATATGAAGGCTATGCGGAGGAAGATGAATGTTGTGTTTATGCCCTCGTTGTAACTTCCCCCCGCCAAAACCAAACCCCCCCCCCCCCCCCCCCCCCCGGAATAAAGATTAAGTTCGGACGGATGCTGACAGTACGCAGGAAGTCTAACTATGTCCTTTGGCCCGCGGTGCAAATCATCAACTTTCGCCTGGTTCCCCTACAATACCAACTCGTGAGCTACCCCTCTCCATTGCCCCTCGGTTCGGTTCGAATGCTGACGGACGATGTGGGGATATAGCCATTCGCGTCGACGATAGGAATCTGCTGGACAACCTACCTGTCGTTGAAGAACGAGGCGGCGGATGCACTGCTGTGATGGCGCGGTGGGAGTGAGTGAGTGGTAGTGGCGATGTCGCACATCTACATTTCAAAAGGGACATGGTGCATTTGTTTCGGATATCAACAGCTTCTTATTTCTTTCTTCTACAACCGTGTTATTGCATTCTGTTCGGATTTCACTGTATAATACTTGCCTATAATAGACGGGGAGTGGTTGGAGATGATTCTTTCGGAGGGGCACAGTGGGCGTCGTCTGTGAGACCATGGGTGCACTGCCCCGCCACACAGCGGATGAAGAGTCTATCGAAGAGGATCCGCTTGATAGAGCACCATATCACAGCTCATGAACGAGTGAATCCGTGCCATCGTGACCATTCATTATCCGAATTCAAGCCCGCCGTCATTTACAAAAAATCATTAACAGCTATCGAAAATCAAGGAGAAAAAAACCCCCCCCAGACCAGTCCATGAGCAACACAATGCTAAAACGCCAAGGTCCATCGTACAGAAGTCAAGTAGAAATCAAAGGTCAAACAAACAGCTCATAAAGACATTCATGCAGATGATCATGAAAAAAAAGCCCATCTAGATGAAGACGGCTTTGCCGGACAAGGTAAAGCGAACCGCGCCCTGGACGCAGAGGATGGGGCGGCCATCTCCCATATAAGCATTCGCCGTCACGACGTAGGTGCCCTTTATCCCAATAATTAGCCACTATCCAAAACAAATATCGGACGAGAAGGAGGATGGACTCACAGGGGGGATTTGGTTCGGAATGTCAATCGCCTTAGTCAAAGTCAACTTTCCAGCTTTGACGGGACACTCGAGGTCCACCTGGTTGAGGTTATCACAGATGTCTGCGGTCTGCTTGAACATGGTGATCAAGCCGTACTTGACGGAAACATCGACTTTGGCGCCCTTGGTAATGGCGCTCTTGAGCGAGCCGACCGCGTCAACAACCAACGTCTTGCCACTGTCGAAATGTTAGTCTGGCTGCCTCGGCGGTAGGGAAGATGAAGGAGCAACAGCAGAAGAAACACTGAGAGCAGGGGAGGAGTGGGAGACAAACGGAAGCGGCGGGTTGGGCGTCAAGTTAAGGCTCTGAATCTTCACGATATCCTTGCTGTTGTCTCCACAGTAGAAGAGAGGGTTGGCTCCAGGGACCTTCGTGAGACCGGCTCCGACATCGGAACGGACGTCGATGGACTGCTGCTGGAAGAAGCTTCCGGCAGACACGGAGACTGCCATGAAAAGCACGGAGGTGATGACGGAAAACTTCATCTTGAAGAATGTAGAGAAGAAGTTGTTTCTTTGTATAGAAGGGAGTTGAAAGGGAGGAGAAGTTGTTTGTTTGTGAATTGGTTGTAGATCTTGTGCGGAGTTTTGGTTGGAGGAGTGGAAAGCGAGGGTGAGTGTGGAGAAGGTAGATAAGAATCGATCCGAAGAGGGCCTTCAAATAGTCGTCGGGGGTAGCCGGATTCAGGCACAAGCTCTATTTCGCCGCTCTACAACGTTGTACGTTCTTGAATGAGAGATGGCTGGAACGGCATGGCATGGATGGGTCCGGGGATGAATGTGCGCGGGCAGGCTCGTGACTGACCGTGACGTAGGGGGTGGGATCTGAATTGTGAGTTTGTGAGCTGGAAGTCTTCCCGTGGCAATCGAGAATCGAAAATCGACCTGGGCCATTTTACCCGAAATTCAAGATGTACACTATACACCCATCAAGGTCCCTCGATGTAGGCTTTGACCCATAGGGCTGTGGAGGTAACCGACCGTGGTGAGGCTCCTCCGTGAGAGAGTGAGGCTCTGCAGGGAAGCCACGCGTACCGCGGTAAACCGTGAACAGAAATCCTATGGTCGCCAAACTCAAAAAAATTCAGCGTGTACTCCTCAACCTTCTTCTTCCGCGCAGCTGAGCTCACCTCGGACCTGGGAGAAGTACAATTTTATTGAGGAAAAAACTCGACAGTGCAGCGTCGACAGCACACGATATCACTCGGGACGACAGCCGGCTCGCCAGCTTGGACTTTCTCTACGTGGTACAGGAAGACGCCGGGGAACAGGAAATTCATTGTTATTACGGTGAATAAAAACAATAAATCGTAAATTTCAATCGCAGTGAAAGCCCAGCCCGATCATCACGTATGGGCAGCGCTGGATATCAATCGAGCCACCTCGAGACCAGAGGCCAGCCAGCCTGGCCGGGCTGGCTCAGTCCGTTAATCGCAACTGCAAATTCACGGTGTGGCCTGAGCCGTGCGGGCTTGGGTCACAGAAGTGATTTGAGCAAACTGCTCCACGAGCAGAGCTCATGCCAAGCACACATGTTCGAGCCAGCTCAGCTCACTCCATCCAACATGGTGGACCAGACTGCGGTGTCTACTCCGAACACCTCGGACTGGACTCCGTCGTGGTCTAGGACGTGCCATGGCCTTCACCGCTGGCTTGGATGGTGATGAGAGTGTCAAGTCTGATCCTCTTCGACCAGCTGGGCTGGCCGAACGAGCAGAAATCGACACAAAGCCTCGTCCCATCGGGCAAAGCAAACACCCTCCCCGCTCTACGATTCACAACAGATGGCATGGTTGGTCTCTGCTGGTAGCTGATGCAGTCTTCTTCTCGCCGGCGCTGTCGTGACCCAACCCAAGAACCGCGCTGGCCACCCACAGCAGGCCATGCAGCCTACAAACCGACCAAAGCCCAGCCCGATCATCACGTCTGGGCAGCACTAGATATCAATTGAGCCGTCTCGAGGCCAGAGGCCAGCCAGCCTGGCCGGAAACTCACGTGCGATCTCGACTCATAGAAGCAAAACTGCTCCACGAGCAGAGCTCGAACCAAGCACACATGTAGGGAGGCCCAACTCGAGCCAACTCAGCTCACTCCATCCAACATGGTGAGGATCTGACTAGACTGCGGTGTCTGCTCCAAACACCTCGGGCTGGACTCCTCCGTCGTCCAGGACGTTCCAAGGTATATACCGCTGGCGGCTTAGATGGTGATGAGAGTGTCAAAGCCGATCCTTGTGAAGTCGCGGCCTACCATCTGGGCTGGCCGGACGAGTAGTAATCGACAGTGTTCGATGCAAAGCCTCGTTACATCTGTCAAAACAAACACCCTCCGCTGGGGTTTCGTGGCAGATGATGTGGGCCCGATTCCTCTCCGTCACCACCCCTCCCCCTCCCCACCACGATTCACAACAGACGACATGGTGGGTCTCTGCTGGTCTGATGTAGTATTCTTCTCGCTGGTCCTGTCGGGACCCAACCCAATCCAAGAACCGGGCTGGCTACTCACAGCAGGTCATGCTCCTACAAACAGAGCGGGAAATCATGACACAACCCCTGGCGAAGGGACCGAGGCGACAATCCTTTTTTTTATTTGTTTATTCATCGATTGCATGCGACCTCTCCGGATCATGGCAATATCCACCGATACACCCACGACACTGTCCACCTCGACTCTCATCGAGCCTTCCGATGTGGTTGTCCCTGCCCTCCGCCCCGGCCTGTCCCAGCAATGTAAAGACTGATATGGGCGTGCATGTCCGCTCCTTCCCACTCCCCTCTCTCACCGACGGGGCTGACACGGCCGCTCTTCCCACCAACCTTCTGTCCCTTCGTGGTGTTTGCGTGCCTTCTGCTTGACGATCCTGCTCTCACCCCACCGATGAAGACAGTCACATATACGCCGCCCCTGCCGCGAGCATCATCTACCCACGAGTCACGACAGAACGCTTCCATCCCTCTCTTCCAAGCCCCACCTCTCTGTTGACAGTAGGTAGGGGTTGCTTGTTCTCGGCATTCACGCCGGCATGTGCAGAGTGCATGAGCGTCGATGTTGGGGAGGTACCTATTAGCTACTACACCGGCTGGTGAGGTGCCGAGGTCCCGTCAGTTCGTGATTGTTTTGTTTTTTGTTTCTTCATCGCAGCATTCGACCTTGTCAGATCATGGCTGTATACACACATCCGGTTCCACCCCACTGTCTCCGACCGCTGGTCGAGAGCTCAATGTGGGTTCCCTATTGCTCTCCGCCCAGCCCTCCCGCTCAGCTCTAACTCGCCGCTCGATTGTGAGGTGGCAATTTTTTTTTGTTCATTCATTGATTGCGTGCGACCTATCTAAATCATGGCAATATCTACCCGTTCGCCCCCCCGTTTCCCCGCCACTGTCCAACCCAACTTTCATCAGGCGTCCCGATGTGGCTTCCCCTGCCCCCGCCGTGACCTGTCCCAAAGATGTATGAGCGCACCAAAGAAATGACACTAGGAAAAGACAACTTCCACTCCCTCGACTCGTCCCTGCCTCACCGCAAGTCACTAGCCCTCGTCGCCGCCTCCTGCCTCTTCATCAAGAGATGCCATGAAGGAAAGTGTGGGAAGGAACAGCGGGCGTGACCCCGGCTCCTCAACCTCAGCACCCTCCTCCTCCTCTCGCCTCAGATCCGCCTCCCTTTCCTCCCGCTCCCTGAGCTCCCACTCGGATATCTCACTCGCTGCATCTTCCTCCGTAGCCTCTAGCATCCGTCTGCCCACATTAGTGGAGAGGAGGAACTCTAGTACGGCCTTGCTGCATCGCTCATCTGCGAAGAGGTCCCGGATTTTGAAGGGGTCTTTTCCTCTCCTTGTCTGCTTCCAGACTTCTGCCCATGGTGTCTTTTGCTGACTTTTCCATCCAGGGCAATTTTTGAAAAGGTGCTCCCGAGTCTGTGTCTTGTAGCAGCACCAGCCAGCGGGCATCCGGGCGGCTTTTAGTCCACTGGAGGTACTGGCCAGTGAGGCAGTGTCCTGTCTTGAGTTGGTAGAATCTCGAGGCGAGGTGCTTGGTGGCCATCTCTGGATTTGGGTCGGGTCTCTGGCCGGATTTCCGGCTGTACCGATACTTCTTGCGAGTGATTCTGCTGTCCGCCGTCCCTTGGCTTCCCTCCACTTGGCTTCGGAGATGCCGCGTTTCAGGTAGGCAAGCGATGGCGGTGGTAGAGGTCTGGTGCCATACTGGTGCAGGTAGCGGGTCCCCTCCTCGTGAGGTGGCAATCCTCTGGTGAGAGGAGCCGCCAGAAGATTATGGGAGTGAGAAACGGTGCAGGACGCCAGTAGAGTAGGTACTGCACGATTCCTTCGACAAGCCGCACTGGTAAATCAACCGATTGTGGAGAATGGCATACCATCGAAGGTCGAGATGATGAAATTACCTATGTGTTATGGAAGGGGGATGAGTGGTTGCCGCTGTCGTTGTCGTGAGAATCGAGCTTCATGGACCTCCCTCATATTCTACATCCCTATCAACAACTAAAATCAATTCGATTCGCAGCAACCGTGAGCAAATCTGAAATCGCATCTAGATTGGACTCGATGATGATGATGAAGATAATTGTTGGTTCCAATTACATACAGTACACCGCACCACAGGTGCCCACCACCTCCACTTCTCCCTCTGTTCGTTCTATCCATCTATCCATCCATCTATCCATCCGCCCAGATCCAATCGAGTCGTACAAAGAGCAAGTTAGTATACAATACATTAACAGACAGTTGTAACGGGTGTGTAAGTACAGAAGTAAGTAATAAGTACTCCCCACGAAGAAAAAAAACAACACCGCCATTCCCAAAAACATAACAAGGCCAAAAATATACAAAAACAGCCCGTTTTCTTCACTAGCAGAGGAAGAGAAAACCGAATGAAGCAGCAGCAGAAAAGAAGTTGAAAAGCAATCCCAAAAAAAAGGGGCATAAGGATATCCGCCCCAATGCATGCAGTAAACAAGAACAAAGCACCGATGCAAGAAAATGCCCACTAGGATACAAAACACAAGGAAGAAAGGAAAAAGGAAAAGTAGTAATCAATCAAAACGGAGCCAAACCGAGCCCTGAAGACTTTACATCGTACCCTCTAAACACTTATATAAACACAAAATCGAGGAGTCAAGTCAAGTCATTGGTGGGCGTAGGTAGCATATCATTGCTTTGCTTTCCGGGGGAGGGTTAGCCGGTTCGGATCACGGCATATCGGCGTACTTGGCTTGCATTATCAAGTACTCGTTTCCGAGACGTTTCGCCTGGCGTACTGCCTCATCCCTATGATTCCGGTCAGCAAGAAGTAAATACTTTGGAGTGGGCGATATCCTTACCTTTCGGTCTGGAGGTTCATCACTTCGATCTGCGCAGCGGCCATCCTGGCCACCACCTCGCTCATCTCATCATCGGCATCTTCTAGTGCCTTCTCGAGTTCCCCTACTCTCTTCTCCAAGAGCTCCGTCTTATTGGAGTCCGAGGAGGACAGTCGTCGAACCGAAGTCCACTCTAGCTTCGGGCTTCTCAGAAGCGGCGACAACTGCGGCTTGAGGCCGGGAGATGCAAGGGCAGATGACTTCAGCCGACGCAGCTGCGAGGTGTGCGTCTCCTTTATGCGGCGGATTTCATCCTCGTGCTGGGAGACGGCTTCTTCTGCCTGTTGCTGCGCCTCGGCGACTTTATCCTCCAAGCTTCTCAGCTTGCCTTGGAGACTGTTGATCTTCTTTGCCGAAGCGCTCTGCTCTTCCTCACCGCGAGTGATGCAGTCGGCGAGTCGCTCTCGGAGGGTTTCGTTGGAGGCGAGTTGAGCTCGCACTTGCGCGGCCAACTCCTCCACCCGCTCCGACGAAATACGCAGCTGCGCTGCTAGATTCCGCTCCTCCTGCATATGCATCTTCTCAGACTTCTGCAGTGATTCCGCACGCTTGCGGTACGCCTCCGCCTCGACTTGAGCAGTGTCTCGCTCGACCTCTGCCGATGTGAGACTCTTGCGCAGTTCCTGAATGGCGCGTTGCGAGGCTTCGTTCGCTCCCTCAAGGGTTTGCTCACGCTCGGTAACAAAGGCGGGGTCAGTGTCTCTGGTCTCGAGTTCCCCTAACCGGGCCAATAATCGCTCGTGGAGGTTTTGGAGATTGTGATATGCCTGTTTTAGGGATGGAGATGCGGGCGTCGCGCCCGCCTGTTTGAGCTCCGAAACTTCTCGCGACAGACGCTCGTGTGAATCCTGCAGTTCCCCATGCTCTGCTGCAAGATCGTCGTGCTCCTGTAACAGAACTCGCAACGTGCTGGTCTCCTGCTCGGCCTTTTCGAGATCCATCATCAATGTACCCAGACTCCTCTCGCAAACAAACTTCTGTTCGAGAGCTTCATCCGCCCTCTGTCTCAGGCGATCAATCTCCCGGCGAAGAGCTGAGACCTCCTTATCGCGTCCTTGTCGTTTGATGTTCGGATCCAACGCTCTGTCCCGCTCCATTTCTAACGTCTTTATTCGCTCCTTCGACTTCTTGGCCTCCAATTGCTGGCGATCCCTTAATCTCAGGAGTCCCTTGCGGAGAGCGTCCCGTTGATTCTCGACGTCTTTCAGACGTTCCGCCAGTGATTCACGGTCTTTGGGATTCAGAGGAAGCGTCGGCGGTTGCGCAGATGTCGGAGTACCTGGCGTAGCATATCCTGATGGCGCTCCAGACATCGAGTGGCGGACATGCGAATTGGTTTGGATCTGAACCAATTGGGCTTGAACGACTTGGGCTTGGATGGCGGGAGGTTGTACTTGGCTGTGCGCTCGTGCCTGCTGTACTTGGTACTCAACCTGGGCTTCGATCTGATGTTTGAAATTCGCTTGAGATTCAAGCTGAGCTTGTGTTTTCTCCTGGATTACCTGGGCAAGAGAAACGTTTTCGGTTTTTAAGCTCGCCAGCTCCTGTTGCATGAATGTGTGCTCATACATGAGCTTCTGCAAGTCTAATGTCTCCGCCTCGAGTCCTTCCACACGCGCTCTCAGCTGAGGAACAACTTCGTCTCGGAGGTTGTCGCGGTCATTCCGATTGGCCTCGAGTTCCTCTTTCAGAGCTGTGAGAAGATCCTCGAAATTCTCCTTCAGTTGGCGTTCCTCGACGAGTTTGCGTTTGGCTTCTTCAAGTGACATTTCGAGGTCTTTGATTCGCGCTGGAACATCCGGAGGAGCGAGATGAGAACCAGTGGAAGTCTGGTACACGCTGTTTAGCAATACATTCACAGTTATACCAAGCGAGGCCATGTTACCTTGGAAACCAGATCCTCCAATTCCTTTACTTGTGCCTCAACCGTCCTCCTTTTCTCCCTCTCCTCTTGAACTTTCTCGAGCATATCCAACCTCAATTGTGCTTTCTCTTGCTCGACCTTCCTCACCATCCTTTCCGCATCCATATCCTTGCCTTCGCTATCCACATACCGTGCTGGCGTGCCTGCGTCGGAATAATAATCACTAGTTCGCCTGCCATTGTTTGCTGCCTCGGATTGCAGGCGCTCGACGAGATCTTCCAAGTCCATCTCTCGCCGAATTGACGCTGCCAGATCCGCCGAAACTGCCCTGACTTCATCTTCGATGGCATCGAATGACCCATATCCTGGTGTTCCTGGCGGATATAGACTTTCCGTGTCCGAGTACGTGTTGAGTTGAGAAGCATTTGCCCGCGAAGTGTCTATGGCCGGAGGGGGAGCTTTACTAGCTGTAAGCAACGATCCACGATGAGACGTCGAGGTGGGTGATAGTGCAGGCATTGGATCCACCGACCCAGCGCCCTGCTCCGAGGTGCTGCCCCAACGGAAAAGAGACGTGAATCTGTTGTTCGGGGACTTTGGCTTGGTTGAATCTTCGACGAAAGCAAAGCCTTCCTCGGGGAGAGATATGTTGGGTTGTATGGGTGCCATTGAGTTGTATGCGGACGCGGATGCGCTTCGTGTATGTATGGTGACCAAATGATCGATTCTTCGTGGGTATATATTCAGACTGGACTCGCTGATGAACCTCGCATGGTTTGGGGGGACAGGGCTTCTGGGATACGCGCGCAGAGAGGAGAGTTGCTGTCGTATATTACCGTGTTGAGGGGTTCGGACTGTCCAGAGATGGCTGGGATCGTGATCCAGCCGATGCAGTCTGGAAAGCAAAATAGTGGTTAGAGAGGGGATTGCAAGTTGGACGAGCATAAAGGTTTTGGGATCATTGCACACCTATTGGAATATTCCTCCCTTTCGACGAAAGCTTCGGGCGATGGAAGGGTGGGAGAATCTAGGACCGGGTATCCTTCAGGGAGTTTTGCCGAAAGGTCAAGAGCTGCTGGAGCAGGCTGCTTCTCCTTACGGGACGGTGGCTTGGGAAATTGGTCTGATATCCGAGCACCGAGAGGCAGGGAACTGGCACCAGGAGGGAGGGAGACCCGTCGAATGGGAGGCTGCCAAAGGGAGATGTATGATGACTGCGGACGAGACGACGGCGGTGACGACGACGGTGAGGTGAAAGGCGAGAAGGTGTGGATTGCAGAGTCGGGACGGGCAGTCGGGGCAGTCCGGGGATTTTGAACGACGGAGGAAAGATCGAAAGAAGGATCGAGGACTTGATTCTGGAACGAAGTCATGGCTGAGGGCGACCTTGGCGTTTGGAGCAAGCACAGCAGCTAGATGCTAGTCTAGGGACTCTTTTGTTCGAAGTTCGCTTGATGGCTTTCCTCGATGTGGTGTGTATGGGTGGTTGGGATGTCTTTCCTTCGCCAAAGCAGGTCGATAGGGGGCCCTTGCACTTGCAGGCGTGTAAGTTGAGTGTGTAGCAAGCGGGGGGGGGAAGGGAGTGGGTGCGTGCTGGTAGGTTGAGCAGGGGCTACATGCTCTAGGTCAGGTACCGTACAATGCGCGCGCAACCCTAAGGTATGAGGACTATCTACCGGTATGTAGGCGGTGGGTGTTGTCCGAAGAGGAGTATCATAGGTCTGGGGGATTGCCTATTGGGGGGAGGTGAACTGAAGGGACGGCGGGTATGTAGGTACCAGTATTTCCCCGAGTCGGTTCATACTCTGCATAGGTACCTCGCGGAATCCTCAGATGCACCGTGCTGATCGATATCTCTCACAGTCATGATACATTGACCAGACGTTATTGAGTCGGTGAGCAGGATTTGTATAGGTGCTATAGAGTAGGTATAGTACTCCATCACCATCGTATATGGCAATGGTTATGGTGATAGATATCAGCAACACATAGGTAGGCATGTAGATATTGGGTGAATGAACATCAATTGGCGTAGATTTGTATATACCTATTACAGTTATTCATCCCCTCTACCCAGCCAATCCAGCGCACCGACACGAGCTGTCTGCCGTTGAATCGTGATTCCGGTCGGCACGATATAGGTACCTAGTACCTAGAGTGGTGGATGGGGCGTTTGGCGCGCGCGCGAGGAGATGAACCAGATGGCGAAGTGGGCGGAAACCGTTCATCTGCGGGGCACAGAAAGTGCCAAAAATCCAAGGGGTAACAACAATAGACCGCGCGACGAATCACTGAGCGGCAACCCCTGGTTATTACTTTAGCGCCCGACCAATCGCAAAATCCCTGGAGGGTGCGACTGCCTTGAACCTTCCCCAAACGACGAGAATATCCCCCTGGCTTCAAGCATTGCTACGGCGTTGATGTAGGGCTCGATCTCGGTGTGTATCATAGGTATCGCCTTCTCGAAGAAGTTGTTTTGGCCGTGGTGGCGACCATGAAGAAGAAGGTGTGAGTGGGTATAAGTTTCCAGAGTTAAGATGTGGGGGTGAAGTTTGGCAGTCCGCTTGAGACTCTATCAATTCGAGATGTTATCGAGTCCATGCTGCGTGCTGCGTGGTCCATGCCATGTCTCGAGTCTCGACATTTGCAGAAACTCAACATATAGCTCCCTTCGTATGTAAGGGAATTATTTGAGACTCTTCGGATCCAGTTCCCGATCCCCCTTAGGTCCCTTGCGCCGTGCCTGCCTTACTGCTAACATTGGACGCTGGGAAACGCACGTTGCATCCTGGTGCCAGAGACAAAAAAATCTGTAGGACATCATGGAGTAGGAAGCACGGGCACGTTAACCTGCGTCCTCTCGATCAGGTTTTCTCTCGTAGGGCTTCTTCGGCTGTCGGGTGTATACGAGTTTTCGATGTCCGGGAAAGGAGACTTCGGGGTAGAGGCAAAAGTGGATTCCCAGTTACCTTGTAGATGTCCGGTCAAAGGGGCTAGCTTAGGTCAGTCCTGGTTAACATCTAGCGAGTGATTGTCTGTGAACGGTCAATCCGCCACTCCCCACTTGACCGCACAAATGCACTGGGGATATTGAGCGAAGGAATACCGCACCTATGCAGGCATTGCTCTTGTGTACCACTACTAAAATCTCCTTCGTCTTATCATGTGCGAGCGGTATCTCAGTCGGGAGCACGCATCGACCTCAACCTCGAAACCGTGCGGAGCCGGAAAGAAGACAACCGGTGACCCCAGCCTGTCTGATGGGCACGTCTCGAGCCACTATTTGCTCAACCGCCACACGTACCGGGTATGCCCATGAACTTCATAGTGAGTAGGAGCGGTTCTTCGTGGGTATGCGTCCTCCAGACGCGTACATAGTTCCGGAAAAAAAAGTGTGTGATGGTCATGAGGTTGTTTGCAATTTATATGCTCTCGTTCAGAGCTGTCGTTACTACTAATAGCATACACACCCTCCAGAGACGGCCACAGGGCTCAGAGCTTCGTCTGACACCCATGAGCCGGCGGGTATCCTACTCACAGAGGTTACCCTCCAGGCACGCTTCCTCGCGTCCTTCACATCCCACCAGTAACGTAAACGTAAACACACCACCAAAAAAAATCCGAGTTATCCACCACCCATTTTCGCTGTTTCTCAGTCGGTCTTAATGTCTGCGCCACCATCTTTAATACGGAAACGAAAGCGCGGAGACGATCGACTCCTCCTCGGTAGTCCATTTGTCGTTCAAGTATATCCACACATTCCGAATACATGAACGAAAGAGTGGGAGAGAGCTAATAGCTCGAAGCCCCATGTAGCGTGTTCGTTCGATGTTTCCACGAAAGTATCGCCAACCGTTATTCTCCCTCGTTCCCACATCCCCGTAAACTGGCTCGCCGGAGCACCCTCGCGGATATTCAACACTCCCGCGGAAAATTCAGCGCTCTGTGCATCCGGATATGTCACCATAGTCAAGATTGAGGGAGAGCGGCAGCTATCCGCACTTGAGAAAGTCGGGGATAATGTTTATACACTCTACCGCCTCTCGACTCAACTTCGGATGAAAGATATTCGCAAGGTCGCAGCACAAACCAAGAATTCACCTTACATGGAAATTGGAGAGGGGACATATAATGTGTGTGAACAAGATTGGTGGAGTGGAATTGGCAGCGCCGAGTATCCGTTTCAAGATACACCAGTCACCGATGCGGCGTTGGATATGGGCGTGCGCGAAAGTGACATGGCTGAGCATGCTGCGAGAGATTCCTCGTATGTAATATCTGGAGGACACTGTAGCTCCGGGCTGACCATAAAAAGGAACCCCGCCAAAACTCCACTGGTGCCCGACCCATTACCTGAAGATGATGATCACCAGGATCCTGCCGTACAGCAAAATATCCAACCTACAATGTCAGAGGTTCTGGAGCAAGTACAGCGGCAGTATTTCGATACGCTCTACCTCGCAAAGGTTTTATTTTACTCTTATGCTGTGCCGTAGACTACCGACTAATCGAGAATATAGACATCGTTGGCGTACTTTGCTAAATCGACATTGTCCCGGGCTCGCGCTATATGCCACGACATCGAGGTGACTCCGCCGGCCAGCCGATTTGACGAGTTGACCGAATTTTTGCGACGGATGATACTACCGTTGGACAAAATGGACCTAAAATACCGGAAATCCCTGGTCCAAATTGCTCAGGAACACGAGGTCGATGATCCCTCTGTTTTCCGGCCAGACGAAGACGGTTACATCCAGCGCTGGAGGCAGTCGGCCTTCCAGGAGCGGTTCATTCGGGAAACCGATACTGAACTAAAGCAAAAGTTAGAAGAGCTTAGGATTAGAGAGTGCGTATCTTTCCAAATTCTGCTGGTGCAAAGCTGACTGTTGCAGGACTGAGCTTCAAATTATATTGCTACTGGAAATCCTCGCCTTGAACAAGCAGCATCCACCTGCTGCTCCTACTACGCTAGAATCTCCCAAAGGTAAAGGCAAGAGCAAAAAGGAAAAGAAGAAGAAAACCAAGAAGAACAAGGGTGTCAACAAAGCACCGGATCCAGATGTACTTCTGGACTTACTCGTCGATCGACTTTGCATCTGGCACTCGATCGGTTCCGAGACTGCCAGAGACGGAGTGGACACCCCCGCCAAAGGAAAAGACATCGTTTCCGAAAAAGACCACCTCCGTCATTTCTCTGTCGAGGTCATCATGGCGTTCTACTCGTCCAAACTGCCGGAAAAATGCGCTTCCATAAATAAGAAATTTGGTGGCCGCAGTGCGCCTTCCACAGCATCAGCCAGTGTCTTCCGGCAAACCAAACCCTTTAAGAACAGCCGCGTAGTGGTCAAAAAAGCCCCCGGCTTGTCTCGCACCGACACCGCACTATCCGCCGGGTCTCGAGGGACGACAACAGAGTCACTTGCTTTGCTCGCCTCTGAAGGAGCTGCTGCGCCCAGGGCCATCCGTGGCGGAACACTCAACTCAAAGAGCTTCACCAAGAAGATTGTCCAGATGAACGTCCAGAAGAAGGCCGACGAGGAGCTGAAGAACGTGATACAAGCACTAGCAAAGCCGAACCGTGCAGCCGCTGCTACGGAACTGGTGGACGATGCGGAGAAGAGACTGGCGAAGTCCGTCAGAAGTAAGCCGCACATCTACCTATCTACCAGGCAATACTAAAATTCTGCCAGGATCTAGGAAGGCGAAGGCATCACCATCAGACGTGCACGTAGCGGCAACGCCGCAGAAACGAAACAAAGACATCTTCGCCGAGAGCTTCAAAGACTCGCGCGCCAGCGTGCACCACCACCAGGCGCCCTCCTCGCGGCTGGCGCCATCAGAAGTTGCCGCCACACCGCCGTCCCGCCACGCCTTCAAGCCTTCCCATTTCGACGACAGCGTCGTCCTTGCCACCCCTCGAAAGGGCCTATTTGCCGAACTGCAGCGCTTCAGCGTTCACCGACCCAAAACCCTACCTCGCTCTGCCCCAGCGGCGGCGGTGGGGGATAAGGACGCTACCATCTTTGCCACACCCGTGAAGAAGCGGCAGGGCCAGCTCAGCGTCCCCGGCTTCTGGTCCCCCGTGGCCGCAGGAGGCGTGCCAGTTGCCAAGGATACGCCGCTCAAGAAAGCGCCCATAGCTTCGATATATGATGCGTTGGGTTGGGATGAGTAGTGGGCTGGGATGGGATGGAGTTTTGGGTTTGTACGGGTTTGCTTTGGTATGATTGATACGTGACATAGATGGGTGCATCCGCGGCGCATGATTGGAATGGATTGGATTGAATTGAATTGCATAGATACGTCGTTTAGAGATAGAGGGTGGAATGGAACGGAATAGATTCTCGAGTGTATACTGTTCTGAATCCCAAGAACCCGTCCGTAACGGGGGGGTAATTGGCCGCTCCGATCTTGGTGACATAAATTATAGGCACTTAGATACAGTTGCAAAAAACGAGGTAAATCAGTGACGGTACAATTCATCCTCTGTCTACATAGGGCCCGGCTTCGCCGGCTTCATCTCGCTATTTACACGAGCTCGTTTCCCTTTATGAGCAGTCTCCTTTCTCATCTTCCTCATGTTTCTCGTATCATTACATCAATCAAGTCAAGTTCTTCTCTCAGTTTCAATAACCGCCTTATTACGGAATCGGATGAGAGATCCGGTATAGGTACATTAATTTTTCGCCGTTTTTTTAATACTGTATCATGTAGATATACTCAACTTAAACACCACCACCACCACCACCATTCCCTCCGCTAAGATGCATCCACAGCGTACCACACAGACACATGCGATTAAACGAGCTCAGCCAGAACCCCTGAGTCTTCGCCATGACGGCCTCATCGACGACGGAGCAGCAGCGGGTGCACCTTCGCAGCCTGACATTCTTCGGCAGGACAATCTTCCTGACCGCATCGATCCTATGTTTCCTCAGGAACCCGCGCGACTCCATATCGTCGTGAAAGCCCAGCCAGCTGACGTCCTGGAAGAACAGCGCCGAGACGTTGATGTCCTTTCGTAGGGTGGGGAGCGTGATGGATAGGAGGCGCTCTGTGGGTGCGGCGAAGATGGTCGGCAAAGTGTTGTTGACGAAGAGGTGCCGCTCGACGATGGCCCGCTCGGTTTCCGACACGCTGTGGTAGGTCGCCCGGACTGTCCCGTCGATGTCCGTTAGCATCCGCTCGAATTGGCCGATCTTAACCGCGCACGATTCGAGCGGGACTTTGAACGAGCGGAACGTTGTGCGCTGGTCTTCGTCTAGGGGACCGGCTTGGAGGAGTTTGCCGGTGCTGGCTTCTAACCCTTTGAGGGAGCGGCAGAGGTATTTGAGAAATGCTCGGGGTGCACTGGCGAGGACGAGGATCAGGGCGGGAGAGTTGCTTTCGACCACTGAGAGTTTATGTAAGCTGGGGAGAACGGGTGGGCGGAGCGGGGAGGTGGATACTCTTTTGTCTGACGAATGCGAGGTCATTTAATTTGCTACCGCATGCTTTCGCAAGCTCGAAGAGATCGCCAACAATCATCGCCATCATGTCTGTAACCCACTTGACCAGTCCAAGTAGGCTCTGCAGGGCCTCGGGCTTGAAATCATCGGGCTGGTTGGAGGCACCGGGGGGCCTGGCGCCTTGTCGCTGCGCCGCGTTCAACGTCAAAGCGAATGCCAGTGCTGCCACGCGGAGATGTAGTGTAGCCCACGCGAGTTTCCCGGACAGCTCCTTCTTGACCTGCTCGCCCTTGAAATCGAGCGCGAACTGCAGACTGAGACACCGCTGCAGCTGCGGATTCTTGACCAGCCGCTCGCTCGACGATTCCACACCTGCGAAATCCATCTTGAGATTGAGAGCGCAGTGCACTTCAGTCAAGAATGTGATGTTGAAGTCTACAATCATAGGTTCAGTACCTTTCTCCTCAACCACGACGGGGATCTTCTCGATGTCGGAATCTTTACCGGAACTGCGGTATTTGCGTGCCACAAGCAACAAATCATCGTTGTTAAGGTAGTTGCTGCACGAGTATGCGTGTTGCAGTGCCAGCGCCACGCAGCTGATCTCCATGTTCTCCTTCAACCCCATAGGCCCGCGAGTATACTCCATCACCATCAGGTGAACATTATGGTCCTGTCCTAGTCTCACCGCTACGGTATTGTTGGGCGAGAGTACTAGATCGATGCACGGGTCCGGCGTTGTGAACGCGAATCCCGCCTGTATCATATTCGACATTCTTCCATTCGGCGGTGATAGAGGAAACGGTTGTAGATGAAGGCGATCCCTGAACTCAAACAGCCCATCACTGCACGTGAACGCAACCACAGTTCCCATCGTGACCGTGGATACCCCGATGACACATTTTTCGATCACCAAATCGTCGAGTCTCCAAAGATCCAACTCCGTCATCGGTGTCGATGAGACACTGGCCCGCCGCACGCCTAGCTGATCGAAACTCGGATGCAACTGCATGGCGCTCTCCTTCAGATCCCATCTCGACACCACCGTGAACGGCTGCCGTTCTGCCGTTTTCCCCGAGAACACACAGACCACTGTCGGTGCGGGCGGCGGCACCCCACCACTCATCGGCATCGGCCCCAGCACCTCCAGATGTGTGAGCAGCACCCGTGAAGAATCATACTGGGTATCCGCCGGGAAAGCCGAATCGACGATCTTGATCCGTTTCACATTCAGAATAGGTGGGCCCGGAAGAGACTGCACCGGCTTTGGCATTTGACCCTGCTGCTGCGGCTGCGGAGTTATCCCCCAATTCACGGCAACCCGGTATACCCGAAGCTGCCGGGAATGCGTGTATGCCGCCAACACGGCAATGCCTTCTCTGCTCTGCGTCGACGCAATCGCCGCATGCGAGAAGACATCGTCGAGAGACGTTGACGACTCCAGGTCGCTGGTGACCGACTGGTATTTGTTGATTCCGTCGTGGTACCATAACTTGATCGTGCCGTTCCTTGTGATTCCAATTGCGGCCGCCTTGTTGGCCATAGGATGGAACGGTCCGAACTGGCGATACGTTGGGGCGTAATACTTATTCCCGTCCTCTGTACGCATAACATGGTGCAACGAGTACGGCCTCTCCGGGGGCAACCACCAGAATCCGGCGAGCGCACAGAGATCATCGTCCTGGTCCACGGGAATCAAGGTGACGAGTGATAACGCGTTGATGACCACATACACCGTGTAGAAGGATACGCGTCCGAGAACATCGATTACGGCCAGGTCCGCGCCGTGGGTGCTCCATGTGACGTGTTGTAATCTCTGGCCGTCGTGGTTCCGCGAAAGGCCGGCGACCGGGTACGCAGGACTTAGTAGCCACTGTCCGTCGGCAGGATTGCAAGCTAAGTGCCGTGTCTCGACTCCCGTGCCGTCGGCGTTGATGAGCGCGATGCAACCTAGTTTCGACCATGCGATTTTCCTGTTCGCCGCCGCCGCCTCAGCATGTGGCTTCCTGGAATTGACGAGGGGGGAAACGAACTGATTACACCCGCCTCTCCGCAGCTCGTCGAGTCGCCCTTCGATCCTCGTATTTGATGGCTTGCCATTGCTGCTGTCCTGACCGAAGAGATCTTCCTCGCCGTAATCCATGGCTGAATGGGTTGGTGACGTTTCCTGGGGTAGGTTGCCAAAGTTAACTCTAGCTTGTAGATAGCGCTACTCTATACCACGTTCTTGTCGCGAACTGAACCCTGGCGCGTCTCACTGCATGTGAAAGTCGAAATGTCGCGATGATTGGAGGGGTGATCGTTAAGAAATAATAAGTTCTGGGGACGCAGTTCCATAAAAGCTGCAGAATGCGATTCTAGTATACCACGAGGCTTTGACTGGTAGTTAGTTAGAATGATCGTTTCTACTTGTGATTCACATTGAGTGTCCAAGTCCACCGAGTGATGCGTTGTGATGCATCACCGAATATCCCATCTGGCGCAACTGTGCGATAAATGCTCGACAACGGGACGAAAATCCGATCCGAGAACGGTTCCATTTCGCCTACCCATCATGTCACGGCAGCCGCAGCCCTTGAAAAACGATACCAGTACCTAATGAAATCCCCGCTTCTGCCCTTCATGTACCCGTCCAAATTGGTGGAATGGAAAGCCAGACTGCTGGCCCAGACCTTCCGTAGAGTCGTAGACAACCGTTTACCGGGGGCTCTAGCTCTGCCAACACAGCATTCTGACTTTGCTTTGCTTGCTTGTTGTCAAAACGCTGTTCATGCAATTTCCAGTTGTGTGATCACACAACCGACCAGCCTCAGAATTCTCAGAATTTCAGCCTACTGAATGGATGAGGCAAGCAATTACCTACAGGCCAAACCCTCGACGAATGAAGTTATATGTGCTCAAAAGACAAAAGAAAACGAGGAAAAAAAGAAATGAAAGAGAAAAAAAAGAAGCAAGAAAAAACAACACCCAACTCCAAAATGAAGATCCGGAACGAAACACCAAGAAAAGACAGAAAAGAAGAAGACGGAAAGCAAAAAACAAAACAAAATGAAAGCTCTAATTCACAGCCTTTGATTGATAGTCCAAACACCCCCACCAATCAACGCCAAACGCCTTTCAAATCAACTATGTACTTGATATGTACTCCAAACAGGCGGCCGCAAATCAACATTGTCTGTCGTATTGGGAGACGAACCTCGCCGGCGTATTCGAGGAACGCACCCAGTTGTCGTTCCCGATCCTAATTGAGGAGGCTGTTCACAGTAATGACTCCTCGCATCGGTGAGGGAATGCTCGAGGGCGGCGGAGACACTGAGGACGTGGTCGGCGTATCGACAATTCCGACACTAATAGGTGCTGGATTTATCGCATTTTTCGCGGTGACAGCCTTTCCCTTTGACATTGTGCTGGTAGAAGCAGTAGAAGGGGTCTGCTTGACCGATTTGAAAGAGGCTTTGATCGTGGCAGCCTTCTTAACGACCGGTTTTTTCGGTTCCTTCTTCGCGGTAATAGCTTTCGCTGGCCGGCCTCTGGGCCTCTTGACTGGCTTCTCCTTTGTCAAAGCTGTCATTGCCGTTGCAGCACGCTTCTTCGATCCGGGCACTGGTTCGGGATGCAAGCCGTCTGCATTGGGATCTGGACTCAGTGAAGGTGATGGTAGCTGCTGTTGTATGATTTGCACTTCAACCTGGCTGTGGATTCGCTCTTCGGCTGGGTCCAACTCCACGAATGATTCTTCGCTGCTGTCCGATTCGCTATCCCATCTCGGAAGACTTGCCAACGTTGCGACTTTCTCACAATCGCCTCGAACCACCAGATCGAAGTTGTAGTCCTTTGCCGAAGGAGGGTCATGGTTGTTGACCCAAACGCTCACGCCGCCTCTGAATCCTCGCACGGATTTGCACATTTCCTGCACTATACGCTTCACTCCCGGAACCTTAAGACTGGTTCCCACAACAATAAGCGCATCGGGACGCGCTCTTATGTCTGCCTCAGTGACCGCACCGATCGCCTCAGCATCTGGATGGAACTCGTTGTAGAGGACGATTCGCGGCCTGAGCTTGCCCACACCGAGAGACCTCTTCCCAGCAATATCCCGAACGGACTCCATTTCCAGACACTCCCGGCAATCCGGAGGCTCCGCGCCCACGAAAAGCTGAGGCTCCATTGGGCCAACCCAGCCACACTTGGAGCAGTTCATCTTCTCCAACCCTCCGTGAACCTGAATCGTCGTTGGCCACGGACCCTTGCTCTGCAGCGGCACGCTCGTCCTGAGGGGTTCGAGCCGAGTGTCTATGCAGTCAACATTTTGGGAGTATAGTCGTAATAGTCTGCCTTCGGTCGCTAGCGTGGCTAGGAGTTGGTGGAACTCGGTGGGTTCAGCTTCGGCGGCCATGCCGTGCAACGTCCGCACCATATCGTGGAAAGACGCGGTAAGATCGTCGTCTTTGTAAACAGAAGCATCGAAAAGGTCCTTTCCGGAATTCTTTGCAGTTCGTAGAGTGTTGAAGAGGCCGTTGGAGGATCGGAAGTCAGGGATGCCTGCACCAACCGAGATGCCTGCACCAGCGATCACGACTATTTTCTTTTTCTTGCGCAGCAACTTCATCAGGGTGTCGAGTTGTCGCTTTTGATCGGTGCCGATGCTCTCTGGATCGGATGAGCGAAGGTCGAGGAATTCCGTCTCTCGCGGTTTCGGCGGAGACTTCTGCCGCTTCGCATTGCTGGCGGGCTCTGCGTCCTTCTGCATCGCTGGCGCAGCTGGTCAAAGGGGGAGAGGGGGCGACGACGGTAGAGTGCGACCGAGCGGATGGGCGACGAGGAAATCGGAAGAGTCGAAAGGCGGTGGATGCACGTTATGGTGGTGGAGATGGAGCGACCGAAGAGAAATTATGGACGGAGGGAGAAGGGGCGGCGGAGAGGTGGGTGGGTGAGCGATGCGACGAGCTGTGATCCGGCGAGGAGAGAAAGAAGGGAGAGAAGGGGCGGGAGGCGGAGAGAGGTAGGTCTCGGTGGGCAGTGGGCACGGGTGCGTAGGTACAGCTGCGTCGGTGTAAGTGCTGTAAAGTATGCGTACGTACCGTACCTGTAGAGTGCCTCACTGTACCATACCATGGAAGTGCCTTGTGTGCTCGCAGATACTCTACAGCAGTCGACGGCTCAAATAGCAGCCTGCAGTATCGGTGCTCGACCTCAAACTTCAAAGCTAATCCTCAATTGTTTGTTTTCGGTGACAGGAATGGTGGCGATGGTAGGTACTGCAACTGGCAGCGACACCTCCCTAGGAGACGAGGATGGGAGCATTCTATGTGGCCGTGTCCGTATGCTGTGGTCGTCATGGGCTGGAAAGAAAGTCACCAGATGTGAGGATCCCCGCTGTGTCGCTCCATGGCAAGTATGTAAGATTATTATATGTTTTCCTAGCCGAATAAGAACTCTCCAGGTTATCCTGCCGGGGGGTTTTGTTATTGTTATTGTTATTGTTATTGTTATTGTTATTGTTTTGATATTTCTAAGTGCTGCGGGCGGGGGCGCCTGGACTCGGCTCATTGCGTCCATCGTCATGATACCCCTCAGGCCGCTACTAGTAGAGTACTCGGGTGTAGGGGTAAGTGGTGCACCCAATTCAGTGCCATTTGGTACTGGTGGTGGTGCACGACTTTCCCTCGCACCCGAGCACATGCATCCATCTCGTCCCTTCGACCAAACATATGTATACCCGACCGGCCTTCCCGATAGACCTCTTCGGCACTGCAATCCTCTCCATGATCTCCCATCTTTTTTTTTAATGTTTAATCTTCAAACCATGGTCTCCATCTCCAGCGAAAACCCCAACACAAAACAGTTGACCGAGTGATCTGTGGATGATCTACACCACACAGTAAACGGCCGCTTCAACCGGCACCAGGTCCTCCTTATTTCCCTACCAATGTACTTCGCAATTTCTGTCGTCAGTGGAGCTGAGGCCGTGACAGTCATTACTTGCTCAAGTACGAACAGTAGGTATGTGCTATCCATAATAGTTCATCAAGTCCTCGGGAATAATAAGGGACAGATTTTTCGGTTTCGACGTTCGAGCTTGAATCTTCATCTGCCCAACTCCTTTAAATACCTTATATATAAAAATTCTCCAGTTTCCTGCTTCAAGCCGTTGAGACTCATAGCCAGTACTGTTTCGGTCTTGCCATCGTCACCTGCCAATAGGGCCTCTTCTATGTTCCTGTTCGTCTCCGAATCGCTCATATGCCCCTCCACAAACCTTCAAGGCCCCGTAGTTAGGCTGCAACACCTTCCAGTGGGTACATATTCTTCTCGGACGGAAGCCGCGGCGTCTGCCTCTAGCGCGATAAACTTTGCGTAGTCGAGGTTTATAAGTAAGAAACCCCATTGCTGCCCTCCGCCAGTCTCCAGGAAACGACACCTAAAACTCTGGAAATAAATGGCGTTGGTTTTGATTTCTCGAAACGCCTGATAGGTACCGGTATGCATCCGTGGCTCCATCGTTCCCACGGTTGGGGAGTTCGACGACAAAAAGGCGCGCTATATACATACGGGAATCGGTCCTCGTCCTTCGCACCCTTCGGTCCTGCATAACAGGATACCGTCGGGGTTAGATGCTATTTTCCTAGGTACTCCTTCCATTCCAATGCTTCCCGTTGTCTCCTGTCTCAACGTCCTCGGCGAGCGGTTTGCGAGGCTTGATGGCTATGGGAGCTTGAATTACCCTCATAGTACCGGTAGTCGAAGCTGGCCCTCTAGGAGGCATGATTGTACATGGTGTAAGGGCCGGACAGCGCAGAATCGTGGAGCGTTGTGGTGATAGTATTGGCGAAAGATGGTCGCTCTGCCGCGATCGACCAGGACAACCCGATAAAGAGATGAAGAACTACTTATACCACTGTTTGGAACTCTAATCCAAACATCTAGAAATCTAGGGAGGCCGAGTCTGAATAGCGAGCATGATTCCCATGGCCATTTCACTTCGTATTTAAGTTAACGATCTACCTACGGAAGAACTGGCGAGCCGAGAGGGCCAGCTTCCGAGTCGCCGAGGTCCGAACCGGCCCAACCTTCACCGGCGACCTGATGCAAAACATATATATCGGCTTGTGTATGTGTGTGGTGATACAGGTGGGGGGTTCTGCCGACGTTCGGCGGGCCATAATCTCATACCCAGTGACAGGCGGGATTTATCGGGCTATGGAGCCTATTTTGCTGGGATGGGTAGGCGAGGAGGGAGGGGGGAGGGGGGGACGGCAGGGTGATGTCGTTTCCGTTGCGTCAGGGCAACCCCTCCATTGTGCCCCTCGCTCGCTCGCGGTGCTCTCCGCTCCCCACAGGTGTAAATAAAATCACTCTTCTTCTTCTTGCGCCTTTGCCGATAATACTATATAATCCTCTCGCAACACACGCCCCGAACTTGCCCGACACTCATATATAGTTCGTTCTACTAGACATCTCTACACGCATACACGCAAATCGATAAACAACAGAAGAAATGTCTCTTAGCAACAAACTCGGTATGCTGATGGATGATGGGATGGGATGGGATGGGATGGGGATGGAGATGGAGATGCTGACTAGATGCTATAGCCATCACCGACGTTAACGTCAAGGACAAGCGTGTCTTGATCCGGGTACGCATCTCCCATCTCCTCCAGGTCTCCTCGTCCACTCGTTGATCGTGTATAGGTCGACTTCAACGTCCCCCTTGACGGCACAACCATCACCAACAACCAGCGTATCGTCGGCGCTCTGCCCACCATCAAATACGCCCTCGACAATGGCGCCAAGGCCGTCGTCCTGATGTCCCACCTGGGCCGTCCCAATGGAGCGAAGGTGGAGAAGTACTCGCTTGCGCCCGTCGCCAGTGAACTCAAGAAGCTGCTCGGAAAGGACGTAACGTTCCTGAACGACTGTGTTGGAAAGGAAGTTGAGGAGCACGTTGCGAAGGCGACTGGTGGTATGTGGTTCTCCTAGGGTGTATGCGAGGTCTGGGGGCTGATGGTAGTGTAGGAGAGATCATCCTGCTCGAGAACCTGCGGTTCCACGCCGAGGAGGAGGGTAGCTCCAAGAACGCCGACGGAAAGAAGGAGAAGGCTGATGCCGAGGCCGTCAAGGCCTTCCGCAAGTCGCTCACCTCCCTCGGTGACATCTACGTCAACGACGCCTTCGGTACCGCCCACCGCGGCCACAGCTCCATGGTCGGTGTCGACCTCCCCCAGAAGGCCTCCGGGTTCCTCATGAAGAAGGAGCTTGAGTTCTTCGCTAAGGCTCTCGAGAGCCCCGAGCGCCCTTTCCTTGCCATCCTCGGAGGAGCAAAGGTTTCCGACAAGATCCAGCTCATCGACAACTTGATCCCCAAGGTCGACAGCTTGATCATTGGTGGTGGTATGGCGTTCACCTTCAAGAAGACCCTGGAGGGTGTCAGCATTGGAAACTCGCTGTTCGACGAGGCGGGTTCTAAGATCGTCGGTGACCTCGTCGAGAAGGCCAAGAAGCACAATGTTGAGATCATCCTGCCTGTGGACTACGTCACCGCCAACAAGTTCTCCAAGGACGCCGATACCGGCTATGCCACCGATGCCGATGGTATTCCCGACGGATGGCAGGGACTGGACTGTGGTGAGAAGTCTATCGAGCTGTGCAGGGACGCCATCTCTAAGGCGAAGACCATCCTCTGGAACGGGTAAGCATACATCCACTCTACGTAGGATAATCGTGCTAATTATACTATAGTCCCCCGGGAGTCTTCGAGTTCGAGAAGTTCGCCACTGGAACCAAGGCCATGTTGGATGCCACCGTCGATGCCGCACAGAAGGGCACCACGGTGATCATCGGTGGTGGTGACACGGCGACCGTCGCGAAGAAGTTCGGCGCTGAGGACAAGCTGAGCCACGTCTCGACTGGTGGTGGAGCGTAAGTCATACTTGATCACATTCTAGTGGTGCACATACTGACTGCGACAGTTCTCTTGAGCTCCTGGAAGGAAAGGAGCTCCCCGGTGTGACTTACCTCTCAGTAGGCGCCCCAATCCCCTTCCCACGCACTGAGAAATGCTGACAGTTTCAGAGCAAATAAATGCAGGCACCCAAAGCACAAAATCGGTGGTGAGAAGATGACGGAATTGTAGTTTCTTAAGCCCGGGGGATCGCAGTGTGTAGTCCCAAATGAAAGAACCGTCTTCTGTTTCGTCCATTAGTCTCTCTATCATGTGCCATATCATGTGCCGTAATATCGTGCTTCCTGATCACACTACGGGTATACGATGGGTATCGGGTGTAGAGTATTTTATTTTCGCCGAAGTTGCATTATTAATTGACATCGCCGAATACCACCACCACCGGTGGAACGAAAAACCGTCATTCCTCCCTTTTACACACAGCCGACAAACAAAAGTAGTAGTCCCATAGGTATAAGTCTGGCGAGACTCGTATCTTCGATGGGCGCGTTGAACTAATGGGTCCTCGGAGGGACTATGACATCGACTCGCTTTTTCCCGACACCTTCTTGAGCTCCTCTCTAGTCGCGAAAGTCCATCACCTTAGCCATTGACGATTCCTGAGGTGGGCAGGCGGGTTGGAGGGGGGTGGGGGGTGGAAGGGGAAGGGAGGGAGTAGGATGTACCTCAACTGCGCGGCGAAATCGTCGGTGGTCTCGTCGTCATCCCAGCTCTCTTCCCAGAGGTTCTTGCTCTTGCCGCTCTTGCCGTCGGTTTCCGTGTCCGACCAATCTGTGGAGCGCGAAAGATCGTTAGCGGTTGATGTAGGTAGGCGCGGAGGGGCGCGATGGATGGATGGATTATTACCCTCGGCGGGAAAGTCCTCGAACTCGTCATCTTCCTCGAGGACCTTGTTCGTCTTCTTTGAGACCTGCGGCTGGTCTTTGGGTTTGGAGTCGGAGGCGGTCTTGGGTGTGGAGGACATGGTGGTGGATGGTCGCGGTGTGGGAGTGGTGGTGGGTGCTGATGAGATTGCGTGATGTGTAGATGAGAGATGATCAGCTTGAAGTGGATTGGAGCTTTGATGGTGAGGTGTGGCGGCGGCGTGGCTGTGCTGACCAGGGAGGTAGGACTGACACGAGCTAGAGCAACTTGAGTGACTTTGGGAAGTGGTGGGGCTCAGGCAAGGCCGACGGAGCAGCCCCGCGTTTCCCCACGTATTCATGACATTGCTCACTCCACGGAGTGGTACAATGCATGTATCTGCTCTATGCGAGTATCTTGTATACTTTGTATTTCCTCGGAAGCCCGCTATCAGGCTTCTTCAAAGTTCTCTCTGCTCCCAAGGATAGGAACCCACCGTAGGTAAGATTGGGCAGACGGTCGGCCTGAATAATGTCCGAATGTGCTCGTCAGCGACGTTGCGCTCGGTCTGTTCGGACTTAAACCAAGTACATACGGTACATGATACCGGTTTCCTTTCATGCAGTAGTTAGGCATGGTCCAGGACTGGTGCATGAACTCCACCGCCGCTGCGTCTGAGCCAGCCGGGCCCCACTAACTTACCACTACTTAGAATTCCGTAGCTGCTCTAAAATTCCTCACATCTCCTACACCCTACTACCTACCTCACTTCTCCACACTCCTCCTCCTCCGCCTCCTCCTCCTCGGACGACGAACGATCGAGAGTGCATACTGTACCAGGACCAGAACTCGGAGACTGATCGACCAGCTGCACGTTGCAATGCTCAAGGCATTAGGATTCGGGGGTTCCCATTCGGCGTCGAGCCAATCGCTCAATGCTCTCGATGAGCCGTATGCACGTGTGTCTCTCCTGCTCGCGCCCTATGAAGGAGAAGAAGAAGAAGAGGAGGAGGAGGAAGCCGGAGGAGCTATTTATTGACATACGCGTGGCGATAGTGAATCAAGCCTTGAAAGGTTGGCCTACCTCCGTCTACCTCCGTCTACCTCCCTTCACGAACATGCGGGTACTGACCTAAACCATCGATGGACATGCTCATGGACGACTACGTCAGTGACGCGGAGAAGGCACTCGAGACTGGACAGTCTAGTTTCCATAAGGTGCTCTCCACTTGAACAGGGAGAGGTAGGAGTGAGAATATTGACAGAGGACAGCTGGCTGGAGGAGTGATCGCATTTTTAGGCGCGAGTCTGGGCTTCGAGGCGGACATAATGAAACAAGGTTTCTATACCTGCCTGTTTAACGTGATAGATGATCGCCACAGGCCTGACGTGTTTGGATTGTAGCTTCTGATCGACTCGCGGATGCTGAAGCTTCGGCTGAACGGGATAGGAAGAGAGCTGTGAAAGAGAACCATGTCTCCGGGAATATCCCGCCTGGAATGGAATTTGCACTCTGTCATGCTGAAGCGCAACTCATGTCTGCGGTAGGTCCTGCGTCGTAGCTCTTCGGCAGGAACTGGGTCTGATCGTGATGTCGCATGCAGGTCGTGGGATTGCTCTCCGAGTCCGTCGCCGAGACGTTACGATCGTTCTACAGACTCCGAACGGCCTACAAGACCCTCGAAGGCATCCATACTGCCATCAGCGCCATACCTACGGACGATGAAGTCGGGACCTCGACCCCTGCCAGTCGGCGCAGCACCGAGTCGGATAGCGCGCGATCGTCGAAGGCGGCTTCGACCGTTAGTGGCGCCGGATCAAAAAAAGAGGAGGGAATCACGATGGGCAAAGCTTCAAGCAAGGCTTCTGTGGTGTCCCTTCGAAAGACGAAATCTCGGATGGCTCGGGACGAGGTGGAGGTGTTCACACGGTCTGGGTGCGCTCTGTGTTTTGGGCTGCTGCTGCTTCTGCTCGGAATGGTTCCCCCCAGTCTTGGTAGGGTCATGAGCATAGTGGGGTTCCGGGGAGGTAGGGAATATCTGGACTTTCTCTCGCAGGTGTCATGGGTTGACCGTTCCCAGACAGACAACGAGGGCTCGAGATGCTCTGGGAAGCTGCTGAGGCGGGCAACGTTCACGGTGCCATTGCAACTTTGGTAATCCTGCAGTATTACGGTAACGCTGTACAGTTCTGCGACATCCTCCCGCCGGATAACGATCAAGGTGGATATCCGAAGCAGAGATGCCAGTTGATCCTAGCAAGGATAAGAAGGAAATACACCAACAGCGCTCTCTGGAAGCTTGAGGAGGCCAGGATGGAGGCGGTTGAGGGACGAGTCGCTGTGGCCGTGGACATGCTGTCTCAGCCCATCAAGACCGAGATGAGGTTTGTGGGCGTGGCGGACGTGATGCTGATCTTTGGTTGCTGACCGGCTGGTAGACAAGTTGAGGCGTTGATGCTGTTCGAAAAGTCAATGTAAGAGCTCAACTCAGCGAAGCTGAGAATTCCTCGGAGACTGACGGCGCGGATTAAGCAACGGCATGTTTCTCCACCGCTACGAAACAGTGGGAGACGACTTCATAAAGGTGATTTGGCCTACTTTATCGTATTTGGGATGGCAATTGACTCTGATGCAGCTTACGACCCTTAACAAATGGTCCCATGGCCTCTATCACTAGTATGGTCAACTCTCCAACCTGTTTCCGACCAAGAGCTGATAAATGGCCTGTAGCTTTGCCGCTGGATGTTACGTCGAGTTGTACCGGCAGTACAACGGGAAGGATGCCGAGAAAGCAGTAAGTGTGAACGTCCATCCGAGAAGACAGAAGCCTGAACAAGATGCACAGGAGACGTATGCCAAGTGTGCCGAGGAACTCATCCTTAAAGTACCAACCTTCATGGGCAAGAAACGCTTCATGGCACAGAGCCTTCCGCTGGAAGTCTTCGCCGATCGGAAGATCAAGAAGTGGCAGGCCCGAGCAACAGCACGGGGTATCCGACTGGTTGACGGTGTCGGAGCGAGTCCTATCTCGGAGATGATATACATCTGGAGTAAGCTTTACTTGCTGTGTTCCCAGAAGATGGCCCGATCTGACTGAGTGTAGATGGGTATAAGCGGATGGATCTAGAAAACCTAGACACTTCTCTGAAGGCGATTGAGTACTCGCGTGAGGCTCAAGCTGACGAGGCTGATGAGTGCGCGATCCGCAACTTGCTGGAGAGTGTGGTCTGCCGGAGGAAGGGGGAGCTAGAGAGGGCTAAGGAGTTGCTCACTCTGGTGTTGGAGACTCCCCTTCCTAAGGGAACCCCACACGACGAATGGATGCGTTAGTTTTGCATTCGATGCAATGGACAATGGATGCTGACTTCGGATAGTGCCAACTGCGCATTACGAGATGGCGGTTTGTTTATGGCATCAACATGGGCCGGGCGAGCACAACGAGGAGATTAAAGGGTGGCTAACGAAGGCTGCCAATTGGGGAGCGTATGAGTTGGATACGCGGGTTGGGATGAAGATACAGACAGCACTGGACACCGTCAGACGGTACAGTGAAGCCGCGACTGGGGCCGCCAAAACATAAAGGCGAGAGTGTAGAGCAGAAATGAAACGAAAATGTGTATGAGCAATATGTACTGTTTATTTGTCTGTATGTATCTATCGGGGGGTATCCTCTATACTGAAATGAGCATCACAATTTGGACAAGCTCTTGACGAAAGACTCGGGTAGACACTTGTTCCTGAGCGTCGCCCGATCCGCCTCAGCATCCTTTCGCCACTGCGCAAGCTCCGCTTGTAGGTATTTCGCGGCAGCAACAGCTATTTCCTTCATCAGCATGGTTTATCACTCGCGAGGTTTCCATCCAACTCACCAGTCTCGATCGGCTTCTCAAGTGGCACCAAATGCCCAGCCCCAGCAATCGCCACCATCTCCGCACGCGGGGTATACTCCATCTTCCTCTTATTACTCGCCTCCGTCGAAACCGGGCTCTCCGTGCCCACAATATATAGCACCTTTGGGCGCACCTCCGGCAGCTTCCTCCAGGTATCGCCACACGCCTCATGCGCCGTGCACTCCTCCTGTCCCGGCGGGCCCTCACACTTCAAAAATGTGAACACCTCCTGATGCTTCGTGGTAGCCAAAGTCCACCCCCTGGCATCCGGGTACACCGCGCTCGGCAGCTCGCGCAGTCCATGCTCCATGTGCGCATCAAGACACCGCGGGTCCCAGCTCTTGTAGAACTTGCGGCTGCGGAAGTACTTTTCGGCGGTCGCGCGGTCCGGCCAGACATCTATGCGGCGCGCCGACGCCACGGCGGGGGCGTTGCCGCTGAAGATCTCGAACTCTTCCGCGACCGGGTCGATGGCGACAAGTGTCGAGAAGAGCGACGGGTGGAGCAGCGATGCGCGAAGGACCGCGTGCCCGCCATAGCTGTGGCCCATCCCCACTAGTGGCGGAGGCAGCTGCGCCGCAAACGTGTTGATCAGCTGCAGGAGGTCGCGAGGCAGGTCGCTCCAGCTCGGCTGGTCGCCCAGGTGGTGCTCGTTCACGGTGCCTGAGGCGCCTTGGTGCGCGGCGTCGGGCGCCCATATCCCGCGCACGCCGACGGAGAGGCGCTGCAGGTGTAACAGCAGGTCGTCGAAGAAGGGTTCGTAGAGCTCCTGCGGGATCACATGTTAGCTAACCCCTGGGCTTGTGGAGAGGATGGGTGAGGGGAGGGGATGGGTGAGGGGATGGACTTTGTGGAATGCATTCGCATGACAGAAGATAATGCTCATATCCCCCTTCTTCGGGGTGTAGTCCTTTGGGACGTACTGGTTCACCACCAACTTGAGTAAGGGAGTGTCGGCGTATGCGCTGGTGGTTCCGCGCGGGAACTCGCGGATATGCGAGGCATTGATCGTGTGCGTCGTGACATTGAATTGAGACATCGCGAACTGAAGAAGCGAGGGATAGGATATGGATCGCTGGGAGATCCGGGGGATACAGAGGTAATTTATCTAATTCCCCCGGGATATTTGAGCGCGGTGCCTGTGGGGTACATTCTTGGGCAGGTGAGACGCGTATGGGTGGGGCGGAGAGCTCACTCGGACCGAGGCTGTTTACTATTCAACGTGCCTATGGACACCGGATTAAATTTATGGCTGGTGATGTGGCTCAGTCTTCCGGCATGTGGACTGACACCGACCTAATCTCTGTGGCTGGTGATGTGGCGCAGTCTTCACGCCTGTGAGTACACGGGACTCGGCTCCTGCCGACAACGCGCACTTTATGGAATGAACAGACGCGCTTCACGTCTCCCTTGCACTAAGCCCACAAACAACAAAACTCAACACGGATCATCGCCGTTTCAACAGCCACAATTACCACCAGCACACACACGTTCATTACCAATCCTCGGATCTCTCACTCGCTGTTGTTGTACTTGGAATCGAAAAGATGTCAGATATTGCTATGCCAGAAGCTCCGGCTCTCCCGCCGGGCTCGGCCACTGGATCAAAGATCTTCAATGAGGTGGTGTTTCATATCGTCACCAACGATAAACTTTCGCAGGAAACAGCCGCAGAGGTATGTTACATCCGCCTCCACAGCACGGATGAGCAGGATGCTGATAGGGCTTTCACAGTTAAAAGCCATCCTGCTGGCCCATGGCGCGACCGAAGCCCCAGTCAAACCTGCAACCGCCAGTTCCCGCGTTACGATCGATCTGGAAGAATCTACTCACATCATTAGTGCCAACACCGATTTTCCCGGATACGCCGATGCGGTAAATCTAATGATCCCCGTGGTCACCCCCGAATGGGTCAAACATTCTGCCTTGAAGAAGCGGGTCGCCCATGTACGACCCTTTACGCCCGACCCGAGGTTCTTCTTCTCGAACGTTGTTGCTACGGTTGCGGAGCTCCCACCCGGGGATAAAGAGGCTATTTGTGGAGGAATTGTGGCCATGGGGGGACAGTATTCGCATCATTTGACGAAGTTTACGACGCACATTGTAGCATTGAACACCGACAACGTAGGGCAATCGAACAGGATTTCGTGGGCTGCCCCGAGGCTAACTTGTCGGTACTGTAGGATAAATGTCGCCAGGCCACCAACAAGAAACTTTCGCTGAAGATCGTACTACCGCACTGGTTCGACGACTGCCTCAAGCTGGGCCGCCGGATCGACGAAAAACCTTACGAGCTTCCGAACCCCGAAATCGAAAGCCTCGGTGCTAAAGATCCGATTCCTACTCTGCAGATCCCAGATCTCCGGTACACGCATGCCCATCAGGGAGGACCTATGAGCGGCGGCCCGCCGAAGCCACCGCGTGAGGGATACAATATCTTCAATGGGAAGCGGGTCATGCTGGGACTGGACTTGATGATAAATGACCGCCTTAGGGAAGTGATTGTGGACATCATTACTCAGACTAAGGGAAAGGTCACCAGTGATGTGGATGAGGCAGATGTTTACATTGGACAGTATCGCGAAGGAGATGACTACGTTTTGGCTAGCCGGCGGAGTGCGCATGTGGGAAATCTTACATGGCTCTACTGGATGTTTGCACATGGTGAATGGACGAATCCGTACGATCGACTGTTACACTATCCGATTGTCAGGGGAGGAATCCCGGGGATGAAAGATAAGGTGCGCATTTGTCAAGGGATTGCCAAGCCTTCTACGTTCACCTCGACTGACTGGCTGTGGTTTCTAGGTGATTACCGTGTCCAATTACGGTGGCGATGCCAGGATGTATCTTGAAAATCTCATCGAAGCCTGCGGGGCGAAGTTCACGAAGTCGATGAAGGCAGACAATACTCACCTTATCACTGCAAGGTACACTAAACCACCACCACTATTGCAACTTGTTATCCTCTAACCCTTCTCTTCCAAACAGGGCCCACAGTGAGAAATGCGACGCAGCGAAGGAATGGAACATCCACATGGTGAACCACCTCTGGCTGGAGGACTCCTACGCCAGATGGAAAGTGATGACCATATCCGATCCTAAGTACACACATTTCCCCCGGCGCACGAATCTGACGGAGGTTGTTGGCCAAACTCGGGTCGACCTTGCCACTATCGTCCAGTTCTATGAGGAGGAGGAGGAGGTGGAGGTGGAGGAAGAGGGAGATACGTCGCCCAGTACTGCAGTTATAAGCAGTACCGCAGTACATTCTCCTCCGGCTACTGCTATCGTGCAGCGTACGCCGGCTCCAACGAAGAAACGTAAAGTACGACCAGACCAGGACCAAAATGAGGAGCCGCCTGCACCGCATAGCACTGGTAGGAAAGCGAAAGAGAGAGCCACTGCGAGACTGCACAATACTGTGATGCCCGATCTTGTGCTATATCAAAAGGAGCTTAAGCGGAAGGGTGGAGTGATGGGCAATGGTAGAAGCAGAGGGGGGAGTGTCGACAGTCCTGACAGTAAACGGGCTAAGTCGAGCGATGCCGGAGATGAAGTACCGGTCAAGAAGGGCAAAAAGCGCCCAAAGCCCACAATTTTCCTTTTGATTACTGCGTATTCCGGCTGGTGGGAGAATCCACAGAAGGAGGATGCAGAAAAGGTATGGCCGAGAGTGATGTGGTATGATGTGGCACGTAGCTGATGTGGTGGATAGAAAATACTCGCAGATCTCGGCATCAAATGCGTCGACGATCCGGCGCAATGCACATATCTCGCCGCACCACACTTGGTACGAACGGAGAAGTTCTGCTGTGCTCTAGCCCGTGCACCGGTTATCGTATCTATAGGATGGGTCGAAGCTTGCATCAGCGAAGAGCGGGTTGTCAAGCCCGATGATTTCCTCCTCCAAGACCCCGTGAACGAAAAGCGGCTCGGAGTAAAGCTTGCAAAATCCCTCGCGAGGGCGAAGGAAAATAATGGAAAACTCCTGGAAGGTCAGGCTGTGTACTGCACTCCTGGGGTCCAGGGCGGTGGCTACGAAGTTTTCAGAAAGATCGTCGAGGCGAATGGCGGTGTCTGTGTCTTGTTCCGGACGGCAAAACGACCTGCAAACGCCCCGGATAGCGATAAGTTGGTCTTACTTAGCGATAGTGCAGCGGACAAGAAGCTGTGGCAAAAGTTCGAGGGCATGGCTGCGAACGCGGAGAAAACGTGGTACATCTATAAGCCTGACTGGTTGCTCGAAACGGCGATGAACCAGAAGGTGGTGTGGAGCGATCGCTATAAGATCGAGGAGTAAAGCATGGATGGGGTCGGGTTAATTTCAAGGATATCACTGGTGTGGTGTGGCAAACTTTTCTTGTCTCTCTGGTTGGGTTCTGGGCTGGAGTATTAGTACTTGTACGGACGTCGGAGTGTGTAATTTGCTGTAGATATGTAACTACAACTCTACCCGAACTGCGGCGATAGCGCCAACGTGATACTCGAGTGATGATTTATGCCATACATAAGAGGTCGGGTAACAAACGGACCCTGGATGTCTGTAACCTCGTCATCTTGCAGCTACAGTAGCCAGATAATGCACGACAAACACACCCTATAACTCATAACTACAATATTCCCCTATGTCTATGCCCCAACAACGGTATCTTTTCGTAGGGTGTCTGGCTCTCCTTGTGCTGCTCAACACGGTTGCGACAACATGGCTTCCCTCTCTCCGTCTCATCGTCTGGGCCTTCTTCACGGGCTGCGCAGTGTCGTGTGTGGTGCTGGCTGCCGCAGTACTATTTACTAGTAACGTCAACACGTGCACAACATCCTCGGCTGGTTCAGTCGCCGAAGAAGAAGATGAAGATGATAATCCGCTGCGGCGTATTAAGCCGCTGGCGATCATCGCATCCAGCACATGGAAAGCCGAGACCCTCGCATTATCCGCCGAGGACTCATACACTCGCATCCCACTCTTCCCGCCATCATTCCAGATCTCACACGCTCTGGATAACTTGCTGGACCTTGTGAACCGTGACTTCGTCTCCTCATGGTACAGCAAAATCTCTCCGCAGTCGCCGTCGTTCTCCCTGCAGGCGGAGAATCTGATCCGACATGCTGTCCTTGAGATCTCGCGGCGGATACAGGCAATCGATGCGCCCCGGCTGCTCGTCGGGAGGATTGTGCCGCTGCTGACATCACATTTACATGATTTCTCGGCGGCGGAGAGGACGGTCAGAGGGAGGCATCTGAACATTAACCTCACTGAGTCCGAGGAGCTGGATCTGGCGATTGCATCCAAGTATAGGAATGGAAAGCTCCATGTTGCCGCTGGGTTGGGGTTTTCGGATATGAAACAGGCGCAGCAGGATCATCTCAGGATGCTTGTGGACAAGATTCTGCCGATGCTACTCCCATCAAAGGAGATGAAGAGTAGGGTCGTCAGCATCATTTCGAGGGAGATTATTGCTTGTGCGGTGCTGTACCCTACGCTACAGATGCTGAGTGATCCGGATACCTGGAATAAGATCATCGAGGCCATTGTAAGTTCTCCTGGTGTGAGAAGAAACATGGTAGCTGAAAGTGCTTAGGGGAGATCTACATTGCAAGACCGCAAGACAGTCCGGAAACTGCGAGCAGCGCTGGACCAACATGCAACTCCACACCCTCCAGACACAGCCCGTCACTCGCGGGCCGTCACCGGCACCTTGCAACAGCAATTCATCCGCCTCACACCCAAAGACGACGAGCGCTCCTTTGAGCGTTTCATCCGGTCAATTCGCCTCTGTAATAACCTTTCCGACGCGCGACGACTCCGGAACGAAATCACAGCCCAGCTCAAGCGCGACGCGAAACTGGAGAGTGTCGAGGGGTATAGCGTCTACCTGCGGCGTCTGGAGACCGGGAAGCGGTTGATTGAGCAGAGGGTGGTACATCTTTCAGCAGGACCGGGGAGGGCGGGGGGTCAAGGGTTGGTTAGATCGCAGTCTGAGATTGTACTACCCGCGAAAAATCACTCATCGAGGTTGGAGTCGGCGACGCTGGAAGAGGTTATGCAGGACTCGGCAGGGCTATCATACTTCATGGAGTATATGGACCGCAAGCAACGGTTGGCACTGGTCCAATTCTGGCTGGTAGTCAGCGGCCTTCGTAACCCCCTGGAGGAAGACATCCCCTCTACGGATGAAGAAGACAGTCTCGCCACGGCAGCCGCCAACTTCGCACCCTGGAGTGCGTCCGACCGCAACGACATAGCACAGATCCACGACGCATACCTATCCAAATCCGAGCTGCGGATCACGGACAAGCCCCGGCGCGCGATAAAGCAGTTCTTAAAGTACGGGGATAGGGCAACGCAGTCGCAATATGTCCGTGCGAGATTTTCGATACTGAGAGCGCAGACTGCCGTGTATAATGATATGCAGAAGAACGACTTTCCCGGGTTTAGAGCGAGTGATCTCTGGTATAAGTTCCTTGCGTCGGGGGAGAGGACGGCCGGTTTCAACCAGAGGATTTTTGATGACCGGGTTTCATCACCGGGCAGAGGGTCAACGGGCCGACATTCGTTCGATGGGCGTTCAGGGACCGATGGTGCCGATAGTAATAGCATTGATACTGACCCACTATCGGCTTCTGCTCACAATATTGGTGCGGCTACGGCAGAGGAGTGGAATAGCGAGGACCCGCTGTATTCAACTGGCCCGAAAATACCCGGGATTCATACGCCCGAGAGCAACATCGTCGAAGCAATGGAGGCGGCATTGAATGACATCATCGAAGGCCGTCCTAGTGCAGCGGATGGATCACCATCCCTCGGTGCTGCCTCACTACTCGGCACATCGGATCAGTCCCAGAGGAGCTCGTTGGACTCTTTTCGAGAGCGACCAGAAGGCAAAAAGGACAAGAAGAAATCTAAGCTGCTACCACCCAGTCTTTCCTCTCTAGGCCTTCTTGGGGGGCAGCCGAGCGGTGGCGTGTTCAAGGAGGACCTCTTCCCCGAGGAGAACCCGGAGGTCGCCGAGTCGCTCGATTACACGCAGGTCGATAAGACGGTTCACGACGACAACAGCGATGATGAAATCCATCAGGCCGCTCCTGGGGACCTGGGGCTTGCAGAGGCGATTGTGGCATTAACTTTTGATATTGAGAAGTTGTGTACGCAAGAGGCGGTGATTGATAGCTTGTATAGGAAGGCGGAACTTACGAATAATACGGTGGAACTGAGGATTTTGAGGAAGAGTAAGAGTAGTCTACAGAGAGAGATTAGGAGGAAGGAGCTCCAGCGACAACAGTATATTGTCCAGGAGAGTGATAACAGTCTTTATGTGGGTTTACTCTCCATAGTTCCGCGGTTGGACAGTAACTGATGAATCAAAGGGTCGGTCGGAGGTTAGAATCAAGTCGACAATGGTCGGGAATGAGAATGGGCAGGAGTACGCTCTATGTGTGTATGTCACTCCTTTTGGACCCGTATTTTGACTGATTATCTAGATATGGTGGAGGTTCAACGCGAAGGTGGCGAGCAACTACCAGCGGCGCAATGGGTCGTCGCCCGGCGCTACAGCGAATTCCTCCAACTCCACACGCAGCTAAAACGCTTCGAGTCGGTGCGGGACCTCGACTTCCCTCGTCGACGCGTCGTCCTAAAGCTACAAAAAGACTTTCTTGAGAAGCGGCGGGTCGCTCTCGAGCGCTATCTCAAATCCCTCCTCCTGGTCCCCGAAGTCTGCCGCTCTCGCGAGTTCCGTGCCTTCCTCTCCCAGCAGAGTATCGAGCCGATCCAAGACGGCGAGCAGGACACCGAAGATGGACGCAAGGATCTCATGTCCCGCCTGTACAACTCTATCGCGGATGGAATGGAAGACGTCCTGGGCAACCTCCCAATCCTGGACCAGCTCTCCCTCGCCAGCGCGAATATCATTGCCGCAGCTACAAATCAGCTTCAGGCGCCGCAACCGTCCAAGAGTCAGAGCGACGATGTAAACGCCATTGCCGAGGCGGAAGCGGAGCTGAATGCGTTTGAAGATCGCGAGGCACAACCGTTCGTTAAGCCCATCTGTGACCTCTTCTTGGAGGTGTTTGAGCTCAACAGAAAGAGCAATTGGCTACGTGGACGAGCTGTTGTCGTGGTGCTGCATCAGCTGCTGGGCGGGACGATTGAACGGTAGGTCATCTATATCCCAAACCCTTTCATATCCGCTCACTCGCCTAGGAAAATCCGAGACCAAACAAAAGCCACGCTCGACGAAGAGTCGGTACTGGGATATATCCAGCGTCTTATGGATACCATGTGGCCGGATGGAGCACTCTCTACGAGCAGCGGCGTGCCACGAACACAAAAAGAGAAATCAAAGACGAGGAACGAAGCTACTGTTATGCTGGCTAGCTTGATCCCCGGTTTGCCTCCTCCTCCTTCTCCTCCTCCGAATGACATTGGATGTTCGTGAAGCTGACTGATTGGGCGGTAGAACTCTCGGCCAGTGTAGTTGGAAGAGCGAATGCCAAATCGGCCAGTAGAAGACTATCGGCTGTTTGCAACAACCAGAGGTTAAAGTACCTTCCCCTGATCTCCCTTATCCCCGAGTCCTTCAACTTACCATATCTAGCACGTCGATTCTATACACCGTACTAGATGAGCTAGTAGAGGAGGTTTTTGGGGTTCAGGTTTCATAGATTAAGTTCAAGTTCAATAATACTCGGTGTTTGAAAGAGAGTAATTCATCCCAAAAAAAACGATAGCAATAAATGTTCTCCAAACCCAGAAAAGACAATCTCCCTCCCCATCATCCGCAGAAGTAACAAAATGCAAAGCAAATCAAAACCCTCCAATGTTCAACAAAAACCTGTATTCTCCCCTACTCCCCTGGCTTTATCTTCAACCTCCCAATTGTGTGCGTGAATCCCTAATGTAACGAAATGAAGATAATGAGCCCGATAGATGTATTGGGAAAGAAAAAAAAAGTACGAGTTGCAGACACGCAAAGGAGACAAAAAGCAGATAGAATCGACCGGAAGCCCCAGTCTCTTCCTAGCACACAGCAAAACAGGGCGTAGCACAGTGAACAAAAACGAAACAAACACGTACATACCGCACACAACCAAGAACTAACCACGACTGCTCGTACTCGAACTCTCGGACGACGGTGTACCGGGCTCAATGACTTGATTGCGGATGTGGAGGATCTGCTCGGCCACAACAAAAAGTAGGGCACATTCACAAACATTAGCCGTACTGGTCCTCATTATTTGCAAATGTCGCGATGTAGGATACCCAGTCATGCTGCAGCAACTCGGCGGCGGACGAACGACTGCGAGGATCGCGCTCGAAACATTTCTTAAGGAAGTCGATGCCTAACTCCGAGAGTTGGTCGGCCGATGGAAGTTGTGGCGGGTGTCCGGCCGCGATGTTCCACATGATCGCCCATTCGTTGTCGAGATTTGCCCAAGGGCGACGGCCCGTGGCCATTTCGAGGACGACGCATCCGAGCGACCAAATGTCGATACTACCGTGTCGACCACTGTTGCTGCCCGTGATGACTAGAGGTGTTTACACTGTCAGTACGGCGAGTGCGGGGATGGACGAGAGATTTATCATACCTTCGGGTGACATGTACATAGGTGTTCCGGTCATGCTGTTCAGGTTCGTCCGTGTGGCGGCAGTAGCCACGCCACCACGGGTCTTTCCTTGCTTCGCAATGATCTTTGCCGCTCCAAAATCGACGTACTTGATAATGCCATTGTGATCGAGAAGCAAATCTATTCACATGAGCAGGGTATCCTGTTTAAAACAATGCAATAAGGAGGGCGAGAACATACTTTCTGGCTTGATATCACGATGCACAATGTTGTTCTCATGTAGGTACGCAAGACCCTCGAGCATCTGAAGAGTGTAAATCATGATAACTGTCTCGTCTTCGATCCGTCCATGTTCCAGCAGTGAAGCCAAGGATCCGCCAGAACAAAATTCCATAAAAAGATACACTCTGTCCCGGTGCACCTCGATTCCGAAATACTGCACGATGTTGGGGTGGTCAAGCAACTCTAGCACCATCATCTCATCTCTGATGGCTGTGGCGATTTGTGGGATGACCTGTGGATCTTGCAGTCGGATCTCCTTCACTGCCATCGGATATCCGGAGTCTAAGTTCATTGCGATGTAAACGGTACCGAAGGTTCCGCCGCCAACGAACTCGCCTTGTGCCCATCGTAGTGAGACATTCGAGAACGACGATTTCGAAAGATACGTCAACGACCGATCCGTCTGATTGCTGTCATCCAGAACACGTCCGAGAGCTTGACGTTCAGCCTGGATGGTTTTACGGGCGCCTTCGATCTCGTCTAGTTTCCGCAGCCATTCTTGTCGGATGTGATCGGACGCTTCGTTATCCTCCAACAGCATGCTTACATCTATCTTTTTGAGCTGTCCGGCCAGTGCCTCCATCTTCTGCTTCTCTGCTTGAGCCGCGAGGGTCGATCGCGCACCCATGATGTCGAAATGCGAAATCAGCAGCGACATGCACCCCGCCACCTTTGCTCGGAGTCTGGAATACTCCTGCTCGTTAAACGAAAGGATGTTTTGCCCACGCGTCATCACCATACAGAACTCCAGCGCTGTAACGGCCCATCTGAATGTGAGTCGGTGCTGGGCCACACAGTCATCACAGATGAAGCTGACCCAATCCACCGCTAGTCGTGTGAGCTTGCTATTGTTCCTTGTTTTCCAATTAATGTCCATGTACGTCTGTGAACGCTGTCCGAACTCAGTTGCAAACGCAAAACAGGTCTGGATAAGTTCCTGACAACCCAGACCCATAGTTTGCCGACGGATTTTCTCCACACTATCCATAATAGTATTTGAGAGACGATATGTGGTTGTTTTGATCTTCATCAACTCTTGGTTCACCCGTGGCAGGTTAGCACGACGCTCTAGTAGGATGTCTAGATCGTGATCGAGCTGAGCAAATTTCATCCGTGCATGGGCAAGACGCTGCTCGGATCCGTCGGCCACGAGACGCAGTCGCCCTGGTTTGATATCGACAATCGGCTCCTTCATATCAATTCTCATCACCCTCCCCTCCCACGACAGACTCTCCTGGGGTGATATGAGCAGCACGTAGGAGCACATATTATCGTCCCTCGAAACATCCTCGTGATAGCATGTTCGTAGAATCGACTGTATTTGATGCGGGCGATCATAAAGCGAAGGATCCGCAATCATGTACACCCCTTCGTGATCAACACCGGGAGTGACGACTACGAAGTAATTGGCTTCGACCAAGGCCGCCACCAACGTTCGCAACTTAGACCTCTCCACACTGTACTCGGTCGCGTTCTCGAAGCGCTGGCTCAGGAGGCTTCATGAATCAGTTTGACAATCGCGAAAATACATTGGTTCATGGTGGGACTAACCGTGCAAATCGAAACAGTTTTCGTTGGCGAACACGAACAGAGTCGAGAATAGACTTGTAGCGCTTGCTAAGCTCGTCACCTTTCTTCTCCGGCGGTTTCTGGAGCTCTTTGTCGAAGTGTAGCATAAGCCGACTCAAGAGCTTGCTCGTCAAAGAACTAGGCTTAATCAGCATATAGCCTTTGTATTAAAATTGCGATCTACGAACCTGAAGTGCTCAGCTACTTCGATGTCGCCTCCCTCGATAAACCGGCCAATCTCGTTCGAGAAATGCCACTCGGTCTCGAGGATTTCGGCCTCCTTAAAAGTATTCCGGTTGGAACCAATTCTCATTCCGATGAGTTTGAAGTAATACTTCAAACCTTGCAGCACGACCTGTTCAAAGTTCTCGTCCATGCATGGTGGCAGATCCCAGCCTGGCTCAGGTTGAGAGATCTCGTTATATTCCTGCTTGATCTTCACCGCAAGCTGCAACACTGACTGGAATTGCGATATCAGCTGGTCCGCCATCATGGACACTGGCTCGCGCATCCTTTCGGCATACTTCAGTCGCATTCCTATGACTTCTTCGATGAGACGCGTTGGGAATCCAATTAGCACCAGGAGCTCTTCTACATATGGTGGGAGATGACGCTTCTCAAAAGCTTGGGAGTACTCGATCAAAGTGGCTTTGGCTTTCCTGATTACCGAGGCAAGGCCGATCAACATATTGCTTTCGCCAGTCAATGATTTCAGGTTGTCGTCTTTGAGTATGCGGTCCAGGAACGAAGCCTCGTGATCAATCCCGGCAACCTCGTTGTTTGCAGCGACGGAAAGGCACCGGAGGTCGAGATCTTCGTTGCCGACCCAGTTTTGCAAGATGAGGAGTTCGGTATTGATGAGTTGAGTGATATTGTTCCAGGAAACGATAGCATCCAGACTTGCTAGGAGATTCTGGGAGGTACAGTTCGGCTTTGCCTCCGCCATGGCTGCCCTCGACGGCCAGAGCTGCTCGCATCTTTCCCAGCGCAGAAGGATATCCTGCACCTGCTCGTTTGGTGTTTTATCCGTCTTATCTTTCCCTCGGATCTCGAAGTTTATCACCTCATCGATCAACGCATCCGCCTTGGACCGACCATCGTCGACCATCCGCCGCTGAGCCGAAATCGACCGCCCACACACTCGCGCGCGCATCCCGAGGAATAACTCGGATCGCATGGTCGAGCTCTCTTGCTCCTCCGTCGATCCGATCAATCGTCGCTTTTCTTGCGCGACCACATCCCCCATGAGTACCGAGGCCAGCATGCTATGCCACTCCAACCGTTCTCGATTTGCGGGGATCTTCAGGTCTTCCGCCGACGGCTCCATATCGTCTTGAGCATAGTACATCAACGTGTCGCCATCGTATTGGTCATTGTCGAAATGAATATCCGACGGCGATTCATCCTCCAACTCCGCGCCCACCTGGTAGAACATCTCCATGCCATTGAAATAGTCTCCTCTGTCGGCGTTCTGTCGTAGTTTCTGTACGTATGCCTTCTCTTGCGATCGGTATAGGGCATTTGGATCTCGACGTGGAGGGCGATCCGAGCGCGACGACCGCGAATTGGTAGGGACGGGGTGGCGTAGAGGAGCATAGGTGCTTGACGGTGTCCGCACTGGCGCAGCGGGTCGCTGCAGACGGGTTGGATTTTGTTGTGGTTCTGGAGAGAGCCTGCCAGATGCCGGGTATGCAGATCCACTACCATTTCTTGGTCTCGTCCACGGAAAGGTAGAGCCACCACCACCACCACCACCACCACCACCATTACTACCACCATCGAGATCCTCGTCGTCGTCGTCTTCCTCTACTTCGTCTCCAATACTGTGAGTTCGTAGCCGCAGCGCACCGTTCGTGTGGGCGCGCGAGTCGACATTTCTGTCTCCGTTCGACCGCGAATAGGTCTGCAGCACGCCGTTTGTAGGAGCTTGGGCCTCAGCCGCCTCAGAGTCGGACATCCGTGCAAAGTCCGATGACGCGAAGTGGACCCCTCGAGAAGGTAATGATATTGAAGATGGTGGTGTGTCTCCCATGATTAACAAATGTAGGGAATGTCGGGGTAAGGTGTGGGGCGGTGGATGTGGCCGATTAAGTGACCCATAAAGTGTTAACTTGGACGGGTTGATGCTGACTCGGCCAGAACTTGTTTGGCGACGGGAGCTCCTGACCGCCAAGACGGATCTGCACATCGCCACAATTTTACATAATGGCTTGTCAGGTAGTTCACAAGCGAGCATTTGGTGTGATCGCACGTGGAGATAAGTTACGAACTAATCCCTTAGCTATCTAGTCGAGAAATTACCGTCTGGTGGTTAACTATGGCCACATGCCAGTAGTTTATCTAGGCTTCAATCATGAGAGTATGCAGTCTTGTATGATTTGCAGGGAGAAATCCGGCCGCGCCACAGCCATTATCCTGATCCTGAAGATTCTACATAACTGGCGGCTCAAGAAGAGCCCTAGCTTGAGCGCTTGAAAACAATCGAAGGGATGCAGCAAGATGAACCGCGTCGTACCGGTTACCGGTATACATGTATTCCGGTATCCTGAGCGAGCAGGTGTATTGAGAGAGTTACAATGTCTAATTCGCCTGCAATGTTCCGGCTTGCTCTCAATGGTGACATAATTACACTCTCATTTTGCATTTGTTTGATTATACTCACAGCCAGCCTACCTACTCACACGACCGGAAAGACTTATCCCCCCCTTGTTAGATCTGTGGCCGTGTTTGGCTCACCATAGTAATTGAACATCCTCAGCCACAGATCTAACAGGGGGGTGATAAGTCTTTCCGGCCATGTGAGTAGACTATGGCAATGTACCTTTATCCAGGTGGTTGCACTCTCAGCCCATTCGGGAGCCGGTAAGGCGTTCAGACGGTGAGTGACATCTAGTGACGAAATTTCGAAGAATCATACACCGCCCTAGGCGTGCTGCACAGTTGCAGAGACTGGCTTGAATATATGAAGCTAGTCATAGGATTGTAGACTATGGCAATGGCACTCTCTGCTTGTGATACTACAGGAAGGCGAAAATATAAATTTGAGTGATTGGTCGTGAATAGGTATAACCACATTCAGACCATCCGATGTCATCTGGCCTTGGGCCTGGAGACACTGGTCCAGCCAGATTTTGTGGACAATGAGTCTGAAATCATACCCTTCTTTCTACATGTAGCCCATCTATTCCCCTCTCACATCTCATTTACACCAATCAGACAAATATATCATGAACCAAACCCCGTAAAAGTGAAAAAAATGAAATGAGAAGAATGTTCAGAAAACCAGACCCAATACTACCCTACAGAAACCCCCTCGATTATACAAAGCGAGGAGAATCTATACATACAAATCGCGCAAAGAAATGACACCATTAGTCCATCCTCACGCGTCCCTCCCCTCCACGTGGTTTGGCGTCCGTCTGCCCCAACTCGAAGCCGAACGAGGGCTTCTTCTTCTTCTTTCCTGAGCGCTCACCATACTTCTCGTCAAACTTCCGGATCAACCCTAGAGTTCCCATGTCATCGCTAATGCTCGCAGTGATCTCGGTTGTGGCCTTGTCGAAGTGTCGCTTGGATAGGATTCGCTTCTCGGGGTACTTTCCGGTCTTCTCGAACTCGGCGTTCTCCTCTTTGACGCATGTCAGCGCCGCCGAGACGCACAGGTTCTTGAGATCCGAGCCGGAAAAGAGACTGCATTCATCTGCAATCTCCTTCAGATTGATGGTATCATCCAGGGTTTCCGCGGTGAGATGAATCTGAAGGATCGCTAGTCGGTCCTCAGGGGTGGGCAGGTCGATAAGTATCCGACGAGGGAGTCGTCTCAGGATGGCATCGTCGAGATCGAACGGCCGGTTGGTGGCGACCATGATGAATGCAGTGCTATCCATGTCCGCCCATTCCTTCAAGAACTGATTGATGATCTCGCGGTGACTACTCCGGCTGGAAAAGCTCTGTCTGCTGCCGAATATCGCGTCCGCCTCGTCAATGAAGATTACACAAGGGCTCAGTTTCTTCGCAAGCGAGAAAATGGCCTTAACGTTCTTTTCACCCTCGCCAACATACATGTTGAAGATGTCGCCGCCAGATACCTCCAGAACGGTGGCTCCAGATTCTTTAGCGACCGCTCTGGCAAGTAGCGTCTTTCCGGTACCAGGAGGACCATAGAGAAGAACACCAGGAATCCTGTCGGTGGCAAGAACACCGTACTTAAAAGCTTCGGGCCGAACGAGAGAAAGCGAGGTCAGGGTTTTCATGGTGTCAATCGTCGCGGGTGCAGCACGGACGGATGAGAATCCAGTGTGAATATCCTTCGGATTGATGATTCCATTGATCAGTTTCTTCTCGTGGGCGTTCAGATTCTTGGGAATAGGTTTGGCGGCTTTCTCTTTTCCTGGGCCGTCCTCGACTTTTCCTGGCTTGTCACGTTCTTTAAGGTATTCCTGCTCTTGTGCAGCCCACTGGAATTTAATGTTATCGCTGTCATCGATGACACGAACGGCTTTAGCAATATCGCCCAGAGTGATCTCGCCGGGTAGATTCGATGCTTGCCCTAAAGCCATGATAGCAACTCGGTGCGATCGGTCAAAGCTCCAGAAGGCCTCGTGGATTCCAGGAATCTGGAGTTCACCAGGGTCGAGATGCCAATTTTCTGGGACAACTAGTGTGGCAGACTCTCCATTCTCCCCGCTTCTTCGTCTGATTACGTCACGGAGGTGTCGGATGTTGACCTCCCTGATCCGAGCGTCTCTGTCCTGTTTGAAGATTGCGTTGTCGGCCCTACCAATTACTGGGGGGACCACAATGGTACGTTCGAACGCTTCAGCTGAGCGGGACTGCAGAGCTTTGAAACCCGCTTTAGAGTACATTGCCGGGTCTTCCTCCGTCGATGTGGTGCCGAGAATGACTATTTTCTCGCCCTTACGCCGACGAGTCTGGACGATGTTATGTAGCATTTTCAGAATGGCTTCGCCGGAAACGGTGCGCTCCAGTTCACGATAATCGCGAATATGGATGATCGTCTTGTTTGAAACCGTCTTCGGGGGTTCTGATGAAGAGGGTGAGGAGGACTGTCGCATTCGCTTCGCCTGGGCAGCTGATACCATGACGCTCAACAGGCTCGCCATCTTTCGTTCGTTTCTCTGATCTAGAGATTGTTCCTTCGTCGGAGCTGGCGCCATCGAAGAGAATGGGAACTCTCCGTCGTTGGAAATAGGCATCACGGCGGCGCCAGCTATCCGCCCAATACGGAACAGGTTCTGTAGCTGGGCTGGCAGAACATTGAACGTAGTTATCTTAGGTCCTACGCTGGGCGGGTCGATCATGTCTTCGTCTTCTTCATAGCTTTCTTCGTCCTCTTCGGCATCTTCCTCTTCCTCGATCACGGCAGCGCGGTTGACAGTGACTTGTGTATCGAATGCCAGCGAGCGGATTCCGATAGGCGATATGTCTGATTGGGAAGCTGGATTGCAATTAAAAATTACCTCCAAAGTTAAGGGAACGTGAAGATACTCACCATGCCTTGAATCCCCCAGGAAGTCTCCTGCAATCTCTGCAAAGTCCTGCGCGTCTATCCGGATTAAATCCGCTTCAACCTCCGCGGCGACCTTCTCTGTGATGGCATCGAGATAATACAATCCACCTTCTTTGGGTAGATGTAGGATACAATGAGATTTGGTAGCTGCAACCCCGTCGGCAAAGGCGCCCTTTGGTAGAAGCAGTCCTGTTTGAACGTAGGTTGAGATCTCCTTCCACACAGATTCGTGAAGTCGATATCTTTCCTTCGGCGCCGCTTCCGCCTCGCTTCCCGCCTCTGTAGTCCCTTTCTCTGTCACAGTTGTTTCTCCGGCTGTGGGCTCGGGCTCAACAGCTTCCGTAGGAGAAGATGTTTCCGAAGCTGCTGCATCGATTCCACTCGCTGCCTCCGGATTTGGCACTCCTCCAGCCGCTGGTCCAGTACTCACATCTGCATCCGGACAAGGCGCTTCTTCTCCAGCCACTTCCTCGGCCTCAACATTTGCACCCGGAGGTGGTGTGTCTTCAACGGGCACCTCGACATCGACGACTGTTGCCGGTGGAGGTGGCTTCCCGTCCGATACTTCAGTCTCGACAACCGGCTTTGGTGGGTCCGAATCTATTTTTAACAGCGAAGCACTCGGTCCCTTTCCATGGTCCTCTCTCAACACTATCCGGTCAATGAACCATTCTGGCAACACCGGCTTCGGGATCGGCAGCGGCTTGCGAGCTGTCGTCCTAGTCTTCGAACCCACAGGCCTGCCTCTTCTCGCCGGTGACCGGTCTTCCATAGCTTCAGCTTCACCGGAACCATTTGCCGCTATTACACCACTTGCTATCTCTTCGTGCGAGACCTCCGGGGCGAACGTGCTCTCTCCTTCCGTCACCTCCGCTGTCTCTCCCGCCGCGCCCTCTTTCTTTTCCGTGGCATCGTTGGATTCCTCCACACTCCCGGCAGTTGCAACCGTGGAGTCGGCTGGTCTCGACGCTTCGCCCGAGGTGCGTAGGTAGACGGAAGTCTGCGATAAACATCGTACTGGGGTGCTGATGTGGAATCGTGGCGAAATCGAAGCTCCCAGACGGTGCGGGCGTGCAAGTCTCTGTCGCGCCGTGGGAATGACCCGTCGGATGGCAAGCAGCATCAGAGAGGAAGAGCTGAGCTAGGTATGACTGAAATGATGGCGGGGTTATGATGGGTCCTTGTGGTGATGGTGTCTCGTCTCTCGCCCCTACAGAACAAATCTTGCTTTGTCAAGGTGTCAAGGGCCAGTAAACACGCTAGTCTCGGCAAGTTCCGGCCCTGTCACTAGCGTGAGCAAGCTGGCGTGGCTTCGCCGCGCGAAGTTGCCTCAACCCCTCACAGCTTCCTTCAATCTCGACTTCAACCTTCCGACCAGTTACCTCTATTCAAGTATCATACGCGCACAAACTCACACAATACCATGGGTTCCGTTGTTCTTCCTCATCTCTCGACCGGTTGGCATGTCGACCAGGCCATCATGTCGGAAGAGGACCGTCTGGTGGTGATTCGGTTTGGACGCGATTGGGACCCCGATTGCATGCGTCAAGATGAGGTTCTGTACCGTATGCACCCCCATATACTCTTTAGCTGCCCACTGGCTGACTCTGTCTCGTCATAGGCATCGCCGACAAAGTGAAGAACTTCGCTGTCGTCTACCTCTGCGATATCGACCAGGTGCCGGACTTCAACAAGATGTACGAGCTGTACGATCCGGTGACAGTCATGTTCTTCTTTCGCAACAAACACATGATGTGCGATTTCGGCACTGGAAACAACAACAAGATGAACTGGGTCCTGGAGGATAAGCAGGAGTTGATCGATATTGTCGAGACTATCTACAAAGGCGCAAAGAAGGGACGCGGGTTGGTGATCTCGCCAAAGGATTACAGCACCAGATACCGCTATTAGGCTACTGTTGGATTTGGAAAATCTGATGTTCGTTTCTTTGATTGTTTTTCAAATGCGCTTTGGAGTTTGTTAGGTTCTGTTTGAATGAATTTACGTTACTGTACCCATTTGATGTGCCTACCATGACTTTGACGACATACCTCCGTTTATCGTCCATACCCACAATACAATTCCTATGACAGGGAACATTCATAACGCTACTATCATTGCCTTTTCTTCTTTTTTGGGTTTGAATCGACCGAGATCAAGTCGCGAATAAGCTTAGCAGAGCCTCAAAGCTACAAAACCGAACCAGACTTCACGTCTCCCGAACGAACAAACTTCAAGACTGACCTCGTCCTGCCCTCACCTCGTCTCCTCCGCCCGCCACCATGCTGCCCCCAGTCGCCTACGAAGTCCTGAACGCGAATCCCTTATTTTCCAACCTATACACCGAGCTTACTACCCGAATTCTCGATCCCGTTGACGGGTCAACGCGTTCTTCCTCCCGTCCTAATGACGTCCTCGACCAGGTATTTCTTCAAACCTTTCACGTTCGGGGGTGCATATCACGCTCAAGCCTCGCATCAGGAACTTCGTACACACCGCGCCGAACTTGCGAAAACCCGGCTGCTCCGGAACGAGCTGGAGGCTTTAACCAGTCGTACACAAGGCCTGTCGGAAGAGGTGCCTACAGCTCACTGTCCTCTCTCAAAGCTGGATTCTGACCTCAATACCTATTCCAGTTACAAGAAGCTCTTGACCTCTTAACCTCGCAGTATTACCGCTCGCTCCCCGAGGACGATAAAGCGCTGCTGCAGGAGGAGTTTGAGGACCTGGAGGACAATCTACCGCTTATTGGACACCATGTCTCGACGTCACTACACAAATCTACATTAGAGATAGCACGGATAGCTTATCCTTCCGGTTGGTATTATGGACCGTGGATGGTGAAAATTCGCTGAGACGGAAGACAGAGAACCCACGCACGCTCGAACAGAAGATCGATTCCATACCCGCCGAAACGGCACTCCGCTTCAACGCTCTGCAGAAAGCACGTACCGCGCTCTCTCAGAAGCAGCTTGCACTGGCGGCATTGTGTTGTGAGATTCTTGATGTTTGTGCTTGCCCTCCTTCGGCCATCACGAGTCATCACTGACCTATCTCGCGCAAACTAGGAATACAAAGCCACAACCACTCGTCTACTCGCCCTGCTGAACCAGAAGGAGACAGCTATCACAAAGGCTTTGACGGCAAGGGCAGAGCATCTCACCTTTGTCGCCGAGAGCATGTCATTGAAGCTTAGTGTGTTGCGGAACCAAGCGCTCGCGGCCATATATGACCCCGAAGCACTTAATGCGCTGGAGAACTACCAGCACCATCTCAGAGATACGTCGACAAGATTGATTGCTAGACAGCGCGTTGCGGAGGAGGAACTGAGGAAGTATAACAGCGCTGGAAGCGATATGAGGGGTTTGGTGGAGCGGTATGGTCAGATTATGAGGAGTATGGAGGCTGTCTCGAAGGATATCAAACGATTGAAAGGACAGGCGTAAGGCTGGGCTAAATATGGAGTTACGGCGCGAATGATCCGTATGTGTGTATGATATATGTACCAGCCACGCATACAATAGCACTTGCAACCCATCACGAGATATGATTTCGATTCACGATGGCTACTGCTTGAACTTCAAACTTCCAAAATCGTGACACTATGTACATGAGTGGCCACAACACCAGCCGCATTCCCCTGCTTACAACTTCCACCGCAAAAGAGTGAAGGAGTGTTTGGGGAAGGTGTACTTGCTTTCCGCCTTCCACTTGCTTTCCTGGATCTCAACTGTCGTCTTCTCAGCGGTGTTGACATCGTCCAAGTTCTCACCCGTAACTAGGTGCACTTCGACCTCCTGACCAATAGGCACACCCTTCAACTCAGTCTCGAACGCCTTCTCAGCGTTCAGGTTCACCACGGCCAGGTTGACGTATCCATTGTTGATGGCGGCGGACACATCCAGCCAGGAAACATCCATAGTCGACTCGATGAACACGGGGTTTGTGCGGCCATCGTAGGTTCCGGACTTGACGTGCACGCCCAAGGTGCTTCCGCGCATGTACTTGGCGAACAACAGGTATACCCACCACGTTGTCTGCTTGACGAGGCCGGTGGGCGTGGTCATCAGCGGCGCGATAACGTTGACCGACTGCGCGATGTTGGTCATGCCAATGTACTTCGACTGCCGGATGAAAACGTTGCACCACACTCCCATGGCCAGCATGTCGGAGACGGTGTAGAGCTCTTCGGCACCCTTGTCACCAGGGGCGCGAACAGGATCCCCTAACGAAAAGCGCGTTAGAGATGAAAAAATAATAATGAAAAAAGCCGAGTGGGCCCGAGTGATGGGTAAGCTTACAGATGTTCCACTCGTCGAAGCAGATTGTGGGACGCTTCGTCACGCCGGATTTGATACGTGCCATATCTATCAATGAGGCACAGATCTCGATCGCACGCTCTGCCGACAATGGGCCGGAAGCGTTCGCCATATGCCTGCTCGACCGTTAGCATCCCTCGGTGATCACTCGCCATCCTGGGGGGGGGGGGAACTGACTCCTTATCGGCGGTGTACACATGGATCGAGTGCATATCAATCCATTTGATGCACTCTCCAAGGACATATCTGTCCCACTCGACGTAACCCAGCTCTCCACACAGGATCAGGACAATGCTTGGGTCCAGAAGCTTGAGCGCCTTCGCCCATTGATACGCCTTCTTCGCATAGTCCTCCTTCGTCAACTGCTCGACCTGCCACTCGCCGTAGCACTCATTTCCGAGTGCCCAGTACTTCACATTGTACGGCTCGGGATGTCCGTTTTCCCGGCGGAGGTTCGCCCAGTACGTATCCCGCGTCGAGTTGCAGTACTCAAGCCATCCGAGAGCTATCCCCAGTCAGCTTTCTTCGCTCCCCACAGCGGAGGCCGAGCATCCAAGAACTCACCCTCATCCAATGTCCCCGTTCCCATGTTCAGGGCAATGTACGGCTTCGTCCCGACGGTATCACACCACTTCATGAACTCATCGGTACCGAACTCGTTCGACTCCACGCCGTCCCACGCGAGCTCGGGACGCCGCGGCCGCTTGTCCTTCGGCCCGACTCCCTCGTACCAGTGATATGTGGCCACAAAGTTTCCGCCGGGGTAGCGCACAACCGGACAGTTCAGCTCTTTGAAGCAGTCGATCACGTCCGTGCGGAAGCCGTTTTCGTCAGAGAGGCTGTTGCCGGGGTCGTACAGTCCGCCGTAAATACAGCGGCCCATGTGCCTAGGGACATTGAGGTCAGTGCGTGTGAATGGAATGCGGGGACGGCAATGGGAACGCACTCGGTAAAGCCGGAGTAGATCTCATCTTTGATCTCCGAGAGGACGCGGTCGGTGTCAATGCTGATTGAGGGGGGAGCGTCCTCGGCGATTTTTGTGAAGGTGGTGGCCATGATGACGGTGGAATTGATGGCGGCGGGGTAGTTTTTCCGTTCGTTCGGTGGCGATGGGAAGCTGAGAGCTCAATGGACAGGCACGATGATGTCGGATGGGCTGATGAATTGAAGCGGAGGTGACTTATAACTACGATGAGCTTCACGTAGGCACCGTACGGTAGTCAGGTAGGATAGATAGGTGGATGGTTCTTGTCTTGTCTTGCAGCTTCATTCTATCCGGAACTTCTCCATAGTAACTATGGACGGCCGTCTTCACTCCGACGGGCGGAGAACCGCTGCCTACATCACTGGCCGTATGGATTATCCTCGTGGTGAGCTGCAAGTTCAACGCACCCCGCAGAAGGGTTCTTCCCCACCACCACCACCACCACCACCACCTGCCACCACCACCACCTACCATCACCGATGTTTCCCCCACCACACCATCCTGCGGTGGCTGGTGGCGGCTAAACCCCAGATACAGCCTATATAACCGGCTCCCGCCTAAACTGCCCATTTACCCAAGCGGGTTTGAGCTTAACTGAGCTGCAACCAAGATCAGGCTATGGCCCACGCACACAAGCCGGTAGATAGGGTGAAGCCACGGGTCTCGGAAGTGGAGAAACCGCCGATCGTAGTACTCTACTCTAAAGTGCATAGTTACTTGCGCGTAGGTTCCCGTGCCTATGCAGCCCGACTGATTTCAAGTGACTAGCCGATGGTTAGTGGCCGACGATGGTTTTAGGTGGCTACTGGATGAACTTCATAGCCGTCTTGCAACCCATGGCTGAATTAGATCCAGCAAAAACAAAGAACTGTTGGAAGGAAATCATAGGTATGCGACGCTACGGACAAGTCACAATTTCCAGACTCCAACCCCGAAACAGTCCGCCGACGCCCCGATGCTTACGTTCGACCGGGCTGGGGGCTGTGAAGTACGGTATCGGGCGACTGTGACGTTCTCCTCGAGTTGTTTGTATGTACCGCTCGTTTTCGGCACAACTCGCGCTCGTCCAACTGTCGAGTAAGGCATGATTGACAGACGAATCGACCCAAGCGTCGATTATCAGGTCTCTTGACCTCGTTCTCGAGGCTCACCGGATCCGCGACTATCGCTTCCTAGTTTTTCCGAGCTTCGCCGCCGCCGCCGCCGCCGGGGCAAGGAATGAGCAATCTCGATTCCACACAGCCGCTGAAAATCCAACGGCTGCGGCGGCTGGACAAAGTCGCCCGTGGATAGATAGGATATCGGATCGATGAGTCTCCTGGCCGTTTGAATGGGCGGTTATGAACGGTGTGCGCGGGATGAAGGCACGCGGTAGGTACCGTAGTGGTTTCGAAAGGCGGTAGTGGAGTAGCTACGGAAGCACGGTGGGGCAGAGGTAGGCGAGAGAGCCTGGTCTAACACCATCAGCATACGTAACCGCACCCAAAAGACGAAAGACGCAAAACGCCCTCTGACAGCGGAGGACGTATGTACCTCTAGGTGGGCAGGGCTCAAGTGGATACCAACAGGCTAAATCGCTCAGCGCTGGCGTAGAAAACCCGCCATCCAACTTATGTTGTCCTCAGCACTAGATATATAGCTTGGGCTGAGGGTTTGTTTTGCGGACTCTGGTGGGTCCCCGGATCTAATGTCGGACGCTAGCGGTGCCACGGTGTGGCATGAAAACCAGGGAGATGGGAATATGGAAATGGAAATCTCATGTCTCCTCGGCCCACGCGAGGGGATGAAAACCGGTGGTTCGTCGGAAGCACTGAAAAAGCATATACACAGGCTCAGCTTCCGATGCTGACATCCCGTTCAGGCTGAATGGTAGTTTTTCCGTCCCCACCCCGTTGTTCGCCCCCGTGACAGCGACATGCACGACTCACGTACCGTTTTCTGACCAGGCTAGAAGACTGGTGGCATGTGCATGATGTACCGTATTCTAGAGCAGAGCATGTCTCTCCATCCATTCTGGTTCCAACAACGGGCGTCATGTAACATGTTAGGGCATGCACCCTGATACCGTATATCCTCGGTAATGGGAAAGACCGATGCCAAAGGTAGGCCAGTCCCGCGAATGAACTCGCAATCTATGTAGACATCGCATAGGGGCACACCAGTCCACTGCCGTCCTAATCAATGCCGTCAAGGGTGAGGCATCTCTTGCATGCTGTCCTCGTGCCTTGCGAATATTGACTGCATGGCTCCTGCTGAATCGGCTGGCACTCCTATGGGTCGAGACTCGAAGTCAATGCAAATCGGTGGCAACGTGCTTGCAGATCCGCATTCTCACCTCCTTGGATTTCCAACGTGAAGAACTGATGGAGTACAGTAGAGCAGTGTTCGCTTAAAGGCCGTTTGTGTGTGGTGTGTGGTGTGTGGTGTGCGTCGTTGCTTTGTTTTTCGCAGTCGATTTACCCGAAGGGCCGGAGTTTGCTCGCCCGCCCGCCCCGTCCTCCCCCCATACATACACCCCAGACTTCGGTTCTTTAGCGCAGGGACCGACCAAGCGTAAGCCACGCTCTCGCGCCAGCACTGGATGAAACGGAGGTCCAGTCACCAGTGCAATCCTCAACCCGCACTCCACAGTTCTCCAGATCTCCACGTTTTCATCCAAGCTAGTCACAGCCCGGAAGAATGTGGGGAGACACTCGAGGCAAAATTTTGGTTGCTGGGAGGTTGCAGCTATCCTAGTTTTTTCCGCCTCTTGGGTGCATGCCGTCCCCAGTCCTAGTCTACTTCTTGAAAGCATGAAGCATGGGGATACCGGTATGTGGGGATCGAGCTACCCAAGAATGCTCAGCGGAGAAGCTATATAAGTAAATGGCTTCATCTCCCGGTTCCTGCTGCTCATCAATTCTGTCAGCTTCCCCGGACCCGCAGTTTCAAAGGTTCAAGGGAATTCACCTCGTCTCCGGATCGACACTGCAGAAAGCCCTCGACAATGGCTCTCCCACCTAAGTGGTACCAGTTCCTCATCGGCCTTTTTGCGTCGATAGGCTCCTTCAACTACGGTTACGATCTGGTATGGTTCCTCCAGCGCAGTTGTAGCTGCCGTCTCCCATAGAGACCTCGTACTGACTGGTGGCTGCTCTCAGGGTATTATCGCCCAAGTTGTTGCCTCCGACTCTTTCGATACCAAGTTCAAGCCCAATGAAGACCAAACGGGTCTCGTCGTCTCCCTATTCACTGCCGGTGCTTTCTTCGGTGCTTTCCTCGCTGGTTACTCCGGAGATCTGATCGGACGTCGTGCCACTATCGGTGTTGCCTCTGCTGTCTTTGTGTTGGGCGGATGTCTCCAGGCGGGAGGACAGGTGAGAATTGTTTCTTCCGCGACTAGCTCGTCTGTGTGTCTAACGAACTACAGAATATCGGATACCTTCAAGCTGGACGATTCATTGGTGGTATTGGAGTTGGTTGCATGTGTATGATCGTTCCTCTGTACCAGGCTGAGCTTGCACATCCGTCTATCCGTGGACGTATCACTGCTCTGCAGCAGTTTATGCTGGGAGTGGGAGCTCTCTGCGCATCTTGGATCGGTTACGGCTGGTAAGCTTCCCATCCGTTCTCAGTTTATCTTCCCTTCAAGATACTGATGTTTCTCCTCTAGTTACACTGGATTTGCCTCGGACGATGACCGCCAATGGCGTGTTCCCCTCGGTCTCCAGAACATCCCAGCAGGAATCCTCGGTCTTCTCATCTTCATGTTCCCCGAGTCTCCTCGATGGCTTATCGACAACGGCAAGACCGAGGAGGGTCTTCAGATTCTTGCCAACCTGCACGCCCATGGCAACAAGGACGATCCTTGGGTGAAGGTTGAGTTCGAGCAGATCCAGGAAGCTCTGACCCACGAGCACGACCACTCGGCCAAGACCTGGGGCGAGCTGTTCAAGAACAAGTCCAACTTCCGCCGCATCTTCATTTGCGTAGCTCTGCAGTGTGCCACCCAGATGACCGGTGTATCCGCAATCCAATACTATTCGCCCACCATCTTCGGTCAGATCGGTCTCTCGACTGAGGAGACCCTCAAGTACCAGGCCATCAACAGTATTATCGCCTTGGTCGGCCAGTTCCTGTGTATGCTGTTCATCGACCGCCTTGGACGTCGCTGGCCCCTGATCAGTGCCAATGTTTTCAACGCCTTCTGCTTCCTTGCCGGCATGATTCTCCTCCAGCAGTTCCCCCCCGGGAGTGTGAACTCTCCTCGCTCTGCACAGATCGGATTCATCGCCACAACTTGGCTCTTCAATTTCAGTTTCAGTGCTGCTTGCGGTCCTCTATCCTGGATTGTTCCTGCCGAAGTTTTCAACACCGCCACCCGATCCCGCGGTGTATCCCTCGCCACCATGGCCTCGTTCGCCATGAACACCATGATTGGCCAGGTCACCCCCAAGGCCATGACGGACGTCGGCTGGAAGTTCTACATCCTCTTTGTAAGCATCTCTTCTCCCTCTCCGCATTGATAAAAGTCTAACACACGATCTATAGGTCGTCTGCAACTTCGCCAACGCCATTTTCTTCTGGGCACTCCTCCCGGAGACCAGCAAGGTCCCTCTGGAGGCCATGGACAACCTATGGGAGAATGCGCCCTGGTTCGTTCCGACCATGCGTCGCAAGGACTACCTTGCGGAGCTCGAGCACGAGGTCGAAGATGTCAACGAGAAGAACCAGGTTCTCGCCACCTCTGCCCATATTGGCGAGGTGAAGGACTGAGTGCGTGGAGGTTGTGGAGGTGTCATGAATTTACTTTTTCCTTTGATATTACTGTGTATGGAGACTTAATGTATATATGGGGGTTGGGGCGGCATGTCGGTATGTATGTCGGTATGTATGTAGCTATGAGACTTGTAATCGTCTTGTTGCTGGGAGCGAACATAATTTCATGTATACTCATATTACCTATTTTACATGACACTTGAAATGGCACTATTTGTGTTGCATCATAAGAGATAAGCTCCACTGCTCCAGTTAGATGGGACACCTTCACTGGTAGCATGGCGTGGTCGTAAAGAAAAGAAAACCGGGGGCAAAGCCTGAGGCTTGAGCACGGCTTCTTGAGGAATTTCGGAAGGCTCAAACGAGTAAGTATATGATAAAATGTAGCCACGCCGGTTGAATACAGATTTACGCTACTACTACACGACAATCGCGACACTCACGGGGCCCCAGGATCCTCGGATCAACACATCTCGCCTCTCGCCTCTCCGCCTCGGATCCATAACACGGCGCCCAAGTCATGAAGAAAAAAAAACTTGAATAGCAGGCGCTTAGTTACCTAGTGCTCTTGCTCTTGCTCTTGCTCTTGCTCTTGCTCTTGCTCTTGCTCTTGCTCCAGCCCATAACCATCTCTACAATCGTCTCCTCACTCCTACCTACGAGTTCCCCGTCTTCGCTCAACGCACGAGAAAACCGCTCGGCAATCGCCAGTTCGATCCGCTTGCGCATCAGCGTGTTTTCTAGCCGCATAAGCGGCGAGAGGTTCCCCAGATCTGTTGACCGTGTAATGGTGATCCGACGGAGCCGCGCAGGGGGAATGCGTTTGGCGGGACAGTGATCATCGAGTCGTCCCCGCTTGCCGCTGGTTATTGTTGTTGGCGCGTTTTTATCAGCGCAGCTCGGACACTGTGGTCCCTTCGGTTCATTCTGGAGATTTGCGGATGCCATGATGATGTGCTAGGTATTAATTAAGAGCCTGGAGTGGTGAGGTATGGTGGGCGAGCAGGAAGGTGCCTATACGTATCGATGGCAAACCCGTATTCCGCCAGCTGAGACGAATTCATTCAACTCCTAATTACTGGCCAAGTACGTGGAAACTTTGAAATGTCGGATTTCTCTGTGGTTCGGATGATATGAGGAAGTTTATTTTTCGAGTGACAGTTCATGCAACCAATATGTAGAGCTCGAGTAGGTAGGACCAATTTACACAGTTCAACTTCATTATCTAAGGAGTATTCATCCCATCATTTGTCTCAACGAGGTTTTAGACCTTTCGCCGTCGTGAACTACCTACAATCCAGAGAAGTTGTGATTATGTGGTTTTGATGGGGTACCTGGTTTCTTACTATTCGTGCCAAATGTATCCGGCTTTTCAACTTCCATTATTATCACTTGAGCCTTAATCTTTATAATAGCAGATATACAGGATTTGAGGACACCACCCCGCAGTCATCACCCCGCGGCCATCGAGTCCAGTCGATTTTCAAGTCGTCACTCGGATGGGCCTGGATCTTTACGAGTGGCTATCATAGTATGGTTCGATATTGGGGCGCATTTGATGCTAGCATTATGGCCACTCGGTCACTCGGTCAAGCTCACAGTGAATCGCTCCTATGTGAGTCCATCTTCCCGGGTCCCAGGAACTGGGTCTACAGGCTTCAACACTCATCATAATAGTCTTTAAACCCATTCGAAGGTCCATTCTTTACTCACATCGCTATTCACACCACCACCTTGAAGCCAGCGGGCCAGGTATCATTAAAGGAATATATTCCATGGTCTGGACTGGCTACTCACACCACCACCTTGAAGCCAACGGGCTATCATTAAAGGTATACACATAATTCCATGCCCTGGACTAGTTACTCACATCATTTGCCAATATGAGTACCCTTAAAGGAGAGTATGTTCATCTTCATTCTACACTTCAGCTAGCCTGAAGATCCTATGCTCCTCCTTCACACCTCAATCCACTGCGTATATTCCTCCCGTCTTTCTACGCACTTTGGTGAACCTGACAATTCTATCCTCCTCCTCCATTCTTCACACCTCGATCCATTACTTTCATCCCTCCCTCCTGCACACCTCAATCTGCTACTTCCATCCCTCCCTTCGTCCCGAACCGCAACCCTCTCTGTCCAAGATGGAAGGAATTTCCCGAGAATCAAAACAGGTCCTCAGTGAGCAAAGGTGTGCCGATCCTCCCCCCACGATAGCATAGCTGTAGCTAAGGATCGGAATCATGAGCCCTCACCCACCACCGATGGAGACTGCGACGTCGCGCATCGGAATGTCTCCTCCAGCGATAAACTTGAGCGATATTACCTTCGGCATCAAGCTCGAGATGGTGACCAGTGTATGCTTCTCCGACAAGGAGGGTTTTCGCCGCGATCGCATCCGCCTGGCCCTCGTAAACATTCTTAGTGGTTTAAACAGGATCGAAGCGGACCTCACACATCCTATCCCTGACGAAGTCGACCAAGATAACGAGGAAGAAGAAGAAGAGGAAGATGATGGGTATGTCAGCCACGAAAACGATGATAATGAGAATGGCAACGACAATGAAGAAGACGACGACTACGAAGGATCCAATTACAAAACGTGGGGCGTGTGTTTTGATAGCTCCGTCTACGAGGAGACCGAGGAGACCTTCAAACGATATCCCCAGCTGCCAAACCTCGCTAGGATATATGAGGACAGTGACCGGTTGCTTTTTGACCAGTCGTGTCACATGTTCGTTGAATACGACGGTGTCGAGGTCATTTCGCGGGTATTCAAGCTCGTGGAGACCAAGGTCTGGACAGAGCACATACGCAAGGCCCTACACGGTCTTCAACGGGGCCCGGTAGTCAACGGAACCCCCGAATTGTCCGGATACCACGTACACATCGGATTGGGAGGCGGCAGATATACGTTCGAGTGATGAGGAAGATCGCCGCTACGGTTACACTATCGGAAACCCTCATTTACGCCTTCCATGCGCCACACAGACGAGACGAACAATTGCAGATACGAACCATCATCCGGAGGGGAGTGTTTCAGGGACTCTCACGGGAAGCGATCTTTGATAAGATCATGGGCGCCGCCGATTATGACGATCATCAGCGGTGACATTATCCCCAGATACGGTGAACCTTGCAACGTATATGGCCGGGCCTATAAGGTCAACTTTACAAATCTGAACGAGGAAGATGTGAAGGGAACCATCGAGTTCCGTCAGCACGAGGGGGCTCTCGATCCCATAGCTATCGAGATGTGGATTCAGTTTACGGGGCTATTGGTCCTTAATGCTGCCAATCTGCCCATTAAAAGCCTGAGATATATCCTTGTTTCGTGTTGTTCGAAGTCGGGTGTTTTAAACCCCAGACACTTCGTAAAAACATTCATTCCGGATTGCAAGGTGGCTACATATACTACCTTACGAAGATCGGCTTTATTCCGTATCTGCTGTCTACTACACCGTCCGCGCCTGTATCCTCGATCTGAGTGGTGATTTGTTGGGAGGCTACATGAGCTTGTGCTAGCTACTTCTTGTTGTTCGGTTTTCTTGAAATTGCTGTTCGATATCCGCTTGAGTTTCGACATCTGCTATGTAGGCAAATTTACAGCAGTGGAGTCTAGATGCGTTCGACGTTGGGTGTTCTGTTCTGTCTAATGGATGATGATAAACCAATTCCGAGTTGTCTTAGGACTTAGTGATTTCACAGAAAGCAAGTGGAAGGAAGCCAAGGCATGGGCTGACAGCAAATTCTCTCACAGGAAGTATCGGTACAGCCGGAAACCTGGCCAAAAACCTGACCCAATCCCAGCGATAGCCCCAAGCGCCTGGCCTCAAGGTTCTACCAACTGAAGACAGGGCACTGCCTTACCGGCCAGTATCTCCAATGGACGAAGAACCACCCCAATGCCCGCTGCGGAAGATACAGCCAGCGAGGTGTCCGAGTGGGAGCTGAGGGAGCGGGAAGAGAGGGAGATGCTGCGGCGGCTCGAGGAGGAGGGGGCTTCCGAGGGAGGCGACGGCGTGGATTAGGGTCTCATGGAGGGGGAGGAGTACGGACGAGCCCAGGGAGCGGATGGTGTCTTTTCCTATATAGTGTTACTTCTTTGGTGCGCTCTATCTTCATTTCTGAGACAGGCCGGGGCGGAGGGAAAGCCACATCGGGCCGCTCGGTGAAAGTCGAGTCGGACAGTGGCGTGAAAACGGGGAGGGGGTGTACGGGTAGACATTGCCATGATTTCGACAGATTGCATGTAATCAATGATTAAACCAAAAAAAAGGACTTGGTGATATTGTGATGTCGGAAGCACTCTGGGAATAGACTCCGAGGTGAGATTAGATGCCGGGTCGGCAATGCGCTAAATTCTGACGCCGTCGTCTGTTCAAAAATTGCTAGTCCGAAGCTGCGTTTACACCAGCATCACGAACTCGTGCCCTCACCATGCGTTCTTCCCGTATCTCCAATTCTTGGTTATACTTTGTTTCTCGAAACTCATACTTATCCGCACAAATTCTACGTTAATTGGCGTCGATTGTAATGTAATATCTCAGCCGTCTGCTTAGTTGAGGTAGAAGCACGGGCTTTTACCCCCCATTTCCTACACTGTCGAGACTCTCTATCTCCTATAGACACGATACTATACATCTCAACCATCATATTCTTCATCATTTCCAACAGATTGCGAGCCCGAGTCACCGAGTGCTAGACCATGTGTTGTGTGGGGTAAGCTAGTGCTGTGAGTTAGGGCAAACCCTCCCGCCCACAAAGCGTTTGGTTACTGCGCTTTCCGTTTTTAGCGGGGTTTGGCAATTGGCCCCACGAACACATTGAGAATTCCACAACCCAGGCCGACTCAGATCAACGAAATTACGACAGCCCCGACGCCCGCGCCCTCCCCGACAAACACCGACAACCGCGCCGCCTCGACACGATGAAGTACATTCACAGCAGCGAGACTCTGACAGTCCCCGAGGGCGGTGAGTTTCCCCGAGTTCTCTCAGTCGCGATTTGTGTTCGATGGGCGAAGTGCGGATTATCGGAGGAGAGCGCGAGGAAGAGCTAGGGAAATTCTGAAAGAGGTGGGAAATTTGGGTGTATATGGTGCAGAGAGAACGTGTGATATGTTCTTGCGGGGATAAGGAGCTATTGGAGACGAATAGTGAACGAGTGCTGGAGCTGGGTGCTGACGGAATGTCGAATTTCACAGTCTCCGTTTCTATCAAGTCTCGGATCGTCACCGTCATCGGACCCCGCGGCAAGCTCGTGAAGGACCTCAAGCACCTTGCTGTTTCGTTCGTTCCTAAGGGCCCCAACACCATCAGCATCGAGCTCCACCACGGTGTCCGAAAGAATGTTGCCGCCCTTCGCACTGTCAAGTCGCTCATCCAGAACTTGATCACCGGTGTCACCAAGGGATACAAGTACAAGATGCGTTACGTGTACGCCCATTTCCCCATCAATGTCAACATTGAGGAGAACCAGGCGACTGGAACCTCCCAGGTCGAGATCCGGTAAGCAAATATAGATGGGATACGGAGGGCTTGCAGGAGTTTGGAAAGCAGTTCGCCAACACATGACATGCTTCTGACCTCCTGCATCAACCTTCCGCCCGCATTCCAAAAGCCGGAGGATGTCGAACTAACAGATGGATAGCAACTTCTTGGGTGAGAAGATCGTCCGTCGCATCACCATGTTGCCCGGTGTGACTATCGAGACCTCCGCCAACGTCAAGGATGAGATTGTCCTGTTCGGCAACTCCCTCGAGAACGTGTCCCAGTCGGCCGCAGATATCCAGCAGATCTGCAGAGTGAGGAACAAGGATATCCGAAAGGTTGGTTCCCGTCGGCAACAAACTTCACCACCTATCACAATGCTGACTATGTCACCAATAGTTCTTGGACGGTCTGTACGTGTCGGAGCGTGGCAACATCGAGGAGGCTTAAACAAAAGTGGATTCTTCTCTTTCGTTTGGGAGTTCGCGATTTTTTTTTCTCGGTGACATTTCGCAATGATAATTAAAGAAACTCTGCGAAATGAGACTGTCATCGACACCATGATGGGCATCATAAGCTGAAGCGTGACTGCCGAGGAAACTGTATTTGAGCTGCCATCCGGATGTACATATCTCCACCCGTCAATCTTGCGGCTTTCATTAAAGCCGCTCCCGCGCGTATCTCAAGTGATTATGTATAATACCTAATACTTCTGCTCGTGATTCTCTCGCTCCATACGAACCCACTCGGCCGACTCTGAAAGTCCGTCCCAGCCGGACCTTAGTTCTCGATAATGTGATCAAACGAATCAACTGCCATGATGACTGCTAACCGTACTCGTCATCGATACACAAAGTCATCACTAATTGAATTTCACTCGCCTACAGCGGCAGCTTCATCGATTAAACGCGGGTATCACCAAATATACTCCACATCCCTTTACAGCCGAAACTCGCAGCCTGCAGTCTCCATCCGGCTCCAGTCCAAGGCCAAGTTGCATCATAACCCATCACTTCACCCCGCTCCTCCCCACCCAATCGGCGCCAGTGATCACCCACCGTGTCTTGGCGCCAAACCCTCCACTTCCCACCACTCATACAACAACCGAACCTCACCCTCACCAACCAACCTCTACCCAACCCAACGCCCACGCCCACGCACGACCACGCACATCACCGCCATCAACAACACGACACAATGCCGCTCCTCCGACCCCCACCCGCGCTCTCGCAGCTCTCGCGGATCTCCGTCCCCCGCCGCAACATGTCGAGCGACCACGCACACGCCCACGAGTCGCCGTACGACCAGCCGTCCGGCTGGTTCTTGAACCAGGACCCGTCTGCGCCGGCAAAGAAGGAGGGCTGGGAAGGCATCATGTACTGGGGGTTCTTTGGGAGCTTGGTCGTGGCGTCCATCGCGTACGCCTACAAGCCCGATACCAGGTGAGTCCTAGCAATCCCGCACACGTCTGTTCCGAAAGGGGTCGGGTCGGGGGCTGACGGCGGTGCGACCGGCAGTATTCAAACTTGGGCGCTGGAGGAGGCGAGGAGGAGGCTTGAGGTCGAGGGTATCGTCCCTGACTCGACGAAGAAGATTGCTATCACGGAGCAGTTGAAGACTGTTAGTGGCAAGTAGGGTTCGATATACCTACCGCTACGGTCGGCTTTCTTGGTGGGGTTGGGTGGGGTTTCCTTTCTGCGTTGGTCGTTTTTTTGCGGGCTACCTACTGCTGCTGCTTGCTACTGTATAGACATTCGAAGATGGGGATGGTAACGGAATGTACTTTTTTTTTTGCTTGCGAGGTGTGATTTCGTTTCGTGGTTCGGGAAGGGGTGTAAATGATGTCACTTATTTTATTTTACGAAATCTCGGGTACGTTTCCGATGTCAGTTCGGCAGAGGGACCAGAAGAAGCCCTCAGATCAACACCTATCTGGATTCTAGATATATCCCATTCATCTCATCATAACGGCAGCAGAATTCAACATGCAGGCAACCCGAAATCTAAACACCCCAGCCATACAAACAAAGCCATGAAGAGAAAGAAAAAAAACGAAACACAGGAAAGAAAACAGAAGCAAGAAAACAGCAGAAATGACATCTAGAACAATTCTACAGCGTACACGACTCATCCAAACCACAAGACTCCCACCACACCCAATTACCTGCCATGCGGATAGCGCCATGTGTGTTCAAACGAACAGAATGACGGGCGACCTATTTGCCACTGCTCATAGTCGGGTTCAAACTATGAAGACGACAATTTGACGGGGTAACTGGAGAGTGGGTGTGGTTAGCTCGAGTAGACTAAGCGATAGATGGGGGGAACTTGAACTCACCTCCACTCGCTTTCGATATCGCCGTATTGCCTCTCGGCCATCCACTTCCATATGCGCTCAGCGATGGGACCGGCCTCCTTTCCTTCAGGCAAGGGAACCATGATGTCCTTCTGGGTACCACCAACGCCGCCATCCCAAGCGATTCTACGAACAGGGGAAACGACAGCGGCAGTTCCAGCACCGAAAGCCTCGAGTAACCGCCCCTCGTCAGCAGCGTCGGCCATCTCCTTGATGGTGTACTTCCTCTCCGACACCTGCCAGCCCTCCTTCGTCAAGAACTCCCTAGCCAGAGCAAGAATAGAATCACGAGTGACACCCTCGAGGATGGTTCCATCAAGCGGCGCAGTGATGATCTCCTTGACTCCCTCCTTGTTCACCCAGCAGGTGAAGAGGTTCATAGTGCCAACCTCGGTGACATATCCCTCCTCACCGAACAACCAGAGGTTCTGCTGGAACCCACGCTTGGCGGCCTCCTGTTGCGGGAGGATACACGGCGCGTAGTTACCGCCGAGCTTCTTGTCTCCAGTTCCTCCGGGCCAGGCACGGACGTAGTTGCTTGTCGCCTCGAGGCTGACGGCCTTGAAGCCGGAGGGGTAGTAAGGGCCGACAGGCGAGGCGATCACGAAGAACAGCGCACTGCCGGGTGGGCCAACACCCAGGGTCCTCTGCGTTCCAATCATCGTGGGACGGAGGTAAAGCGAGTACCCGCGGGTCTTGGGCACGAACTTCTCCTCGAGTGCGACGAACTTGGAGATACAATCGACCATCGCATCGGAGTCGAAGCCGGGCAGGGCAATGCGCGCCGACGAATTGCTGAGGCGCGCCATGTTCTTGTGTGGGCGGAACAGGCGGATCTTGCCGGAAGCCGTGCGGTACGCTTTCATGCCCTCGAAGCAGCTGAAACCGTAGTGGAAGACGCAGGTGGCGGGGTCGAGAGAGAGGTTCTGGTAAGGGGTGATGCGGGGTGCAGCCCAGCCATCGTTCGCAGTCCATTCAACCGAGAGCATGTGGTCTGCACAACATCGTTAGAATCGCGTACAGCATCCATTGACCGCGACACATGTGGTGGTGCTGTTGGGTCTCAGGGGTGCAACACGTACCGGTGAAGGTGCGTCCGAAGACCAGATCCTCCTCCTTCATAAGCTCGCTTGGGGTCGACGTGCGCTGGATGACCAGTTTGGACGGGTCGACACCCGCGAGCTGCGGAGCTTGGACGCTGTATGCGCGGATCGCAGTGGAGCGTGCGGCCATCAGCGGCCTGCTGGCCCCGCGCAAAAACATGGTTGGACGCAGCATCGCGGTGGGGTGTGGGTAGAGGTAATGAGGGTTGGAGGAGGAAAAGAAAAACGGAGAAGGATAGTGAGGTGAGAGAGGGAGGATGGGCGGAGGTTATGAAGGGTCCAAAGCACCACAAAGCTGGAGTGCTAGACTCACGGTGGACGGAGCTTGATGATGGGGGAGTACGTGGGATGAATTCTCGCACGAGATTGCCCACCGTAAGTCTCCGATGGGATGCCAATTAGCCGACTGCTTTCTTTATCCTTTCTAGTTACAACTGCCAATGGCAATTGAATTACTGGCTATCGATCCCGCCGACCAAATGATGTTCTATTTGCTCGTTGGGGGATCTCCTGCCGTGTCTTTTCGATATCTTTTCGAATCTTTTCTCGGAACAAGCTTTGCACGGTGGTGGTGGTGACCTGCATACCAAACCCGCCTACCAGTCCCCTCTCGGCCATGCGATAATCATGTTTTTACCCCACGAGAAGTTAGACTCCAGAGGAGACATCACCGCCGCACCTCCCCCGGATCTCCGCAGCTCCACCCCGCGTGCCCCGCTAAGTGCCGATACGTACATCGCACTTTCCATTGTCCGCCAACCGCCGGTCAGCATATCTCCGTCTCCCGCTTCGCCTCGCCTACAGATTTATTCGTTACCACCCAGCAGAAACCCAAGGCCATGAACACCCCGTCGTATTATTGATCTCGGCCAGTCCCCGATCCTTCGGCCCTAAAAAAACCCCAACCTACGCTCGCGACTCTGTTAAGTCCATCTTGACACTTTACTCTGCACAGAGGTCGGTCCAAACCATGTCCAAGACTGCTCTCGTGCTCACGAAGTCGAGGCAGATCCAACCCACAAGCTTCAGGCAACAGAATGGATAGCTGGCCGGCAGGAGAGGGAGGGGTCCGGTAGAATCAGCACTCAATTGAACCACAAACAATCGGAGCAAACATTCTGGCGGACTGAACCCGTACCCGTAGCCAACTCCGTTCTGTTCCGTGGCATCACCTCGGACTGGTGCTAACGTACCGACAGGAGGTTTCTCTTCTAAGTGCGCCGCCGCCGCCTCTGCAACCACCGACTATTGAGATTTCATATTCCTGTTGGCTCGAATGTATGCGGCGGCGGCTGGTATTTCTCGCCCCGTGCTGGCGTCAATTGGTCGCCACCACTACTGGATCTGCGCCGGCACCAGGGGCCGGAGGTTCTTTTGGAGTAGAGATGAGGACGAGGATGGAAGGGACATATTCGGACTGCCACTGGCGCATCGACCAGGAATTACTCGTTCGAAGTTTGGTAGCAGTCTATGTTAGTCCTCCCATTGCGCAGCCGTGCTTTCCCATTTACTAACAAACATCCAGATGACCCCGAGGGCTTCCCCCAAATCCCGCGCATAGAGCATCCCCGCAGCGTGCCCTTCAGTAAGATCAAAATTGGATGCTGGTACGAATGCATCGCAGTCGACCACGAAGTCGACAAGCTGGCGGCGATCCGCCTCAATCGCCGACTGAAAGAAGTGCCTGGTTACCTCCGCTCCCTCAAACCGCACCGTGTCCTTGTCCTCGGTCTTATACCCGAGTTCCAGATCGTCCGTTTTGCTCACGCTACACGGTTCGGCAGCAACGCTACGCCGATAAACTTCGTCGAGGGTAGGGGATGGAATCCCGTCGAAGGACGTCGTTTCATCCCTGTGGGGAACGTTCCTCACTACTGCGACGACATGATCCGCTTCCCGACCTCCCACTTCGTCGTGCACGGCTACATCAAAATCGACTGCGTCTTGACCACCCAGTACCAAACCGAACACGAAGACTTGGAGCTGAAATATCTACCGGACGCATACCCACTTAACAACGTCACTGGAAACCCATACTTCCCTGGGCACGACGGAATGCGCGACATCACCTCTCCGCTGTGGTCACTGAGCTATCTAAAGGACCTGTCCCGCACTTGGTCCGAGGCAATGTACACGGGCAAAGGCTACGACGAGGGCCTGAAGGACTGGAAGCGTGCGTTGCATATGTTGACACGGTACTACCGTCGATACGGTAGTGGTGCCGTACCACTAAGACGTCTGGATGACCTGCAAGAGAGCGAGAGGGTGACGCTTTCTCTCGCCGGGGAGACGATTCCAGCGGATAGAAGGCAGAAAGTCGGTGCGAGAAAGAAGGTACAGGGACTTACGCAGGAGAAGAGGAGGATTGAAGTGGTGGAGAAGAAGGAGGCAGTGAAACGGAGTATCATTGCCGCTTCAAAGGCGCCGGTCGAAGTGAAACCGGCCACTTCGATGGTGCCGGGGAAACAAAAACAAAAACAAAAGCCCGCGGTCAGTGCGAGCGCGCCGTCGCGGCCAAATACTCTCCCTACTTGGGGAGTCGCAACCACGGTCAAATGGCAGCTGCCGGCCAAATTGGCCAAATTGATTCGGAAACCGGAAACAAAGAGGACGGCGACACCACCGAAAAAACCGCCCGTTGTTAAGAAGAAACTAGAGGTGAAGACTACGAAGGTAATCAAGCCTACCGTGGTTGCACCGGTGGTCGCAGTCGCAGCGATAGTGCCTCCTCCTCCTCTTCATCTTGATGAACCGGTACATGCCATAGAGCAGGAGCTCGAGGAGGATATCACCTTTGGATATGTATCGCCGACCAGTTATGACAGCGATGATGGATGGTAGGAAGCGGCAGGAGGGATGAGAGGAGCTCATGGGGAATGGCGTTCTTGGTTTCTAATCGCTCTTGAATCCTCGATTGAAGACCGCCTTCTTAGGCGCATTGTACATTAGTCGTGAATAATGAATAATGCAGATGTTGTACTCACTAGCTGCCGAAGTACCGGTGGTACATCTCTAGACGTCGGTCAAGCATGTGGTGTTTCACAAGGCAGTGAGGGTTACTTTTCTTAGTCGTGGCCGCGAGGAGCATTGCGGCTGAGCTAGATACCTGTACACTCCATGCAAGCTCATAAAGTAACGCTTCAGGGAAGCAAGTAGAGTAAGACCGCCCCCCACCAACAGCCACATCTCCCTTTGCCCGTGCTCGTTCGACATCCCATTTCTCTGGCCAACACTCGAATCATGTTCGCGAACGCGCTAAAATCCTTCTCGTCGAACATCTCGGCCAACTACCACGAGAAGTCCGCCGCCCCCGTCTCCACCTGCGGACCCTGGAAGATCTACGATGCAAAGAAGAAGAAGACGAACCAACCGGTGTCGATTTTTGTGTTCGAGAGGAAGAGTCTCGACAGTGGGGGCGGCGGCGGCGGGGGAGGTGGGAGGGGAGGCGGGAGAGACGGTCTCAAGGCGGCGCAGGAGGAGGTGGTGGAGAGGTTGAAGCGTGAGGCGGGAATGCTGGCAAGGCTACGGCATCCGTGTATTCTCGAACTTGTGGAGCCGGTTGAGGACACGCGGAGCGGGGGACTGCAGTTTGTTACGGAGCATGTGACGGGGTCGCTGAGTACGTTGCTGCGGGAGAAGGATGAGGAGGAAAGGGGCGGCGGCGGCGGGAGGTACGTGCAGGACGACGAGGGGAGGAGACGGAGGAGGGAGGTCGAGATAGATGAGCTGGAGATTCAGAAGGGGCTGCTGCAGATTGGAAAAGCGCTGGAGTTTCTCCATGAGAGTGCAAATCTTATACATGGGAATCTCACGCCGGACGCGATCATGGTGAACGTGAAGGTGAGCACTGACTTCCGAAGCTCTTGTCATTCCGCGAAACCAGCTATGGGGCTTCAAACTGATTGCACAACAAGTCGGATTGGAAGCTCTTCGGCCTCGGCTTTGCCATCCCCACGACAAATCCCACGATCCCACCGCAATTCGATCCGCGATTACCCGCGAATGTCCAGCTACAGCTCGATTATGTGGCGCCCGACCTCGCGCTCGACCAGATGCCCTCGACGTCATGCGATCTGTTCTCCCTTGGAATGCTCATCGTCGCGCTCTACAACTCCCCACACAAGTCGCCGCTCGAAACGCACAACTCGGCATCTACATACCGGCGACTACTGAACTCGGCGCAAACTACGCCTAATGCATCAAACAGCTTCCTATCCTCGCGGCCACTCCCGCGGCAGCTTACCGGCAGCGTTCTCGCGCGACTGATCACCCGTCGGCCAGCGGGCAGAATAAACGCGAGGGAATTCCAGCAGAGCGAGTATTTCGACAACATTCTCGTTTCGACACTGCGGTTCCTGGATCAGTTCCCCGCCAAGACTCCGTCCGAGAAGGCGGCGTTCATGCGTGGTCTACCCAAGATCCTGCCGCAATTCCCGAGGAGCGTGCTAGAGAAGAAGATCTTGCCCGGACTCGTCGAGGAGCTGAGAGATGGGTCGTTGCTTGCCCTGGTACTGCCGAATATATTCTTGATATCCGAGCAGGCGTCGTCAAGGATGTTTTCGGAGAAGGTGCTGAAGAGATTGAAAGAGGTGTTTTTACCCGCCGGCGGTGCTCCGGCGGCTTCAACGGGCGACCATAAATCTGCTGCCGCGAGGGTTGCGGAGCGGGAGCGGGAAGCCGGGCGGGAGGGCGGGCTGACGGTGATACTTTCCAAACTAGCGCTCGTCAAGGAGAAGACCACTGCTCAGGAATTCAAGGAAGACATCCTACCTTTAGTATTCATCGCGCTGGACTCGCCCACACATACACTGCAGGACATGGCGCTCCAGAGTCTTCCCATCATCCTGCCGAAACTCGATTTCCCTACGCTCAAGAATGAGTTGTTCCCTGTTGTCTCGACGGTCTTTACAAAGACGAGCAGTCTTGGCATCAAGATCCGCGGGCTGGAGGCGTTCCGTGTCCTCTGCGGCGGCACTGGAAGCCACGGTAATGCGACAAGTGATGGCCTGGATGGGTTTCATGCAAAGAAGGGCAAAGTCCGCGGCGAGGAGGCACCAGTGCTCGACAAATACACTATCCAGGAGAAGGTCATCCCGCTTCTGAAGGGGATAAAAACGAAAGAACCAGCGGTAATGATGGAGACATTGTCAGTATTCGACGAGATTGGGAAGACGTGTGATCGCGAGGTCGTTGCGATGGATATTCTGCCGACGCTGTGGACGATGAGTTTTGGACCGCTGTTGGGGTTGGAGCAGGTAAAATTCTTCGGGAAATGGAACGGCGGATGAAAGCTGACACCCACAAGTTCAAAGCATTCATGTCAAGCATCAAATCCCTCACCCAGAAAATCGAAGCTGAACAAATCCGGAAATTGCAAGAACTCTCCACCAGCGCATCAGGCGGGCAGTCGGCCGGGGAATTCCTCTCCTTCGGTGGAGCACCGGGTCTGAACGGCCGTGTATCGCCCAGTGGCGTGAGCGAATCCGACTTCGAAAGCCTCGTGCTCGGGAAGAAGGAGGCGCCTGTTAGCGACGGGTTTGCCTGGCAAGCTCCCGCAGATACAAATAGCTCCTCGTACCTGTCCCCGAGAGCCAAAAGTCCGCCCATCATCATCGGTGCGCAGAAGTTTGCGTGGTCTTCGCCGAGTCCGACGATTCCGAGTGCGTCCTCAATGGGCGTCCTCACACCCTCATCCGCACAGTCGGCCCAGGTAAACCCATTCTCGGCGTTACGACCAGCTGCATCCACATCAAATACGATGGCCCCACTACAACCCAGCATGAACGGCGGATTCGGCTCAACAATGGCGGCGCGCACTCCATCCGCGCCTCCCGCGCAACCCCAGGCCGGTGGCAGCGTCGACTGGTCCGCGGTTACCAGGCGAACACCCGCACCGGCATTATCATTCACCGCGGCTCCCATTGCCGCAAAACCGAACCTGTCTTTCCCGGCACCTCCGGCACCGGCAGCGCCAATGAACCAAATGATGTCCGGCCTGAACCTGGGCGGTAGTGGCGGGTTTGGAGCGAGCAGCGGCAGCAGCAGCACTACTGCGGGGATAAGAAAGGGCGGCGGAATACAGCTGACCAACTTCGGCGCGCCAATGGGATCCGCTTCCATCCCCAGTCCGGCTCCGGCTCCGGCTCCGGCTCCGGCTCCGGCTTTTGCACAACCGCCGCCGCCGGGGACGTTTAATATGGGACTGGGGATGAATTTTGGTGTGGGGACGAAGAAGGCGGAGGAGAAGAAGGGCTTGGATGCGTGGGAGAGTCTTCTATGATGTGGATACGTGGATGTGTAGAGTACCTAGGTGGAGGGGGGTGTGGATGTCTTTTGTGCCTGCGATTGCTTTCAGCGGGAGTTTGTGAATTCGTTTTTTTTGGAGGCGTAATTATTGGTTCTTCGGCTGCGGGCCGGATGCGATTGTTATGTCTCTTGTTGATATCGAAAAGGTTAATCTAATAGAACGGCAGACGGTTGGATGTCGGTGTGAAAATGGAATGGAATCCTTGAGCCCTCTCCCTGGGTGTTGATGTGGCTGAGCGTTGGCTGTGAATCGGCTTGGGATTGATGGATGGTGTATCACTCGACCTCCACAAGCCCCCATATATTGCTCTTGACCACATTACCGCCCCTCCGCCGAAGGGAACCCGAGATCACCATCGAGATCAGGTGGTGCCCGGCCCACAAAGGCATCTCTGGGAACGACAAGACTGACGAACGAGCTACGCTGGCAGCCGACCACCCCACCGGTCGAGGAGCGAAGACTCTCTCGGCCGATACGGAACCAGACTATTGCCGCCACGCGCGCTCGCACACCTAATCACGAACAAGAAGTACCGGTATGTACAGCCAGAAACCGGCCCCGAACAGCCGCCCCCGATGTCCGGTGCGGATGGTGTCGCTACATACAAGACCCAGATTCGAGAGCACCTCTTCAAGTGCTGTCCCGAGTGGAAAAGCCAGCGGAAGATCCTGTGGGTAGAGGTTCGGAAGGAGACAGAGACAGGGGGGGCACGATTCGCCTCAAAACCCGAGACCTCTTCGCAGACGAGCGGTGCAGGTGCGGAGAGAAGGAGAAGGGCGCCGAAGTTGAAGAACCGGGGCCACTCGCTGTTCCTCCCCGCATACCCTCCTTCATAGCATCTCTAGGGTCCTAACGAAGAGGCAGGCAGGGACGAGGCGGAATGAGAAACGGAGTTTCTTTTTCCTGCATACATAGCTTCATTTCCTTGGTGAGGGCTACATGTATCTTTGGGAAAAGGCCAGGACGGACTCCAGAGGGCAAGGGAAACCACGACGGGCCGTCTGGCAGAAGTCGGCTTGGACAGTGGGCAGTAGACTTGGAAACGGGGTGTGGATATTGTCATGATCTAGACACTTAGGTCGCAAGTAAGTAATGATTAAACAAAAAAACAATTGCTCTTGACCGGCGCCGATGTCCTAGTATATCACGGTGCTATCCACATCCATACCGATTCCAAGCCTCATCGCCTGTCCTCTTTGTAGATATTGTCGAGGAGAAGAGATGGGAGGAATGAGGTTGTTGTCGTTGTCGTGTGGGTTATGATACGTGGGCCTTGGAATGATAAATATGAGTATCGAGAGTCGATCCGTGATTGGAATTGGAATTGGACCGCACTGAGATGGGTGATCGGATTAATCATTAAGGTACGATTGGGACAGCCGCTTAGACGGGCATTAACTATGGTTGATGGAATTCGGAATATAATCAATAGACATCACGAGTCTGAATGGGCACACTGAAGGGTATGGTCCCTGCCGGTATTTGGTTTTTGTTACAAGTGTCATCCGGGAAGCATTGCAAGAGTCAATCAACTTACACAGTTAGAGTCATCGAAGAAATGACTATAGTCAATGAGCAGGAATGACCCTGGTCACCGAACAGGAATGACTGAGCAAACCCGCAAGACTTCCGGTCGCCTTGGCCGCCATCCCCCCCTGCCCCTGCCTCTGCCCCTACTCCTCCCCCTGCTCTTAGTTAACGATCCATCATCACTACAAACTACTACCCCGCTCATCGGATTCAGGTACTCTAGCTCACGCTCTTCTTCTCGCCGGTTAAAACATGCCATGATCTGGAGAGACCGAATGCGTTGAAATAAACAAGAAAGCTCTCTCTTTTTCGCATAGGCTGAATACCAGTGAATATGACCAGACAAAAAACGAAACTCTTTCCACATATCGCCGGCCTAGTCTAGGCTGAATGGGAGTAAATATGAGGAATCAAAAAAACGCTCTCCCTTGAGCACCAAGTAAGCTCAATTTTGCTAGCTCATCGGATCCTACTGGTTCTGTTTTACGGTAGTCTTATTAATCATCTCCAGATAAGCACCCACCTACCACCGAGGCGTTTCGTCAAAGCCGAAAACAAATTGCAGAATCTCAACCGACGGCGATATGTACTCTCCGTCTTCTTGGAACAAATCAGTGGTCAGTATGAATAGCAAGCAACCTCAAAGGTTCTATTCTACTGTTTTCTACACCAGCGAACTGGTGGGTTTTACTAACACATGACTATGCCGTAACAAACTATCGGATTCCCAACCGTCTCTCCCTCCCCCACTCCGTGTTGAGACTCGCCTGATGGCGGACATCCAGGATCGGGGCCTCTCGCGTCGGTGCGGTCCCATCGATTGCCGATATCTCTGAAGAGACAGGCACAACTTAAAGTAGGTATTAGAGGACCAGACGGATGGCCCCAGAACATGGCGGCTGCCCCGCACTCCGCATAGTTATGTACTCGGCCCGCAGCCGGAAAAGATACATACGGTACATACCTTTGCAAGAACTGGGACATCACTGCTCGATGTCTCGCCCTTTGATCGTCTCCGGTAGTCGCATCCGTCTCTTCTGACTCCGGCAACCATCTCTTCCGGAGATCGAGGCAAGGGGGCGGGGCGGGGGCATTCGGTCGCGCGGGGGTAAGTGCATCGCGCGAGTGGTTGGTGCATTTCGACGGGCCGTCGTCGATACTCGAAACTTTAACATGGCGGAGACAGGTGTGATAGATAGTCAAACATCTCCCGCGAAGCCGGCAGAAGCGGGCGACGGTGATCGGCCTGAAGAATTGCTGCCTCCAACTCTGGAGGAGGGCTACACTAGTGCCGTGACTATGGGCCTGGACGACGCTCGCATCTTATGTACCGATTGTACCTTGCACCCAGGGCGGTAACTACTCTACTTACATGCACGAGTGAGCGCGCTGGCGGACTCGTCCAACGCACGCACTCCGCTGATGGACGCGTAGAACAACCAAAACGTCCACAGGTTTCGGCTGAAATATCTACAGCGTGCATTTGGCCTGTCCCCAGATAGTCCGACGGCGATTTTGAGGCGTGAGTAGGGCAGACGCAGCAAAGTGCATTCTCGCTCTCAACCGCGTTTCATCGTGGACGGAAGGTGAGCCCCGCGGCTACTAGTTATGGGCACGGTGGGTGGGGGTTGGCCAACGGGAAAAGGGAGGAGAGAGGCGGTGCGAAGCTTCCCGTCTCGGCCTTAGCCATTCCAGTCGCTCATGTCCGTCCTGCTCCGCTCGTAGTCCATACGTCATGGGTGTTTCTGGGCATTGTTACGCAGCAGAATATGGATAGTGGTGTTTATGTATGCTGGGGGGTTGGTTGGCGGGGGAGGAGGCGATCTGCTCGGTCGGCCTCTGGAGGGGGTTGGGGTGGGTGTTTGAGCGGAGAGGGAAGGAGGTGGCGATTGGGCGGCTGTGGCCTGCGGTTGGCCCGACAACGCCGCACAACACCGTCCTCAATGCGGGCTAACCTAGGACAGCTGGTTGTTGTTTGCTGCGAATCGACATCGAGTGAGAAGCGTGAGCGAATAAGGCCAACACAACGCAACCCGTACCCATACCAGCCACCCCAACCTCCCTCTTCACCGCAAAAATCAACAGACGCCAGGCTCCGCTGCTGTTGCTGCTGCTGTTGCTGCACCTTTCCCTCCCTCCTTCTCTCTCTCTCTCCCTCCCTCTCCCCTCCGCTTTGTTTCGCTCTGTTCTGTCTCCCTTTTTACGCTACGACCGTCACGTCGACAGAGATTCACGACAACAACAACCACTACCACAATCCTCTCTCTTTCCCCATCGAGACTCGAGTCGAGAAGCAGCTGCCGCTGACCTCCACCCCCTCCACCACCCACCACCACCACAACATCAACACCCTCCCAATCCTTACTCCAACACCTCCCAACCCCCTCCCGTCCACACGAACACCTCACCACTCTTAATCTTCGTCGAGTATTTTGTTTCTCGTCCAGAGACACGTCCTGAAGAGAGAGAGAAACGAAAAGAAAAGAAAAGAAGGAAAAATAGGCGTCGCTTTACTCACACCCCTCTGCCCGCTCAAAAAAATAAATCATCACAATGCGGTTACAACAGATCGCCAGCTTGTCGCTGCTGTCGCTCGGCCTGTTGACACGATATGTCGCTGCGAATCCGGTGCCGAATGCGTTGGCTTTCGCGGAGGCCGTTCCACAGGATGCTTGTCCGATAGACTGTGGCTCCATCTGTTGTACATTGTCCCAACATTGTGCTTCGACCAGCACCTGCGGTGAAGGAGCCGCGGCGGTGGAGGACGGGTCAAATGTTTTCACATCTACCTTCCTCATCACGAGAACTGAGGCGGCAGTCATTACGTCGTTGGTGGTGTTCACATCCACCGGTGCTGTTGCAACCGGAACCGGAACTGCTGCGATGCCAACTATGGGCATTACCACGGGAGGATCCGTCATTGTCCCCTACCCGACGTGAGTATTTGCAACACGACCCGTCAAGTGAATTCGTTACTGACTGATGGCATGCAGGCTACGCCCTAGCGGAACTAATACTTTCCTGGTCCCTATCCCGTCGGGTACTGGCTTCAATGATGTCGGCATCATCGGCGGTGGAAGTTCCGACGGCGTCGCAGCGGGAGCGGCCGGAGGCCTCACGCCAGCGCAGATTGGAGGAATAGTCGGAGGTATCCTTGGCGCGTTCTTCCTCATCGCCCTGATCTTGATCTGCTGCTGCATGCGCCGCGGCTTTAACGGATTCGCCGGCTGGATGAACTCTTGGGGACACAAGGAGACGACGCACACTGCCGCCGGTGGCGCCGCCGCTCACCACGGCCACAGCGGTGCGGGAGCGGCCGCAGGGGGCGGCATGCTCGGTTACCTTCTCGGCCGCAAGAGCAGCACCCAGCAGTCAAGCGGTCACCACGTGGTTGCAGGAGGCAGCTCTGGCGTCGCGAAGAAGACGGGGATGGCAGCGCTCCTCGGTGGAGCGGCAGCCGGTCTCACTAGCATCTTTGCGAGCCGAAGGAAGACGCGCATGTCGGAGAAGTACTCCACCACGGATATCTCGAGCGGCTACTACACCAGCGACATTACGTCCAACACCACATACACGTCCGAGAGCACATCCGACTCCAGCTCAAGTTCCAGCTCCAGCTCCGAGAGTGGCCATCCACACCACGGTCGCCATTAAACTTTTGCAGAGTCATGTCATGCGTGGGACAGATTGTAAAATGGAAATCTTGTTAGCATCGGTTGGGTCTGCATCTTTTGATTTCTGATTTTTTTTTCCTCTGATGTTGTGGAGCGGTTTGGTTCTTTTTTTTTCTTTCTCTTGGTGTGGCTGGGAGGCTTCCTTTTTTGTTCAGTGGGAAAGCGTGGAGAGAGAGAGAGAGGGGGGAGGGAATGGGAAGTGGTTGTCAGATGTGTTTTCTTTTTCTTTTTTGCTTTTCCGGCGTAATATCCCCCCCTTTTTTTTCTCCAAGTTACGATTTCGATGGTATATATGTTTTTCCTTTGTTTGTGCACACGATTACAATCATTACATCTTTGACCCAGTGGATGGCGAGTTACGATGGAATGGATGATGATTGGGTTTTTTCTGGATGTTTTTTCTTCTTCTTCGGTGGGTGGATCTAGGGATGGTCGGTGGTGATGGCGGCGATGATGACGGTGACGGTGCGGCGGCTGTGATGAGGATTTGTTTGGCATGTTATGTACCTAGGACGCGTTGGATGTATGTACGTAGATCGTGAAAACTTTGGTGGATTACACTGCACTGCACCGGAGCCGGAGTTGACACGACACGACATGTGGCCTTTTTCCCTGGGGAAAAATTTGTGCTGTGCTGCAAACCTGCAAACCTGCAAACGGAGCAGCGGGGAGGCCAATGACGATGATGGTTTTGCGATGAGTTTTGAGGAGGTGATGATGTGGAACCAGCGGGGCGTACATACACACCTACCTGCCAACGTAGCATATGTACGATATGTACGATATGTACGATATGTACGATATGTAAGGTAAGGTGCGGGAGTGCACACGGTTACTTGGTTATGGGCTATGTATGTGCGGCGGGTATGCCAGTGCGGGTAGATATGCAGGTACGCAGGTACGCATTTTTTTTCCTGCGTGATCGTGTGTGACTTGACTGCGGGGCTCGGCGGGGGGTTGAGGCGGGGGGCGGGGAGAGAGAGAACATCAATTTATAATGCGGGGGCGGGGGCGGGTCGGGTGAATTTTGATGGCGGGGGGGATGAGTGAGTGCTTGTGATTCGCTGGATAGTTGCAGTTCAAGCGGAGGAGGCGGCGCTCGCGGCTGGACGTCGGACGTCGGATTAGTCTTCAGTGGTAGGGTTTGGCTACGTAGAGCTGGCGAGCACGGACGCCAGCACGGACGCGAGAGGGGGGATGTCGTTGGGCCAATGTCGGCGGACGGATGACGGTTGGCGGGCGGCGGTTGGCGGGCGACGGGTGACGTCGACGAGTCGCTTGGTCGGTCTCATTGAGGGGGTGGGGTTGGCGGTGGAGGAGGTATGGACGGGATTGACGGGATGGGATTGGAAGGGGAGTAGTGAGTAGCGAGTGTGGATTGGATCGTGTGGGGGGTCGAGCGTCGATGTCCAGCGTCAATGACTCGACTCGGCTTGGAAAGGAGGGAGGTCAAGTCTCCAACGAAGATGGGACTCGGGAGTATCAACGGAAGGTTGAGACTTGGTCACTCGACCGTAAATAGCAAGTTGAATCTTGGTCACTCGACCGTAAATAGCAAGTTGAATCTTGGCTGCGGATTATGATCATTCGAGTTTCAACCGTAACTGGTGGTTCGGATGCCATAATGAATCATACCTACGCCAACAGTGGAAGCAGTGGAAGCAGTGGAAGTGAAACGACCGTGAATGAAACGGCGAGGCGTGAATGGCGCTGGGAAGTTGGGCTCGAACCGTGAATGAAACTTGGCTATGAATGTGACATCAAAAGTGAATGGCGCGTGAGCTGCGAATGGGAAGTCGAGGCTAGATATGTACTGCGAATGGGAGGCCGATTGGAGCTAACTGCGAATGGGAAGTCGAGGCTGCTATAGACATCTGCTCCAATTACTGAGAGCGGATCGTCAACCATGAATCAATAGCCAGGAAACGCGATGTTGAATGCCTCCAGCCGTCGAAGCACGACGTCGGCCTCCCATTCGTGGCCGAGTATAGTACCGTATCGAGTGAGAACGGGGGAACTCGACTGTGAATTGGAGCCCAGCCTCCTATTGATAGGTACCCTCATCTTCCTTGGAGACTCGACTTCCCATTCGCAGTCAGACTCGACCGCGAACAGCAAGTCGAGTCTCGCGCATGAAAGCGAAGTCGAGTATGGACCCTCGGAGTGCGAGGAGGAAACCCCGACTCGACGGCTGCGTACTGCGTACTGCGAACGATGACTCGACTCGGCTTGGAAGGGAGGGAGATCGAGTCTCCAACGAAGACGGGAGTATCAATGAGCATTGGGAGGCATGAACTCCACCGCCAGTAGGGGCATCGAGTCTCGCGTATGAACAGGAAGTCGAGCAGCAGTGGACCCGAGTGCGATAGTGAGATGAGGAAACCCGACCAGACTCGACGGCTGGTAGGTACTGTTAAAGATGACTCGACTTGGCTTGGAATGGAGGGAGAGAGGTCGAGTCTCCAACGAGGATGGAACCCGGGGGTATCAATGGGCATTGGGAGGCCGAAACTCGACCGCAAATAGCAAGTCAAGTCTCGCGCACGAACAGAAAGTCGAGTACTATATGGCCCCGAGTACGACGAGGAAATACCGACTCGACAGCTACGTAGGTAGGTACTGTGGACGAAGACTCGGCTTGGAATCGAGGTCAAGTCTCGACCCCCAAACGAAGATGGGAGCGAATCTTGGCTGTGATTCTGTGAATGAGTATTCGAATTTCAACCGTAACTGGTGATTCGAATGCCATAAACAATGAATCATACGCCAACAGTAGAGGCAGTGGGAGTGAAACGAACGTGAATGGAACGGCGAAGTGTGAATGGCGCTGTTAACGGGCCTGAATTGTGAATGAAACTTGACCGTGGATGTGACATCCAAAGTGAATGGCGCGTGAGTTGCGAATGGGAAGTCGAGGCTAGACATATACTACGAATGGGAGTCCCAGTATTGTATCGAGTATGAGCGGGGGAACTCGACCGTGAATAGGAACTGAGGTGAATGGGAAGTCGAGGCTACTATAGACATCTACCCAAGCCGATTACTATGAGCGAATCGTCCACCACGAATCAGCAGCTTGGAAACGAGATGTTTTATTCACGACTCAACCCAACTCAACTTTATCGAGATGCGCGAGTCCGCCGCGGCGTGGCCATGACTTCGCTTCTTGACTCGACCGATGACGGCTCGAGCTCCTATGCTGGTAGGTATCACAACCACGATTGGGGAGTCTCCACCCATAAGTTACAACCGGTCAATGCGGGAACTAGGCAGGCTTGGTGGCGACGACAACGAGACCGCCGTGGAGCTGGGGCTGGGGATGAACTGAATTCGATCGGATAATTAAGAAGTATGGTGGTGCTTTAAGTGATGATATCCAAGCACCTATTGATAATGATTGATCCCTCCAAAAAGATAAAAATAGGTATTACAAAAGTGGTGTTGATGTTGCGTGAAACCTGCTGCTGTCACGGGGGGCGAGACCGGCACTGATTCTGAGAACGCTTGGACTGTCAACAGCACCTTAGTTTCCCATTCAACGCCGCCAACAAGCCAACAAGCCAACAAGCAAGAAGGTAACCAAGGATGAATGGCATGTCAAGGTGAGATTGAGTGATGGGCAAATCTACTACATATAACGGTACCGGAGTCACTCGGAAAGATGTGGAGAAGGGGGCTTGGATTGTCAACAGCACCTTGAATTCACATTCCCATTGAGCGCCGCTGCCAGCAAGCAAGCAGGTAACTAAGGATGAATGCTGAATACTCCGTCAGGGTGAGATTGAGTGACGGACACCCCCACTACGCACGGTAGTGGAGTCACTCGGAAACATGTGGAGAAGGGAACGGGAGCTTTCCCCCGATCATTCGATGGTGCATACGATAGATCGCCATACCCACAACCGACTACATACGATGACTAACTGCCGGACCGCTCACGCTCACGCTCTCCCGTCGATCGGCATGCAGTAGGAGGAAGAAGAAGAAGAGGAGGAGGAGGCGGCGGCGGCGGAGGACAGAGCACTCGACTACCTATGTGGAGTATCTAGATAAGTAGAAAGTAGCCAGTAGGAGTATCTAGATAAGTAGAAAGTAGCCAGTAGGAGTATCTAGATAAGTAGAAAGTAGCTAGTAGGAGTAGCGCAACAAACCGTCCACCGCTCCCGCAAGCGAGAGCGAGAGCGGCCATGCATTCATCGGATAGGTACCGTACCACATGTATCGAACAGCGACCCGTCAGCCGAGTCGGTTGCCACGGCCGCCACGAGCAGTACATAGGCCACGAGCAATAGGCCACGAGCAGTGGAATCACGAAGAAGGAAGAAGGAGGAGGAGGCTGAGCGTCACGGCAACACCGGCACCGCGTGAATCCAGGGGAGGACAACCACATGAGATTCAAGCGGCGGAAGCAGACGGATCGTGGCGATATGCCCATGCCCATGCCCCTGCCCATCGTGCCTGTTTACGGGCTGCTCGGTATTAGTATGTGCCAAATCGAACTACGTAGAGTGCTACTAATAGTTATGTGCTGCTTCAAGATGTTTTGCCCAGGCCGCAGTGCCGCATCCACTCGATCGCGTCGGGGAGTGTACTCTGCCTGTGCAGAGTACGCACCTGCCTACATACCCGGTCCACTCCACTCAGCTCGCCTTGCAATTGCAAGGTTGAGGTTGGCCGCTCCCATCCCATCCCAGCTCCCAGCTCCTAACATGCCTGAATTGAATTGAATCTGAAGCCATCGGATCGAGCCGAAGAGAATAGGGAGCTACTCTACATGCTTCCCCTGCGATCTCGGATGTGGTTTGGAAGGGGGTACATAACTAGAGTACATGGCTGGGGAAGTTGCGGATGTGTAAAGTGGTGGAGCCAGGAGCACGCGCGCAAGCATGCGGTACAGACGGAGTTTCGGGATGTAGGGATATAGAGAGACGGAGCGTTGGAGCGTTGGAGCAGGCAGGTGCGGCGGTCGTGGTGGCCGTGGTGGTGGCCGTGGTTGCATGGTGGAGCACCCTACCCAGCATGTAGACACGGGGTTTATCCGAACGTGCATGGTGGGTGGGCACGCAAGCAACAGGCAAGCAACAGGCAGAAGAACGGGTGTACCTGCATGCGCGGAAAGCATCGGTACAGACATCAAGTAATGTACATAGACTGATGGGCTCGCGAACTACAATCTCGTCCCCGCGAACTCTCCTCCATCCCCCATCTTTCATCCTCGGCTCTCCTACGAAAAAATAAAAGAAAAGAAAAAGAAAAGAAAAGAAAAGAAAAAGAAAAGAAAAGAAAAGAAAAGAAAAAGAAAAGAAAAGAAAAGAAAAAGAAAAGAAAAGAAAGAAAAGAAAAAGAAAAGAAAAGAAAAAGAAAAGGAAAAGAAAAGAAAAAGAAAAGAAAAAGAAAAGAAAAAGAAAAGAAAAAGAAAAGAAAAAGAAAAGAAAAAGAAAAGAAAAAGAAAAGAAAAAGAAAAGAAAAAGAAAAGAAAAAGAAAAGAAAAAGAAAAGAAAAAGAAAAGAAAAAAGCAACAACCGTCCTACATATCGGCATCATCATACGTACTCCGATCCGCACCTACCTACTCGACTCTGCTCTGCTCTACTCCACGCACGCACGCACCTTCCCGCGATGCAAATCCCCGCTTGATGCTGCACGATGCGCCGGCGTATCGGCAGGTGGAGGTCGATTGGATATTTCTCCATCTGGTCTGGTGTCGCCATGTTTAGCCTCTGTGTATGTGTGTAGGTTCGCGCGAGTCGCTATGTTCCGAGGCTTCTACATATAGACGGTATGATACCACTACGATAGTCTGCTGTAGTTACAGTACTGTAGTTACAAGTAGTCTCACGGCTCCGTGAAGTAAAAGCGCATACTTGTCCATCACGACACACTTCTTACCTGGGTAGATATTGCGGGACCGACGGGCCATCGCATCTACATGCCCCCATACCCGAGGAACCCGGATATGATGAACCTGGCGCCCTTCTGGCAGAAGGCATCGTCAAGGCACTGGCGTCGGGTTGGGTTGGGTTGGAACGGGACCGGGAAAACACAGCATGCATAGGTAGTCAGTCGGCCAGTCCCTACACACCAGCTGAGTACAGCCAGTTACTACGGTATCGCAAGTATTTGCCCATGTACTTATACATACTCACCTGTGGTGTCTACATGGTGTAGGTATACATAGTAGTTACAGGGAGTCCTTCCGACCCTGCAGCCTGCAGTTGAAGTTTTCCCAGTGTTGCGCCATCTCGTACTATGTATCTCCATGCCAGTACATAACCAAACCAACACGCCTGAAGAAAAACTGTCGCGTCCCCTGCAGAGTACTCTACATATCGTGCTCTAGTTGTTTGTACTAGTTACCTAGTGGTATGTAGTACTGTTGCTGGATGGATAGGTACTCTGCACAACTGCTATTCCTGTTCCACTCCAATATGTCGTATGTACACATTTGGCTGGGTGGAGCCGTACTCTACTCTATTTCCCTGCCTGTACCTGTGCCTGTTCTTGTGTACCCGACAGCGAGCGTCCCAGAGAGGGACGAGGGACGAGGGGAGGCTAGAGAGGAAGGCAGGAAGGGAGGCTAAGGAGGTAGGAAGAGAGGAAGGAAGGAAGGAAGGAAGGAAGGAAGGAAGGAAGGAAGGAAGGAAGGAAGGAAGGAAGGAAGGAAGGAAGGAAGGAAGGTCGAAAGGACGAAACAGAGAAAGGCAGCAAGTCGCGGACGATACATAAAAGCCGCCAACGTCGCCGCTCCGTTCCCCTTGATCGAGTCCAGTACGTCCACACGCGTGTTGACACCCACTCGTTCGTTATCACCAACTGGATACTTGATCCACACATTCGTTTCCCCCTCCCACTCCCCCTCCCCCTCCTCCTCCTCCTCTTTACATAATGTTTTTCCGGACAGCACTGCTATGTGTGGCGACTGTGCAGCTGGCGTTGGCACATCCGCACGCCGGTGTGCCAAAGCTCATGGGCCGCCGTGGCGCCCTCGATATCCGCGGCCTGGCGGATCGCAGCTCCCTCGTTAAGCGTGTCGAGAGCCCCGATGGCACTTGTGGCGCTTCGAGTACGGGATTGTACACCTGCGGAACGGACGTCAATAAGTGTTGTTCGCAATACGGTGAGTGCAACTGAGAGGAGAGGAGAACGTCGACGTCTGGTGTGTTTGGTGGCGAGGGTGAATGCTGATTGACGGATTGATGGCAGGCTGGTGCGGTGATACCTCCCTCCACTGCGCCGATGAGTGTCAGGCGGACTACGGAATTTGCACCGACGGTGCCGAACCCGGGGGACGGTGTGGAGCCCAGGGGAACGGAACGGTGTGTGCTGCTGCTACCGATTGCTGCTCGAGCGACGGCTGGTGTGGAACCACGAGCGATCATTGCATGGCTCCGTATTGTCAGGAGGGCTTCGGCATGTGCGATTCGGAGTGAGTGGCATCGTTGCGTGCATTGCGGTTTCGGTTGGATGCTGACGGATATACAGCTACGTCCCCGCAGGTGGAAATACGACCGATATCCCACGGACGAAGGTCGGAGATGTTCCCTACGGTAGTGTTTCCTCCCCCAGCTCTCCATCCCGCACCACTCGCTGACCTCCATCCCTCCTTAGGCGCCGATATCTACGATTGCGTGAACGCCGGCGACATCGCCTTGACCTACGACGACGGCCCCGACATCTACACGGACGCCATGCTCGACATCCTCGCAAACTACAGCGCCAAAGCCACCTTCTTCATCACGGGCATCAACAATGCCAAGGGCCCGATCGACACCACTCCCGCCTGGAACGCCGTGATCAAAAAGATGGAGGCGGCCGGGCACCAGCTGGCCTCGCACACCTGGTCGCATGCCGACCTCTCGACCCTGACCGAAGAGAAGCGACGGACGGAGATGTACAAGCTCGAGGCGGCGATGCGCAACATCGTCGGCTTCATTCCCACGTACATGCGGCCGCCGTACTCGAGCTGCACCGCGGCATGCATGGCCACCATGAAAGAGCTTGGATACCACATCACTTACTTCGACCTCGACACCGACGACTACAACAATGTCACCCCGGACCTGATCCAGAACGCAAAGAACAACTTTGCCAACGCCGTCAATCCGAGTAATCCGGCGACCGATGCGTGGTTGTCGATCGCCCACGATATCCACGAGCAGACGGCGATGAACCTGACGCAGTACATGCTCGAGACTCTCACCGCTAGGGGGTACAAGGCCGTCACGGTTGGAGAGTGTATGGGTGACCCCAAGGAGAACTGGTACAGGTATCCTACCGATGTAAGCTTCCCGTCCCTGTCCATCGTAACGAACCCAGCTGACAAGCATAGACTCCTGTGTCCTCCTCCTCGACCGTCGCCTCCTCTCCCACCACCTCCTCCCCGCCCACATCTACCGATCCCACCGTCCCCGAATCCGTCACCTCATCCCCAGCGAGCGCCTGCCCAACCACAGTCGCAAACTGGTGTCCCCTCGCGCTGCCCTCGTACACCACGATAGCAGGATGCTGGACGGCAACAGGCCAATGCTGGGACGCGGGCGACCTCTGCTGGAGCACCGTGCCCGCCGAGGACCAGTCGGGCTGCGAGAAGTATCAGGAGATTTGCGCGCTGGTCGAGGACCACTGTCAGTCGTGCATCACGGCGGTGGGCAGTGGCGAGGGCGCTTGTGCTGAGTTGGCGGTTGTTTATTAGCCTGGTGATTGATGATTTATAATGGCGAGGTAATGGGATATGAAGAGATGCTGGGATGCGGGGGTGATGGGATATGGGGGGATGATGGGATATGCGGGGGAGGATGGGATATGGGAAAAGGCTGGGATTTGGCGGGATACGCCTTAATGTTTGTTGCGGACCACGATCCGATGCATGTTGGTAATTATTGGAATGAAAATGTATAATGGATCTCACTTCATCACTCGCACATGTCCTTCAAAATCGGTGATCTCACAGTCCAGCCTTTTCTTGGGTGAGGAGCCGACTGATCTTTCCTAGCTTTATTTGTTTGGTTCGCTCATATGTATATCGTCGGGACAGGCCACGGCGGGGGTAGGGAAAGCCACATAGGGTCGCTCGATGAAAGTCGGGTTGGACAGTGGCGTGGAAACGGGGGGTGAAAGGGGTGATATTGCCATGATCAAAAGCGCCAAAGTCCAGCCATTTTCCTCCGACGAGGGGTAACTTCTACCCCGCAGGCGGCTGGTAGTCGCGGATCGCCAGCGTCGATCCTCTGTTGGACATCATCGTCGGTGGCGGCGGTGGTAACTAGTGGCGGTGGTGGTAGTGATGGTGGTGGCTATGCAGACCAGTAGCTAGTGGCGAGTACAGCACTCCACTCCAATCCACTTGCGAACCCCACCTCGACCGGTAGAACATACCCCGCCAGCTAGCACGAATCCTGGTGGTGTGTGGGGTGTGTGTGTGCGAGTGATGGCGCGTGAGGAGCCGCGCGGGGAATGCGGTCCTAAATACATACTACCAGCATAGCGGCGGCCGATGAAGTCGATTATGTTTCTCTCGAGGCGCACGAGCGAGCGCGCAGGTGCCGCGTATTCAGGCACTACAGGTACTCGGGTACTACATACCGGTATGGGATTATCCCCCACCGACGTCCGCGTGACTACATTGACTGCATTGACTGCATTGAATGCATTTACCATGGCCATGCGGACTCGGGAGGGAGCGGCCGATGGCCGAGTCACTGTCGCCGGTCGCCCTCGCCCTCGCCCGAGTATCATGCAGTTTGGTGGTCCGACGCCCGAAATGTCCCCGCTCGCCGATGACCACTACTTGAGTACCTATCACCTGCACCGCTGCTGAACTGCTGCTGTTGCGGCTGATGGTGGTGGTGGGCGTGCGGGGAAACCGATAGCTTGCCATAAAAGTAGAGTACCTACAGTATGTACTAACCCTGTGCAGATCCTAGCGAATGTGTGAGGAAGTCGTCATATAACGCCACTTTCCTTTTTCCTTTTCTTTTTTTTTGTGTGTGTGCGTGTGTGTGCGTGTGCGTGTGTGCGTGTGTGTGTCTGGGGAAACGCAAACGCAAATGGAGTTCGTGAGTCCGTCGAAGCTTGAAGGGGAATCTTCTGGCCACTCTGCGCGAGTGCTCGAGTGATGGGTCCTGATGTGCCGTGTGCCGCGTGCATACGTCGAGCGTCATAACTATCGCGGCTACGGTCTATGTATGTAGAGATTAAGCGCGGCCAGCCGCGAGGGTCCGCGTGGGGAAGGGTCGGGTCTTATTGGCAACCGAAGCGGGATGGGGGTTGGGTTAACGGTTTCCAATAGATACGAGGCGAATATTACACTTTACTCTATGTAAGTAACTTAGCACGGCGCTCGCCGCCGCTTCTACTGCTTGTGCTGCTGCTTGTGCTGCTGCTATTATTGCCTATTTCTACGGCATGCAAGATTTCGTGCAAATAGAGTAGGAGGGTAGGAGGGTAGGAGGGTAGGTGGGAGGGTAAGTTGTAGGTGGGAGGGTAAGATGTAGGTGCTTGAGTATCTAGCGAGTGGAGTCGGAATCCGGAGCGGAAGGAGGGTGCGATCGAAGTGAAGGGAGGGGGATGGGGACTTGGAAGGGTGCGAAGGGTGCGAAGGGTGGGAGTCGCAAAGTCGAACCGATCTGATCTGAGATGGTTTGGGTTGGTGAGTGTGATCACACGCTCCGCCTCTGTCCCTCCCTCGTCTCATCTGCTCGGTCTGACCCGCTGTCGGAACAGGGAAGTGCGAAGGCGAGAGAGAGAGAGAGAGAGAGGGGGGGGAGGGAGAGAGAAAGGACACTCATGCCCGTATTCATCACCTACCGTAGAACTAACTCTCCCCATACATCCTGCGGAAAACCTACTCTATCTAGCCTCACTGCTGCGCATACCATCGTGATACGCCTTCCGGGCCGTCTATGAGGTATGTACTCTAACTCCACATGTCATACTATCTGCGCTCCAGCCGCTCCCACCACTCCAACCTCTCTCAACTCACGTCGTCGCGACAAGCATCATCTATCATCTGTAGATACTGACTGGAAGCTTTAGGATAGCTCTCTTGTAGCTTTTGAGCTGCTGAGCTGCCCGGCCACTCTCACCGCCTAAACCCTGCATTCCCTCCCTCCCCCCAAATCCACACTAGCCATCATCGTCCTCCTCCTCCCTCCACACACCACCCGCGGCCACCCACCCTCCGCCCACCCCCCCTCCCACCGCCCATTCTCTCTCACCAACCAACTAACCAACCCACTACCCTCTTCTCTTCACACAGCTTTCTCTCTCTCCTCCTCCCCCCCGAGAGAGAACAGTAGATTGTCCGAGTGTCACACCCCCGACCGAACTCTCATCTTCCCCCCTCACTCTTTCACTCTCCCCCTCCCCCATTCTCGCCGGGGCCGCGTCTGTGGCCACGCCATCCCCTTCCTCGGCTCTCTGTTGGGTTGTTTCAAAAACTGATGCCAGATACGCCGGAATCGCGTCGTGACGTCTCTACTGCATCCCCCACCATCGCCTCCCGGCAAAACCCCTCATCGACCCCAACAATTGCCGCTACTACTGCCCATACTACTCCCACTACCACCTTCGCTTCGGCCACTGCCACTGCCATTCCCGCTGCAGTTGCTTCTCGTTGTCCGAGACAACCACTGCCACAACACAAACATAAACAACAACAACATCCACAACAACACCAACAGCCACAACGTCAACAACCACAACAACACCACCACGACCATTCGGGCGCGTCGTCACCGCTGCAGATGGCTCCTCCCGCCCATTCTCCCGCACAGGCGCAATTTCATCGCTTTCGCTTGAACGAGTTCCAACGCGCCGGCACTCCGCCGTCGGGCAGTCCCGCCGGGCAGTGCTCTCGCTTTCGCGTCTCCGATTTTATCCCTTATCCCTCGGCTTCGGCCCCGGGCGGCAGCGCGGACGGGCAACAGCAACCTCAGCAACAACATCAGCTTACGCAACAACACCACCAACAACAGCAACAGCATCACCAGCAACAGCAGCAGTCACACATTAACGGTGTTGCACAATCACCACAGCAACAACAGCAACAGGGCACGGGAACAAATATATCCGCGTCGCCGCGGATACAACCGAGACAACAGCAGCAGCCTCCCGGTGCCGGCGGCGGCAGCGGTGGGAGTTATTCGGTGTTGCATATGGACATCGACGCAGCACCACCGGCACAGCAGACCAGCACTATGGTCGCAAGTCTCAGTGGGAGAGGGATACTACAGAAGGTTCCGGTGAGGCCACCATCCGCAGCAAATGTATGCAATTTACTCCCTATTTCATAATCATTCCGATCTCACCACCATTCACACCCCACCCACAACGGCACGAAGAAGATGGGGGGAAAAAAAGAGAAGAAAAAAAACTTGGACCGGAACTGATCTGATTGGTGGTGGTGTTTACAGCTCCAATCGCCTATGAACGGTCAACAGCCACGTCCGATCGTCCCCGCACCGACGCCCATGTCGGCTGTACCGCCTCCGGTCGTCAAATTCGACCCATCACAGTACCCCGAAGATGTTCGGTGGGAGCTCGCGCGCGTCGTCGCTAACATTCAAACGAACCCTGCTGGTTTCGCCGGCCTAGTGGTGAACGCACTTCTAACCGCTCCCTCGTTTCAAGACAACAGCCTCCTACGGCATATCGGTGCTCTTTACCCCCAGCTGCCTCCGCCGGCGACGACACAACCAGAAGTCGATCCGGAGAAGCCGGTAAAGCGAAAGCGTGGAAGGCCGCCCACCAAGAATAAACCGCCGCCAACGCCCACGCCGACGCCAACTGCTACCGCCGCCGCACAACCAGGGGGCTCGCAGAACTCTATGTCCGCTCCATTGATTACGGTGATACCCTCTCGCAAGGACAAGGATACGATGCAGACGTGCACTCGGTGCCTTAAGGCCTTCAACCCCGCCTGGCGACCCACACCTGCGTCCGATCCGTCATCCGAAGCGACATGTGCCGTGCGACATCCCTACCCCGACTTTGCTTCGGGGCTTGTGGTCAGCCTGCCGGCGCGCAAGCGAAACAACTACAAGACCACCTGGCGATGGCGATGCTGTGGCCGTGAGATCCAGAGCGCTAGTGACGAGCTGCTCATGTGGCCCAGAAAGGAAGACGACAAAACGGGCGGTTGGTGCTTCGTGGGAAAGCATACGACCGAGGTTGGGGTTCGGGAAAAGTTTGGGCTCAAGCCTGGCAAGGGAAAGACGATCGATGAGGTGGCCGACATTTCGGACACCGCCGAGGTCATGCGGAAGAAGGCGAAGCTCGAAGATGGTAATGGCGCCACTGTTGCTGCTGCCGCCGTAAATGGGAACGCTATGGCTGCACCTGCGACCTCGAGTCCCACGATGACTAGGACACGTACTATCGAGCAAACGCAGCTCCAACAGCATGTCCAGCAATGGCCGCAGGGTGCGTTTGCGCACAACCCACAACCCCCTCAACAAGTGCCAGCGCCACCGCCGGAACCGTCCCCGGTGCAGTCCGAGCCGACACCACCCGAGGAACCGGTCAAGCGTAAGCGTGGCCGACCCAAGGGCTCGAAATCGAAGAACAAGCTCGCTGGACTGGGTCTCACGCCGACTGCTGGAACGTCGTCGAGCGCTACGGCACAGACGTCGCCAGGTTCTCAGCTTCTCGCGGAAGCCTCGCAGAAGCAACATACCAGCGATATGCACGGTGGCGCGGCGGGTAACAACCACCTCTGGTCACTCTACGGCGACCATAACATGCCCGACCTTGCCGACGGCGATGCTGAGCACGAGGAGGACGATGTCCAGCACGTGGATGCGATGGGAATGAGCCAGGCGGAGCTGGGGATGCTGGTCCACGCGACAGCAGCAATGGGCGGTCAAAGCACGAACATGACGCCGCAGACATCGACCGAGTCGGCGACCCCCGTAAAGAGGGGAAGAGGACGGCCGAAGGGAGTCAAGAATGGTGCTGGAAAGGCTGCGCTCGAGAAGAGGCGTCTAGAAGAGGAGGCGGCTCGGCAACAGCAGCAGCAACAACAACAGCAGCAACAGCAACAGCAGCAACAACAGCAACAGCAGCAACAACAGCAACAACAGCAGCAACAGCAGCAACAACAACACCAGCAGCAGCAACACCAACGCCAGCAGCAGCAACACCAACAACACCAGCAGCAGCAACACCACCAGCAGCAGCAACACCATCAGCACCAACAGCAACAGCAGCACCGCCAGGAGGATAACGATCTTCAGTCAGATCCTGTGGTTGTTCCTGCCGGCGCCGGAGGAGGGTGGTTTCCGGGCGACGATCCACCGTGGACTGGGATTTTGTAAGGCACGAGGATGGGGTGGCGTGAAGGAGGCTAGGATATTCGGATTCGATCGAGGAGTGCTACATCGTGTTGCCAGTTGTGTGGAGTATCTGCTCATTCTTTTCCCCTTCGATTTCGTGTTTTTTTTTTGCATCACTAGTTTTTCTTTCGTCTGTCTACTCTATGGGGGCTATCAACCGGCGTTACTGTGTGTTCTTGGTTTCGGTTTCTATCTCTTTGCTCTCGGGTCCGCTCTATCACCGTTTGTGGATTATGTTTTTCGTTTTCGCGCTGCACTGTTTGTTTTGTCGCGGGCTATGGCTATGGCTGTATATTCTGCAACCCGTTGTGTCGATATTGATATTATCTTGTCATGTTTTGCAAAAGCGGGGTTTCCATATCATATTGTGTGTTTCGCTAAGCCTATGGTCAGGCAGGTTAGGGGAATGGATATTGTTATTCAGGAGGTCATACAACGAGAATTCGGGAGAGCTTTTATTCGATGATGCTATGGCTGCATGAGATGGTGCAGGCTGTGTGACTTGAGACGGAATATCCCGTCCACGAGGGTGTCACGTGATGCGGCTAATAGTGAAGGCGCTAGTCAAGAGGTACAAGGTTTTCTTCTTGAAGACTTCTTCTCCCTCTTCTTTCCTCTCCTCACACCCACCACCGTCCACCACATCACCGACCACCACGAAAACAACGACAACGACGACAACGACGAACGACCACCACGGCTATTATCACAGTGTATTCCATAGCAACGAATAGAACAATTATTCCCACCTCTCCCCACGTCCCGTTCCATCCGCCCATCCATCGCCTCCTCCCCGTCCCTCCCCCTCTCATCCCCCCACCTCCCCCCTTTGCCAAACCGTGATTCAATTCAACACCGCGCTACTTAAGTTGTCCTTCCCCCGCCCGCACCTTTCGAGGCTACGGCGGGACTTTCATCCAATGGAAGGTTGATTAGTCAATGCGCGCACAGCGATGGTTTCTCCATGCACCCTCCCCCTCTATACTTGGTGTTTCCCCGCCGTTATGGTTGTGGGATCGCTTTCTGGTGGGGGAGGGTAGGGGAACGGCGGTCGTCCTCCTGTATTTGGTCTACTCCGGGAGGTTCTTACCTTCTGACCCTGGAATGTGCGGCTGGCGCGGATTGGCAAGGCAAGGCTCGGTTGAAAGATCGGGGCTAAGTCGCGCGGTTTTGCGTCGGTGCCACATGGGGTGTGGAGTGGATATGGGAGGGGGCCGGATATACCTGTGTTTTATGTAGTTGTATGTAGTGTTGGGCTGGAGTGGCCTGAAGGAGTGAATACGAAGTTTTGGATATTCAATTCAATTCACACGTCTCATCTCCATCTCCATCTCCATCTCCGCACCTCCTCCCCCTCCCTTTTCCTCGGCAGTGAGCATTCTAGCGCAAACCTCAATATACCTCTTCACCTTGTCCCCCTCCCCCTCATTGCCCCCCTCCCGCTCTCCACCATCCACCTGATCAATCACCCTCGCCCCCATTTCACAAACCGCCACCCTCCCCAAGCTCGCCTCTCCAAAAGTCGCATGCTTAAACTCGTCCAGCACACTTGAAAAATCCACCTTCCCCTTCCCCTCCCCCTTCCCCTCCTCCTGCAGCTTCTCCACCTGCTTCTCCTGCAGCTTCTCCGCCTGCTCCTCCCGCAGCTTTCCCACCTGCTTCTCCCGCAACCTCCCCGCCAGCTTCTCCGCCCGCTTCTGCCCCCTCCCCCTCCTTGAGCCACCACTGCCGCCGGGGATGTACCGCGTATTAACCAGCGTAACATGCAGCTTCAGCGGGCGCTCGGCGTCCTCGAACTGCACGCCGGCGTCTAAGAGGTGCTGGCGGAGTGAGGTGGCGAAGGCGTGGAGGTCGTGCTGGCTGTCTGCGGCGGGGGAGGAGAGGGTGGGGACCGTGGGGACGGGGATGGTGTAGAGTACCCCACTCCCGCTGCCGCTGGGGGACATGGTGTGTAGTCCGCGGAGGGTTACGGTCATAGGTGATGCTGGGAGTGGGAGTGGGAGGTTAGCGAGCACGGCTGTAACATCACGCAGCGTGCTGGACGTGCTGGACGTGCTGGGCGTGCTGGAGGTGCGGGAGGTGAGTGAGAGCACGCCCAGGGTTATGTGCAGCCGTTCTGGGGGGATGAGTGCCGCACTTAGGTGCGGGTAGGTGGTCAGGAGGGTTGTGTAGAGTGCTGCGAGGGCGGGGGGTACCGGTAGTGGGGGGGAGGACGCGGTGAAGGGTGGCTGCAAGGGGAGGGAGAGGAAGTGTGTTAAGGGGGGCTTTTTCGGTTTCGGTTTCGGCGAGGGGCCGGTGGTATGCTCGCCGCCGCTGGTGACATTCTCGGCAGCTTCGGGGCCTGTTCGTGGCTTGCGGTTGCGGTTGCGGGTCCTCTGCGGTTTGCGGCGAGATGGGTCGGCGGGCTCGGCTGTGGGCTCAGCTGTGGGTTCAGCTGTGGGCTCCGAGGATACCGGTGTAGGCTCAGTTGTAGGCTCAGTTGTAGGCTCAGTTGTAGATTCAGTTGCCGGATGTAGTAGAACTCCTCCTCCGCCTGCGGTGCTACTGTCACTGCCACTGCTGAAGACGATCTCGGCCGACATTGATGCAGTTTGAATTCCGATGGTGAGGTTGGTTATGTAGTGTAGTGAGTGGTGTGACGTTGAGACTCGAGAAACTGTAGAAATGTAGCTCCCTGGTCAGTGATGTCGAAGCCGTTTCCACCACGACTAGCGCCGGGATCCGCACGCAACAGCTCACTATGCCGCTTATGTGCAAGGTATGCACACACTGACGACTTTATCCCGACCCCACGCAACCAAACATTTTCCCCACCATCAACCACAGCACACTCCACACAATGTCCAGGCTCCCCCGCCTCCTCCCACGGCTCCCCCGCCTCCTCCCACGGCTCCCCATGCGCCTCCCGGGTCTCCCGCAGCGCCGAAGCTACGCCAGCAACCGCCTCGCGAAGCCGACGAAGTTCACGCCGCCGTCGCACCCCTCGCGGCGCCCTCTCAAAGACCCTGTGCACTACCCGGGGCCCCCCTTACCCACCTCCGCCACCCCCAAGTTCTACCCCGAGACCCTGCCACCACCCAACACGCTCTCGCACCGCCTGCTGACCTCACGGCGGCTGCACTTCTACCTCTCGCTCGGCATCCTGTCCCTCCTCGCCGGCAGCGTGACACTCAGCAATTTCGTGCGCACGTCGCCGCACGCGCGCGAGATCGAGTGGAGCTGGAGTGCGCCCGGCCAGGGCGTGCGGCAGCTGGTGGGGGCGTGGAGGACGAGTGTCGATGAGGAGACGAGGAGGGTTAGTGAGAAGAGGCGTAGGGCCCTGGAGGATGTAGAGAAGAGAGGCGAGTATAGGAAACATCATGGGCTTGAGGAGACGGGTGATCAGGGCGGGTTTGGAGGGTTTGGGTTGAAGAAGAAGGCCGCGACGCCGGAATTGGCTGAGTTGGAGGGGTTGGAGGGGGCAGGGGGACAGGGAAAGGAGCAGTGGGTTGAGGAAGAGCTTGCTAAGTTGGAGAGGGAGGCTGTGGGCGTGGTATTGCCGGTTAGGGAGGAGAAGAAGAAGGGTGGGTGGTGGTAGCGGGGGCGGGTCGAAGGGATGGTGGGGTGGGTGGAAGGGTGGGATGATTGTCACTGCCGTTGCTACTGCTGTACAATACGAGCTTCAAAGCGTTGGAGCGATACAAGTTTCGTCTATTCCACTGTCGTAAACAAGACGCAGCAGAGGAAACCCTTCTCCAAACCATCACAAACAAGACGCAACAGGAAAACCTTCTTCAACCATCGCAAACAAGACGCAGCAGAAGAAACCCTTCTCCAGCGTATCACAAACAAGACGCAACAGGAAAGCCTTCTCCCAACCATTACAAACAAGACGCAGCATGAAACCATTCTCCGAGCTATCGCATTCGCTCAGGCCATCTTCTCGACAAATCTACTACCCCAACCTCCCATGTAGAAGAGAAGTGCCAGAAAGATGAAAGACAAGGTAAGAAAACGTGCAAGCCGAAAAGAAAAGGCCGAAAAGAAAAAGCCGAAAAGAAATAGACGAGGGAGAACGAGACAGCAATCCCTTAGTCCCAATCCTCGTCTTCGGCGTCCGAGATGGTAGCCGGCTTCTTGTTCTTCCTCGCGGAGTTCCTCTTGTTGGCATCACGACGGTTGGTGAGATCGCGCGCGTAGTTATCCCACTCGTCCGACTCCTGTACAGCGACGGTCTTAGGGACCCTGTTCCAACCGCCCCTGGTCGCTGCAGGCTGCTGACCCTGGGTGCGGACCACCGTTCCAGCGGGCTGCTGACCGGAGGTGCGGACCATAGCTCCTGCAGGCTGCTGGGTTGGGGCGCGAGCCAAAGGTCCTGGGGTGTAGGAGGGGTGGGTGTACTCCGGAAGGGCGTACTCCCTCTTCTGGGGGTAGTTGCCAGCAGCGGTGACAGGCTGCCAACCCTCGTCAGCAGCAGGATCAGCAGAAACCATGCTGGAGGTATCGCCGAAGCTGGTGACAGCCGAGTTCTCATCGTTGAACATCCCGGCGTTGGCGGCGGCGGAGCGGCGGACAAGCGGCTTCTTCTCGGTGGGCTTTGCGCCGTCAAAGTCGCTCTGAATTCGACCCCGACATTAGTGACCACGGAAACCTCGAGCAAGAGAATGGGTGGGTAGCCAAACCAGTTCGCGCTCACTGTCATCCTGGTCGGTGTCGTCGTCGCCGTCAGAAAACTCGTCGCCGGACCCAGCACCAAGGCCGCGCTGAACACACTTCATGCAGCGGGCGGCGTCGGGGTTCTTGCGTTGGTTCTTGGCGAAGTGCGTGAGTCCCTTGGTTTTCTCACAATTGCAGCAGGTGAGCTCGGTCACTTGCTGGGGAGTGCAGGTCTTGCAGGTGGTTTTAGGATCGGTGAGGGTACGGCCGGCCGGAGCGTAGACTAGAACAAAAATACAAATATTAATTCTACCATCCATCCAACGAAGAGAGGTCTATGAGCTTACCGTTACAGATGGTGTCGGCGAACCTCTGGATCTGGCGATTGGCGTACTGAGACTTCGGCTTCTTTTTCTTGCAGACGTAGCAGGTGATCTCGTTGGGCACACCTCCGCCGCTGAGAGAACGTGAGCGAACCCGCCCTTATCGCATTGACCACGGGGAGGAAATGACTGACCTGTTACCAACATTGACACCCTTCTGGCGTTGGTTGACCAAGTTGCGGCCGACCGGGGGAAGATACGAGGGCGGCATTATCTTGAAGTTGATGGTGTAGAATTGTTTAAAGGGTAGAGAGAGGTTCAGTCTGGGTGGAGTAGTAAAGAAGGTAGTGGAGGGAGAGAAGGAGGTTGTCGCGGGTATTGAGGTTGTCGCGGTTGTCGTGGGTTGTGGAGGGAGAATAGAAGGTGAGCACGTCAGAAGCCAAGCCCTTGTTGTTCAAAGGAACCGAGCACGTTTTCCCCGCAACCGCCTTCGACGGTCCGCTCCATCGGTACCTCGCCGCACTAATGCACGGCGGGGATGTGAGACAAAGAAACCCAAGTTTAGAATGGTCATCATACTTATGCATTTAATTTATGCACAACTGCAGCGGTTTTGGGTAGGGCTTGACCCGTCCCTCACCCCCGTAGCTAACTGCCGGCGATCGGTCGCTGGTGAACCGATTCAATCAACACCCAGTGACCACACTGCACAGCCCAAGATACCTATTACATCATACCAGGCCTCAATGCATGATGTTTAAATTCCATGTCTAGTACGGTACATACCGGTACTGCCGGTACACGGCTAATTGACCACGATCATTCCCGCTCACTCTGTGACTAGCCCCGGCGACAGATCACGATCATTCAAGCTCGCTCTGTGAGTAACCTCGGCGACACACGATATTCAGTTTCTCACAATGTTGGACCTTCGCCATAGTCTAGATAGGCTGTATGCGAAATAAACTGAAGATCTCTCTCCCTCTCTCCCTCCCTCTCTCTCTCTTCCTCCCTCTCCCTCCCTCTCCCTCTCTCCCTCTGTCTCTCCCCCCTCTCTCTCCCTCTCCCCCCCTCTCTCTCTTGATGTTGGTTAGGCAGCGGGGCCACATCATGCAAGCTGGTAGTGGGATCTCCACCCCTCCCGGCCTGAGTGGGCAGGAAAGGAGTGCGACGGTTCGCCATAGTCTAGATGGGCTGCACGCGAAACAAACTGAAGATCTCTCTCTCTCACGATGTTGGACGGAAGTGTGTCGGTTAATGATCCATTGCAGCAATTAGAAAGGGAAATCGATATCACTATTCCGCTTGCTCCATCTCTACTAGTAGTTTAGAGCATCCCTCGTTGATACGCAGATTCCTACGAGCCATCTTACACATTCCTCGTTGATATGCAGATTCCTATGCGCCATTTTACACTTCCCTCTCCGCAAAGCTCTTGATCAGCCCCTCCAGGGAGGCCTCATACTCGACTAACTTCACCTCTCCATTCACCAGTTTCGTATTCGCCTGCACAAACTGCTTCCGCGGCAACTTCTTTCTCATCACGACCTCCCTGTACTTGGCCATATGCTCGTTCACGGTGCACATCTCGGCGTACAATTTCTCTCCTGCGGCAAAGTCGGCAGTGCTCTTGAAGACGTGCAGCTTCTGGAGGTATTTGCCGATGGCGGGAATGCCGTGGCTGCGGATCTTGGTGCGGTCCAGAGCTATAACCAGGTCGTTGTGATCGGCGGCGGAAGACTCGAGGGTTACGAAGTTGTCGCCAGCCTGGAGCATGGTCTGAAGGATCGAGTAGCGCGCTTGCATGTGCCCTTGACCCCACTTCTTGTATTCGGGATCCCAGAATTCGAGGGCGAGGAGACCGGCGCGCGCCATTTGGAGGTATTCGATGTACAGGACTGTGTGGGTTAGCCCGCGACTCATGCAGCATGGTGGGAGGGAGTGTAAGTACCATCGTCGGCCTTCTTCTCACTATCATCCGTGAACCCGAATATCTTCAACAAATCTTTTTCACCACCAAGGTACATCGCCACACACTCAGCTCTACACTCCTCGTAACTCGCCGCAATACTACCAAACACGCCACCCCACGTCTCACCTACTCCGTACCACGTCTTCACCTTCTCCCCAGTGACGGGACTGACGGGAGGGTTGTCGATATCGAAGTTGTATTTCCCCTTCTCGACCTCCTGCAAGAGTTTTCCGGTACCATGCCCGAGAAGCTCGTGGACGCCGACCTGCACTTCGAAAGCGGAGCCCTTGAGACCCTCGAAGAGAGCGAGGTCACTGTCCTTGACGAAGGTTACCTTCTCGTTCGGCGCTTTGGCGGAGAGAATATTTCCCAGTGAGACGTTCTTGAATCCGTGGTTCTGGCGGATATCGTCGTAGTTCGGAATATTGATTCCCGCCGGAATGCCGCTCGTACAGAAGCTTAGAACCTCCAAACTCGTGAAATCCGGCTTCAGGAACGTATCCTTCTCGAACTCATCTGCCCATGGCAGTCTCGGAATGAATTCCGAGGCCCTGGCCACCAGCTCTCCAAACTTTTTTGTCTGTTCCTGATTAACCATCGCCACGAACCCCTCCCACTCGGCGCGGATCCCATGTGGATCCCGGTAGCTCTCGATGAATCCCAGATCCGACTCCACCTTCGGGCCCTTATCCTGCACCCACAGCTTCTGCGACTCCTTGTGTGCGTTGATGGAGCCAGTCTTGAAAGACTCGGAATACTTCTTGAACATATCCCTCTGCGTATCATTGAGCGCCGCCTCCGCCGCTGCATCACACTCCGCCACGATCTTCGCCATCACATCTTTGTGGTCACCGAACACCACTTCCACCTCACCCACCATCTCCCTCCCCTCATCCGCACTCGCCACGAGCAGTTCGAATTTTTCCTTTCCATCCACCGCCGTCTTCCTGAGCCTCGTGTTCTCCGGCGAGAACTTTCCACTCGTCTCGGCATGAACCTTCGCAATGTCCTCCTTCGTGATCCCGGGCGAGCCTGGATAATACTGCGACACATGACCATCCTGGGGGTAACCCAGCAGTGTCTTCGCCGCAGGCGCAAAGCTATAAATGCCCTCCGCACACATTTCGAACAGCCCCTTCAGCTGATCGTTGTACGCCATGAGCTCCTCCAACTTCTCCTTCGGGACACGCGGGACAAACTTCTGGTCGCCGAACGACTTGTAGTTCCCGCAGTTGCCGAGGAACTGTGCCGCGTACTCGATCCAGTACTGTACCGCCTCCGTGTCCGACGAGAGCTTCAACCAGTCCCCCGAAACGGCTTTGTACGCGGCAAGGATCAGGTCGTATATCGCCTCGGATTCGGGCGAGATCTGTCGTAGCACTATCCGTGTGCCTAGGAAGGAGGCCCGCGAGATGTGGTGCGCGTACAGTTTCTCCGTCGCCGTGAGCGCGTTGAAGTGCGGCGCAATCTCGAGGAGGCAGATCGTCGGTGGGGAGTCGGCGAGGACTGGGAAGTAGGTTGGTCAGTACGTCACGCAGGCACGCGGGAAGGGATGCGGATTACGGTTGCTGGGAGTTGCCATGGTGATGCGGATGCGGTTGATGGTGGAATTGATGATGGTGCTGAGCTTGGGTTTGATGATCGACGGGATGAACGAGGCGGGAAGGGATGGAAGATATCTGTCAGATTGCGGGGTAGCTAAGTGAGTACTGTAGGTTCATGCCAAGGTTCAAGCTGCAGGAGCTGGAGCTTTGAATGCATAAAGCCCCACATATATAGTTAACCATGGCATTCAGCAGCATTTGGGATCCTGCCAAAGAGTCGGAAAGTAATATGGAACTAGAACTAGCGTGAACCACGAAACAGATGCCAATTCGATAGATATTTTTATTCACGAACACATACAAAGTCTGAGCATGCAATTAATCAATCGATCTGAGAAGTTAGAACCATCCATATAGAGCAAATATCATCCCCAGCCATAAACCCACCCCATCCTACGCCTTAACCAACCAGCCCCAAGAACTCGGAATTGTACACCATCTTGACTCTCCCTTGATCTTCTCCAGCTGCACCTCTTTCCACCCCTCCAGCTCCCCCTCCCCAGTGAATCCCATGAAAACAGGATCAACCAGCAGTTTATCCGTCGGCCGTGAGAGCTCACATCCAGCGAACGGAATATGCCACACGAAGTCGTAAAACCACTGCAGCCATGCCGTCGTGGAATCGTGGGAGCGTATGTGCTCGAAGATCCGCAGCTCCCCGCCGCGCTTAAGACGGCGGTGGAGAGCTGGGAGGTGGATGGAGGGATCGGGAATGCTGCAAAGGACCTATGGAAGTCAGCCACTGCTGGAAGATCCAGAGGAGAGATGCACACCTGAATGGAAACGAGACAATCCACGCCCTCCTTCGGCACGCCCTCCTTCGCCAGCTCCTGGGCATCCTCAATTCCACAAGCCACCACTTTACACCTCCCCTCCCAGCCATATTTCACCACCGCCTCCTTCAGCTCCGTATGCATTGCCCTGTTCGGCTCGACCAGATACAAACTATCCACCTTGTCTTTATCATACCACTGCAGAGTATTTCCCAATCCCGGGCCGATCTCTATAACCACTCCATGTGCGCCAGCAATGATCCGCCGCTTTTCTTCGGAGAAGTCCACTGGAAGCGAGGCCCAGATCCGAGAGAAGAACGTGTCGGTGAATGGCGCGGGGCCGGTGAGCGTGTGGTAGATTGTGGAGGGTAGGTATGCGAGGCTGTAGAGAAGGTATTGCGCGGGCAAGAGGTATTCGCCTGCCCGGGTGGTGGGCGGTAGGACGGTTAGACCGTGAGATGCCATTGTGGTTCGGAGAGCGTTGGTGAATAGGTCTTCCGAGAAAGTGGCGGCGACGTTTTTATTACCCATCGGATTCTCTGCCGCGGGGGATTGAATCTGCCCGAGCCATTGGCCGCTCCGTGCGCGGACTCGATTCCAATTCTGTAAATAGGAGTAAATCCTCCAGTAATGCATTTGCAATGTGCATCTTCAACTGATCCCCATTCATCGCTGGAATGGGCTACCTAACTTTCCCAGCAATACGGTGTTTGCCTTCACAGCTATTCACACCATCAAACTCGGTCTTTAAATCTCAATGTTAGCCACGTGCATTGCAGAATAACCCCCGATATATTGCCGTGATCTAGATAGGTCACATGCAATTGAGTAACGCGTGAGTTATTCCGACCCGTTACAAATTGCCCATCCTTCCATATTACAAATTAAGCTCATCGGCTGCATAAGAGATCTAGGAACCAACTTACCAAGCGATGGAAACGCTTTGGAATGCATGATGTGTCTCGAGATTAAGCTAACGACATCGACCATGAGATGGCATCGGAACATATCTGGATACAGATGTTTGGATGAACTCCCGACCCTGCACAATGTGAGTTTTGCACTGAGGGCGTGTGGCTGTATCGTGTCGTCATGAGTGCCGGCTAACTTAGAAGCTACCATTTCAATTATCGTCCGCCTAGATACATAACTACTCCGAACCGAAGCACCAGCAAACTCTCTAATTGATTAGACAACACTCAAGTAGAATAGGGGCCCGTAGTGGTGATGTGAGGTGACATGTTCTCTAAGTGATTCTAAACGCAAGGGGAATCAACGCCTAGAGCGGTAGATTTCTCAAAGCTGGCTGTGTCCGGACACAGCCAGACAAATATCTTCATACAAGACTCCTCTCAGCTCTCCACAAAAAATGTAGTCATACAATCAGGTACCAACACCCCTCTCCCTCTCTCTCTCCCTTCCTACCTGCCCATCTCCCTATCTCCCCAGCTAGAAATCCGTAGCCCGTCCATTATACGTCCACTCCCCATGCCTCAGCGGATCATTTTTCGGCCCGCCGACTTCGCCGGTGACCGGATTCTTGTCTCCCTCGAACTCTGGCTTCGCGCCCCGTCGCAAATCCTTATGCAGCTCGCTCTCGCTGATATCCACCTCATCGGCCTTGACTGTGTGTGAGGTCTGGAATGCTCCCGTCGACTCCTTCTGAAGCCGCTCGTATTCTTCTTGCTCTGCTGCTGGCAGGCGTGGTGGCGAGGGGCGGTCGCGGAGGTTGAACACGGCGGACGTGCGGGCGGTGGTGGACAGGGGGCGCGCAAGACGCGGGAGGACGCGAGGTGTAATGAAGTGGCGTGGCATCGTGTGCTGTTTCTGTTGTGTTGTGTTGTGTAGACCGTTTCGTGGGTTCGTTCGTTGGTTGGTTCGTTCTTGAGAAAGTTGCGAGATGGCGATCAATCCCCGGGCACTCCCGGCATTATTTATATCACGCTCCCCCAGCACCCATGATTCAGCGTGTTCGGCCCGAACATGGTGGCGGCAAATCCCGTTGCGTAAGCGCAGAACCTAGAACTTTGCCCCACCATCTTCATCCCGCCTACACCCCCGCCACGCATCCTCGAGATTCACCACGAAATGCCTGCGGATACAGAACCCACAGATATTGCTCCCGACGCTGCGCCGGCGACAACGAGACAGCCGCGAAAGCGGTTTATCGGGAAGAAAACGGCCGAGACGTTGCGGCAGCAGAAGACGGATGGTGCTGGTGCTGGTGCTGAGGGGGACAGTGGAAGTATCGAGGATGCGAGTAGCAAGCTCCAAGGTGCGCATCACCAGCTTCGAGAGGAGTGGGAGCTTTATGGATTGATATGTAGAGAACAGTGGCCGCCTCACGCCCCCTCCGGGCACCCCGCGCCGTGACGACCATACCCGCCTCGATCCTCGAAGACGCCGACCTGAATGCGGCAATCTCCACTCTCCTCCCCAAAAACTACAACTTTGAAATCCACAAGACGGTGCACGCGATCCGTCGGCACTCCTCGAAACGCGTCGCGCTGCAGATGCCGGAAGGCCTGCTCCTCTTCGCCACAACCATCGCCGACATCCTCGAGACGTTCTGCTCGGGCGTCGAGACCGTGATCATGGGTGACGTGACATACGGCGCGTGCTGCATCGACGACTTCACCGCACGGGCGCTGGAATGCGATCTCCTGGTACACTACGCGCACAGCTGCCTGATCCCGGTGGACGTGACAGCGATCAAGACGCTGTACGTATTCGTCACGATCGGGATCGACCCGGAGCACCTTCTCGCGACGATGGAGCGCAACTTCGTGGCCGGCAAGACACTCGCGCTGGTGGGCACGATCCAATTCAACGCGGCGATCCAGCGGCTCAAGCCGCGGCTCGAGGCTGCCGGCTACAACGTGCACATCCCGCAGATCTTCCCGCTGAGCAAGGGCGAGATTCTGGGATGCACCAGCCCCGTCATCGACACCGCCCAGGTCGACGCGCTGGTCTACGTCGGCGACGGCCGCTTCCACCTCGAGAGCGCCATGATCCAGAATCCGCGCCTGGCCGCCTACCGCTACGATCCGTATTCGCGGAAGTTCACGCGGGAAGGGTACAACCACACAGAGCTGCACACGCTGCGCAGGGACGCCATCGCTGCTGCGCGGAGGGCAAAGAAGTTTGGATTGATCCTGGGCACCCTGGGGAGACAGGGGAACCCGAATACCCTCGATCACCTCGAGAAGCGGCTCAAGGAAATGGGCATCGATTATGTGCTCCTGCTGCTGAGCGAGATCTTCCCCGGGAAGCTGAAAATGTTCGAGGATGTCGAGTGCTGGGTGCAGGTCGCGTGTCCGCGGCTCAGCATCGACTGGGGATATGCGTTTCCGCGGCCGTTGCTGAGCCCGTACGAGGCGACCATCGCGCTGGGACTCAGGGAGGAGAGCTGGGATGAGACAAAGGGGTATAGGATGGACTTTTATGCGAAAGAGGGACTGGGAAGGACAAAGAGGGGAGGTACGCTACCGGGCTTGGAGAGTTGATGTTGCAGACATCGAGTGAGAGGGTGTGAATACACGCGTTTTGCTGGTCACTCGGACTCTCATGGTGAATCGTGCTTGTTTCCAGTAAAGATTCCGCCGCTCTCAACATCCGTAAGTCCATTCATCAATCCATCCATCCATCCATCTATGTACCCACCCACCCAGAAAATAGATAACTCGCACATGCGACATCCGAAAAACAAGTTCTTCTCAGCGCAGCAAATGGTAAAAAAAAAAGAGAAAAAAAAAACGCCCTCGTGATATACGGTACAAAAAATAATACTGAAAAAAATGCCGTGTATTTTGGCCTGATCCGCACAAGAAAAAAAGATACCGCCGAGTCTCAATACGATCTGATTCAAATCATCTCTAAGATGAGTTTCCCATTATCCCAAATGGCCCCCCACGAAAAAAAAATCTCTCACATCAGTCAGTCAGGTCGAAAACCCGAATCACCGCTCGAAAGTCTGGACCCGCGTACCGTCTTATGTGTATCATGAGATTAACCTCGACCGCGACGAAACGTTCGATTCAGCACTTACGAAGCCTTCCAGATGAAGAATCCCTCTTTGCGATCCTGCAACTCGCGCTCGGTATTGGCGCGGACCTCGAAAAAGTTGATGCTCAGGCTATCGTATTTAGCCTGGTAGGTTTTCAAACTCATGGTCTTGCGGTTGCCGCAACCTCCGCCATGATCGATATCCGCCATGAGGCTTTCGATAACCTCCAGTAGGGTCTTCATCTCTGCGCGACGTTTCTCGTCCATCTCCTTCTCCATCACGCAGGCCGAGCAGTGTTCCTGCCTTCCGGCACGGAGTAGCGTCCTGTGGAATCGGTCGCAGACGAACTCGTGCTTGTTGAAGCACGTGCGCTTGAACTTCTCGCTCGTGGTCTTGGAATAGCATACGCCGCAGGTATGCGCCATGGGCTCCCATTTGGGGTGATGCTTCTTGACGGGGGTGGGGAATTTCTTGAAACCCGGGGATGAGTGGTTCTGGTTCGGCGTCGGCGAGGACATTTCCGCATCGTCTCGAAGAAGGGGCTCCAGCTCGTGGGTGTCAGGGCCATTGTGCCAACCGGTTCTACCGCGTCGGCGCTTTCCCGAAGAATTGAGGCTGCTGCCGCCGCCGTTCTTGCTCTTGCTCTTAGCCACAGGCGGTTTACGTTTTCCGAACGTCTTCGCCATCTTGATGTGTTCGAGGTTCGTCGGCTCGTTCGGTCGAGCTGCGGGGTTGTGTGGGGTTTCGGCCGTAGGAGGTGTCAGACCTTGGTCCGTATCCCGTCAAAACGGCAAGCCTCGTGTTGCTACCGGTTGATGATGGTGGTGTATATTGTGGTCTCGTGATCGTCTCGATGTGTTGCTCGATATCTCGTAGTATTGCTCCCTTCTTTCGTCAGTTATGTGTTCTTGCAGTGTTCCGGGGAAAGAATGGGAGCAAACCCAATCCGACCGAAGCGAAATCTTATGCTCAAGCTTTCGTTGTGCTCTGATGGATTGCGAGAGAGACTTTAAAGCCGGCGCACACCTTCTTCTATGACGCGGTCGGAGGGCGACTTTCAATTGTCTGGCCGGGAGGAAGAGAATTGGATCGTGTTGAGTGAGGCGATGGACCGAACGTCTGCTCCTTCCAATTAGCTGCTGCTGCTGCATGGTGGTTGGTTGTGGTTGTATATAGAAAGGAAGAAAAGGCTCGCATGCATGGGAAGCAGCCGTGCATATAACCTGGCGCAGGCTCGGATTTTGGTATGTAGGAGATATGCACCTGCACGTTCGAAGATATGTCGACACCCGCGCGCCGCCGCGATGCTGTGTAGCTTCTTTGCACTCTATTCTCCACGCTGTGTGTAGGGTGTCGATATATGAGTATGTGCTTTGTTGTAGGGGTCTCTGCGATAGGTAATTCGACTGGGTGTGGAGCTGTAGCTTGCGTCAACAATTTGAGGTAGTGAAGTGGGACCAAAATGATGTCGCGATGGTGGATGGCCCAACCCCTTCTTTCCTTCCTTCCTTGCTCCTAGACTCACGACTAATTAGTGAAGTGAAAACTAAGGCAGTTGAGAGAGAAATTTCCAACCAGGTGCATGAGTAGAGTTTGAATGAAGACATCATCGCAGATGTTCTTGGCTGAACTTCTGAGACCATCGAGTGAGAATTTATGACGCAATAGTCTGTTTTTTAAGGTTGAGATGAATGGTCATGGGTGCTGAGTAGTACAGTGTCGAGAGTGAAGTCAGTAAGAAAAGAGGGATCTCGAAACGATGAATGTTTTTGTACCTCTGGGGAACCCTTCAACGAAAGCCACCGTAATCTTCCTTCATTAAACACACCCCGGAACACCTCCTTGAATAGTTAGTATTATGCACTAGGTAGTACTTCCCTTGAAGAATCTCGGACACCCGCTATGGAGATAACTCGTGAATTGTCACCTGCAGAAGACTATGGTCTTCCAAGGATGGTGATATGCACTCGGAGCTGGAAACCGACGCCGTCTGCACAGCGGCCTCGTACAGTACGTATGTGCGTGAATGAAGCGAGAACTGCAGAAAGACGCAGTCTTAGACACGACCAAATGTGAACAACCCGCGCAGCGGTAAACTTTCGTTGCGAACTTCCGCTGCGAACTTTATCGTTTCCAAGCTCCCAGTTCTTCTTCGCATTGCATATCGATGCTGACTGTTGAGACTCCTGCACTTGGACCGATGCGATGAGTCTAGTGATGGATTGGTAAGAACTACAAGAGAGTCCGCTCCTTCGCTACTCGTCTCCTCCCACAATCCCAAGCAGATCCTCAACGGTCGACTTCCCATCTGGGCAATCCCCTCCGCAATGCTGGCTGTAACCCCTCACAATGCTGACTGTCCGGTTATGTAGGTTGCAGCGACCGTACTCGGGGATGTACCGTATACACTTGTTCACGGCGGTATCACTCGAAACCCATGCGCTCGACACCACGCTGTCACTCAGGCCGCACGTGCAGGCGGCGTTAGGTATCGCCCACAAGCTTTTTCACGTGCATGGGATCACTATCACGATCACAACAATCCCTCTCCGGCCCCCACGACACTTCGTCACATACTCACGTCTTCTGCCGTCTGCATGCGCGATGCCGCCTCCCTTGCCCTTGCCCCGCACTTCCGTTCCATTCGAGACGATAAGCGTCCGCCGTTTTCTGGCATACCGCACCGGCAAGCCTTATGTGGCAGCTGTCAGTGGATATACCCATGCAGCCGACTGCGAATCTGTGATGCGATGCGACACTTCTCTCCGGCACGATCACGGGTCAACACTCGCGGGAAGCTACATACATACATGGCCGGCCCGAACTCCATGTTAGCTAGGGAGATATATGAAGGTGTGCCGCAATATAGGTAGTAGGTAAGTACTCTATCTACCTATGTACAGCTGTGGTCGAACTGAGAGAATCTTCTGGTCCCATACCATAACTATTTTCCTATGACCTGGATGGATGGATGGTTCTGGAAGTTGTGCGTACACACATATGAAGGTCCTGTACCGGAAAACTTACCCCGCACGGCCCAGGCCATGTTCCGGGGCGGAAGTCATTCAATCCTGCCGAGAGTTAGCAAAAGGGCGGCGGATACAAGTTCCTGCTTGCTGGTTACCGGTACATAAGTTCAGCTGTGGATGGAGGTACTAAGGAAGCCGAGGAATCCGAAGCACGGAACTACCTACTGCGATGGAAGGCGAAGGAAGTCACAGACACAACGAAACCTGCGGACGATAGTTAAGGAAGGAACGGATGATGTCAGTTGCGGATTCCCGCGTCGTGGTATCTACCTGCATAACTACATCATAGATAATCTCAATTCCAAACGCGAGAACTCACCTATCGACCGAACGGAAATACAAGCACATTTCCTCTACGGTGCATGCACATGCCGTTAGGTTTGTGGAGAAGGAAGGAAGGAAGGGGTGAAGGCAAATGTCAAAGTCAAGGTCAAACGTGCTGCACAAGCAAGGGAACGTCGTCGGTCCCTGATCATCAGTTCCTAGTTCCAAGTTCCTGCGTCCCGGTAACTGGTATGTATGATGAGTATCATACTACTCAATTCAAAACGGGTGATCCGGAATTACTGGGGACTGAGCGATCATCGAACGATGGTAGATGAAGCGGGCTAGCCTGCTCCGCCCCCTCCCCTCCCTTCCCTCCGCCCATCATTGCAAGTTGTAACCTGAAAGCTGATATGTATCGGTGGCGCCGCACAGACCGTGAGCCATAGCCCAAGCCCAAACCCGAGCCCGAAACCAAGGAGCCGGCCCCTCGGGCATGTCAGACTGACGGACTCAAACGTTGTGGCAACGAAAGTCTCCTTTTTTGCACGCCACTACTGCCCACTGCCTGCTTTCCGTACCTATGATTATAACTAACGTTGAGACAATAAAAATAAAAAGGAAAAAGGGAAAAGGAAAAGGAAAAGGAACATGACTTGTTTGGTAAGTGAAGGGGAAATTGTGATCGGCCCGCACTCATACCCGCACGCTGTGGATCCACTCGAAACATGGCAGATAGAATGGGATGGGATGGGATGATCCGTGCGTCCGTCCGTGTAGAGTACGACTGTGTGTGTGTGTGTGTGTGTGTGTGTGTGTGTGTGTGTGTGTGTGTGTGTGTGTGTGTGTGTGTGTGTGAGCGCGGGATGTTAACAGGTTAGTTATCGGAGGGCGATGTTGATTCGATGTTTGGTGTGAGGATTCTGGGGGTTTGGTTGGCCGGTGGGCTTCGGGCGAGCTTGGAGTCTAGCTAGCGCCTTTGGTCTTGTTTCAACAGACGGACCGCTACACAAGTTGTCAACAACGTCGCCGGTGGGTGTCTTGGGTTCGAGCCCGCCGGCTGTGGAGGAAAACTCTGGCCCGCCCTGGCGCCCGCCATCACATACCGGTACACTTCGCAAGGACAGCCCGGCCGAAAGTGCCAGCTCGGCCGAAAGTGCCAGCCCGGCCGACCACCGATTACGGGCCGACTGGGCAGCCGGTCTTCTCGGTAGAAAACCCGAACACGCACCGCGGCGGCGTCCCACATGCCTCGCGCCGCGAAGACCACACGGCACGCGCCACTCGGCACTCTGCGCCAAGCCGCTCTCGCATTGACCTGAGGACTCAGCCCCAGTGC